GCGTCAAGGGAAAGACCGTCCACTGCCTAGACCGATCTGCACGCCCCAGGACCATCACCATCGACCCGACTGAATACCGCTTCAAACTGGCACTGTTGCGAAACAATCATGAGGAGATGCTGCATGTTATCCGCACGTCGAACCTACTGGGTCAGAGTATCATCGCGTACCTGCAACAGAAGGGTTTCCCGGAGGTATGCCCCATCGTTACTGTAGTGCATAGCGATCTGACCACGAATCGTAGATTGCTTACATTTCGTCCAGACAAGAATACGCGATTTGATCTTGCGATTGAGTGCGGGAACATTGAAGTCGCGTCGGAAATGGCCCGCGCACTCGATCGACCTGAGTGCTGGGAGCGACTGGCGCAGCAAGCTCTGAAACAGGGCAACCATAAGGTATTTGATTTCCGTTCCGTTCTATGATGCATGGGTTCTGACATACGCCTTGTAGATCGTCGAGAAGGCCTTCCAGCAGACGAAGAATTTCGACCGCCTGTCCTTCTTATACCTCGCTACGGGAAGCGCCGACAAACTGCTCAAGATGCAGAAGATCGCTGATTCGAGGGGTGATCCTATGTCTCGATTCCACAACGCGCTGTATTCGGGCGACATTTGGGACGCATCGCTGTGCTGCGAGACGTCGGCCTTCGTGCGTCCTCCTGTCAGTCTTTGAACCACACGGCTAATGTCTCGACAGATCCTCTTGCTTATCTCACGGCGAAGACAAACGGGTTCGACGACATCGCTCTGCAGATCCTCGAGGCTGCTGGCCTCACTGAAGCGGACGTTGATGACATCCCGGCGTTCGGTCCCTCTACATTGCGACCCCCGCCAGTGGTCACTCCAATTGAACACCTGACCTGGCCCTCGGTCTTGACCGGTGACAGCTTCTGGGACCGTGCACTCGCTAATGGTCATCTGGAAGACGGTGCGCCGGCACCATACATGAACGGTCACGACACGACAGGTGCTACCGCGTCTTCGGCTCTTGATGAATGGGCCAAGGAAGAGGAGGAAGAGGAGGAGGCCGAAGTGGAGGAAGATGCGTGGGACCTCGCCCCCGATGCTGACGAGCTTGAGCCAGAAGAAGAGGAGGAGGAGGAACTTCCAGAGGAGGAGGTTGAGCATGGAGCAGGCGCCGCACCTGGTATCAGCGAGACGGAACTTTGGACGCGCAACTCGCCGTTCGCTGGTGATCACATTGCGGCTGGTTCGTTTGACACGGCTATGCAGGTGGGTGCCACTAGTGGATCCGTGTGTTCACAGCGCTGACGATATTTCTGACAGTTACTGAGTAGACAGTTCGGTGTGGTCAACTTCGTGCACCTCAAGCCGCTCTTCCTCTCCACCTATCGCTCAGCGCACGTCTATCTTTCGCCTCTCGCATCATTGCCTCCCTTGCAGCTGCATTTGAGGCGCAACCCGCAAGAATCGTCTTCGAGCAGAGTGCTGCCTGTCGCTGTCAAAACGCTCGCCGCGTTACGCGCAGAAATTACCGAGGGGTGCCGACTACTTTCTGGTGCAAAACTGCCGGAAGCGCAGGACGCTTTCCGCTCTGTACTACGCGAGCTTCTGCTCGTACCGATCGCCTCCGACGAAGACGCTAAACTCGTGCGTACTATGATTGCAGCTGCATATACACGAATGCTGATGATTTTCTTTAGTGGCGGGACATGGTCACCATGTCCAAGGAGTACCTCCTGGGTGTGAGCTTGGAAGTGGAGCGCAGACGAGTCACCAAGGACGAGCCAGACAACGTTCGGCGAAGCCTGGAGCTCGCGGCGTACTTCACGCACTGTAAGCTCGCGCCACCACATCTGCAGATCGCGCTGCGCAGTGCCATTGGCGTCTTCGCGAAAGCGAACAACCACGTCACCGCAGCAAGGTTCGCCCGACGACTGTTGGAGCTCAACCCTGATCCCAAAATTGTAGCGCAGGTATGCTGAACTTTCTTCTTCTTTTGGTCTGTGTTGACGTGGTCGTCTGCAAGGCTCGCCAACGGATTGCGGCTGGTGACCGTAACCCGCGTGACGCCGTGGAGATATCCTACGACGAATTCACTGAATTCGAGATCTGCGCCGCAAGCTACACGCCCATCTACAAGGGCTCGTCGTCTGTGCGGTGTCCGTATACCAACGCCGCATACCTTCCTGCGTTCAGCGGCAAACTCGACCCTCTCACCGGGCTCACGGAAATTGGCGCCGCGTCTTCCGGACTACCTCCTCCTCGGTCATAGTGGCACCCACCTGCATTCGTACGCGTATCTTGACTTCGCACCACACTTGGACCAGTACAGCTGAATAAAGAGTATATCTTAGTAAGGGCGGGTGCGCTCGACCGTGTCTCAATGTACAGGAAGGTCCGTCCTCTAATATTATGTTCTGTGGTCCATCAACTGTCCAGCATTCAAGACCACTTTCGATGAGTGATGCTTCCGCACATACTTGACTAGCATTACTGGGATCATAACAGCCACGCTGTACTGTTCCACACTATTCCAGGTCCTATCGAGGAATCCGTCATAAGGAACACAGGCTTCGCGGGTGGCCGACGCGTCCTAGATATATCTAATTCGCAAGCCAGACAGGTAAATCGCACGGGGCTGTGATGACAGTCTCAGGGCAGTGAGTATCCGGATTGTGGTTCCAACGCTCAGGTAGTAGGGCTGTCTACTGTGCAGTACTGTGGTACGTACTACAGTTGTACTCGGTACGCTGGAACCAGGTGTTATCCTGTGGGAAATAGCCTGGGAAACCTATGCTGCTATCCAGCTACAGTCCTGCGGCAATCCACTTACTTATGAGTATGGAGGACACCGTTGAGCTGCTGATGTCATTCTGACCAATCGCTGCACACGGCGGTAATACGATGATTCGAGGCCGTGACTGCCTCGTGTGTAACGGCTGTCCTATTCAATGAATGGCGATGAAAAGGGGAGTACACATAGTCTGCTCTGTCCCGGTACCCGTGTCTCAAGCCCTACGACGTAGCTCACAGTGCACTACTCGAAACTATCACAGCTTACGACATGGGTTTCTTCGTTCTCTTCAAGTCACCAACGCCACACGCAGGGACGACTAGCCTGTCAAGGAGTCCCAGTAACACCTCTCTTGCCAATAGTCATGCGGTACCTGAAGAGAACAGCATTCTACGGGCTCGTTCTACCTCTCCTTCCTCCTGCCGCCGCGTACATCATGATCGCTTGTCGGGGGAGGATCCTGACTCGATCACCTTGCCGACATGGGCGAATCCGGGTGCAACAGAGCACCAGCAGTTCGACGCGCGTGATAATGCCGCTGTACCAATCAGTGGGATGGCGGTGCCCACAAATGATGCCTCTGGCAATACGCAACACCAACGCTCAGGTCCTAGTAGACCGCAGCCGACCACCCCCGAGTTGGTATCGAAGGCGAGATACGAATGCAGACACCGTTTGTGAGTGACAGCTTCAGGCCACGTTCCTTCAACAGCTCTGCTAACGTTAGAATATTCTTCAGCGATCCTTCCTGTTGGACAATATCAATTGACAAAGTACCCCCGATGACCTCATCATTCAGACAGTGAGCACGTACCCGTCATACCTCGAGTCTCTTCTGAGTTCCATTCTGCATAGGCCTGACTCAGAATCACTGTGGAAGCGTCAAGAGCATCCTGAGGGTCACGTATACTTCACGAAGATAATAAATGTACGTATGTGTCAAGCCTTCGAGCGAGAGATCATTACTGATAATGACTTGTTATCAACCCAGAATATACGCTACCACACTGACCATTGGATGGACGATTCGGCTGCTTCACGAGATCTCGATGCATTTGCTGACATGTTGCGGTCTGAGCTATCAATATCACAAGGTCTACCGACAGATACCGAGGTAGTCCTATACCTGTGCCAAAATGAACGAGACGAGACGGAATGCTTGTATTACCTCGTCAGCGAGACAACACGCTCCGTCTTTTGGTTGGACGAAGTGGACTCAGCTCTGATTAGCGGCGACGCTCGGCCTATAAGCGACCTATTCTATCTCAGTGAGCAATTGACCACGTACCTTCCTTTACTTCCCATGTCCGATTCACACAGGTGTGGATAGGGAATGCAGTCCAATCACTCTATTGGTCAGTATCTCCGGGGTAGGTGTCTCGTCCCACCAGCATACTAGAAGCTCACTCAGATCTGACCAGGAATGTCCGTCGTCTCCGTTGATTGAATAGAAACAGGCAACACGTGTACCTTTTTCCTCATGGGCGCTCTGTGTCGAAGGAGTTGCTCGACGAAGTCAATGAGACTCTGAACACCCTTGCCTTCGGTGAGATCGCTCCAAAACGTCTATGACTGAGTCATACTCTGATTGATGTGTGCACAGATGTTACGACGTCTACCACATCAACATCTTCTTGGGATTATGACGACCTGCAGAAGATATCAACGGCCACGCGGAACATTGAAGGTAAACAACGTCGCATATTCCTCTGTCATAAGTCTGAGGAACGGCGACACGGTTTCCCAGTTGACTCTGGGGCTCCTTCGATGTGGGTGTTAGGTGAGAAGACTTGTTGTTCTGCAGTTGGCGGTGAACGCTGATATCATTTCTATCCCTCAGCGCGCACTATGTTTGTTCTCAGTGAGTTTGATGCATCAAATTATGCAGTTTACCAAGAGATCTCACATGGTCGCAGCCTGGGATCGCTTTGTAAACATGCATGGTGAACGTGAAGCCCGCCTAGAGCGGCATAGGAGTACGTACGAGCAATCTACTCGTAAACCCTCGCGACTGCTGCGATGGGTATCCCCTCTGTTCTTCAATCTACCGCTCCAGTATCTCGGTGAGCTACAAAAAATCTGGGTAGACCGAACGGTGAACTATCAGCCATGGAAAGCCTTCATCACTAATCTTCAAAAAGATTGGGAGACCTCCATCACCCCGTGAGTGCCATCGCATACTTGAGATGTGGTTTTGTTCATCTGGAGCCCGTAGGCAACTGTATTGTTGACCGCCAACGTCGGGTTACTGGCTATCCAAAGTATCGACACGAACCATTCGGACCGGAGTATGGCGCAAATTGCGAGCTATATATCCACATTCCTCAGCCTCGGCAACATCATCTTGTGTACTATTCTCTCTCGGGAACACCGCTTGGATGCGCACATGACTGCAGAATCGGCGGTACGTGTGCCAGCTTCTGAACGTGTGTGCTAGTTGAACGACATTGTAAACTCTACCGCCTAGTCAAATTATCTTGACGGCAGAGCGAATATGCGGTATGGTCTAGAGATTGTGGCCATCTCTTTCAGTTTGCCAAGCGTACTGTTTCTCTGGGGTATGTCTCGACGATACCTGTTCATCAATATCGCCTGAGCTCACATTGTACATAGGATGGGGGCCTTCTACATCGCGATCACATGGGTCTGCTTAGCAGGGACAGGCTTATGGACTCGCCTGCTCAGCGGGTTCATCTTCGCCATCGTCTCACTCTGCATCTTGCTCACTGTCGTTTTCGACTTGTGGTCGGCGCAGAGCCTCCAGGACAAGGTCCCGCAGCTGTTCGACTGTTTCAGCAATCCTCGTCAAACCATGCGAAGCGCTTCCAGATCTGTCTTTGGCGCGTTTTCCGCCTTTGGAAAGACACGCCGTACCGTGCGCTGCTGTGCGCCAAGGCGGAGGAAACGAGCGACCACGGACGACGAACTTGAAAGTCAGATCCCAAGGAACTAGGTATCTACCGATGCAGCAGAGAAGCGGAGCCATCTCAGCACGATATTCATGTCTTCCTTTCGCCAGTATTTTATACACAGCCCGGTTGGCTGTCGGCATGCTAAATTAATATTAATTATGTTGCAGACTCGACAATGCACACTGACTATGCCCTCCTGGCTGGTGATAGTCCATGCTCGTCCGTGCTATATAGACCTCAAAATCTCATGTACGCCCAAGCTATTCGCCGAAGCGTCATGGCCTCGTGCAGATCTACGGGAATGTACCAATGTTCTATAACGAGCATCCTTCCAGCTATAGCGATTCTCCAGAACAGATGCACCACTACTCGTTGATACGGGCCCTGGAATTGAAATCGAACTTCGCAGTTCTCAATTCAAGCACTCAGATAGTATGGGTACGTACTCATGATCTCAGACTTCACACTGTACTTGCTAATATCGAAGCTCGATCCATTGTTAGCCAGCTCCCGCAAGCATTTCCTCTCCCGGTTCTATGTTCGACCGCCCGATGACTCCTCGTGAGAAGGCAGCACTGAAGTATTGATACACAGTATCCTTTGTACCGGACTGCAATTTGGCCGTCTCTATGGTAAGGGGTTTTACTCGGAGAGATGTTCCATTCACGAGTGTGCTCTCAACGTGGAGGGAACACTCTTCCCGGTTGCACTCGCGTAGCCTGGGTAACTCCGTGCTGTCTTGGAACCCATGGTAAGACGCCGTGCCACTCATTTCATTATCCGCCGACCACTTTGCCCGAGAAGCGGAGAAAATATGAAGGGAGGCAGTCATTATATAGCTCACTTTCACCTCCAGCCTCTGCTGCTCCACAGGCGGAACGTCGACATCGTTGGAACCAAAGTTGCAATGTGGCATTCCTTGCCCTGACCCTGGCCTCGATCGCCCCTCTGGCGAGCTCTTTCATCATCCCATCACCGAGTTCGGTTGGCAGCGACATCACATTGTTGTACTAGTACAATGACCTCGATTGTAAGTCACTCGCGTCGTTTTGTTCCTTTGAAACTGATGCCCTTCCATGCAGCGTACACGTCGTCTACGCATCAAAGCACTTTGCTCCTGTCCCCCAAGACGGAAGCAGATGCAGCGACTGCATGCGAGGCGCTAGCGGAAGCACTTCTCCCGGTCAACGAGACGTTCTTCACCACGGAACTCGTGTATTCCCTTGGATACCTAACGTATGAGAGCCTATCCAGATTCTCAGCTGTACTGGGTCGCTTCATCAGGAACCGCGTGCCAGGCGGTCAATGTCCAGGGATACGTCTCCTCCGTCTCCTGCGATACGGTCTTGCCTGCGTTCTGCAGCCAGAGCTCAGCGATCGGCGCTGCCGCAGAGCCGACGAACAAGATCACTGTCTACGCCAGCAACCTGACTATCACTGGGTACATCCGTGTCCGGAGTTCTGGCCGTGAGCCTGATAGCTAGAATTCTGACGTGTGTTGATACCAGCTACCATGATCAAGCCTCGTTCCGATTCGAGGGCATTCCGTACGCCAATGCCCCGGGGCGCTTCACTTACTCCACGATGTACTCAGGGAATACAGTACTAAACGCGACAGCCTACGGGCCAGAGTGTATCCAGTCGGGTGTCCCACCGCCATACGGCAGCGAGGACTACCTCTTCCTCAACATATATACCCCGTACATCCGGCAGAATGGGACCGCCTCGACGGAGGGCCTGAAGCCGGTCATGTTCTGGATTCACGGCGGAGCCTTCACGAGCGGAGCGGGGTCTTAGTCCGATGGAGGGAACATGGCCTCTCGTGGCGACGTCGTCATCGTGACGATTAACTACCGACTCTCTACGCTCGGCTTTCTCGCGCTCGAAGACGGGCAAACGAACGGCAACTTTGGCATCGCTGACCAGATCCTGGCGCTCGACTGGGTCAGGCAGTACATCACTGCGTTCGGCGGCGACCCGACTCGTATCACGATGTTCGGGCAGTCGGCGGGGGCGGGGTCCGTCCGCGCTATGCTGGGCTCCTCGCAGACAATTGGCAAGTTCGCGGCGGCTATCCCGATGAGCAACTTGGCGGGCTCGGACTACGCGACGACGTACTCGCTTTACTACACTATTTCGGAGGAGGTGTCCGTCGCGGTGGACCCCATTATTGAGGAGACCAGTTGCAGCGCCTCTGATGCGCTGACGTGCCTGAGGGACTATGACGCTTATAGCCTCGTCACTCTGCACAATGTAGCTAGGTTCGTTTGGCCAGTCGCTTCATCCGAACGAGCGTACTCATCGAAGGTTTTTAGGTATAATGTCGTAGACGGCACGATCATCACTACGGATGGACTTATCCTCAACGGTACTGGGTATGTCGCCAAAGTGCACGTCATGATGGGTAACATGCGAGATGATGGTGCAGCGTTCATCGGATACCCGGTATGCTGTCCCAATGCATAGCATGCCCATCTGTTGCTCATACAACCCTTAGACGACCACGAATGTGACCGCCGCTCTGGCAGCACAATATCTCCCGACAGGTGTGGCCAACAACCCTCTCATCGAGTCATATACCACAGGGCCGAACGTCACACTCGATGTCTTCAATGTGACGGAGGGCCGCGACGGACGTTGAACTCCGATGCCTTGACCAAGCCACGGCGTGGTCCGGCGTCACGCACAACCTATTTGAAAGCGTGTGGTACTATCAGTTCAACCGCAGCTACCAGCCGCCTGGGGAACAGCCCCAACTTACCCTGTCTGCGAAGCCCTGACTACTGCTGAATATCCGTATGGCGATCCGTCCCAGGAATACTTCAAGTACGAAAGCTTCGCTGTTCATGCACGCGAGTAACCTGATTGACTGATTTTGCTTTACTGATATAGGTGTCATTCTGGCGAGGCGATGTACGTATGGGGTGGTCTCGGCGATCTCCCCTACCGCGACGACCAGGACCTACTCTTCATGCAGCGCATGGTGGACGTCTGGACGGCGTTCGCGCGCACGTACGATCCGAACCCTGATGCGGAGTATCTGACTGTCCGAGGTTACAACGAGACACTTGCGGCGGTCAACGCAGAGGCCCCTTGGGAGGAGGTCACGCCGTCCAACTTCTACACATCTGCGCTCAGAACGCTCCAATGAACGGATCTCAACGCCGGATTTGCCGAGCAATCGCAGTGCGAATATCTTGGTTATTCATTGAACTGCTATGGGTAATGTCGTGTACTTACGATGCATCCGAGTCCCTCATGTAGGACGGTGTACTGAAAAACACTTATGATGAGATGCATAGGGGACATTGCTTGCGCACAGATTGCCGTCGACATTGCATACGTTGAATTTGCTTTGGGGTTCCCGTTCAAGGATTCTTTCGGGTGAGTCGGGGCCAATAGTGGACGTAGTGACTGCGCAAGAGAGAAACATCGCAGAAATGCGTTGCACAGATGTGTTACCTGGTCCCTCCGCTGCCAGTAACTTGTCGGTTTTCCATTAAGTTGTTCGGCCAGCGTACGTAGTCACTATCGGTATTACATACTAGACACCTACCATACGGAGACAGTCAACTTGCTGTCCCTTCGAATCGAAGTTGATCTGCCAAGAAGTCAACTGTTTCCGAAGCTCTCTGACAATTTTGCTCAGTGCACGTTGAAGGGATGGCACTGGCAGATCCTCGCGCTGCCCCCGGCCGTCCACCGCCAGTGAGCCGCCTTGATACAGTATGAGAGCGGCGGGCAAGTGGCGGGTGGGAATTGTTTGATGCAGGTGAGGCGTCTAAGCAATGAGACCGGTCTCTTATACACTGACTACAGATCTTACCAGTCCACCTTCTCCTCACCGTTCTCGTCTCTGCCGGCCTCGTAGCTGTCGATTGATGTTCGAAAGGAGTAGGGTGCTACAATCATGGCGCACAACGCGTACGCTTACCCCCAGCCTGGGATGGCGACGCAGTATGACCCTAGAACTCAGCCCTATCCGTACCAGGCTTACGTCAAGCAGCAGCCGCAGCTCCCTCAGCAGCAGATCTATAGCCATGTGAATGCGAACGCTGCCTACTCGCATGCCCCTACAACATATCCCGCGCACACGCACGCTGGAATTGCTGCACATGCTGCACAGTCGTCTCTACCTGCACTACCACAGGCCATTGCCTACGGACATCCTCCACAACCTCAGTATGCTGCCCTGCCTACATACTCACCCCAGGCAAGCTACGCATCCTCATTTGAACAACGCAGTGCCCTTCCGCGACATACGACACCGTCGCCTGGACCTGCGAGACGACCGCTGCCCGACCCAGGACGCGCAGCACGGAGTAACTCCATCTCTACCCACCCGCCGCTTCAACCAACGCCATCTCCTGGTCCGCCTGCGCCTACTCACAGGACATCCCTCTCGGTCTCTTCCATTCCGACACCTGCGCGACCCACCACTCCTACGTCGCCTCGGGCACCACAACCGAAGCCGACCGTCGCGGTAAGTCCTCCTCGTCCCCTTCCTCAACCAGCGTTACCGCGGTCCCTTGGGCAACCGAACCTTGCGCGAAGTCCCAGCCCGACCAAGCGTACGTTCGCCGAGGCGCAGATGGCCTCCCCGCATCCCATTGCGCAGGCGCGAAGCGTTGCCGAGGCCGTACTCCCGCTCGGTACCCCGTCTGGTCAGAGGTTCGTACCGCACTGGAAGCGTGCCCTACCTACGCCAGGCGAACCGCAAGTCGAGCGACGGAGTACTGTGTCGGGCCCCGCACCAACTCCACCACCGTCAGTACGTCCGCTGCCACAGTCACCAGGTAGTCAGTCCCGGAGCCAGTCCGGGCACCAGTCACAGCAACCGTCTGCAGGCCAGACAAGCTCGCCTCCTCGGAAACTGCCACAGCCTAACGGACGACCCCTCGTCCGTTCGCCGAGTCCATCGCCCGGTGCACGGGAAGGTTCTGCAGAGAGCTCTGATGATGATGACATCGCTGGGAGTGCGTTGCTTTCGCGTCCACAGGACTGGGCAGGTCGCTCGAGCCCGCAATACGGCATTCGAGATCTCCCATCGCAGATCCGTTCGAGCGCAAGCAGAGACTCGAATACCACGCAACGAAGCGCGACCTCGCGGTTTGCAGAAATGTCCCTGCACGACCCTGGAGGCAATGTGGACTTGGACCCACGCCCACCGTCACGCCACGGCCATTCCCAGTCCGTGCCGACTGTCTCGGCGCAGCAATACGCGCCGCCCATAACGAGACGCTGGCCTGCAGGCTTGCCGCAGCTACCTCGCGCACCGGCTGCACTGGAGAGCCTCGACGATGCGCCGCCCCCCTCTCTCCGACGCTCCCCGTCCCCTGTGCGACCGGCACCAACCAGCCCCCTTCGCGGCGCGAGGCGACCGTCGATACGTACAGACGAACTGACACGGCCCGGCCAGCCCGTTCGCCGCACACGCCGTACGAGTCGCCCGCTTCCGCAACGCCCCCGCAGTCTGGTGTGTCGGACAGCTCCGTCTTCACCCTCTCGTCCTTCCCGCCGCCGCCTCCATTCGCCCCGCCACATCCACCCATCGTTTCGCCCTCCCCGTCGTCGCCTCGTCTCCCCCACACGCCCCCCGCTACGCTCCAGGGACTCCGTCGGCTCGGTCTTCACTCTGTCGTCCTTCCCGCAGCCGCCTCCGCCGGTCGTGGCCCGGCCCCCGCGCAAGGACTCGCTTAGCCGCACCCAGAATAACAGGACACCCGTACCGGCCGCCAATGGCACCTTCGAACCGAACACTATCAGGGCAGGAGCCCGCCAGCCAATTCCTAAGGTGTCTTTCCCTGCGACTGCGGACTCGGACTCGGGTTCGGACAGCGATGGTGTGGCTCCCGGTGTGCCAGCGATCTCCATCAGCGTGTCGGGCTCGAGTGACGACGATGTTGGTGGGCCTATCATCAACATATCGGGTGCCGATGACGACGCCCCGCCAATTCCGAGCATCTCGGTCGGGGATGCGGATGACGACTCGTCGGTGCCGCAGATTAGCATCGGTGGCGCGTCGAGGAAGGCGAAGAAAGTTAGTTCGAGGAGCCCGCTCGAGCAGGTCATCAGGAAGGGCCCTGGGCTGATATGCGGAGGGTGTGGGGGCGCGATCGTTGGAAGGACGGTGTATGCGATGGATGCGAAGTGGCACCCGGGTGCTTCCGGTGCTGCGTGTGCGACGAGCTGCTGGAGAACCTGAGCAGCTACGAGCACGAGGGAGGGCATACTGCAACTTGGACTACCACGAGGTGTGTTTCATTCCGGAGCTTCGCCCATCCTTGGAATAGTGTGTAGCGTGAGTTTCTAACGTGGCTGGTGCAGGCGTTCGCGCCCAAGTGTTACCATTGCAAGACGTCGATCATCGACGAGCGCTTCATCACGCTGGACGACCACGAGCTAGGCAAGCGCACATACCACCAGCAGCACTTCTTCTGCGCAGAGTGCGGGGACCCGTTCATGGATCCTAAAGGGAGTTCATTCCGGCCAGCCGGAGGTGCGTGTCTGATCAGATATGTATTTTCGGACTTCCGTGCTCATTCTGTGCTTAGGCGGGCAGACGTTCTCGGGAGACGGCGACTTCAGCAGCGGGGAAGGCGATGTGGGGTTCACCGTGTACCGCGGACACCCGTACTGCGAACAGTGCCACGTGCGCTTGCGCCTGCCCAAGTGCAAGAAGTGCAAGAAGCCCATCAGGGATGGGATGAGGGCGGTGGAGGCGCTGGGCGGGAAGTACTGCTGGGAGTGCTTCACATGCGCGGTGCGTCCCCTCTTGATGCGCGCGCTGATGTTGCGTTGCTGATCGTCGTGCATGTGTCTCTTCAGGGTTGTGACCAGCCATTTGAGAACCCGTCCTTCTTCCAGAGAGACGGCCTGCCGTTCTGCGAACACTGTTTCAGTATAATGATCAAGAACGAGATGTGATGTGACTTCGGACTCTTATGCCATTCATGATCGCTGCTCAGTTATTTATCGCTAATGCGAGTGCGCTTGCTCCGATTGATGTGCTTTGTCGTGCATGTATATGATCCCTTAACCCTTCACGAAGGAAATGACTCGACGTGTATCACGATAGAACGATGCCCCTTGGTTTGGCGAGTCTTGTTGTAATTGGCACGCAATATAACCGTGTTCTCAGTGATGCTACTGGTATGTACATTACCCTCGCCTTGCTGCCACGCATTAGGCCTGTACCCTGGCATACGGCGGTTATACACACAGCTATTGGTTGGTTTCGCTGTATCAGGGCCAATGCACTCCGAGTAGAGGACCCAAGTACCTATGCACGGGAGGAGGGGGCCTTGCATTTAATCAGGTTAGCGAGGAGCCAGGAGTCGGAGACTTAAAGATAAGAAGGCCCAGCAAGAAACTCACCTTCAAACGTTCTCCTGCAGGTATAGAGATATCCGTAGCTTTCTGTCAATCACGCGCACGCCTCTGTCATTATGTGGACGATGTCATGCCATACGTGGACCATAATTACTCGGACTCGACTGAACCCTTCGAGACAATCTTGCACAGCCCATTGACTGCTAAGCCGCCCGTACTATGCAACTTCCTGGATTCTTGAAAGCCTGTTCAGGAACCACACACCTCAGACGTAATAATCCAAAGAGTAATCCAAGTAATCGCATTGCGCCTGCTCCGCGAATGGACCCATGAAGCTAGTCCACTGCAACGTCCGCAACGGCGCCGTGTTCAGGTTCGCAGAGGTGACTGGTATCCAAGGCTCCTCTGCGTAGATGGCAGCAAGCGTGTTGTTGTACCACCGGACTGCCAGATACGCTGGGTCCGGGTTCGGATTATAAGTGCGCGCGAAGGAAGTCCACACATCGATCGTACGCTGCATGAAAGGAAGGTCAAGTTCGTCGCGGTAAGGGGACGTGCTCGGTAGACTGCCGAACACGTAGTACAGCTCTCCTGAATGACATCTGGATGGTGACAATACTTCAGTGTATCTTCACAACATACGTGTGACAAACAAAACCCACTTGAAATACTCTTGGGAAGGATCGCCATACGGGAATTCATCGCTGACAGGTGCGTTGCAAACAGGATAGTTCGGGCTCCATCCAGCTGATTGATAGCTCCGGTTGAACTCGTAGAACCACACGCTCTGGAAAAGGTTGTGTTGAACGGCGTAGTACGCCGTTGCTTGGTCAAGGCACCGGAACTCTACATCCGTCGCCACCCCGGCAGTGACGTTGAAGACGTCGTAGGTTGCGTTCGGTCCAGTCTGTACGGGAAACAGCGAGTTGTCGACCACAGCGGTAGGAAGCGACTGCGCAATGAGCGCTGCATTCAGGTTGGTAGTGTTCTGATGCGTAAGGTAAGATCATTCCGCTAAGTGGACGAGGGTAAGGGAGGCTTACCGGATATCCGATGAACGCTGCACCATCGTCCCGCATGTAGCCCATCATGGTATGTACATTTGCTACTGGACTCGCTGTGCCATTGACGATCAAACCCGTCCTGGTCACGTACGTTCCATCGACCACGACGAATCTGTTCGAACAAAGTAAGTAGGGCGAATAGTGCAATGCGGCCCACAAACCTCGCTACGTTGGTCAAAGTGACGAGTTCGTATGCGTCGTAGGCCTTCAGACATGCAAGGGCACCAGCCGCATCCGTTGCATTGCACCCAATTTCCTCCAAGATCGGTTCCACTACTGCGGTCACTTCCTCAGGGATGGTGTAGTACAGCGAGTACGTCGTCGCATAGTCCGAACCCGCCAAGTTGCTCATTGGGATCGCCGCGGCGAATTTGCCAATTGCCTGCGGCGAGCCTAAGAGGGCGCGTACGGAGCCCGCGCCAGCAGACTGCCCGAATATCGTGATGCGATCGGGGTCCCCGCCGAACGCCGTGATGTATTCTCTGACCCAGTCCAGCGCCGCGACCTGGTCAGCAAGCCCGAAGTTCCCGTTCGTCTTCCCATCCTCGAGAGCGAGGAAGCCGAGGGTGGATAGACGATAGTTGATCGTGACGACGACGACGTCCCCGCGCGACGCCATGTTGCCGCCCGCGAACGTCGGGTCGGATCCGGTGCCGCCCGTGAAGGCACCGCCATGAATCCAGAAGAAGACTGGCTTTAGCTTCGAAGAGGGAGCGGTGGACGGGTCCTCTGGGATGTATGGCGTCCAGACGTTGAGAAAAAGGCAATCCTCGCTGCCATTGGGGACGCCAGACTGGACGCATTCGGACCCAAATGCTGTCGCGTTCAAGGTTTTGCTCCCTGTCCATGTTGTCGGATACGTGAATCGCTCGGGAGGATCAGCATATGGGATGCCTTCGAAGCGGAATGACAGTTGATCACGATAGCTAGAATAGCAGAACGTAAGATAAAAAACGACGAGGAATCTCCGGATGCTCGCGCGTACCCAGTGATTGTCAGGTCGTTAGCCTGAACGGTGAGAGAGTTCGCTGGTTCAGGAGAAGCACCGAACTGTGCACTCTGACTGCAGAGTGCTGGCAGTTGGAGCGCGCAGGGAGCTGGCACGACGAAGCCAAGTGAGTTGACTGCTTCGCAGGAGCTACCAGTCGATTGGATCCAATACAACTGGGCTTCGCTGTAGTGGCCCTGGTAAACCTGATATTGGAGCGATGGAATTAGCTCCGTGTGGTAGAACGACTCGTTGACCGGAAGGAGCGTTTCTCCCAAACTAGCGCATGCAGAATCTGCTTCTGAATTCAAGAGTGGAGACAGGAGGAGTACACTTTGGTGCTCAGACGCGGTATGAACTGCGAACAAACCGTTAGCAATAGGTAGACAGTAATTGCCAAGATGGCTCACCATCGACATCGTTGTAGTACAGCAGCGTTATATCGCTTCCGCCGGAACTTGGGATGGTATATGAAGCTGCCACAGGGATGGCAGCCAGACATCCGAGCGTCAATGCGATAAAGTCCATCTCGTCCGGCTCGCGCGTCCACGGAGGCAAGTCTTGCCAAAAGTACGAGCAGTAGCTAGAACTTAGTCCCTCTGTAGACCGCCGAGTTATATATGCCGACGAACGAGTTCCCCGTGCTGTCGCTCGTCTCTTCCCGCTGACCAGGAATACAGGGATTGTGTGAGTTCGTGATCAGTCATCGACAAGTCTACTCCCATGTGTTCTCATGTGCTGCAGCAGGGGAGGATCATGATGCCTGGCATGGCCGGGTTTACTTGAGAAAGTAACAGCAGCATCCGCACTCTCGTGACTACCATTTCTCCGAGTAAACGCCCCCACTCCTCGAGCAAAAGGATGCGACAGTTAACTCACCTGACCCGAAGACTGTCCTCAAACGTATCTGAGGCTTGTGATCGCGGCCCATGCGCCTCCTATCACCGTGTGTACAGTGCATGAGTAGAGCTGTAATCGGAAGCTAGACGGATGAATTAGGGATACTGAACATTCCGCATGGAAAACCAAGGACGTGAACCTGGCTTCTGATACTGGGAGTGCACACGAAACGCTACTTCAAGTCGAGTACAAGCGTACCAGATCATATGTACATGCGATAGCACGCTCGGACTGGCAAGATAGGCAGTCAAGACATCGGCACGAACGGCTCACCGAGGCCTTCTTCAGAGGGATCTTCGCTGATACGCACTATTATGGTACATCAACCGAGGAGAGGCATCCGAACGCCAGCCTTTGGGTTTGCTGTCAGTGTAGCGACATGTACCACGGTAGGCTCCGCACCAACGGGCACCTACACGTTGTGGAAGGGAAACCCATCCCACGTCTTTCTTTTTCTTTTTCGTTACAATTCCCTACGTTACTCTCGACTCTACCGGCGCGCCTGCGACGAACCGGAAGGCCGCGACGCGGACCCGCTAGTAGGACGAGACGAGCGCCGCAACGCCGAGTGCCGCACCTGCTGGGGGACCAGGTCGCGATTAGTAAATAGCACCGCGTGCGAGCTGCCAATCACGTACCGAGACAAGGGTTCGTCAGTCAACGCTGGAAGGGGACTCAAGGGACGTCTGTCGCCCAGGAGGGTGCCCATATGCCTGCTGTACAATACTTTCCTTATTAGGTATCATTCCTTCCCGATACGTCAAACACTCACGCTTCGCGCTTCTTTCGAACCATCTCTCGCTCGCTGACGTCTCTCTCCCTCTCTTCTACTTTTTTATCCCTCTCGCGCTTCCAAGTTCTAGAACTCCTCTCGTGTGTATTAAGTACTGGGCTGAGCTGCCCGTCTATCCATCGAATTCCCTCTCCCCAGTTCTCTCTCGTCTCGTGATCCGACTCCGGCATTTAGACGCGACACAGCGGTCGCGGGTGTAAAACTAGTCGAGTAGCAAGTGAGGAGAGCGCGTCGAGTCGCGTTTCGATAACGTGTAAGAGTTTCATTAGTCTCGGCGGCCTAACTACGTTATACAGACCACCTCCGTCGTCCTTCACCGAGCCCTACGTCCATCTCGACCACCCGACCTCCCTGCATCAGGACGAGTACGTGTTGTGTGGGTTTGTCGTCGCCACGCACGTCTTCTCTCCGACAAGTGGTGACCACCGCAGGGGGTTCTTTGCACACTTGTAAGTGTGTTTGGTCTCGGACGTGCTTACTACTAGGTTCTAGGACGGCTTCGACGAACGTGTTGACGAGCACGCCGTGCGTAAACGCGAAACGACCCCAATCGAGGCAGACCAGATCTTTGTTGATCGAACGCGCTATCAAGATCTGGCCGCCGGAATGTCAATCCCCGACTCCTCCGACACGAAGTGGACGCAGGACGTGTCTTCGTCCCTCATCTTCATGCAGCGACCGCCTATGGTGCTGCCAAGAACAAAGTACGCACCCGAGTTCAACGGAAAATGCTTACAAGATTTTCTAGATGCCTTTGAAGACGTGGCGAACGCGTCGCGGCTGACCGACAAGGAGAAGTGCCGACGAGTAGTACAGTTCTGCACAGACAAGGTGAGGAAGGTACTCATATGCATGAGCGAGTTCGAGGGCAGCGACTGGGAAGCGGCGAAGAAACGGATGACCAGAACCTACGGTACAGGTCAGCGAAGCGAACTCGGGGCGGCAGCAGAACTCCGGGCGTTAGTCGAGAAGTACCGGAAGAAGAAGAAGATCACTAACCTCGAAGGGTACTACAAATACGTACAACGATTCACCAAGTACGCGGGTAATCAGGTGAAGAACGGTAAGATGGGGCAGTCTGAACATGACTACTTGTTCTTCAGAGGGCTATCGAAGCCGATCCGGAACACAATTTATCCGAAGCTCAAGGAAGCAATGGGTAAGGTACCGACGATCGCAGTGCCAGCATCATTCAAGCAAGTCGAAGACGCGGTATACGACTACTTTACAGGCGACAGCTACAATCGCGAATCCGACAGCTCGGACGACGACGACGACGACAGCGACGCGGAGTCGACGCCAAGCAGTGACGACGATAAAGGCAAGTCGAAGAACAAGACGAAGGGTCAGGCGGTAAAACAGGGTGCGGATGCTAACCTTGCTGCGCTCCTCATCGACAAGTTCGACAAGACACTTGTGGAGAACCAGAAGACGCAAACGGCACTCCTGGAGAGCCAGGCGAAGCAGCAAGCAGCGTTGGCAGACACGCTGGCGCGGATGCAGATAGGCTTGGTAAGTGCGTCTACAAACGCGACACAGCAAGGACAACACGCGCACTCGTGCTATATGTGCGGCAAGGAGGAAGGTAAAGACCTCGACCATCGATTCGGCATGGGCCACTGCCCACTCACGACGAAGTGGCTTATGGACGGTACGTTAATCTACAACATGCAAGATAGACTCGCATACGCGGACGGAACTGATCTGCCGAGCGGACGTCGCGTCGCCGGAGGCATTTCTACGTTGATCCAACAGCGACTCGACATACAGGCCGGGAAAGGCAAGGCACGCGACGCACCACCGCTGCATTATCCGCACCTCGCATCATCAGCGCATCCGATCGAGTTGTACATGGACAACGAGCCCATGCTCGGCGGTAACGTCTTCGCTATCTCGTCGGAGGATGTTTACGCTTTCCCTGCTACCAGGTCGCAGACTCGAATGCAAGGCTCGGTCACGGACGACGAACAAGAGAAGGACGTGCCTCCAGAGGCACTCAAGACGATGAGGTTCGACTTCCGGCACGTCACCGACAATGAAGACAGCGCGCCGCCGAAAGTAAAGCCACCCCACCCGTTCAAGTCCAGCAGCCCGCCCCGACGCAACTCACCAAGGACAAGACGAAGACGGCGCAAGCAAGTGATCCGACTCCGCCGAATGTCGACACCGAGTACGGATTGATGAAACACGAGTCACAGGAGAAGCAGTGGCGGAAGGAGGATGGAGACGACTCAGTAAGCCAGATGCGTACAAACAGGGCTCACGAATGTTCCACTCCAGACGTGCAAGACTCGGTCACTGCAGAGCAAGTACAGGAGAAGATACTCGACACGATGATCACCGTCCCTCGGAAGACGATCCTCGCGATCGCACCGGAGCTTCTTGAGAAGTGCATCTCGGCCATTATGATGACGCGACACGAAGAACACACGACGATGGCACAAGTGAGTGACTGGAACCCAAATGCTGACGACGTCATAGGCACAGCAGAAGACGACGACAACGCCCCTCAAATGGCTGCCATGTTGCGTATGGACGAAGATCAGTTGGAGCGAACCATACACAGGTATATGGCTGCATTCACAACCGGACAGCGAAGATCCGTCGCAACGACCTGTGGTCTCGCTCACTGGCAGGCTCCGTCGATGTCTACCCCGTTACGCTCACTGTTGGAGACTGATCATGTTGTACAGGTCGTCCTGAGCACGATCGAGCCCACCGACGTATGGCACCTTGACCGCGGACTTGTCAGCAAGATACTCAAATGGCCGGATTGCAAGCTAGTTACGGAAGTTTGCAGGTTCCTCGGTACAGCAGGACTCGTAGGACGTCGGTGGATCACGAAGTTCTCTCTCTTCGCTAAGCTTTTATCGAGGCTGTGTAGGACTACTGACGTGCCCGTCTCTTTCAGCGACACAGAACGGAAGGCACCGAATGACGCACGAGATGTACTAGGTAGAGCTACTGACAACCTTCGCAAGAGTCGCCGGCGCACCATCAACGACTTCAAGTTCACGCGCAAGCATGCCCAGCGACTCGAGAGTGGCGAGTTCGACCCCGGCGCATGGGTACTACTCGTGCACGAGACCTGGATTGGCGCACTACACGGTAACAAGGGCAGGCAGCGTTGGGCGGGACCATACGTCGTGCACGAGCGGTATCCTTCCGGCTCTTACTCCCTTTGCGAGATTGACGGCGCTGTTGGTAATGTTGCGGCGAGTTGCTTACAGATTTTCTTCTACAGGTCAGATCCACAGGCTCGCTGCACTGTTCTCGACGAAGACGACCCGCGTTTTGAAGACGTACCACGCGGAAGACTCTGGCGCACGCCGAGCCCATTCACCATCCGCACGTTGTTCGACGCCGACGACGAAGGCTGCGAGCCCGGACTCTGGAATGTAGTGGACCTCCATTTCGGCAGTGACTCGGTCGTCGAGCACACGAACGTAGTCGACTCGACCTCTTCGCTCTCGTCAACAAGTACTACGCACCATGGTACTGAAGTGGTCTTGGGGTCAAGACTGAAGCCACCCCCACTTGTGGAAGGGAAACCCATCCCACGTCTTTCTTTTTCTTTTTCGTTACAATTCCCTACGTTACTCTCGACTCTACCGGCGCGCCTGCGACGAACCGGAAGGCCGCGACGCGGACCCGCTAGTAGGACGAGACGAGCGCCGCAACGCCGAGTGCCGCACCTGCTGGGGGACCAGGTCGCGATTAGTAAATAGCACCGCGTGCGAGCTGCCAATCACGTACCGAGACAAGGGTTCGTCAGTCAACGCTGGAAGGGGACTCAAGGGACGTCTGTCGCCCAGGAGGGTGCCCATATGCCTGCTGTACAATACTTTCCTTATTAGGTATCATTCCTTCCCGATACGTCAAACACTCACGCTTCGCGCTTCTTTCGAACCATCTCTCGCTCGCTGACGTCTCTCTCCCTCTCTTCTACTTTTTTATCCCTCTCGCGCTTCCAAGGTTCTAGAACTCCTCTCGTGTGTATTAAGTACTGGGCTGAGCTGCCCGTCTATCCATCGAATTCCCTCTCCCCAGTTCTCTCTCGTCTCGTGATCCGACTCCGGCATTTAGACGCGACACAGCGGTCGCGGGTGTAAAACTAGTCGAGTAGCAAGTTGAGGAGAGCGCGTCGAGTCGCGTTTCGATAACGTGTAAGAGTTTCATTAGTCTCGGCGGCCTAACTACGTTATACAGACCACCTCCGTCGTCCTTCACCGAGCCCTACGTCCATCTCGACCACCCGACCTCCCTGCATCAGGACGAGTACGTGTTGTGTGGGTTTGTCGTCGCCACGCACGTCTTCTCTCCGACAACGTACCCATCACAAGTGATCCCAGGATCCAGCTCTCCATCAGACGGGTCACCTTGATGCGCAGGCCGTCGTCTAAGTACGTTGGATCCGCCTCTCCATCTCTTCGCCGTCATTGGGCCGCCACCTAGCCGCAGGGCACGGACGTGCGCGACGATCACGCCACAGCGACCCACGTCGCGACCGGATATGACATGGCCATCCATCCTTGTCTGGTACGCGAGACGATGAGCGCCCGCTATTCACGATCGCCGTGGCCCGAGTATTATCCTGAGCACCGGAATGCCTTGACATGCCCGTGACAAGCGATGACCCACGCCACAGGATAAAAGACCGCTATTGCAGCGACGAGGGTTCCAAGACATCCATCAACGAACTCGGGGCCTTCTGCGCGGTACGGATAGCAGCGATCAGCTCAACCGCCCCACCGTCCTCCCTAAACTTGCCCTCAGCTATAGAGAGCAGGTTCACGAGCTTGACGAGCAACCGGTCCGCGGTGGTACTCGTGCCGAGCTGGTACTCCAGCCGTGTAAGCATGCGCCGAGCGACGTCTGATGCATCCTTCAGTCGATGATGGATGGTCAAGTGCTTGACGACGACGAGGTACGCGGCGAGGTTCGGGGGCGGAAGGGCTGCCCTCGTATTCGAGGCCGCGGTAACGCTGTCGCCGCGTGCGGCTTCCGCGTCGGCTGTCGCCTCCATCCGCCCAAAGAGCTGCATCAACTTGTCCGTGTCTCTACGCTCCGCGAAAGAGCGGAGGAGGGAAACCATGGTCTCCACGCCCGGAGTGATGCCCAGTCGATACATGTCGGCAACGACCCGCGCAGCGGCGGCAGAGTTCGTCTTCCCGAAGGCGCGTACGAACACGTTGAAGTGGGCATCGTCGTGGATGTACGACGGTGGAACCGGCACCGGGTAGGGTGACTCTGTAACCGCAGGCTGAATGCCAGCAGGGAGCACGGAGTGGCTGTCGGAAGCCGAGGAGCTTCCTTTCTGCGCGGACTCGGGCGGAGACAGACTCTTGACCTCTCGAGTGGCCCTCACTTGATCCAGTAACTCCGCATACAGCCGATGCAACGACATCGTGTGCTTAACCTCCTTGACGCAAGCGCGCCAGACAAGAGCCGTGTGGTGGGACGATGGCCACATCTTGCGCTTGACGGGGAATAGCGATGTCATAGCCTGTGCATGCCATATCGACACAGGCGGCGGGAACCAATCGGGGATGCGGCCATCGCGTATAAACCACGCATAGTGGGATGCCTGGCGAGGGATGCCGACCATACGGAAGTTGTTGCAGAAGATGAGGCTGACGGCCTGCGAGCAGCGGCACGAATAGTAGAAGTGCATCTCGGCCAGGGCCCAAATCATGGCGGTGTGCGTGTTTCTGTATGCTCTCTTACGCAGGATTGATAGGATGCGAGGGTGGCGGAAGCGGGTGCAGGCGGACACCACGTGCATGAGGACACTGGGGTTCGGGCAAGAGAGGGTAGATATGTGTCGGCGTAGGATGCGGAGTGCGCCCGCTAGGAGGGGTCGCGTGAAGAAGTTGTTGTGGTCGGACAGTTGGATAGGGGTGTTGCGAAACTCTAGAGATCGGGCTGGTCGCAGACTCGGAGGGGCTGGGCTACCTGCTGGCCTGTCTTCGTAGAGCTGCTTCACAAGCGACAAGTTCTGAGTATCCAAGGTACTCTCCAGCTTGTCGATGATGCGCGAGTAGATGAGCGCATGCACCGGAATGTTTCTCTGCCGCGCCTTCTGGAGCATAGTGATCGCTACGTCAGTCCGGTCCGACTTGCAAAATTGATTAATTGCAGTTCCATAGGCTTCCTTCAGCATCCTGTTCATCCTGGCTCTTGCGCGTTCCGTGGACAGAGGGATCCGCGTATTGGTGTTGCTAGATGGGCGCGATTGTTCATAGAAAGATATGGTTCCGAGTCCCTGAACGGATTTGTCATACAACGCATCAAGGAAGCGTACGCTGTCCGCAGGTTCCGCGAGGCGGACGAAGTCGCGCACAATATCAACGTGTCCGAGCAGGAAATACCCTTTGCCTACGTTCGTGAGGACGAACACCTTCAGCAGGGGAAGATCGATGATGGGGTTCTGAAGTAGCGCGTCCAAGACGGGATTCGTCCGATAAGACAACGGACGTTTGGCCGAGACGTGAGGAATGTATGCATACCACTTCTGGAAGGCAGTGCGTCGCTCATGCAGGCTGGAGTACTTCGTGCGAAGGACGTGCAGCGCTGCGTCCAAAAACACTGGTGAGCCGCTAGGTCGGAGCCGCATTTCTTGCATTTCGTTCCGTAAGCGTTCCGCTTCCTTGAATTTTCCTTGGGCAATGAGCTGCGCTGGCATGTCGGCCGTCGCACGAGGTGTATGCGTCTGAGCAGCACCTAGCCAAGCTTGATAGTCCTCCTCAGCCCCTTCAAAAATCGACGAGTCGGCGGGGAGCTTCGGGTAATTCATCTGTTTCATGGCCTGCATCGTAGGTGGTTCCCCGGAAAGGCTGAAGTATTGCTTTGACGATGCGGCGAGTGACCACGCGCGAGGACGCAGAGACGCTGCCAAAGTCTCCAGAGACGTGCGTGCGAGGAGTGAACGCCATGATGCGCCTCTGAGTGCATACGTAGCCATACACTGTCGCCGTAACGAATGAGACGATACATTTCTTCAGATTTAGCATGCGAAATATGCGTACCACGCAACCCGCTAGCTAATTTGCCTCTCTCGCTGAGATCTCCGGAAGCACCGGAATTTCAATCAATCCTACGTGAGTATTGCGCTCGCTGAAACTGCCTGGATAGCTGAGGCATTCGGGAGGACGAAGCGTGCCAGCGGAGGACGACGAGTACGTGGGCAAGTGGGAGGCCGTAGCAGATCGACGCCCACTGTGACTTAGGGAAGAGTGTCACGTGTAACACAGTCACGACGCGCCAGTCACGCCAGTCGTCGCGCCCATCTGCAGCGCTCGCCGTTCGTTCAATCGTTCAAACCTCCAGCCAAGCTCCCCTTCCTCCCCGGTCTGACTGGCTCATCTTTTTCATTTTTTGGCCTAAGCGACGGTGTTGTTTTAACTACCGTCTGCTCTCTTGACTGCAATGTCCTCGCCGAAGCGTACCGCCTCGCCACAACCAAGCAATCCCGACGCGAAGCGGATCCGACTGACTGTAAACCAAGGGGCGACACCAGTCGACCCTGACAATGCTGCTGGAAAACGAAGCGAACTAGAACCCGTCCAAGGAGGAGACGTCGGGAATCTTCCCCCGCCAGATGCGCCTGCAAGTTCAAGCGAGCCTGCCTCAGCGGTCCCTGCGCGCTTGCTAAAGGGGAAGGAGAAGAGGATGGCGGAGACGTGTCCATGGCGGAGGGCGGCGACGCGGGTGACGAGGAGGCAGAGTCAGCAGATGAGAACGACGAGGAAGACCCCGCTCAGCTTGAGGCGACAAGGCTACGACTCGAGGACCAAGCACGAAAGTATCTCGCTGCCCAGACGCACGAAGTCATTATACCCTCGTATTCCGCTTGGTTCGACATGTCCAAGATACACCCAATCGAGCGGCGTGCCCTTCCCGAATACTTCAACTCTCGGCACCGATCGAAAACGCCTTCGATCTACAAAGACTACCGCGACTTCATGGTCAACACATACCGGCTGCGACCCACCGAGTATCTCACTGTGACTGCGTGTCGCAGAAACCTCGCAGGAGACGTATGCGCGATCATGCGGGTGCACGCGTTCCTCGAGCAATGGGGCCTCATCAACTACCAGGTACGTGCTCGCTGCCTTCTGAACGTGTATCTGGGACGAATTTTATTCTAGATCGACCCGGACCAACGGCCAGCTGCTCTGGCACCCCCCTTCACCGGCCACTTCCGTGTCATTCTTGACACGCCACGGGGCCTCCAATCCCTGCACCCAGGGACGAAGCCACCAAATCCACCAAATCCAGCCGGCGGTGCGCCCACCGTCAACGGCGCAGCGAAGCCAGCATCTACCCCTACTCTCGCCTCCCTCGAGCTCCGCTCGTCTATCTACCAGACCACCTCAAAATCGTCACGCGAAGTGAGCGCAGGCGAAGCGAGCGCCCTCGCCAGCACCGCGAACGGACTTAACGGCGTCGAGCGGCAGATAGCGGTCAAGTACCAATGCGACACGTGTGGGGTCGACTGTACGGCGGAGCGGTACCACTCGCTCAAGCAGAAGAACTTTGAGCTCTGCCCGCCATGCTATCTCGACGGGCGCTTCCCCTCGACGATGTTCAGCGGTGACTTTGTGAAGCTCACAGCCGCGTCGAACGCAGGCGGCCTACAACACGGGAGTGGCACTGGTGCGGACGACGACTGGACGGACCAGGAAATCTTGCTCCTGCTCGAGGGTGTGGAGATGTACGACGACGACTGGTCGGCAGTCGAGGAGCACGTCGGCTCGAGATCTGCCCAGCAGTGCATCCGCAAGTTCTTGCAGCTCCCGATCGAGGACCCGTATGTCCAGACGGAGGGTAACATGGGCCCATTGCGATATGCGCGGCTGCCCTTCGAGCAGGCGGACAACCCCGTCATGAGCGTAGTCGCCTTCCTGGCTGGCGTGATTAACCCTGGTGTTGCTGCGGAAGCAGCTAAGACAGCTCTCCACGCGCTCACCGATGGCGATAAGGAGGAGACGGAGGAGGGCAAGACGGAAGAGAAGCCTGCGGAGGGCGGAGAGACGGAGGTAGGGAATTCGAGTGCCGAGAAGTTCAGCGAGGATCGTATGGACGAGGACGCGCCAAAAGATACATCTTCCGCTCAGCCTGGTGAATCCACCGGCGGCGAGAATTCAACGGCACAAGAGACGTCTGGAGACTCGATGGTTGTCGACTCTGAGTCCGCACCGCCAAAACCCACTGCCACCCTTCCTCACTCGAAGGTGCAACGCGCAGCGGCTCTGGCACTCAAGTCGTCCGCGAAAGCAGCAAACGCGCTCGCAGACGCCGAGGACAATCAGATCAAGTCCACGATCGCGACGCTGATCAAGCTCACGCTGACCAAGCTCGAGCTGAAGATGGCGCAGTTCGAGGAACTCGAGGAGCTGCTCGAGGACGAGCGGCGGAGTCTCGAAAGCGCACGGATGGCGCTCGTCAGCGAGCGGGTCGGCCTGCGGAAGATGCTCGAGAACGTGCGCTCTGAGCTCACAAAGAACGCGAACGGCGGCTCGCCTGCCAACCTCGTCGGTGCTGCCCAGCAGGCACAGACGGCCTTGGCTACGAACGGTCAAGGCGCGAGAGTTAACGAGGTGCCTGCTGGTACGCCTCTGGACGCCACCTCCGGTCCTATCCCTGGTGGGAACGTCGCGCAGCTGAGTTGATGGGCTTGTTCGCTTTGCTTGTGTCTGTCATGTCGTAAATATGCTCTTATTCCTCTCGGCTGCCTGTCTACTGTATATAAGTGTGTACATACGCCCTCGTAAGTAGTGCCTAATCTTATTGTTTCTCCGAATGCTTGGCAATCTTGGGTTTAAGTGTGTGGTGACACCACGCGCAGCTGACTCGAGGCTGAGGAAGATCATGGTGGTACGTAGTCCGTCTAGCAACTGTCTCGTGTTATTGACTACTAGTGGGGCAGCCTCAAAAAAGTATGGTATGATACATAAGTAGGTTGAGCGATCGAGCAACATGATGGCGAAAGCATTCGTATCAGGATAGTAGCATTACGACGATTATACGTGTAAACAGCAGTTCCGCTGGTGTTCAAGAAAAGTTCGGTATCACTGTCAGTAAATGTAGATCACTATATGCACTCCCAGTCCTGTAACCAAGTTGGATTCCTGCTCAATTGTTGACGTCGGGATTCTTGCGTCCGACGGTCTGTCACAGGCCGTCGAAGGGAACGGGCGGGCTGCGGCAGGCGGGGCATGAGCTCGTGAATCTCCAGTGGCGACCGCTGAGCGTCGGTGTCGGGGATGCTCAGGCCTTGGCTGATCTCTGGCACGTCTTCGGATATGTCCGGTGTGGCAATGTCCAGTCGTTCGCGCTCTGCGGCGAGAGCGCGGAGGCTGAGAAGGAGGTGAGCGCCCTGGGGAAATTATCTTCAAGTCAACGGTGCGAATGACACAGAAGTGCGTAGAGAACGTCGTTACCGAGAATGACAATATTGCGGATAGCCAGCTAATCGACGGTCAGCCGATTTCACCATGAGGAGAGCAGATACGCACACAGTCACCATGACTCCGAGGAATGTGTTGGACGTGTAGGGCGAGATAATACACAGAATTAAGGCGACTGGTGGGTATTCACGGTCAGAAGCAACTCGAAGGACACGTCATAGGTTGACTTGCCGAGTATGCTGGAGCACATTCGAAGTTAGCATCTTTTGTAAGCATGAACACAGAAGTTCGACGCCTCACACAAGGTAATATATGGTGCCGTCCCGAAGTACGCGCAGCAGGATGGGAAGCTCCCCTAGTGGTCGATACGAGTAGACTTTGATAGCCATCAGGACAAAAAGGAGGGCTATCCATTTCGAGCGTCAAAAGGCCTCGATGAGGACAATATGCCGACGTCATATAACAGACTTACTCTCAAATCCTGCTAAAGGTAGCCTGGAACGCATTCGTTTATTAAAGCCATGTTGAGAAGGAGTATGCGACTCACCAGGATCCGTGAAACCATGAAGGGGTCGGTGGGTAGAAACACCCCTCGATCGGCCAACTTGAAGGATACGGCATGATCGCCCAGAACATCTCCTTGTAGCCCACGCTGCTCATGACAAGAACGCACTGTAGGCCAAATATTGAGTGATCAGCTATTTACGCGGTTATTGAATCTGCTTTCTAATCCTGACCATAGTTTCCACTGTGATCACCGGAACTATGTAAGTGCACTCCACGAGCAGGAGCTATGAACTGCACCAACCAGTAAATGCACTGCTGAGAATCAAGGAGACTAGCCAGTCGATCAGCATCTGACTGCGCTCAAAAAGATGCGCGAAACCTTACTCAATCGACTTTGCCCGTACAGCGCGTAAATCCTAAGCATCAGGCTGAACTCGACGCAAAATACCAGGGTATAGAGAGCACTGGGTTCGGGCGTGAGCGTTGCCTATGCTTGTGTTACCTTTCCATGACTTACATGGCAGTCCATATCAGCGCAGCTCGACAGCTATGTCGACATTGAGCGCTATAATCAGTAGAGAAAATCTGGAGCCGTACTATAGTCTTGGTATGTCAGCGCAATTCATGCTACAAGTACATTTTGTCAGCACGAGCATCTGAATCAAAACGAATGTCTTCGACTGACCATTGTACGATAAGGCCGAAATATCGTGAAATGAAGTAAAGAAGCTTCGGGACCGTATCCGCAGAACTCCGAGGGCGAGGTTAGACGAGGCGAACCAATATGCAAGGTTCTCACCCTACCTCCAGATCAGATCCACCTATGAACGCGAGCTTCAGAGTAGGTTCCAGCATGATTACCGATGCACGAACCTCGTCCTCAAGCGATAACACATAGTCGTAGGCCAGCCATGTCAATGCTGCAGCTGAGATAAAGGAGTCAATTGAGCATTATTAAGATTAATGGCGTGTAAACGGCCTTACCCGCGTGAAGCCCCCGGTCGTGCGCGAGATTAGCAAGTATTGCCAGGGTGTCTCCCGTGGTACTCATAGGCGCATACGCAAAGCCAGGGCCTCGCAAGTGCTACGGACAGTGGTGTGTTGAAGCAAAGTCAACAGCGGGGACCATCGAAGCCTGGGTACTGGGGTCGCCGTCGTGGTTGACACGAGAAGGTACTCTTGCCTGCGGGCGCGAATGCCGCCGCCGACATGCTAGTTGACAGCATCGTAACACGGTGGCTAGCTGTATGCGTGGCTGTTTTCCCGAGATCAGATTTGTAGGACGCATTAACCGAAGTCGTCCCCAAGGGTTAGCCGCCCATATTCAATTTGACTGGCTTTGGACTGAATGGCGGTAGTTCGGCGAATCTAGAAGTTCTCCAGATGCCGCCCATGTTCCCAGACGGGCACCCGCTGTGTGGAGTGGAAGATGCCGGCGGCTGGAGCCTTCAAGTTTGGTATCGATACTGTACAGACCCACTGCGATGTTGCAGGTAAATGCAATCCTAGTGGAAATACTCGAACGCGGTCAGCTACTGCAAGACGCATGTGCCGAGAGAGCCACTCCTCCGAAGACTTCGCGAACCGATAACGTATTGTTCATACAAGGTTTGACATCGCATTCACGGCGATTCGGCCTTCTACCGCTCGTCGGACGTCCGCACCAGCGTGGCCGTACTCAGGCTGTCCGGAGCTGCTCGACGTGTCCGCCATAATAGTGCTAGTACGCATATAGAAACCGATATTTTCGGGACAGGCGCGAGAACCGAATCCCAGGCTCAGGCGCACGAAGGCAGCGCCTTGAGTCCCTCGACGCAGACGCATGCAGTAAAGAGCGACGGACATCTATGATGAACGAGAACACTGAGTGAGCAATACATCTTTATTGACGAACCTTTGCCCCCGCCCTGTGCCTCTGGGACTGTTCGACTTGTAGGTTGGTGTCCATTGTCAAGGACTGCATCCGAGTACACGTCCCCTCGGGATTGAGCGACTAGAATGTGATGGCAGCTGGCAGCTGTTTGGAAGCCTAATAAGCGTGGAACATCGGTTTAGCAGACCCACAGCAGCCATTTAAACGGCTATGTAAGTGACAAGCGGACGACGCCCAATGGGCGCGGTGGCGACGGTGCGCCGGCGTGTTGTACATTTGGTCAGCTTACTATAGTGCCAGAAAGGCGAAATCGTTCAACAAACACGGCGGTATTGAATGAAGATACAGCAAGTACTCCATGTGGGTCCATACCACTGTCTGCGTAATCTTCAGTCTTGACGCGGGCGTCGTGACCAGGGCAACTTGCAGTGGAGGCCGAGAGAATGGGTTTCGGTGTCAAGGCCCCTCGTTACCACGATCATCAATAATCGCTGTGCGTGATGCATCACGTCAGAGGTCCAGTTAAGGTCCAGTAGGGTCCGGTGAGCGCTGGCAGGGAAGAAGCAGGCACTACGGGCGAAAGAGACTACTTTGTCCCGCTGACACCTCCGAGTGTATCGTGCCAGGGCCCAGTACTTGCGGTATTCAAACGAGGCGGACGTGCGTCGCCGTCGCCGTCTGAGGCACGTTGATCACTACTACATATGCTGCTGAGCACAGGCGGGCATATCCTCAAATCGTGTTACTCACCCACATGCCTGCCAGCACAGCAGAGGCGGAAATCCTGGGATTATGAGGACTCCGAGGAAGGCAGCCTGAGAGCGCCCACACATCCGGCTAAAGTCTGCTGTCCAAATTGGGAAGGTTTTGAAGTTCGCCGCCATTCCGCCGCCACATGCAAGTCATACTTGATGATGATGGATACTGCATCTATATTCAGGCGTGTGTATTCGTAGTCTATGGGTATAATTCTTATGTACTAATATAGCGGTAGATGGCGGGTTTAGGGGCGCATTCAATGTGTTGAGGGATTCATACGTACCCAGTGGTGTGCGCGTCCGAGTCGCGCGTTTTAATCAGCCGATTCTGCCTGTCCATGATAGGCATGAAACATGTGCGATAAGTTATAGCATGCGGGGGAGAAAACGGAGAAGAGAGAGGGGGAAGACGGTGGTAGTACTGGTACGGTACGGATGGTACGGTCCTAGAGTCGGTGTCCTTCTCTCGAGGTCGCAAGTCGGCATTTCACCCTGGGTGCACGAATTTGTCGCGTGTGATATGAGTAATTGAGTAGAGGGTATTTATATAGGACGGCGCTGCCGTGCAGCAACCACACGATCCGTCACGGTTCTGCGGTGGGTCTGGGTCACCTTCCTCCTCCTCGTTGTTCGCTTCTTCGACTTCTTCCGCGTCTGGTTTCTTCTCCACCCCATCCGACCTCGCGTGATTGTCGTGGAGCTCCCGTCTTATGTAGCCTTCATCGCACCGCTCGCGGTGAGGAATGCTGCGAGTGCCCACATGCAAGCCAAATGCGGGGCCCGGGACAAGACCCCACGGATCGCTGAAAGGTTGAGACTCAGGCTGGCAGTCGAATGCCGCGTCCAAACGTCCCATCGGACATGTACTTACCTGCCTTGCGCTCGTCCACGGTCCAGCCAATGCGTGCATCCAATTTCCAATTATGACATTGTAGTGTTTACTGTCCTCGAGAAATATATATATTACATCGCGTAGTGTGTATACCACGCACATATCACAGTCGTGTGCTACGTGCGCGGTAAGATGATAGGCTGTGAGAGTACCGTATGAAGCGAGCGGCGTTGGTAGGATGTAGGCTAATGTTCTACGTAACTCCATATCCACGAACTGTTACTCTAGTACTTTGCAAGCACCGCGCGTCCGTCTCACGCAGAAAACCGCTGCTCGATGCTGGGGGTGTAGCCTATCGTCGGGCCCACGCCCCTAGGAGACTGCATCGCGTCAAGCCTCCATTCCGCCCGGACACGCTGGCAGATCGCCTTGAACGTGGAGACAGAGCCCTTCTCCAGCACCAAAGCCACGCCCGTCTCGTACCCGAAGAACTTGTCCATCCGCAGCCTCGAGCCCCCGAACGAGCTCGACGGCGCAGGGAGAGCAGTCTGAGAAAGACGCGGGGTGGCAGTGGAGGGCGAAGCGTATTGTTGGCCGGCAGAGGCAGAGGCGAAGTCGACGCGGAAGCGGACCTGCTTGTAGGCGCCGCTAGGCCCTTCCTGGATGTCAGCCGTGCTGCACTTCAGCGTGTACCAGCTGTGGTGGTCCTCGATCATTGAGAGTACGCCACTCTGGTCGAGCAGACGCGCGATCTCGGCGCGAGTGGTGAAGAGGTCCGCGGCGGAGTAGAGCGTGAAGGACTGCACCTTCCAGTGGAACAGATTGGAGAACCAGCCCTTGAACTCGCCCGCCGGAGAGCCGATCATGGAGGACTGCGGCGACATGAGACCAGGAGACCCAACCATGGAGAATGTCGACCTCTTATGCAGAACCGGTGTGCCGTGAAGATCCAGAGCAGGAGCTGAACATTACACAGTGAATGAAGCAAGCCACAAATTACAGAGATCGTCGTCACTTACGTCGGCTCCTTCTGTCCTTCTTCGGCGCCTTCGCAGCCTGAGGCTCGCCGAAGAACACCACATTCCCCATTTCCTTTGCCATAGGCACCGACTGCCCGAAGCCAAGACCACCAGTGTTCGCATGGGAATGCGACCGTGCATGAGGCGCACCAGCGTCCCAGTTCTCCTTGTCATCGATGACCATAGCGCACTGCGCCTCGTTGCTCTCGCTGCGCGACTGTTTGTCACCAAGAGGCTGTTCAGTCTCAATCGGCGCGTCAGTCACATCCATGGGCTCCGGCATGTTGACGTTGGTCGGTGGCGGCGCCGACGGGCGTGCTGCGTTCCAGGAGACGGCTTGCGTGTTGATCATATCGGCATATTGATCAAGGTTCCTCTGCAGACCCGCATCCGGGACCCTCGGAGCGGCGATCATTGGCAGGATGGATGTAGCAGCGGCACGAACAGGAACGGGCGAGTGAATGATACCGTGAGTTGGCGCGCCCATGGACGCCCGGTAACCACGAGCAGGGTCATTGATGTTAGGAGACATGGCGGAAGCCCTCGGGATAGGAATAGGTGCAGAGCCACGTCGCATCGGGGCCGCGGGCCCGCGGGGCTGGTATGGAAGGAAGAGACTTTGGGCATGAGCTTGCGTCGAAGGCTGAGGCGAGAGCGGCCCCTTCATGCCTGTCTGGAAGAGCTGGCGAGCGGGAGCGGCGAAGCTCGTCTGAGGTCTCGCAACAGAGGGCGAGAACGCAGAAGCAGGCCGAGTTCTCTGCGGGCGGGGGCCAACAGGAGAAGGTGGATGCGCTCTGGAAGGCGACCGTTCCATGGGCACATCAGTCGTAACAACAAGAGCACCAGGCTTGGGCGATGGAGTCCTAGACGGAGGCGCGGGGGCAGCACGAGTGGACCGCAAGAACTGGTGCTGGGGTATTGCTTGGCGGTTGAGATCCTGAGGCTCCAAGTGAGTCGACCGTCGCGAGCCCGGCGTCGAATATTGCTTTGTGACCACTTTGCCAGTCACAATCAGGACCTCGTCAAGATCCATGAAAATGCCGTGTTCTTCCATCGTCCGCTCGCGATGCTTCTGTAGCAGGAAGTAGAATGCTTTAGCCAGAGTACCCTGCCCAGGTGGGCTCAGCAGATCAGCCCGAATTCCGTCTACGTCTGCGTGGCGACCCCAGATGACGCAGAGAGACTCAAATAGATCACGGTCGATGTGCAGAGCAGAGGGCAGCGGTTTAGCAAGCTCAGATACAGGCGGCGCAGGGACATAGGTAATGCCAGGGGTCGAGCCTTCGAGCCAGGGATGCGTAAGTATCTCAGCCATCTGCAAGGTGCCTCGTCAAAGGAGAGCAACACGGACGAATAGAGACATACAGTGATGCGCTTCTGGACATCGACCACAAGCATGCGCGACAGAAGGTCCTTGGCCATCGGGTCGATATAGGTCGGCATATCGTACTTGCCCACCTTGACCTTGCTGAGGAGGGTCCTGACATTCTTGTCGTCGAAGGGCAGCCTTCCAGTCAAAAGTGCATAGAGAATCACACCGCAACTCCATATATCAGTCGCCGTCCCAGTGTACTTGTGCCCGTTGACGATCTCCGGACTCGCGTAATGCGGGCTGCCACAGCTAGTCTCGAGTTGCAGAGAAGGAGGAGCGAACGCCGCCATTCCCCAGTCAGCGATCTTGATCAGGGGAGGGTTGATTGAGTGGATGAGGATGTTCTCGGGCTTGAGGTCGCGGTGGATGATAGAGAACGTGTGCGCATAGTTCAGACCATAGACGACTTGCTTGAAGTACGCCAAAGCCTCCAGAGGGGGAAGCTTGCCGCGGTTGACAAGGAAGTCAAACAGCTCACCGCCTTCGACATACTCCAAGATGAGATAGAGCTCCTTGTCGCCTTCGTAGACGTCGTAGATGCGCATGATGTTCGGGTGGTTCATGAGCTTCATCATAGTGATCTCCCTGTCAATGCCGAGACGCTGCTTGTCTAGCTTCGCCTGAGCAGCGGCGTCCGCACGGTTCTTGACGAACGGTTGCAGTGGAAGGATCTTCACGGCGGCGAGCTGTCCAGTCCGACGGTGCTTGGCGATCTTGACATGCCCGCTCGCGCCCTTGCCGACGCACTCGCCAATGACCCAAGGTCCGACGTACTTCGCGTCGTCCGGAAAGTCAAATGCACCGCTACCCGCCGCTGCTTTCTCTTTCTGCCATCGAGTTCCAAGAGGGGTGTGGTATTTGACCGGAGGCGCGCGAGGGGGGCTGTCCGGAGCCATTGTAGTCATGGTTGCCATCAAGTAACTAGATGTGGTTTGTGAGGTAGATTATAGGAGTAGTAGAATAGAATGTGTGCAGCTGCGGCCGTCGTCGTCGTCGCGGTACCCAGACGGCAAACAGACCTAGAGGAAAGAGAGTGAGGAGGCTGGCTCGTCAGTCAACGCGAACCTCAACGAGACGTAGGCGCCCGCGGCGGACCGCCAAACAACGCGCAAACAACCAAGCACGTGCACTCAAACAATGCTGCATCCCAGTTGCATCCGAGTCTGAGACTCTGAGCTACTTACTTATGCGTACGTATAGGCAACGTATTGCTACTCAGCCCCCGGTTCCTATGTAGGGAAGCAGTCCTGAGAGCCTAATGATGGTGGTACTACATCATATGCTCCGCACACATCTGTCATTATAAGCGTAATACAACAGTCCCTCCACCATAAGCAATGTAATATACTCCAGTCCATGCCGCACCGTAAACCCCCACAACAGCTATAGGATAATCACCAACAGCAGAAGTATCATAAGGACGACAATCAGGATGATGATGCACCAGCCAGATTTCGTCTCTGTCAATCATTTACGACGTGAACGACGTTCCTAGACTATCACTCCGCAGCGCACCTTCTGTTTGCCGTATGAATCGCTTCATTCGTGTCATGGCAGAATCCAGCTTGGTACCTGAGCTGTCGACGCCCTGTTCCAGGTCGTCAAGCATCCTTCGCGTAAGGTGCACTTAATCATTCAGTGGCGTCAGCATAAGGCGAATGTACGTACTCATTGTGTTCCATGATCTCACGGCCCATGAGGCCTGCTTGCTCGGCCAGGGTGGACAAGGTACCGCCAATGGAGTCCAATGTCTGGTCTTGTTGACGCATAATCATCTGGCATCGGCCGTGATGCATGTCAATTTCGAATGCGAAGACGACAATACAGGACAACACACGGACCTGCTGCTCTTGCTTCGCCCATTCTGCCTGGTCGTCGCCAGGGGCAGGTGATGTCGCGCGGCTGCTGAGGCGAGATGAGGGTGCAGGCAAGCCGATCTGAGAATGTGGTCTTGAGCGTCTTCCTTGGGTATCCGAGTCGACTTCCGCTCTCATCGTCTGTCATGGTGCTGCGTGTCAGCAGCGAGTCAATGAAGCTCAAAGGTGAAGACATCATGACGGCGCATACCTCGATCTCGCGTCGCACATGACCAACGTATTTCTGCCTCTCCATAAGCTCCGACTCCTCCAGGCCGAACATCCGCGCGCCCGTCTGCTCGACGATTCTGGGATGGCCTCAGTAGACAGCTTACTACAATACATGGGCACTGACCTCACGCTCTCCTCCAAGTCCTCAAGATCGGCCTCAAGGGCCGCAAGAGTGGCCTTCACTATAGAACGCATGGCACGCGTCAAGTCAGTATGTACAGTGCTCGACTCGGGACTGGCTACATACCTCGTTCCTCGCCCATACGAGCTCCTCGCTGTCGTCTGTCGCGGTGCTCCGTATCCGTAGATATGACGCGCGCAATGTAGATGCGGTCTGCAAGGAGCTCTGTATTTCCTGCTGGACGGCATGGTATGGTCCGTAGACATCTCGCTGTGAGTTAAGCGTCGGCCCGTTGCGCGTTCGCGCAGTAAATAGGTGGAAGGAGTGTATTGCGACGGAATTTCCACGCCCAAGTGCTGTAGCACGGATTGAGTACGCAGCGGTGAAGATATCGAGGCAAAGTGAAACGGAGGTAAGGCTGGTATAAGACTGAATGACACGGTCAAGTGAGGGCGCGGAGAGTCTGACGCTGGGCACGCGTCGCACGTGCTGTGCTTCTCGAGCCTGTGCCACCGCCGCGAGGCCGCCACTCTATTCTGCCCGCCACAGACAAGTTGCGGCCTCAAAATCATCCTCGACTCTCTCATTCTCCCTCCATCGCCTACACCACATACCCCTACGCCGATTTTCTCCCTTCCACGCACCCGGCAATGCAAGCATACCCAGCACCCGCACGCCTGCACAGTTACACAACTCAAAGAGACAGCTACTCGGCAACCAAGCGCAATCCCACCCGCATGGCGCACCGCGCCAGGCGCGACGGCCAACGGCAAGAGAGCAGGGCCCGCAGCAGCGAAGGGGAGCAAGATCATGCTCAGCCAGCTCCCGATGGATGTGGCCGAGAACGAAGTCGAGGTACGCCCGTGTTCCCCTCTGTCCCGCGTGCCACCGGGAGGATGGCGAGTCCGAGAACGTGGAGGCAAAGGATGAGCACTGATGGACTGCGATCCGGTGCAGATACTCTTCGCGAAGACGGTCGGCCCCGTGAAGGACACGTTCATTGTGTACAACTCGCAAGGAAGAGTAAGGGCATGGCAGTCGTCGCATTTGGAAACCGGAATCCGCGGCCCTTGCGAGGGAGAAGTATAATGGAAAGATCGTTGATGGCCGTGAGTGTCAATATCCCGTCCTCAATTATCATATTCTCTCCAATATCATTTCGGATGATGTCTTATGTATCTGACATCTTCGGCCAAGCTCACTCATTGGGTTATTCGCGCAGGTCGACCGATCAAGATTGAAATCATCAAGGACGACAATGAGATACCCTCCGCCGCGCCCGAGAAGAAGTCGTTGTCACTGCTCGAACGCATAGGTCAAACATCCAAATCCGTACATGCTGCTCCCGGGGCTCAACGAACAGCAGCCAAGGCGCCAGCGTAAGTGCCCCCTCTTATACTGACGTCTGAGTTCCACCAACCTACACCGGTACGCTGCAGACAACCGAAGGCCACGAAGGCCACCCAGAAAGCTGCCCCGAAAACTGCAGCAGCCCAACGGCCAATATTCGCGGGGAACGCGAAGGCGAAGCTGCGGACGAAAAAGGGGCCGAAGCGGATTCAAAAGCAGCAACAGCGGAAGGTAGTCACGGCGGAGCAACTCGACCAGGAGATGGAGGACTACCGGGCGAGCACGGATACCGTATGACCCCCGCTGACTACACTCTCGAGTATCCGTCGTACGCCTCCCCCTGCTATACCACACTCTGGCTCTCTCGACTCGGTTATGATGTCACGCAAACTCACGCCACGTCTCCATCCCTTGTGCTTTCCTCCGGCTCGTCGTTGCTGTTAGTCGTCATCTTTGTACACTACTCGTCCACTATGCAAACAACATCGCTTTTTGCTTGCCGCTCTGGAGTACACAGTGTCGTTGACGGGCGTATCACCCGGGGGGGAGGCAGGGCGCGTTGACAGGAGTTCGGTCATTATATGGACATCGTAAGAATTGTGAAGGTTCCCTCGATGTTATCCCTCAGGACATCGCACGACCATGCCATGTTTCTGAGATGTTCGGAGAACAACACATCGCACGGACAAAACTTCTGTTTGCATCTCGAACATGCCCAATGTGCATGTGATGATCAGGCCATGTCTGTCCTCCAAACATGCCCCCGGTGGTTGTGCTCGGAACATTGCAAGAACAGTTATCATGTGCTTGCGATGTTCGCTTCATATCACGACGGTGTACACTCGGCAGGTACAGACACAGAACATGTAGCTTACAGATAATGATCATGCGTAGTGTTTGGCTCATGCACGCTTATAAAACATGCCTCGTAGAATGTCCGTAACATGTTCGCGCGACGAACAACGCGTCTTGTTTCCAGTGTGTACCAAGGTAGTTCGTAGACGAGATCATTGCGTCTTCGGGCGGGCTGCCGCCGCCATACCGACAGTAGCCTGCCACCAAAACGCGAGCGTGAGACCGACGATACCGTGCAGGGTTCCCCAGACAACTTCCGGTGTTGCACGACGGCTGCACAGCACGGCGGTGGGAGGCAGTGAGATGAATGCAAGATTGCAGATGGGCGAACAACGTACGACTCTGCGAAGACACCAAAGGTATGGGGTATGAAGCGTGGTGCGTTGAAGAGGATGGTCGAGCAAGTGACGTGGTAGAAACACAGTCCCATGCCAAAGGCGCGCTTTCCAGGGAGGAACTCTGTAGGTTTAATTTGTCTGAGCTCCGATATGTCCTGGGGAAGCCAGAGATGACGCACCTGGAAGAGAGAACACGAGCAGAGCAGCAAGGCAGAAGCCTGCCACCATTGCCGAGTACATCTGCGACGCCGCAGTTAGATTCCTAGCAAATGTCTGGAGGAGCGAATACGCGTACCTTCAAGATCACCAGCGTGGTGTTCGTCAGCTGGACAAACGGTAGACTGATAGGACTCCATAGGCCCATGACAGCAATGGGTGCCTCCAGCGCAATATGCAGGAGGAACACCACCGACCTGCCCAGTCCCCCAGTTCAATATCTCCTGAACCTGACTGTTCGCAGTGACACTTACAGCGGGTGGTTCACGCGAATCCCTTGCGGCGGTTGAGACATACTCGCAGATACTGGAGTCGTGGAGGAAGGAAGAGAGAGTCTGGGACAAAAAGGAGGTCAGGTCCCGACTCGCGTGTGGCAGGACGCTCCGCCTTATCTTGTCCGCCCACGTCGGGCGTTGTGGCGCCGGCGGTTATGGGCGTCTGGATCACGTTCCTGCCAGGCACGCCCATTTGTCAGATCCGAGATGGCGATCACTTTCCGCAATCGAGATCTGTGCGCGATCCTCCCGCCTCGCTGTATGTCTTTCTCCGGTGTTCGTAGTCAGGGGAAAAGGCAATATTTGCCGTACCAATACACCACGCCCGCAGGCGAACAGGCGTGTATACGGTCACCGCCGTGCGTTCGGCGCAAGCTGCGTGGTGATATATCGACCGTAGCTTCCGGAATTTTATTGACATGGCCTGCTGCGACGCACTGGCATTGCAGCATTGAAAATGTGACGAAAGAAACTCGCAGCATAAAATCAAATGCAACAGAGACAAAAACCTGCGCTTCATTGGCAGCTCATTATGCGGATCCCTGATGTGAAGTACTCAGTTGGGTAGCATTCGCGTATTCAGGACTCGGACCTTGCTCCGAGTCTTGCTCACTGGCAGAAGCCTGAGGCCTGAGGTACCTCCAGGGAATGATGATAGCACCTCCATCCTTGATCCTCATGATTGAATTACCCAGCGGATGTCTTGTGCTGTCTTGTAGCGGGACTGAGACTAGTTTAACATGGTACTGCGAGCTGATCAGCGACAGAAAATGGACCTAGGAGGCAGCGACTGCGTTTTGGTGTTGCCAGCTTCGTAATATGTAAATCGCTGAGCGTCACTCCTAATCGGCAGAATGAACGGAGGATGGAGGTCGAGGCATCCACGACCCTGCGGCAAGCTGTCCCCATCATAGCCGTGACGCGCACCGTAAATTGTACCTGCGCGCTAAGTCGGCACGGTGCGCAGACGTCCTGTAAGACAGTCAGCAATCTCTTGGTGAAAATAGGCAGTGCGCACCCTATTTACTTATTGCGCCGCGGAGGTGATGGCGTCAACCAGGTTGCAGCGCTGACTTGGCGCTGACCATCTAATTTTTCGTCAACCTCAATGCCCATTCATTGTCTCGTATTCTACAACATGTCTTTCTACGTATGTATCTGGTATATCTGCCGACACTCGACCATTCAAAAACCCGAAATAACTGATATCATAAGTTCATTGGGAGCTATGAGTCTCCGCCCTCCTCATCTGCCTCCTCGACCTCCGCCAGGGAGCCCTCGCGGCCATGGTACGCGCGGCCGAGCAGGAGGCCCACCCCGCCTCCCGCCGCCTCCACCGCGTCCACATCCCTCTCCAAATCAACCTCCTCCTCGCCGTTCTCCGCCTCCGGGCCCACGACCAGCCTGAGGCGCGCCACCTCGCTGCGGAGGCGCTCGATCTCCTCGTCGCGCCGGTCGACGCGGCCCTTGAGGATCTTGATGTACTCGTTGCCGCACCGGAGCAGCTGCAGCTTGCTCACGGCGCGGTTCGGGCCCTCTGAGTTGCCCTTCGGCGGGCCGCGCGGTGGCATCGCGCCCGGGAGGATCGGCTCGTCCTCGGCGGGCAGCGGGATGGGCGGGAGTAAAAGGCGCAGGTCGTCGAAGGTGGTCTTGAGCGAGTCGCGCCGCTTTTGCTCGGCGGCCTTGTGCGACGACTTGCGGAACTGGACGATGGGCTGCGTCGTCGACGGAGAAGGGCTCGTAGAAACGACTGCCTGATTTCCGGCTGAAGTGTGGTAATTGAGCGGCTGTGTATATAACCACAAAATGGAAGCACTGACCTGGACGAATTGGCTTGAGGCTCGGACTGACGAGCGGGACGCTCGTAGACTTGTCGGCCGACCTGGTCGTCCGCCCCGGCTCGGCGAAGTTAGCGGACTTGCTCGACGCCCTTGCCCTACCGCTGCCGTCTTTCTTCTTGGTGGCACCCTGATCTTGCGCGCCGCTCGGGGAGCGAGACCGGAGTTGATTCCAAGTCTGCCCAGATTCATGATACTGGCCGGGGTCACCGGCGTCATCGCGGGGGCGGACGCCGCACCGTTGGATGGCACGCCCATGGCGGAGGCACTCGTGGTGGCGGACGTCATCTCACGATCGAACGACGAGGGCGGCTGAGGCGGGTGCGCCGGAGGCGGCATAGGGGGCAGCTCGATCGGCGACGGTGAGTCGCCTGGCAGTTCATTCATATCGACATGTCCAGGCCCATGCCTGCCGTGCCATTCCGTTGAACAACGGCGTCGAATTCGCTGACCGCGACCCCCGCATGGACGTGCGTTTCTGCTGGGCGTTGGGGCCGGGTCGAGCAGCGGCCCTAATAGAAGACTGCCGCTTCCGGGAAGGCCTGGGTACGGACGTCTCCTCGTCTCCACTAGAAGATGCTCCTCGCCGTTTGAGACCCGCAGCACTCCCCTCCCGCTCGAGCCCTGCATCGCCTGTGCATTGTTGAAGGGTCCAAGCCAGGGGCTGGTCAGTGGCGAGATGTCGTTGAAGTCGTGGTCCGCGCCTGACGAGCCCGAAGGCATGGAGAGCGGTGGCTGATCTCGAAGGCGATGTGGGCGGCGCGGAATGCGGCCCAGACGGTATCATCTGGTGCGATTGGGAGAGGAAGCCGGGAATGTTACAGACATCGGGCGAGAGGAATGTGGCTGCTGGGCCATGGTGGACAGGCCAGCGCCGGACTGCAAGAGTAGAGGAGAGACGAAGTCGGGACTCTGTTGTGCGCGCAGTTCACCGGACGGTCCTGACGGGTGGTCGGTCGGTACTGGAGCCAACGGAAAGATCGGGAGACGCACCTGGTGTTGGAAGACCATACTGCTGTTGCTCCCGCTGCCGATCTCCCATTGCCTGTCCCGCAAGTGTCTGTCCTCCCCCAAACGCATTTTGACTGCTCAGAAGCTCCAGCTGATGACGACCGAGATTAGATGTATGTGCGACATAGTGCCGAGATTAGAGGTGGGGCACAAGGTCGGGGCGACGGCGAACAGCTGAGGATGTGCGGCTTACCTGCTGCTGGAAAATCTGGTTTTGGAGCTGCTGGAGTTGCTGCAGCTGGTTGAGCCGAAACTGTTGCTCGAGCAAGGCTTGTGGCGTGGGCTGGGACGACTGTTGGACACCTTGTTGCTGTGCTGACGTGTCCATGGAAGGCATCATATGCTGAAGGGCATCTGAGCCGAAATGCATGCCAGTGGGCATCGGAGGCAGAGACGGCTGAGATGAGAAATTCCCAGGCGTCTGAGGACCGGAGGAGCGACTGTAGAAGCGCTCTGCGGCATCCCGCGCAGCGTCGAACTGGAAGAAGGACTGGATGATGTCCTTCTGCTGCTGGTGCGGCATCCCAGAATCCGCACTCATGGTGGCACAGAGCACACCCATCACTCCCGCCACCATAGGGGCATCATCCCAAGATCCTCGAGCATGTGATATGTATTTTAATGCTTCCCCCAGTAACTCCTTCATAGCTCAGTTGGTAGAGCGCGTCACTAGTATTGTTCTCACGATCACGTGACCGCGATGACGAGGTCAGTCGTTCAAATCGGCTTGGAGGAAGGTTTTTATGCTTTTTTGTGCGGCGAAGTTTGGGCAGGATGGCAGAACGACTCTGAGCTCAAGTACGCTGCTGGTGTACTCGTGCCGAGAGGGAGGCGCCATAACTCGGTCGAATTTCATTGGGCAGAACGTGTTGCATGCTCCAGTGACACTGACAGCCCGCCCATGAAACAAGAATGTCCACTGGTCGTCGCAACAGTATACTGGTCAATCTGTGTACATGTATACCACCTCGTCGTCGTCCGCTTGGCAGTCGCCCATAGTAGGCTGTCAGCGTGGGGACTACGCTGCCATCCAGTGATGTCAGACCGTAAAATGGTATGCATGAGTTGCACCTTCCCGCAATGATGGAATTATGGAAGTCTCATCTGTAGCGGGCTGAGCGCGTTTGTGCGGACAGGAAGTTTGGTCGGTAGCGAATTTGAATAGCACGCTGACCTCATCAGCTAATGCAAATGACCAATGCTCGAGTTGAGATAGTGGGAGCCTACAGATGACGAGCAGATGCGTTTAGAATCCACGTCTCGAGCTTGCTTCTGAATGGGGTACCTTCGTAGCAGAGTTGTCCTTCTAGATGGGTCGCACCGGACGGCATTTTCGGCGTCGCGACATCGATTCGCAAAATATAGCGAAGAGATCATTGTTGTACACTGACCGATTGATTCCTCCGTAATATCCCTATTATCAGTGTTCAACGACACGTTGCAATCGCTAGCTGACCAAAGTTGACACTGACGGAGCAGAAGAAGGCAGCAGTGACGGACCGCCATACTTCAAGTCTAAAATGCGACCAACAAAGACCCCGGCTGGCCCATCGAAGCCGGCAAAAACGAGAAGGACCAAGCGACCTCAAAGCGTGCCCCCGTATGCTAAACGTTCGGGAGGGTTCAGTTGACATGGCGAGGTTATGCGCGCGACGTCGTCCGGTCGTGCGCTGCGTGACAGGTTGCTCGACATCTTGCATGAGAGACATCTGGCAGACAGTTCGCTGTGCTGGGACAGATGCATTGGCAGAGGGCTCCTGGTCTATATGGCCAGGCCAAGTATGCCATGGCAACGGATAGAAGAGCGGTCGCCATACCAATGGCGGGCTTCTGCAAGTGAATTGTAGCGACGCCGAGAACCAGCGGCCAGACGGCCGTGGCGGTTACTAGACTGTCTGGCCAGATGTGAATCTAAGATCGCGTCGGCAGAAATAAATCCGTGCCATTGAATCCACTGTTCGGACTCACCGGTTGATGTCCAATGGCGAACAAAGATTGAGCGCAAACTGCATGCTCTCGACCACCAACTGAACAGCGCTATGAAAGAGATAAATGAGGTAACGTGCAATTGAACATTCCTCAAGGGAGTTAAAACACCGGCTCCGCAATTGTGTGGTCGCGGAAGACCCACAGCGCCGTCACAGTTCCATATCGTTGACAACCGCGGGTACATCTCACCGAATAACGCTTGCATTTTCGGACGGTGATCATCCCCTGTCTTGCCATTCCTGCCTCGTAACACCGCCGGACAGAACATTGCGTGCGCGAGCATGGACAGTATGTCCTGGTGACAGCGCGCGGCGTCCGACTGCGATCCAACTGATGCGGGCGCGGCTGCGTGGCCGCGTGTCCATAGAGCGCCCATAACCCAGCGAGGCGGATAGCCGAAGCGGTATGCTTCATGTCCGTCGGGTGGAGAGTAGCTTGCAGGCTGCATGCCATGCTCGTATCAGATACACGAGACGTGAGCGAGGGATCGGCTTGAGTTCCACGTTGCCGCGTGGAAACCAGGCGAGCCCACCGCTGTGGATTCAGATATTCATCTGCACCTGGAGGGGCAGCGCCGGCTAGATAGCGCGCTATGCGTGCTCCATTGCTGATCCCGTGGCGTCGTGGTGGGAGGTGAAGGTGTGTGGTTACTGACTAGCCACGAGCGGGCTGATAGTAGACGGTAGTCACCGTGGGCAGGGGCCAGCACGAACAAGGCTTCTCGACGCGACACCTGAGTCCTAGAAATCGATCCGTGAGTCCATGAGAAACATGCACAATACATACACCAATTTCAACCGCTTCTGCACGAGGAGGTGGACGACTGTATCATGGACACCGGCCATTCCACCGAGGCTAGAAGTACTGACATCAGTAGAATTGAAGATACCGCGTGACTGAGCCGCAGCCGGCTTGCGGCTACAGAACGGTAGTAGAAGAGAACGGACACCTCTGTTCCACAAGCGTGCTCTGTAAGCTCGCGGCGAAGCCAGACGGTCTCTCCCACAGCAGATACCTCCACGGGGGTATAGACAGGATGTCTTGCGTCTTGCAAGTATATTTCATAATCAACTATACACGCACCAGCACTTCAGCACTTCGCAGGGAACTTCCGGCCTCGTCCAGAGTCTGCGTGGGTGGCAGCAGAAGTGACGGAGCAGCTTTCGAGCTATCCAGTAGGTACCGACCGAGATAGGCCGGAGCTACGGGCTTTCTCCGTCTTCTGGGCTTCTGCGGCCTAGTTCTGCGCCTGAATACACGCAAATCAACTAGAGAACTAAATATCAAAGGAAATACACTGACAGACATCACGCCGCCGATCCAAGCTGAGACGCCCATCGGCTCTGGCGGCGTTGTATGGCCCTGCGTCGTTGACCGTTGAAGAGGGGATACACGCACATGTCACCGGCCACATACGCTCCAGAGCCGCTCGAACACAGTGGACGGTGGCCTGGTTCAAGCTCCGCCAACTGGGCACGAGCGCCGGTAGGTTCAGCAAAATTCCTGATATTCGGTCAGACTGCACAGCCGGAACACAGGCCGTTGGCGATGGATGTAAGTCATCGACCGTCCAGCGGTTGGGCGGGTTGACGGGCCTTGATGCCGCATCTACGTGGGCGCGTAGATGATGTGGCGGCGGTATCTGGGCGTGACGTTTGGGTGGCAGGACGCCTCGTAGGCTCGTGTATCTCTTCCTTCTGGCTTGGTGATCAACACGGCCCCATTGGGCGCTACCAAGCGGTCCAGCCGCATCACAGCGAGAACATCATAGGAGCTCACCGAAAAATGCGGAGGACCGCGCGGGAGAATGCTGCGCGCGTGTGAGCACGGTCAACTGTCTGCGGGACCGACGGCCTGGTCACTCGCGGTAGGCTGGGAATTTGGGACGCCTCGAGCTGGCTATGAATTTTTATGCCGTTGCAGGGTCTAAAGCCTAGACAGGACTCCGACCAGCGTTTAGTAAGCGTCCAATACGTGGACGGTGCTCGATATTTCTATTTGAGGTGGATAAATCATCGACAAGTCGGACGTCCTCTCGATGGGGTTGCGACGAGACACTAACTTGCGGTACACGATTGGCCATTCTGCGAGGACATTCGGTAGTGCAGTAGCTCGGTACGAAAGCGGTGCTCGCACTTACTCCATTTAGCAATGTGAACGGTTGTACCACGTTCCCCGAGCCAATGCAGCCCAGCAGGGTCTTGGATCGTCCAGGAGGTGGGGGCGCGTCGATTGGACGAGGCGGCTCGCTTCGTGGCGTGCACGCGACGCGCACCCACCTCGCGGGACAATAGCCTGCCTGCCAGCGTCCAGCGTTCCTGTCGATCGCCGCTATCAGCTAAGCGGAGCGCATTGTTCTCGCACACCACAATTGCGGACGCGTAGGGGAAGGGAGAGATACTCGATAGCGCGATCGGAGGAGGCGGTACACGCCATGGGTATGGGATGTGCCATAAGGAAGGTGTGCAGCCCAGCAAGGCGGAGAATAATGGGAATGCCGTACACGCACCGCCTTGACCTACCGGATACGGCCGAGCGCAGAGGTTCCATAATGTCCTGGAAGGTCTTCGGTGGACCTGCAGCCGCGAGAGCGTGCGGTACACGAGGGACAAGCTTCGTGATGAACACGTATAGTGGGACTACGCAGCCATGAGTCAGAGGCACTATAGCCACCAGGGCCTACTGATTGATGGGATCGCTCCTGTGCAGGGACAGCGGTGAGATGCCAAATAATAGAGTGGCCGCGAAGGACCGTCATGTGCTGCCGAAAACGGGGTCCCATAGGGCGGCTGATATTGGGATGCTCGTCGCTTGACAGGAATATGCCAAACCGCAGGGACCGCCGGATACAGTTTGATTCTGTTGCTGGGGCTTTTGGTGATTATCGCGAACGGATCCTGCATTCCCAGGGGGAATGGAGAGGCGGCTCCATCATATACAATACTGTACATCTAAGGCACGAGAAGACAAGGTCGCGAGGGGTGACGCAGGTGGCATTGGGTGCGGGGACGGGTGTCGCGAGCGGCCGAAGGAGGGGGCGAAGGATGTGCAGTCTGAGCTTCGCTGGCTGGAGGCGGCGAGGGCACCGAAATAAGGAAGACAAGGTTGGGACGCCGTCGGGTTCTCAGGCGTGGAGTTCCGACGCGCCGTCCCGAAGGCATCGCCGCGATGGAGAGGACCTGCTCGATGTGGGCGACGACGATCGCGAAGACATGCCTCATCAGGGCAGAAGCATGCACAGGGCGGCGGAGAGGGGCATGTGCGATATGAATTGCGCGGGGACGGAGGCGTATCGGTGCCACTGCGATGGCCTGGAAAGGCAGGCGCAAGTTCCGGGGCCCCTGCGAGCTGCCGCGTGCGGAATGGTGTGAAACTCGAGAAGCCTACTGGGATCAGATGTCGGGGAAACCTGCCATTGGTTCGGGCAGGGGTTTGAAATGGACTGAATAAAATGTGGCGCCCAAGCCCGAAGGAGGGCTAGGCGGAGGACACGCCACGGCCACGGAAGGAGCCGTTTGGGGCTCCCATCCATTGTTGTCTCCGGCGCCTGGGGGGCGGGGGCGGGGCGCGGTGTCCACTGACCGCCGCCGTCTCCCCAGAGAGGCCGCGACCGCTCGCCGGAGACCAGCGGGACCGCGGACGGCGGCGACGCGGACCCGCCAGAGACGGCGACCTGGAGGAGCTGCTGAAATTAGAATCAGATTGTGGTCGGGCAGTTTCTGGGAAGCGATAGAACGGCGGGCGGAAGGTTCTACTTGTATTACGTAAACTGTTTATCCAATTGGAGCCGCAAGCTGCCGTAACACAATACAACAACCTATAAGTGCTTCTTACCACGCTCCACCGCGCGACCTGCCCCCTTCCCTCATCTCGCCACTCGTGCATGGCCGTGTTCATGTCCTCCCACCCTATGCTGCCCCCCACCAAAAGGCGTCGAACCGCCACCTCTGTGCTTGCCGGTGACTTTGACCCGCGTCCGGCCCGCGACGTCCTCACCAGCCTCTTGAACGGCGTGCCTATCAACAAAGAGGTCGAGAGGGCCGAGGAGCTCCGGCGCGAGCGGCGACGGAAGGAGAAGGAGAGGGAGCGCGAGAAGGAAAAGGAACGCGAAAAGGAGACAGAGAAGGAGCGCGAGAGGGAGAGGGAGAGGAAACGCGCCAAGTCGGACGCGAGGCCACAGGTCAGGCTATCCGCGCCCCCCGTCGCGTCAACATCGGTCGTGAGCGCGTCAGGCCCCAGCGTGCCCAAGATATCCGCTCCCGTGGCGCGTTCCGCCGTGTCCTCCTTCTGGCAGGCGCGTCCGGCCATCCATATCACCAACATGCAACGGTCCGTGTCCGTTACTCCTCCCCCCATGGCTTCCTCGCCACCAACCACTCCGGGCCCATCCAACTCGTCGACTACCTCTGCCACATCGTCCAAGCGACCACATACACCGTACGACGACGACGACGACGACGACGACATGCATAGCCGTCACCGCAGTGAGGCCTCGCAGACACCGCCTTACGCGCAGTCGCGGCCACGCAAGAAACGCACCGCCGTGCGCAAGGGCTGGAAGGGCTGGGTGGAGGGCTCTCCACCGCCTTCGGAAAAGCTCATCAACCTGGACACCGTGTCGATCCTTCCCCAGAGGAAGACGAGGAGTGGGAAGAGCTTCGATGCCATTGGACTAGGTGAGGACACTTGGGTCTAAATTGAGTGAGTTTTACGTCGTGATTTAACGGTTCGATTGCGCTGATTGCGCCACAGACAAATCTCATATGGCTAATGATCGTACTGGCTTATAGAATAGGTATTCTCTCCGTCGGGTTGGTGCTCTGGCTTCTATTGTCCCTCCATGTTTTCCCATCTCTGGCACTCTTGGTGGAAGGTGGCCATCTACCCTTTGTCGCGCTGTGATCTCTTTTCCTATCGTACCGATCTGGAGTCTGACTGGAGTCTCTTCTCTTTCCGTCGTCGTTATCGGGCATCCACTCATTATCGTTCCGGCTCTGCTGTGCATAAGTCAATCTTGTACGCATGTATACTTGACACAAAGGCAATGCAAATATGTAGTTATGCGAGAGAACAGCATTGACAACCATCAGAGCAAATTCCGCGCGTGTAGACGCGTCCGTCGGTCGGCTGTGTCGCGACGCCCCACGGTTGCCAGCGGGGCGAACAACGGAAAGCATCCGCGCGGGCGCAGCGCCCGGGAAGGTTGCCCAGCGCCAGGGCAGCGTGGGAATCCCGACGCGCGCCTTTCCTGTCCTGATCGCTGGCCGCTGCGCCGAGCGCTCTGCAGCCGCCGCGATCTTGTTTTCTGATCTCACCCACCCCGGCCAACACGGATTTGTTTCCGCGAACCTTCACCCCCTTGAGTTGCATCGCTGTTCACCACGACGGCGACGACGGCGACGACGAGCTCGCCGGCCCACCAGGACTTAGACCGGTCGCCACCGCCCCTTCAGGGTCAGCACAGCTCCGACGGACTACCGTGCCGACCGCTGCTTGGCTTGACTGGATACGATTACGACGACAGACCAGTGTCGCCGACAGACTGCGACTAGCAGGGTACAGGGAACGAGCGAGCGAGGTACTGGCGAGGGCGGGCCAGCAACGGAGACCAGAACTTGGAGAGACACTGCTCGGCCGCGCGCCACCGCGTCATGCTGGCCCACATCCCATTCCCCATTCTCCCGGCGCCGCCGTCATGGTTTCCGGGCCACATGCTGCAGTTCCAGCGCAACCTGCCGCACCTGCTCACGCGCACGGACGTCGTGCTCGAGCTGCGCGACGCGCGCTTGCCGCTCACGAGCATCAACCGGAAGTTTGAGGGTGAGTCCGATTTTCTGTGGTATGCGGTGTGTGAGTTAGTGTGGGATGGGGGCCTTCGGTGTCAGGGGCAGAGTTGGGACAGGATGGTGTATCGGTCGTCGTTATCTGCTGCTGCTGCTGCGTTGCCACCCTGACGTGCGCGTGGGGCTCAGTCGCTGTGGCACACTCGCTTGCCGCGGTGGCTGTATGTCTGCTGTATGACTCGCATGTATAGCGAACAGAAGGACATTCCGATACACGGCGTATATGCGCACGAGCGTGATTTTGGGGCTAATTATAGATGTTACATTCTTTCGCCCGTCATATGCGCTTTCTACGCTTCCCGCGAATGTTGTACTGCAGGCGTCGATACTCACGAACACACTTACAGGAGCTCTACAGACTTGGCGTCGTGAACGTGGTGCAATCCCCACGCCACCGCCTGCGAATGACGCTGGTCCTTCTGCCCTCCCAATGACTCCCCGCGCTACCGGCAGTGGCTTGGTATGCGAGCGAATAGTGGTCTTCAATAAGCGTGACCTGGTTCCCGAATGGGGCATCAAGGTGAGCCTCTACTCATACCCGGCCCATATAGGCTCAGACATGAAAAATTCAGTAGCCATTCGAAAGGGCCATGGCCGCTAAATATCCCGACCAGAGGGTCTTCTTTGCCTCTTGGAATAAGACGCGCGACATCAAGGCGCTGAACGAGCTGCTTGTCGGTGCGACGAATTTCTGCGTGTACTTAGCGCCCATATCTGATAAGTGATCGCCGTGTCCGCCCAGGCGTCGCGAAACACAATCCGCACGCGCCCGAAATGAATGTACTCGTCGTCGGCATGCCTAACGTCGGGAAATCGACGCTGCTGAACGCCCTCCGGAATATCGGGATCGCTGGCCGTGAGCAATTTTTTGTCCGATCGAGGTCTGTCCCCTCGGCCGCTAACTCCGTCGGTGGGTTGTGGTAGCTACGCCGAAGGCACTGCGCACTGGGGCACATCCTGGATCACTCGCGCGATCTCTACACGCCTGAAGCTCTCCATCGACCCGCTCGTGTATGCATGGGACACGCCCGGCGTGATGTTGCCGTTTCTAGGCAATGGCGACAGCGGTGCGGAACGCGGGGTCAAACTCGCGCTCATAGGTCAGCATGACAGTTCATTCCGATGCTTCACGGTCGACCCATAGGCTGGCGCGCTCACCTTCATTTACCGCCTCCCTATAGCTGGTATTAAGGAGGGCTTATATGACATCGACGCGCTAGCTTCCTACCTACTCTACCGACTCAATGTCCTCGATCCTGTCTGTGAGTGCGCCCGCCATAGCAGCTGATGCACTTCGCACTGACGCCCACCGCCCCTGCGCCTGTTGACCGGCCTCCCCGCCACCCCAGCCCCCGCGTACTTGCAGATCCTCCCGCCAGGAACACAGCCGCTAACGGACGTCTACGAGTTCCTCGACCTGCTCGCAAAACGGCTGGGCATGCTCCGGCGAGGCGGCATACGCGACACCGCCCGTGCGGCCGTGTGGTTCGTGCAATGGTGGCGCGGCGAAGGCGGGCTTGCCGCTGCCGCCTCACCGCGTGCAGCCGCCAGAGGCTGGGGCTTCGATTTTCAGTGGGACCTTGCGGACCCGCCGGACTCCGACCCATCGGCCGGCGCGGTGGCGCCTCCCGATGCGACTGGGGCGGGGTCGGAGAAGAGCCAGGAACGGCACGACGAGGCGGTGATACAGGCGCAAATGGAGGCGTGCATCGACCGATTTGAACGGGGGATTGACGAGGAGGAAGTCGGCGGGGCTAATGTTAGCAAGACGCAGGAAAAGAAGAAGGTACGGCAGGACCTGCTTGCGAGACGCAAGGCGAAGGCGGATAGGAAGTGGGCGAAAAAGGTGGCCGGCGTATAGGTACGCACTGGCTGCGGTACATTATTACATTGATGATTTCTGTACGTTACTGATTAATGCAGCACTCCACCGCTATTTGACGACGGCTAGTAAGCAGGTTGCCTATCAGTCTCTTCGACTGCTGCGACCAAGATCACACGAACACCCACTCGTCCTTGTGCTCATCTCCCATTCAGCCCGTCATATACGCACGGAAGTTCCGCCTGGTGCGGCACGCAACATATCGGGGCCCAGGAACTCATCTGGAAAAGGCCAGATCTACATCGACTATTTCTATTTGGGCTTGCCAGGCCACCTTCCCAGTCAGTGCTCCTGCAATCCATGACCTGACCTAACTGTGGCGGAGGATATTTGGTACGCCGGTGGAGATTTTACCATTCACGGTACCAACGGAGAAGAGCAGCGTTTGGTTCGATTTCGATCTCTGGGATCATTCGCCTGTCATTTAATCGCTGCGCTTACCAACCAGAGTGCCGCATCTCCTCCTTGTCTTTTCGTATGACGGCAGATGCTCAGGCTGCAAGAGCAAAGCTGCAATTCGCCTGCATCATTCTCGCGCATCTCGTCGGCGACCCCGGGCTCCCAGACAAATTTTCAAATCGACGCGCGCCATTCAGCAACATAATCAAGCACAAATAACGGCTGACGGTGGGAGGCGGTCCTCCTTCCAAACGCCATGGGATCATGTCCTGACACTGGACTGCAGTGACAAGTACGACCGGTCATGGATACCTTGACGTCCGACGCGCAGTGGACACTATCGGGACCCCGCGTTGAGTGCCCCCAACTGTCGAACGTGCCTCACAATGCTATCGCATCCGTTTAGCGCGGACCCTGAGCAACGCGGTTCTCGCGCTGCTCGTATCTGTTCACTTCTGCTCGAGGTATCACATCTCTGATGCACCGAGGAGTCCTAGGCAGAGGAAGGACCGTAGAGGCCCACCGTGGACAGAGGCATCCGGGGGGCGCGGCGGATGAGTCAGGCGGTACGTATAGCTCCTGGCTTCTTGTGCGGACGTGTCGACGGCGACCCCATCCTGGGAGACATGCGGCTTCCGAGCGGCTATGTGTCAGCGGTCTTCTGAATCCACCTCTTGGGACGCATGGGACGTCCGGACGCTCGGTGCATGCTGCGTGCTCCAGGTCCATACAACGACTGCCCGTCTGTCTAGTTAGCCCATGGCGTTAAGCTATGGAGTTACGTGATGATCCGGGGCGGCGGTGAATATATCGTCACCGAGAATAACGTCTGGGCCATATACCATGGGACTCATCAAGAGCATCCTCTGCCGTAGAGGCTGTAGAAATACACAGACATGATCCTCTAATATACACTCGGAAGAACGTGCAACGGGGCACTCAGAAGTCCAGGTAATCCCTGTCCCCTCCCGTCTGCCAGCGGCCCGACGCAGGCACCGGTGCACCGTACGCATCCTCCGGTGCGCCACTCTCCGCGTCCTTGAAGGAAAACTCGCGCTTGAACTTGCCCTCGAGGTTGTTGACCAGGACGATGAGCTTTTGCAGGCCGCCTCGAGGACGGCGGACGGGGTCATCGAGCCGTCGGTCTGGATCTTGATCAGGAAATACGGCTGGAGGGGGTGCGGGACCTTGTAGCCCGCGAAGAGGACCTGCGGCATCGTAAGAAGTTCCCTGGCGGACAGCGTCAGCGCGGCGTGTCTCCGGGTGTCAGTGGCCTGGCTGGTACTGACGCCCGGATCAGGTTGCCCAGGGTGTGGTCCTGCTTCACGACTTTGATGGTGGCGGCGTTGGGGATTTTGGTGTCCTCTATGACCTCGACTCTATTGGAGCGCATACGTACGTGAGCTTGCGAAGCGCTCGAGGAGGAGTGCACGCACGGCTTCTCGCCCTCGTCCAGGACGAACGACTCAAACCGATTAGGCGCATTCATTGTAGACTATGTAGCTAATGACAGGTGCGAGCTACGGCTGTTCTGCGGAGACGAACACCGCGTGCTCGGGCGGTCGAGAGGTGGGGCCGCCGCAGAACCGGGAAGTCGGTTGTGCAGTTGGAACAACCTGGACGAGGACAGGTTAGCATATGCACTGCGCAAGTGAAGGTGAGAAAAAAGCTCAGGACACAAGTTGCGATCACTTCGCACCGGTGGTGCGGTCATTGACAATAAATAAAAGCCATCCGGCTGACATCATAGACCGATAAGTGAGACGGCGAGACTTACCTGCGGGCCAAGGTCAGGTGAGGCGACAAGGCGAAGATTGCGCCCGAAAAGGCGCCCGAACTGACTTGGCCACAGGACAAACAACCCAACGCAGCGCCACAGCCTGTTTTGGGATTCTGTGCAGGCCCTGGTCCGTGTACCGACACTCAACGCCTCCTCAAGGTACGTACGCTGCCCAAATCCATGCCCGGCTGCGTTCCGGCGGGCTCTTGACGACGAGGGCTTTCGATCGAATGGGCTCTCTTGTCGAAATCCCGCCGTTACGACGCTGGATGCATGGCGCTGCGTTTGGATGATGCTCACGCTGCGCCCCGCGACAGAAAATGCCTACACGGTTCACGAAGACTCGCAAGCACCGCGGCCACGTCTCCGCCGGCCACGGACGTGTAGGAAAGCACCGCAACATCCGGAGGTCGTGGTCTCGCTGGTGGCAGCACCACCACCGGTACGTCTGTCCCTTGCGAAGCCTGTGCGACCCGCGATCCGACCCTGCGCTCTGCTGCCAGAACCAACTTCGATAAGTACCATCCTGGTTACTTCGGTAAGGTCGGTATGCGCCGATTCCACCTTACGCGCAACCTCCAATGGAGCCCGATCATCAACGTCGACAAGCTCTGGACGCTTGTACCCGCGGAGGAGAAGGAGGGCCTCACGGAGAGCTCGGACGTCGTCCCCGTCATCGACACCCTCCGCCACGGCTACGGAAAGATCCTGGGCAACGGACAGTGCGTGGGCCGATTCTTGTGGAATGGCCGGATTGACTGACACGATCATAGGCTGCCCAAGCTCCCCTTCATCGTGAAGGCGCGCTTCGTGTCGAAGAAGGCCGAGGCAAAAATCAAGGAGGCCGGCGGTGTTGTCGCGTTGGTTGCATGATCTCCCTCCATTTACTCTGTCGCGCTTTCTCCTCTCCTGGCACTGTATCGCACCCACTACATGCATATGCTCAATACTGCGAGGCCTGTTATGCAATCATGCTGTACCATCTGCAGCCGCAGGCACTTTGTGACTTGAGGGTCAGACGTTGGATTGTTGGATGACTGGTAGAATGTGAGTAGCCTGAGGGGGGTCGTCCACGGTGGCCGCTTCCCCTGTTCTCACTCACTACAAATGTTGATCCCCCCGTTGATGCTCAGTTTGAGCGCGCTGGCCTTGGTCCGCGTAGGGCAATACTCAACCAGTTAGTCGAGAGAGGAACTGTGCAATCAACAAAGCTTGCACTTCCGAAATCGCATGACACTTGAGCTTGAGCGTTGGATCGACATACACTATTTAATCAGAGAGACGAGCAACATGTTCTGGCAAGGTTTCGCAGAAGTACAAGGCTGCTTTCAAGCCACTATGTATTTTGGCAGTCTTGGCGACGGATGAAGCGAGCGCTTGCCCTGAGGATCTGCTCGGTTATGCAGGCTGTCTGCCAAGACACGCTGTGATCGCTCTCTGACTCCTCCTGCGACCCTCCTGTACGAGACGAGTCAGCGCCGGGCCAGACTGAGACTGCATTGCGACTCTGCGAGGCTGCGCGGGGTGCGGAAATGCGCGAGTGGCCTAGTCATTGGCGGGCGTTTAGCGACTACATTTAGCGTGAGTACTGTGCCGCCCCGAGTCGGGGACGTGCATCTCGCTTCTGTTCTGCCCCTCGTGCTCGCTGACTTATGGCAGGGCTCGCAACTTGGTGTAAGCCTCCCTCTCCGTCTGCACAGCGGTTGCGTCGCTGACCGCGCCCACTCACAGACAACAGCCAGTATTCGACTTGGAACCGCACGCGCCGCCTCCACGCACAGCCCTTCATCGCTCGCACGGACACCATCACCTCCCGCAGGGCGCCCAGATGGCTCAGCAGCCCGTCATCCTCAACATGGGTGAGCCCAGCAACCCCGAGGCCAGCATGGACAAGAAGTCCGACACCCTTTTTGGCCCTAACATCGGCATCGTCAGCGGAGGCCCCGCCTGGACAGAGCGGCATGAGAGGGGCGCAGACGAGCTCACGCCGGAGGTCATAAAGGCTGGATCTCAGGAGCAAGGAGGTGCGTTGCTAGCCTCTCGCTGTCCCACTCGTCTCATGGAGCCCTAGAGCTACGCAACCACCACAACGCTGCAAGCACTCGTGAACCTCAAGCGGCCCACTCTCCGCCTCACCCCGCTGGAGATCGCACCCGCGGACGACCCAGACCACGCCGACTCCCAGCACCACCACGGGCTCGAATTCGAGTACGACTGCGATGCACCCAAGTGCGGGATCAGCGTGCACGTCCTCCTGGCCCCAAGCACCCCCTCGCGGGCAAGCCCGACCCCAGCGGGCTGTGCAAGTTCCTCATCTACGAGTCCGTCGTCGACGGCGGGTTCGGGAGGGTCCTCAAGCTCGAGGACGGCGTCACGCTCGAGCTCGGACGCTTCGAGCCCCGCGCGGACGCCGACAAGGAGGCGGCGGGCGAGGCACCCGCGGATGCCGAGCAGCACGCCACCGAGGACGTCCATGCGAAAGGGGCCCGAAAACGCTTCACACACTTCAACTTCCGCATGCGCACCCACGGCCGGGCGGCCGTGGGCCCCGCGCTCGCGGTCGTCGACGCGGAGGCCCCCGCGCACGCGGCGGAGGGCGAAGACGAGGGCGCGCACGCGAGCGTGGCCGCGAAGGACGAGGAGCCGGACGTCGGCGTGAAGGTCGTGATCCGGCTGGCGGCGCTCGACGAGGAGGGCAAGGAGCTGCCGTCGGCGAACGAGCAGGTCACGTACCTGCATGTCGTGCGCTTCGGGGCGCCGCCACCGCCCGAGGTGGACGGCGCGGCCGTGGAGGACAAGCGGCCGTGGGTGGTCAAGGTCGTGAAGCGCGAGGCGATCGTGAGTGCCCGCTCGCCGACCCGCTCACACGCGCGCTGACCGCGGCTCGGACTCGACGCTAGATCGGCCCGCACACGTTCCACCTGCATGAGATCTACGGCCTCTCCGCGAACTCGACCACCGCGAGCCACGCGCAGCCCACGCCGCCGCCCGCGAGCGTCGACCAGCACGTCTACCCGCCGGTCGCCGCGCCCGCGAACGCGAACGCGCACGAGGACGAGCCGTCCTCGGAGTGCCTGCTCTGCCTGTCGTCGCCGCGCGAGGTCGTGCTGCTGCCGTGCCGCCACCTGGTCGCGTGCAGGGAGTGCGCGGTGAACATGATCGAGTTCGGCGCGGGCGGGACGATCGTGCACCAGGAGAGCGAGACGACCGCTACCGCGGGTACGGAGGGGGCCGCGGGCGAGAACGCCGCTCCTGCGCCTCCTACGGCGGACGGCGCCGTCCCCGGCTCCGAGGCGAACGCGCCGCAGCCCACGCCGCGGCGCAAGCGCAAGGCGAAGGGCTGGTTCTGCCCCGTCTGTCGGCAACGTACGTCTCATTTTGTTCCCTGCGTGTCCCTGGCCTCCGCGTGCTGATCGAGTCCACCAGCGTACACGTCGATGCTGCGGATCACCACGACGCCGCCGTCGAAGGAGGGCGACGAGAAGAACCGCGACTCGATGTCGACCGAGGCGCAGGTGGACGTGCTCCCCGCCCTGCCGGCCGCCGCTACGGCGCCGACCGTGCGCGGCAGCCTTGCGTCCCTCGCTCGTCCGGGCTTCCTGAGGGCCTTCCGTCCGGGGGCGCCCCAGCCCGACGTCGAGAGGGGCCAGGTGCAGGCGGCCTAGACGTCGCCGTCAGCCGCTCGACGCTGGGACTCGGCTGAATATACTCGGTTCTCGGTGCGCCGACGGATGAGTCGCGCTGCTGTGTTTCTTCTTTCTTTTTGATCCGATCGTTATTGTCATCTCTAGTTTATGCGCATCTCCTAGCTCGGCTCGAATGTACCCAGTGCTCGTAGTGCGGACGGAGCGAGGACGGTGTATGATACTGCTCCGCTGTACGTTCTGTTGTACGATATCGTGTACTATAGAGGCATAGCGCTCGCTCTCTGCGTACAGGGTCAGCGGCGTAAGAAATCGATTGGTTCGAGTATCGTCGGTAAGTTGGGGGCGAGGCCTGCGGTCACGTTGGTCTGTGCGCCCTCTCTGGCACCTAATCTGTGCATATGATGCGCATGGCATGGTGTTCGCAGATGGACATACGGAATCGTCGGCAGCATACTTAACATGTTTCGTCTCTGTACGCCGTCGCATTTTCACATTATGGTGAGTCCTAGTTTCCTGACGGCGGCGCTCTGAGCACTTGAGCAAAGCACTACGGGTGTCTGCGCAAATGCTCAAGTACTTGAACACAGCCGGTCGGTTCACGTCTCTAGCAAGGTACTGAGCATTATTGTCGCACAACCCGCGACGTCTATTTACACGAGATCGTTCGGAAGACCTGACACGACCACGGAACCCATGAACCCAGAGGAAACTCTACACGAGGCCGAGACTGCATGGAGGTGCAGACTCTACAGACACGGTGGCAACGACACGCGATCTATCTACAACAGTGGACTCGGACAATACTGAAAAAGGATGACACTGCGATGGTAAGGGAACAGAGGCACAAACGATCTAGGTCAGAGCACACACAACGGAGGAGATGTACAAGAGGGAACGGAGATACGTTTTTGTTTTTAGGCGGTGCGTATGCCGCGGAAAGGTCTACTCGATGCGTCTTGCCTTGGGCACCAGTGCCCAAATGATGATCATCGTGGACATCATAGACACGATGCTGGTCAACGTCCATCAATCATCACCTCTAAGCACAGGACGGAAATGACATACAAAGGCTGCAAGCTCGCAATACCGAACTTGCTCGAGATCAGACCCGTGATGAACGGTAGGACGGCGCTGCCAGCCTGGCCGATGCCACCGATGTATCCCAGGCAACCGGTGAGCAGCCACTTGGGCAGGATGCCGGTGGACTGGTTCATCAGGACGGGGTAGATGGGGCCCATGAGGAGCCCGACTACGGACACGGCGATGGCGTTCTCGATGAGTGAGGGGACCACCCAGATGGTCACTTCTAGACTGCGGGACGGTCAGAATGGGTGGCCGGACGGAGAGAGAGGCGTACATGATGACGACGACGGAGTAGTAAACTATGACCCAACGTTCGCCGAGCTGCGATGTCCGGTGAGTCGCACAGTTTAGTGAAAAAAGAATGGATGTACCTTGCGATTGAGCTGCATAAGCAGTATACGTCCAAGCATAAGCCCTACGCAAAACGATTCAACCAGCTGATCATGGACGAAGGTGAGAAACCGCACCGCCGAAGAAGCCCGAAGAAATGTATCCAGCACTGGCGCCTCCACCACGTTCATCCTCAATGAAGGTGACAATCCAACCTAACGAGACACTCGGTCAAGCGCACACAATTGAGCAGAAGGTAGAAGGTGAAACCAACCTCCGATGGAGACTTCTACGCCGACATAGATCAGCGAGAACATGGCCAGGTAGTGTACCTCCTTCAGCCGCATGATCTGGTGATACAGGTTTTCGTTTACTCCGGGCTCTCCGACAGCCTCGCCCGCTTCCGCCATGATTTCTGCACACACAATGAGCACAGGACATGACACCCAATTCGTACAGGGACGCTCACGATCTAGGTCCTTGAGCCGGAATACGAATCCCAGTAAGAGGAGGTTGCTAACGGCGATACCGGCGGATATAAGGTAGTGGAACGACCAGTGGTCAGCAGACGAGAACTGCGTCGCCACGAGAGGCGACACCAGTGCTCCGAAACCTATTCAGTAGCATTTATCCTCTTCAGTGTCCCAAGTAAGCTGAAGCGCATGGGCCTACCGTAAGAGGCATGCAGGAACCCAAACATGTTATGCGCGCCATCCTTGAGGTTCCCCACGTAGCCGTTCGCCTGGGCGTTTTGCAGCGAGATGCCATAGCCCGCGAACACGAAGGCGATACACATGACCCAGAAGGGCCCGCCGGGTGCCATCATGGTGTATCCTATGAGCTGAAAGACGGCGCCTACGGGGCAGGTGAGCCTCGGCTCAGTCCGCCGATCAAGTATAGATGCGTACCGAGTACTAGAACCTGCATGCGGAACGGATCGTCATTACGTGCGAGGTCATCACGCGTGGTTGAGCACGTACCTTGCCCAGCCCGAGCTTTTGGTTTAACCACACATTCATCACCGCACCGCTCAAGAAGCCCTTCAAAGACGTGTGAATGTGCAATACAGTCCCCGTAGTAGCTGTCAGCGTACCACACAGTTCGTCACGAACAGCATAGACACGATCGCAAAGCCGATCTATGGGGGCGCGCGATTCATTTCACCGTTCAGCTGCTCCGCACGGGTGATCGAGAGTGACGGAGAGTCTGAATGCAGACTCACGTGGTAGGTGCGCTCTATCCTCGGCAAAAGTGGACCGGTCGATCCATCGTTCCAGCCCTCCAAGAAGAACGAATAGCAGAGCGCAAAGAACTGGATCCTGGCGTTCCGCCGGAACGCAGCGCGCTGGGCAGGCGTGACCGCTGGAGTGGTCTCCGCCGTGTAATCGAGCGAGGGGGCGTACGGCGTAGGCGCAATCTCGACGTCTGTTGTCTTGCTGAAGGAAAGCTGGCTTGGGCCGCTAGCGACCGCGCTAGACTGAGCGTTGTTGCGCTCGTCGATGGGAGAGAGGACGGGCAGCTCGATCGCCTCGCCCAACTGGGGAGTCCGGACGCGGGGAAGCTCAGAACGCCTACGGATCCGTTCAACTTGACTGGGCGGAACAACGGCAGAGAGATCGAGTGACGAAGCCGATGCAGCTGCCTCGGTCTCTAGGGCGGAGTCGTGGCCATACGGCGAATTCTTGAAAATCGAGCTTTCAGCCTTCAGAGCCCGGAGAATGTCCGCACGCTTGTCGGCTGCGCTGTTTGTCGAACCTGTGGAGACTCTGCGGGCCGCAGCGGCTGTAGTCGACGACTCGAGGATGGGCATCGACATGGTTGCGAGAGACAGAGATAGAGGCAGGAGAGGCACTGCGTGCGGTAAGTCGGTGAGTGTTGCGGGCCTTTATCCAGCGGAAATTGTGGAATTCCAGACTGGTCCTTGCGCCCCGCAACAGGTTCGAATACATAATGATTGAGTGATGAGATGGATCTCGGGCTGGAGGAGGACGCGCCATAAATCGTGTAAGTCAAGCGGACGCTGCCACTGTGCCAGACGGTGCCCCGACGGTGCCCGGTGACTACGCTTATCGGTCCGCCGGTTAAGAAATCTTGGCTATGATTCAATCCCCACACCGCCTATGGTAGTCAAAATGACCATGACTGCTTGTCTCATACAAGCACGGCAATTCATCAACCAACCCTTCGCTGCCCTTCGCCATTGATGCGACGTAAATGCCAACCCGTGAAGGCGCGGTGACTTACCCCATGGCTTCGTTGCCTATACAAGTCAGAGTTCGCGCCCAATTCGATCAGCTGTTCGGCGTACCTTCAAATGAGTACGCACCAGCAGCTCCCTACATTGTCGGTGAGGACGAGTCCGAGTGTCTTTAAGGAGGAGCTCTTCATCCACGATGACCGGCGTTCTGCCCGTGGGAGACTACTGCATTCGGGCATCCTTCCTGATTAGATCAACTCGTTACTGGACGCTCGCCACTTGTTCCCGATTCGCCACTATGGTCGCCCCGCTATACACGACCGCCTCCGGGCTGTTGTTCCATGCTGGTAAGATCCTGGTGCTCACGGTTGGTCTACCTGCGAGAGGGAAGACCCACATATCTCGTGCTCTCGAGCGTTATCTTCGCTGGACGGGTGTCAAAACACAGGTCATTTCGTTGGGCGATTACCGCCGCAAGGTAGTCGGCGGAACACAGAACTTGCCACCGGACTACTTCACACTGGGTAACTAGAACATACTGTGTACTATATGTCTCTGAGCAAGTGTGATAGGCGAGAAGAGCCCTGAGACCGTGGCTTTGCGTCAACGGATATCGGACAGCTGCGAGCAGCTTATCTGGGACTTCTTCAATGCGCAGGGACAAGTAGTGATATACGATGCTAACAATGGGACCCGGGAGCGTCGCCAAAAGATCGCAGAGAAGTTCGTTGCTGCTGGAATCCACGTCATCATGCTAGGTCCGGTGGTAGTAGTTCATTCTCTGCGAATGTTGCTGAAGGACAGATATTCAGAGTCGATTTGTGACGACGAACAGATGATACTGGCAAACATTCGCAGCGTCAAGATTTCATCTCCAGATGTACGTGCTGCAAACGGACCACGTCACTATAGCTGAGATACTTTAGTATCGGGGATGGGACCCAGATCAAGCAGTGCAGGATTATTATAAGCGGATCGGAGATCATGAGGTTCACTACGAGCCAGTTGAGGAGACAACGTATCCTTCGATCCGTATAAAGAATGTGAGAAGGCTCTATGTTGACCGCTATCCTCGTGCTAACTGGCGTATGAATAGGTCGGTGACAACATCATGGTCAATGTAAGCGGAGAGCTCCGCCGTCTTCCGTACCCTGACTTACCGGTTTCCAGGACATTCATGGTTACCTTCAGGTGACACGACATGCAAATAAGCTCCTGAATTGCGTCGTTGACCGCAGATACTAGTCGAGAACCGTTTTCTTCCTGATGAACATACACAATCGATTCCGTACAATCTACTTTGCCAGGGTAAGGTCTTTGCGACGTCAGTACGAGTCCAATAACTCATGCAAATATCTTCTCAGTCCGGTCAATCCCTCATCGAGCATTCCTACAAGGCAGATTCCGATCTCTCCCCAGCGGGTTGGGAATACGCCGAAAGGCTCAAAGAATTCGTCTTCGAGCGACGCGCAAATACACTGGAAGCGCGAGGTATGGACCCCGCAGAAAGGCGTTTGGTGGTACGTATTTCTCGCCCATGAAACACAGCGCTTCTCACCGTGACTCGAGATCTGGACGTCCGCTCGGAGGCGGTCACATCACAGCGCCTGGCCTTTCCTCACCACCGGCCCAATGACTCCTCCCCGCTCTCGTCTGTGAAGGTCATGGAGCGCCCGCAGATGTCTGAGATCAACCCCGGCGTGTGGGATGGTCTGACGCCTGACGAAGTCAGGCAGTACTACCCCGACGAATGGGAGCGCTTCGTCAAGGATCCATATGCGTACCGCGCCCCCAGAGCGGAGAGTTACCACGATCTCTGCGGTACGCTTTTCGTCTACTTGTGTCTCCAGCCGTGAAGCCTGAGAATTTGTTGCAGTCCGCTTGGAACCGACTCTCATCGAGTTGGAGCGGCAGAAGGAGGACCTGCTCATCATCGGACACGCCTCTGTAATCAGGTGCATGCTCGCCTACCTCATCGGCCTGCCCGCGTCGGAGATTCCCGCCATCGAAGTAGCCCGCGGGGACCTCATTGAGGTCATCCCGACGTCGTACGGTGTCTACAGCCAGGCGTACCACTTCTGGGATGGGCCCGGAAGGAGCGACACCAACAGCGGCAGCCCAGACGAGAAGAATTTCTACGAGAACTACGCGGAGGACACTAAGGGGAAGCGGAGGCCGGAGATCGAGAGCATAGAGGCATGAGAAGCACCTCTCAATGTCGATGGGTACACAGGAAAGCGAGAGAAGCTAGAGTCGCAATTGTATTCGTATTCTATTCGTCAATCCTCGTGCAACGGATATAACAAAGCGCGTTCTCGTTAAACTACTGATTGCACGCTCGCCGTGCCGTCGGCTTTTTCGACGCTCTTCCGATCCAGGTCCTCCTCCCTCGCAAGCTCTTCTCCCGAAGGGATGGCGTCCGTCATGCCGGAATGATCAACTTCCTGGAAGGTCTTCGATGCACCTGCGGCCGGGAAGAGCTGGTTGAGGGCCCAGTAGATGACTGCGGACACGCCGAAGCCGGTGAAGAAAGACATGTCGTAGATGTGGGTGGCTGCTATTGGTACTGAGCGGCCAGCTAAGAGGATATCAGGTTTAATATGACAGGAAAGACGAGTGAGGCCAAAAGGCTTACTGGCACCGGCGAAGCCAACCACGTTGATAAGGATGCCTGCGATGTAAGCCGCATAGGCCCTGCGACACGTCAATTCCATTCAGAACGGATTCAAATGGGGATAAACATTACCTGAAGTTTATACCATGTGTGTACGAGTACCATCCGTCCTTGTTTGCATGATACAGGTCTCTTACTCGATAATGACCCTTGCGGATGATATAGTAGTCTGTGATCTAGGAAACAAGCGTTCAAGACTAGCAAAGGAAATAAGCTTGGACGGCCATACCATCACACCGGCGATAGAGCTCAGGAAGACCGAGTACGCAGAGAGGTATGTGGTGAAGTTGTTGCTACTCTTGAGCAAATTCCACGGCAGCATACACAGACCGACTATAGCAGCAATATATCCGCCACGCCGGATGTTCTGCATGACGACATATTAACGATATGAATTGTGGCAAGCGATTCCATGACATACGATGAAGCGCGGGAATAGGGCTGTCAAATCACAGCCAGCACTAATGGAGTTGGCCGAGATGTTCGTGCTGAAACGACGCAGTGAGTGACATTACGTTGCGGATAGGTGATCGGCATACATACCCAAGCTAAATCAGGCGTAATGGTGTTGTTACGTTTAGATTGTGGTGACGAAGTTGACGTTGACGTGATCTTACCTGGGCAATTATGAATGCAGCAGCAATGAACCACACCTGAATCATCCCGAGATCAGCGGCGGTGTGCATGAATAGGGCGCGGACACTTTACTCCAAACCTAGTAGCATGAGATGGGCTGTCGTCCAGGAACATGCCCAGCAGGGTGATGGGAGACCAAACAGGCTGCCCATAGATAGCCTGCGATGAAGAGCTGACGATGATGCCGAGGAAGCTGACGATGCTGAAGCCGAGCGGTACAGCTATCAACTGTGGCCAGAGTGCATCTCTAGGTTTCTTCGCACGCGATGCGAAGTCCGGCGCATTTCTGCGACGTGGATGGGTCAACTACACATCTGTTACGCGTTCAGAGAAGGACAGTGCTTACGTGACGAGCGTGGCCATATTGCTCACGCACGACATCAGGTTGGCCACCATGGACCAACCCAGAGATGAGCCATGGACCGTGGACGGCTGCCGTACGATCGGACCGACGCCGTGGGCCTTGACGATGCACCAGATGAAGAACGTGATGCCGGCGATAGGCACAATAACAGCCTTGACGGTGAAGAGATGCCGCACTTTGTGAATGGGTAACCAAATGGCTGGTAGGGAGATGAGCCAGAAGAGGAAGAAGGACATGAAATCCCGCGTGTTCGTCCCGGATGATGCAGGCATTGAGTTAGCTAGATATCTCCATGAGCTTTCTGCCACATGTTTCTGCTGAGATGGATGCGTACGGATGTTCTCCACGCTTGGCCACATCGCTCGGAGCAGAACGAGGACGCATGTTCCTCCTATGCTGGCTTGTACACCATACCATACACTGTTTGGGGGGATATGCGTGAGCAGTTCCGACATAGTTGGCATTGCCAGTGGAATGACTCACCATGCCATAGCCGCTCTGTTAAACACACACCAAAGGCTGCCCCAGATACCAAAACTAGCCCGCGCAACAACAGGGAACGTTATATGGAACTTGGCGCCTGGCCGGGCATTGAGCACAATGAACGGTGCGACGACGCCATAGCCAATCCAAACGCAGATCCAGGCTTGCCACCAGGAAAGGCCAGCATCAACCATGGAAGAGGCGATCTCCCATCTGAAACAACCAATTGAGCTTTCAGGCGTCATACGAGCACACTGCTACTTACGTGTTGATATTGAAGCTGTCCGCCACCCAACTGTGAAATGAGGTTAGTTCGTACGAAGCATCTCACCTTACAACCCGCTTACGTACAAGGCAATGAAATTCCACATCCCCATGTCCGTTTCTCTGGTGCTACGGGGTAGAGATCGTCATTCTGCGCAACACGACTTGAGCATTACAATTTCCGCGCCGACCGGAGTGGGGAGAATCCTAACTTACCATGAGGAAGCCTTCGGCATATGACAAGTCTCTTCGGGACTCATGCTGATCCACTTCGAGGGTACGAACAAGCCGTTTCAGAGTGTCCTTTGTGTGCGCACCCATGGTCGTAGATCCGGTCAGAGTCTACGAGCTCCCCAAGCCATGCGATCCAACCCCCGGCGCAAGATATAGTCCTTCTATCTGATGGCCCCACCCGGGCCTGAGCAAACTTTTTTCGATAGATAGGCGCATGCCCTTGGCTGCCCCTTGGGGCTCGAGCCTTGTGAACTCGAGAGATAAGTGAGCGCTACTACGTTGACGCCCGTGTTAGCGACGTCGTCCGGTGGCGGCTCTGTGGTTAAGCTAAGTAGCGCAGACTGAGATACCGGTCCCTGGACAACTTGGCATTGAGAAGCACTGTAAGTAGGGCCTGAAGATGAAGCGTTGTGAGCACGCCAATACTAGTGTAGACAGATATTAACCAAAGCGGGCGTGGTTTATGATTATTGACGAAGCTTTCTTACCTCGGCCCACCGATGTTCTGCGTGAGGCACCCATCTGCATCAGTTGCACAATACCTGAAAACTGATTCCCGAGAACGCTTTCATAACCTGGGACTAATACCTGTGATGGACACATTCTCCCGCACGCTCAGGCTACTATACACAATAAATACAATCCTATCAAAGCAGACACACTCCAGGAACGACAAAGAGACGACGTACTGACCAGCGCGTAAGCTACGAGATGAATAGTCTGCGCAGTGCCGAAAACTCGCAAGTCTCCCCCGTCTTGGGGTCCTTTACAATACCGTCGTTCCTTGCGGCCATATCCTCCAATGCCTTCAACCTTTATAAGCGTCAACCCGAAGCAACGAATCATGCACCAACGTACCTCTCTTGAGTACACTTGGCCACTATTGGGGAACGCCATCGGCATGTTGTCCTCATTCATGATCTTGCCCGTGATTCGACAGACAATAGTCGAGTTCACGTGGTGGCTAAAGGGCACCTCTTCCGCAAGCTTGCCGAGGCTGGGGTCGCAAACGGGACAGTCGACGTTCTTCGTCTGTGGGTCGTAGCATGCGGGAAGTTTGAGCGATGCCAGTCCGGCGTACATTGCAAGGTGCAGCAATGGTTCGCTGGACAGTGTGCTGAGGTTGTAGATGGCCAGGCGGAAGGACTGTATGAGGGTGTTCCAGCGTGACAGGTCATACAACCGCTGATAAGTGCATCAGGTTTCGGTTACGTGAAGAACCCAGAGATGAGTGGCGCACTTTGTACGGACTACATGTGGTCGACGGTGGGAAACACAGAAGCGCAGACGCCTGACGAATCTGCGGCAGATGGCTTTCTTGCCAAGGCAGTAGGTGTTTCTTCGAGTACGCGATAGCCTCGAGATTCTTTCCCACTCTGGCCAATTCAATGTACTCTTGGAGCCGAAGGTCAAATTCAAGCGTATTCTGGCCGGTACATGAGAAACATGATCGGTGACATCTTTGAACGCCTACCTTGACTTTACGAAGGGCAGACTTGTTCTCACTGCACCATGTCAGGGCCTCTGTACAGCTTCTTTGTTTGAGGGCATCTTCGATACGCCGAATATCAGAGAACAGCTCAATGTCCACTAGGCGCTGTGACGGGGATTGTACATCATTGCAACGCGAACATTATAGGCATGCTGACCTCAATACGTCGCTCATCCGCTATCATCTTAGCAGTCTTCTCCTTTCCATTTCGCAGGGACCAGTCAACCAGCCATCGGTCGAGACGTGTGTCTGCCCAACGCGCGAATTCCGGGTCGCTGGACGCTTGCATACCCTCCACGCTTGAGAGATGCTTGAATCGTTCGCGCATGACACCGATCGTGGAGGCCCCTGAAGAGCTCTGCAAGTCTGCAAGCTAATGTTGCATCAGGACAAGTAAATGCTACCGAGCATCACAGAACAGACCTTCCGCTTGAGGGTCTCTACCCGAGTGATCATACTGTCCAGAGCGTTCACAGCATCTTCCGAGCTGCTACTGCCTGACTTCGCGCGCTTGGCGATGTCGTTCGCAGCCGTCTGTACGGCGGTAAGTTCCTTCTCGATGTTCTTCTGCGAAGCGCGGAAGACTTTGCGGTAATTCTCGTATGGGACCTGACGAGATGCGTGGTTATGATCACGAGAAACGCGGTAGCCGAATTGCTGACCCTAGCAAAAGGCTGTTCAAAGAGCATGATGCCCTCAATGTTCAGCTTGTTCGCACTCATGCTCGTTAACGCTGGGATGTTGCAGGCTCGAAGGGTGTTCTCAGGGGATTCCAGTGCAGCAGGTAGCTGCCGCAACGATGTTCTAGTCAGGGTAGCTTCAGACCCCAGCTATACATTGACGTGCTCGGCCACTCACGATACGAAACAGGCGGTCCTGACACCAAACTCCGGGCTTGCTCGGCCTGCGATTTGTGCGGAGGTGTTTCGTTTATTCCTGTCCTCCACGCCGTGCTTAATGATGGTATGAACTTCAACACGGATATGAAGCTACCTGTATTGGACCGAGCTAGGTAAGTTAGTACAGACGCAGCCCACGCCGTACGGTGGCGGTCAAGTGCCAGTGGCAGTGAGGGACGAAAAGCGCGCGCTTACATAAGTTACGTAGGCACGGATTAGACGCCTGTCAGTACGTCTTGTTCATGCATGCAGCACGCATCTGGGGGGCTTGGGGGTCCCCATAACCGGGCCCGCTCAGGAACTCTTCATGCGGTCAAGTCTCAGCGAGTGCGCTCGCAAAACTACGGCATGGCCCAGGTAACCGCCCACATTTGAATAATACGAACTCAACAGAAACGAGGCCTAGGATTTATTCAACTAGCCAGCGCCGGCAGCTGTGTGCACAAGCAGCTTCAGCTATCCCAAACTCAAGTGACAGATTGAGTGGTGCGTATACGGCCTTAGCCTACTATGCTCGCACCGAATGACCTTCCGTCTATCTACTCACGGTAGCACGCGCCACTAACCGAAAGTCAGACTATAACAGGATATCGCCCACTGGCGTCTCACCACTGGAACGTATGGCGATATCCATTGCCCACTGGCATGTGCTTCTATTACTACCCTGAAGGTGGGTGGCGCGCTTTCGTTGTGAATCAGCTAATGTCTAATTCATCCTAGTATGCGTGCTACACCTCTGGCTTGTTACCTGTAGGAGGCACGAGCGTAGGTGGGCCCGGCGTACACAGAAAGGCCCGTATGCGTGGTAGCTCTAACGCTTCTTTCAAGCTGAACTTACTGCATGACGCATCTTGCGTGTCCGAGTAGAGCGTTGTGGACCTGCATCCAAATCCAGCGCTTAATCACGATCACTGATTCCGACCGCACTGCCCGTAGAGCCCATAGAGACGCGCCACCCATTGCTGTTTCCTAGGGTTCGGGGATGATGGCCGCCTCGCCGAAAACCTTGCAGGAGCAGGCCGCCGCCGTGCCAGACGCGCTCCATGAGTACGTGCGCCCCCGGCAAAACGAGAGCTGACCAAGCCCCGATAGGCAGCTCTTGTGCGTAGCGTACTCCATCGTCGTTCTGGGCGCGGGATCAGATGGTGTCCGCAAGTCGCGCCCCGCCCTGGTTTCCTGTGCGTTTTGACAACCGGAGGTATTTTTGATCACGCTCAGGCAGTCTCGACCGGGGCCCAATGCCGACTCTCCTCCCAAAATGGTCGTCGCTGCGCCTGCGTCGCCAATAGCAGCGGACGCTCCGCGGACACACACACTGTCCGACTCGCCATCGGAACGAGCTGCTGTCGCGACCTTTCTGCCTTCTCTCGACTAGGAGCTGAGATAGGCTTACTCAAGGGCCCGCAATATCTCGCCTCCGTTTGCAATCGCAATCGAGGGACGCTGTTCCGTGGCCATGAAGCCAAGCCGTTCGGGTGTGGGTGGCTCTCTAGGGGTCTGTCAAATTGGCTGCATTGGGCTTGTAACTGCGGTATCCCTCCATCACAATCTCATAACCTGACGTATGTCCGCTGCCTTTGGAGGTAGTGTTTCTCCAATTGTCGCCTCTAGGATGCTAACAATGGAGCGAGAACACATTTTCTGTCTACAACAGCGTAACTTGCGGTTTGCTCCGCGCAACTGAGCTCGCGTTCCTTCAGATGCTCATGCAAATTTCGCTTCTTGCACTGCGTTGTCCAATATATGGTATGGATCTATGACTTTGGTTGTATCTTGTCAATCGCTGAACTCTCGTGCGCGGCAATGCGTCGCTGGAGCCACTACCTCCAGTCGCAACATACGGATGGTAGCGTCAACTCCGATCCTGAGCGGCTCATGTGCGTGGAACTTCAGGAAGCTTGTTTCGATGCATCGTTTATTGGGCTCTGCGATCGGTGTTAACAGATAAATGCAGTCTCCCTACTGCTGTGCCACGCTCAACGTCTCTGACATATTCTGTTATCGCCAGGTTCACTGCTATATTGGACAATTTCAATGACAGTATTCTTGGATTGATACGATGCCGTGGATCGCCAACAAATCTGCTCCTCCCCGTCCATCTTACCTCATTTTTCTGAGTGCTACCGGAGCTGGGACCTCCAGCGGCCGCAAATGAATGGTCTCGGTGAGCTCGGTCTCCAATGCGTTGACGACTGAACTCCAATCCATCAGGCACGTAGAAGCAGGACTGAGGGTAGTACGCGCTTGCGAAGGGCACCACAGTGTCTCAGAACTGAGATTATTGCTACACCCAACATTGCGCAGTCATGTTGCACAGATCTCAGACCAGAGAAGCATCCAACCGCATAGAATGTTCCGCCACAGAGACGGTCTTATACATGTGTACAGACTGACAGACCCCCACTGAGGCAGTCAATCCCATTTCAAGACGGATCTACTCACTCATTGACAAGACGCCGCGAGTCAATTTACAACTTCTTGAGGCTCGACCTGACTCTGATGCCTTACAGATTAATGTGGCAAACGGACATATCGAATATCTTGATCGACTTTCAGGCCTCATGGACCATACCGTTCGCGCAATGCATTGCTTGTTTGGCAAAAACCTGCGAGAGTATGAGTATTTGTTTATGCGTTCTGCCGCATCCGAGTTCTGCCGTCGCTTCTCAAATTTGGATGCAATGGTGTCTTAACCAAAAGTCTCCATGCTTGTGCGCGTCCGTGCGATTTTTATGCCAAGTACGTTGAAAGCACCGGTCTCTTTTGATCACCATGCATGCCTGAATAGCGGACCTGTTAGCGCTCAACATTAAATATTCGAACCTAACGACCGGCCGGCACGGAAGGTCCCAACCGACTTTGTCCAACAATACTCTTCGTTACGTAGCTATCCGCCATCACGCGTCGCGTCGCGGGTACTTACTGGCGACTCGGACTCAGATGTGCACTGCTACATACGCTGAGTCGTGCCGTGCATTACCCGTCTTGTCTATGTTCCGTTTGGTGTAGGAGTCAGCGCTCTGATCCGCGACCTAGTAATACCGAGCGGGTTATACACCGATTGCAATTCGCGCCAGATCTGAGCCTATCTCCGCCGTTCTGGTTGAGCATATGTGCGCTGAACGGGTGCGCCCAATGGAGCTTTTCGATTGGTACTACAACCAACGTTTCTGCACCGAGTCCAACACTGTCCCCGAAGTTTACTGATTTGGCGAGAGGGATGCGCAAGCATTCGGTACGGTTGTGCAAGATACCGTGACGGCAACCTATTTCCGCGTGGTCTCGGACCCGCATATTTGAGTACCTCCGGCACATTCGGACTGAAGAACAAAGCCTACTACTATCCTTGTGGGAGGGTCAGACTCGTAGAGTAGTGACCTTGTAACATGTGCAGTTTGGGTACCTTTCGAGTCGCCGGTATAGTATACCTTTTGCACGACTGTGAATCGACTACAGGCCCCAAGTGGAATATGTGAACGGTCAAGGTATGAACGCCTCCTCCTGGCCTCGGCTGTCTGTGTCAGTGCGTAATTTTAGTAGCGGGTTTTTGTTGGTCTTTTGTCTCAAGAATTCGGAATCTCCTCAGAATGGCCCCGTTTCCCAAACTGCACATTGGGTGAGTTTGCCTACTGAAAAACATCCCATAATACTGTCCGTATCCCCACACTCATGTACTTGGTGACATATCGCAGTCGAGATGGACCCTCAGAGGCCCGGAGAAGGTGTCAAGATCAGTGCGTCGCACGTGAAACCAAGCGCCTACACGCATCTCAGATTCAGATCTGTGTAGAAACATGAACGTTCGGCCATCCTGGCCAGAGTGTTGTATTCTCTCTATCGTCTCAACTCTACCCTACATCACTGTGTGCTATGTTTGTCATCGAACTCTACGTGTGGCGCGGTCTCCAGCGCCCTGCACACTTGCATTGCGACCACCATGACCTCAACCAAGCTCCCGTTCATCGCCCTGCAGACCCGGACATGGAGGCATATATTAGACCTGCCTTCAGTCAAGCCAGAGCCCATCGATCCAGACACCTGCAAGAGGTGTACAAGCACTCCAAAGAGCCTATCGACATTTCCAATCTTCGCAATGAACCCCTTTGCTGCTGGTGGTTGGGGAACTGGCTCTGGAATAGCACCCTCCATCTTCGGTGCCCTCCCCAGCGTGGCGATTTCGAATGCAAAGACGACGCAGCCCGACAGCGTGCTGTACAAGTTTACCAACTGCAACACCACCATATTAAACTGTAACATCGCTGGACCACAAGGCCGCGTCGTGTACCGCGTCGTGACCGACTCCGGAGCTCCGTCGTCCACGATGTGGAAAGACAACGACAACCGCAATGTGGCCATGGTCAACTGGCAGCCCAACGCCAACGTGGAGATACGTGGGATTGCCTCCAGACAGCGAGCACGCGACTGGCTTCATCTCTCCGCTGACAAGAGGTTCGATCAGTATACCCCGCTTCCACAAGTAATTGCACCCATGCTAACGATGAATGTACCTTTCTAGCAAGCGTGTCATGACTATCGCCGGGGTTCAGTACGCATGGTCCCCTATCGAAGGCTTCATATGTGTATGTCTTCACTAATATTATTGGCCGAGATAGTCACTCACCGTTGGTGTAGCTTTATAAGCTCCAGTCGACCGCCCCGAGAGTCCTGGCCAGGATTGGGAGAGCCCAGGACGTCACTCTCGAGATGACTCAAGAAGCCATGCAGCTGGGCCTGCTAGAAGCGTGCCTTGTCGCTACAGTGCTCTTGACCTGTGGCCACAATGTCGACTAATGAGCCACATAATCATCCCGAGCTCAATAGCACAGCTCAGTAGTAGTGCAACGCACCTATGTAGCAATCATATTCCTTTTCGTTTTCCAACCTACTGTAGTATAGCCGTTCATGCACATGCATTGTACGAGCTAGCGGGCAAGAGGGTCACTCTTTATTTATTTAATGTATGTTGTTCACCACTGTTGCAATCTGGCGTCGCATTTTCCCATGACAGGCCCAACCATAAATAATAGGGAAGACAGTACCTCGGTATTGAATATTGGGAAGCCAATGCCATCTTGTGATCATGAAGACAGTTCGTTCGGATGAAGAGAACGCGCGCAGCTAACCGCGCGCAGCTAACCCTGCGCAGCGCAGAGTGGAGTCAGTGAGGCTGATCTATGGAGACCACAGTCACTCCGGGATCCCAAAGATTTCTACGGCGTCAACAGAAGCCAACGTCAATGCTATTAATATAAGATTTGAGTCCGCGCAAGCAAAAACATCAACTGCACCTCATAAATGACCGACACGATCATTGAGTTGACGATTCAAGGCTGCTTGTAGGTGGCAAAACCAAGGAAGTATCAGGCATGCACGGCTATCCAACAATCCCATAATACATAATAAACATTGTCATGCAGCTTCAACAGTTTTAAAAATCGTTCGTATGCGGCCGTGCGGATATTGTGTATCCGCAGACCATCGTCCAACAAAGCATTGCGCACCGGAGACTGGTTCTATGTCAAAGGGTCAATACCCGTCGCTTAATCACAGCATGCCCAGCCACTTACGAGCGCGAGGGGCCTCACTCGGTCGAGGCGCGTAGTGAGCTGTGTAGTCATCTCCGCCACTGCGGCTTTATGTCTGACATCAGACTGATCATGCAGCACGTCCGGCAGCATACTGATGAGCCTCGGTACGGATCGCGAAAGATGTTCGAGGTCTGCTGCCTCCGCCGCATCGGGAACGGCAGAGTTCGTGTCTTCGAGGTAGTCTCCTAACTCCTCCAAACGTAACATGGCATGCGCGTAGTCCAAGAAGACCTATCGACGAGCATGCAATGAGTGATCCATGATATACACTGATCTCTGATTTTGACTGACCTTGCCTCTCGCATGCCAGTCATCTACAGGATGATCAAGGAACTGCTCGAATAATCCTTTCAGCAGCTCAAGATCCCCACGGATCACTGCGTCGGGCGCTAGCTCCAGCACAGCCAGATCGTGTGCAGCATTATACAAGCCGGCGGATAGATAAAGCTCGTACGCGCCGAAGACATCGCCACAGTCCAACGCATGCATAGCCTAAATTGACGGCATCGTGAGCGCGGAATGGAGATGAATTTTTGGCGTTTTACCTTGGCTTCGTTGACCCAGGCCAGCGGTAGCTTCAAGCTGCCCACGAGCCCGCGAGTCATCCAGTCATCCAACAAAGCCGCGGAACGACCCAGGAGCTCCTTGATTGCCTTGACGCGCCTGGCCGTGATCCGCGAACGTGAGCCTGCCACTCAGACACACAACCGATCAGAAACATACCCGGCGGAACCCTCGATATGTAACAGCACAAATGCCGCTTCCTGGATCAAGCCTTGCTGCTCCAGCTGCAGCGCATAGCTGTTCGCTAGGAGGTCCGCGCTCGGGCTATGGCCCTCCACCGGTGGTTCACCGTCCTCACTTGCGTCACTCGCATCTTCGCCCATAGTGAGACCAGCGTTGCCCCGATCGGCGAAGTCACGCACACGCAGACATCGCGACATCAGGATGTATAGATGCCACGGAAGGCGGTAGTCCGCGGGGGACGCGCTGAATGAGAGCGGCGTCAAAACGGTCGACAACGAACATGCAGGGTCGGCGTATAGCCTGATGAGAGAGTACAGAGCGTCCGGAGGATTAGCAGTGGATGCTCGTTTCCATGGGGCTAGGCTTGCATCACTGTCGGGCTGCTCCATGTACCAAGGAAGAGGTGAAGCAACGTTTCCTTGCGTGTTCTTCCAGTGCTGCTCGTACGCCTGGAAAGCGTCTGCGACCGTAGACTCCAACGGCTCGCCGTACCATAAGTGAAGGCCAAACGCTCGCCGCCAGTTCAAGCCCTTCGGGATGGAAATGTCGGGGCACCTATCAGGTCCTGGATCCTTGGAGCCTTCCAGCGTGTCCACAATACCACCGAGTAACGCGTATATCCGACGCGTGCTCTCGGTGATGTGGGCATCAACGTGGTCTCTCAGCCACGCATGCAGCTGTGTCCGCACATCGTCTCGGAATACGTCGTCTCCAGGGCATTGCGAGATGAGGGTAGCAAGTTTGACGTTGCCGCTGTCCATAGCGATCTCGCATGCTTTCTCGACTTGGTTCCCAGACAACAGTGCGAAGATACTGAACCCCCAGTCAGCACCGGGGTTTTCGCGCAGGTCCGAATCCACCGACGCCGCCACGGCGTTCTGCAGCCAACTTGAAAGCGCAGCTTTGCGGCGCAATGCGTACACTCGATTGCGGATGTCAGCCCCAATAGGTTCTTCTAGGCGCAGATGGATCGGGTCGAACAGCGCTCGGCCTAAGCGGAACAAGCACGCCTCGAACGTGCGGTCGGTGGCAGGAAATAGCGCGGCGAACGAGGAGAAGGTGAGCCGTTTTGACGGGTTTGCGAAAGGCACTCCATCTGCATCCGCCTCGATCGGTGAGGAGCTCAAGTGATGTGTGAGCAGTTTGGATGCGCGCTCGTTCACCTCGGCCAGTGATCCTACCTCAAGAGGCACAACCGTTTTGTGCAAGACAGAGGTGTTGGCCGAATTTGTCCTGGAAAGTGTTACGCAAGATACTAGAAATGAAGTGAAAGGGCTTACGGTGCGCTTTGAGGGCCACACAGGGCACCGAGGTGAATCAAGGTGCCTCCAGGGCCCCAGCCGACGCGGAACGAGCGTCCAAAAGCCAGTCCCGCATCCACGAAAGCGCCCTCGGTACCAATCACTGCAGATGCGGAGCCCTCAACGCGAGCATACTTCCGCGTTGGTCGGTAGGGCGCTGGTTCAAGATCTTGTGCGAATGATGCGCGCTGCGAAGCGTATGTCAGATACAATTGAGAGCAGAAGACAACTGAGGCGAAAAGTAATGGCTTGTAAATATGTTGAATGCATGATTTCCCCGCGAGCTTGCCATAAGCGAGATATTGTGGCGCTACATGCATATGCACTGCAGCCAGGTCTGTTTTGGATCCTAGACCGTGATCTTCGCAGAAGATATACTAGTTCGACTGGTGTGGCATGGCTACATGTCGTGCCGGGCGCGACAAGACTGAGGGGGCACAAGTTCTGGGCATGTCGGCGAGCTGTTCTACTAGGTTCCCGAGAGATGCGCTTGCAGATTGTGGAACAAGATGAGATGAATAGAAATGTTTACGCACCTGACGCATTTCCGTTCGCAGTCCCTCTCCCTCAGAATCCCTACTATGCTTCCGGCTCAGGCCCGCGAACACAGAGACCTTACGACGCAATGGTGGCTGTGACGCGGCCTTCAGCGCAGCCTCCTCCTCTGGCACCCGAAACAGCGCCGCCTGCATAACGTGCATCTTCTGCGCGTCCACCCCCACTTCTTTCGCCCATGTTGTGAGAGTCGGGTCTGCCAGAGCGCGCTGGGTCGGCGGCGGCGATTTGATGGCTGGGTGGAACTGAACCGTATGCCGTTGTCGAATTGCTAGTTCGTCTTCGGGTTCCTCCGGCTCTGACTCGCTGGGTTCAGAGATGGGTGAGTCTGCTCGTCTTCGTGCGCGAGCTGCGGGTGCGACCTCACGACCGCCTTCGTCTTCAGACGCGCCGGATGCGGACCCGACCTCGTCATCTACGCGCTTCGCGTCATCGTCGGAAGAGTATTCATCCTCGCTGTCCGTTGAGTATGCCCTGAAGCGCATGGGGACGATAGGTGGTGGCGGCGGCGTGGGGAGTGTCCTTTTGTTGAGGTGAAGTGTTTGAGGTGAAGTGAAGCGTTGACCACAACATGCGAGTCGCGCATAAACGCGGCAACACGTGACACGAGCGCTTGTCCTTGTTCTCCCAGCGCTTCCGCTCGACGATCGCTTGTTCTCAACCAGCGGCATGTTCGTCCTGTTCGCCTCGTTGTTCCCTTCTCCGGCCTTGAACTTGGCTTCCCTCTTTTTAGTGTCTGGGTCGTATGCGACGGCTCGAAGCCCTATTTGGCAGAGAAGGCAGGTATGACATCTGCAGTCCGGTCGTACGGTCGGCTCGCGCTCACCTGTACTGTCCGGTCTGTATAATGCTCACACTGAGTGTTACATGATTGACTACTTACTCTGCTCTCGCTCGTTACAGCTAGGTCCATTTCGTTGGCCCGCGCCTTCAAACACATAGGCGGAGTCCAGCGGGTTTGATATGGGATCACACCGGGCGCAGCGGAATTTGACGGCCAGGCTGAGCCAGGCAGCCGCGACCTTGGCTAGGCGGCCAGGTCGAGCGGCACAGTGTCCGGATCACCAAATACCAACGTCCGACGACCCCGCTCCTATGCGCACTTTCTGTGCGGGCCAACGAAATGGACCTAGCTGTAACTCTGCGCATCTTTCGCACTTCAATTCAACGTCTGTAGGATCGGAGTCGCCGCCGGCGGGCTACCCGCGGACATCACATCGATTCGCGCACTGCCCTGTGACAATCAACCGGTTCTGCCCAGTGTTCTCGTCTTCGTCTTCGCTTCCGTGACACGCATCGCGTCCTTCATGCCCCAGCCTCAGGCTCCAGCCCTGTGTCCGACTTTCCGGTCCCGGTGCTCCTATCTCTCACTGCTCTTCAATTCGTCCCGGCTCCGGCACTCCCAAAATGCATCACATCTTGTCTGCGAACTGCCAATTCGCTTCTCCCGGCTGGACATCTCAAGCCTATAAACGGTAGATCCTCCCACAAAGGGCGTTCGCAGAACATTGGACGCATGTGCTCGGACTGGCTTAGCGGAACTGCGGTCTACGGATTGGTAAGTGTATCCTCCTGGCGCAGTGGATATCCGTCTCTACTCATAATCCTCTACTATGTAGCTCACAATGCCCCTGAATCGGGAGCATATTCGATTTGGTGTATATGACAGCTAGCATGAGGTCGCCCGCAATCACAACGGAGTCATTTTACCTCTCTGTGATCTATCATGACAGTATTCTGGACGAACAGAGCCGAGCATGTAAGCAAGTCTCAACTCTGTCCATGACGCGCATTGTGCATGACTGCATGCTGACCCGAAACTCACATGTGGATTTTTGCGAACGTTGCCCAAGCTTGCGCCTTCACTGTCTCGTCTTAGGAGGGATACACTGTGTAAGTACATAGATATCTCAACTTGGTCTGTTGATGGGTGCTTTCGAATGTCGCACCACATTGGCGGCTTCCCTGCATCGTCCAGATGTGCCTTTGACTCCGACTTCTGGCATAGAGGTCCGATACTGATACAGCTAGGTCCATAACGTTGGGCCCCGCCCAAAACAGCGCGTATAGGAACGAAGGTCGTCGGACGTTGGTACTCAGCGATCCGGACACCGCCGCTCAACCTGGCCCACCATAGCCAAGGTCGCGGCTGCCTGGCTCAGCGCTCAGCCTGGTCGTCGAATTCCGCTGCGTCCGGCGTGATCCCATATCAAACCCGCCGGACTCAGCCTATGTATTTGAAAGGCGCGGGGCCCGACGATGTGGACTTAGCCAAACCCAGCTGTAAGTATTTCTCTGATAGGCCTGGAACTGTGATGGTCAGGGACGCCAACGCGGCTGCAGAACGATGATGGGACTGTCCTCGAGATTGTGAATCGCATGCATACATCCTGTCAATAGAAGAGCCAACAACGTGTGCTTATAACGAGGTTACCCACGGTTAGAACGCTCGTCCCGAGAAGCCGCGGCCCTCTAACTGCGAGCCCCGAGAATTCCCACTGTCACAAAAACTCAAGGAATAAGCACATTAGGTTTTTGTCTCGCGATCCAACATGGCCACACACTTGTCACTTTGCCATTAAGCTTGCAGATTGTCTCCGGATCGCGATGGGTTGAGCAAGACTACTTCGGAGTCGGGAGGAGGACGCTACGGTATCGTCGACATGGGCGCCTGTGGTACCTGACTACGCATGCAGGCATTGCGTCGAGGGTCTGACAAGAAACCCCGCTGGGTGAGAAACGTTGGCCACGCCACTACTTGAGCCTCTCTACCTGCGCGTTCCTTCGCAGTCTCCGGGGCAGGCCAATCCGAATATCACCCCTACTCGGTCGCCGATCAGACCACGTACCAAATTGCGATACCAGGCCAGCCCACGTCCAATCACTGCCGTGCATCGTATCCGGATTCCATGCCTGTGCTGCCATCGCAGCTCTAACCCCACTTACGGCCTGCCGCGACCTCGCAGACCGCTCCATCGCGTGCCTTCATACGGGTGCTTTTCATCGTAGCTGTGCTCCCTGACGCCCATCCGTGGCGCGCCGAGGCCGTTACGATATCGAAGCAGCTGCAGTATGTAACCAGCCTGATACGGTCACCCTAATTTGCCGCCAATTCAATGACGTATATAAATATGCCCACCAGCCATAACGCGCACGCCTTCCGCCCCCACCCGCCGACGATGGACCCCTACTTGGTAGCCGCGTTGCTCGCCCTGCCGATCCTGTACTCCGTATGGCGGAACTTCCTGACGATCAGTGCTGTGAGTTGATGATTGGTACTTTGTGCTATTCGGCTCACATGTACAACCCTACAGTTGTCGCGCATACCGACGGTTGGCGGACCCTCCATCCCGATACTTGACTTCATCGGCGCCATTCGCTATCTTATGCATAGCGATGTCATCCTCTGGGAAGGTTACCAGAAGGTTTGTTAGAGATGTCAGATGCGGTTGTACTGTTTGACATATCACGGTCGCGTCGTTTCCGCAGTACCGCAATGGCGCGTTCAAGCATCGTGATGTAGACGGTTGGCATGTCGTGGTCAGCGGGCCGAAGCTGGTGGAAGAACTCTGCCGTGCCCCGGAGAACATGCTGTCCTTGATAGAGGCGAGCAAAGATGTTCGTGCTCGTTCCTCATTCGAACGGAAAGGCCAATACTCACGCAATGCAAACACAGGCAGTCCAGACGGACTGGACGCTCGGACCAAGTCTCGACCGGGTCGCATACCATATCCCAATCATCCGTAATACGTTCACGCGTGCATTGACACCTCTTTTGGAGACATGCACGACGAGATTGAACACGCGTTCGACGATAATATCCCGAAGACCAAGGGTACGTCCTTAGTCTACCATAATCGCATGGCGGAATCTGATCATATTGCTAACGAACCTCATGATACCATCCTGTTCAGACTGGATCAAGGTGCCTATGCTCCCTACCATGATGGAGGTCGTGTGTCGCACGAGCAACCGCCTTTTCGTGGGGCTGAGTCTATGTACGTCCCGTGATCGTCGCCTCCGGCATTCCCACGTCGAACTAAGTTCGTGCCTCCTTGTTCCCTGCAGGCAGAGACCGGACTATATCGAGCTCAACAAGCGTTTCACGCTTGACATCTTCGTTGGCGGGCAGATCATCCGTCTGTTCCCTGATGTCCTGAAGCCGTGAGTGGCGGGAAATGTCCCTCGCTTGAGGGTGGCAGACACTGAAAGTACCTGCGGCGGATCTAGAACGGCGGTTCGGCTCCTCACTAAGGTTCACAGTGGGATCCAGAGAGGCACGAGGCACCTGCAGCCGCTCATCGAGGAGCGTCTCCGGATGATGAAGCAGCATGGCAAGGAGTGGCCAGGCAAGCCTGTGAGCGCGGATCTTGCATGTTCGCGAGGGACCGTTGCTGATTCACGGAGCCTAGAATGATATGCTGCAGTGGGTCATGGACGAGGCGGAGGGCGACGAGCTCCTGGTCGATCGTCTCGTCATCCGGATTATGACGATCAACATCACGGCGATCAACACCTCCAGCATGGTACGTTCTCCGCTACATATCGTATATTATTCGGAAGCTAGGGTCGTGGTAGACCTTCAGCAACGCTCTGTTCTACCTCGCGGCCCATCCCGAATGGGTGCAGCCGCTCCGAGATGAAGTGGAGGGGATCCTCAAGGAGGAGGGCTGGACGAAGGATTCCGTAAACAAGATGGCCAAGGTCGACAGCTTCCTCCGGGAGTCTCAGCGCTACTGCGCCCTCGGGACGAGTGAGCTCCCCGTCTCCTCCACGCGGCGTCGAGCTGACCTACCATCTTCAGAGTCGCTCCGGCGCACTGCGATGTCGGACTACACCTTCTCTGACGGGACGTTCATCCCGAAGGGCACGAAGATCTCGATCCCGATGCACGCGATCCACCACGACGAGGACATCTACCCGCACGCGAACGTGTTCGACCCCTGGCGCTGGTCCGAGGTCCGCAAGGACGACACGGAGGCGACGAAGTTCCAGATGGTCAGCACGGGCCCGGAGCACGTCGCCTTCGGCCACGGGCGGCATGGATGGTGTGTCCCGTCTTCCCGGCGCAGACTTCTCCGCGAGGCGAAGCTGACATGTTTGCGTTTGTGACAGCCCCGGCAGGTTCTTCGTCGCGAGCGAGCTGAAGTCGATGCTCGCGCACCTGGTGCTGAACTACGACATGAAGATGGAGAAGGAGGGCCAGGTCCCGCCCGTGCGCTGGTTCGGCACGCGTCTGTACGTCAGCCGGAAGCAAGAGGTCATGTTCCGCAAAAGGCAGACGTGAGGCGCAATAGCGCCGTAACCCATTTTATGTGTATAGTGGTGCTTTATTTTGGCTCGTTGTTACTCGCCGTGCTTTCTTACCTGCTCTTAGAGTATTGTTGTGTCGTTTTAGTTTTATTGCATGGACACTTTGGCATCGCGACTGGATAACGTATTACTGGGCCCGGCTAAGTACTCAAGTTCAAAGCGGTCGGCTGCAAAGAGCGTGATTCTTTGGATACACTCACCATGGTGTCGATATGTACTTTTGCATATACAGCACAGGCTGAGCAGAATGCCTGTCACTGTATACAAGCACTGCGTTCACGGTCGGGGCATGATGTAGCGTGACAGAAACGCGACCCGTCACGCGTGCCAAACCTGTGACCATACGCGATTCTCTTCTCAACGCGCGTCAGACGCGCGTTCTCCTTTCCTCGACCCGCTGCCGTCTCCTTCTCTAGCAATGGCCGAACACATCTCACCTCGCGTAAATGCGACTCGCCTCGCAGAATACATTGGGCGAACCGTTCGCCTCACATGCAAGGTAGTCAGGGTACGCACTGTCGCCTCGTCCGCGTGGATGACCGAGCTCTGATACCAGTTAGCAATATAGTCTCAGAGCGACGTGGCTATCGTCCAGGCGCCAGATGGTGGAGAAGTTTCTGTGCGACTGACGAAGGTAAGCTTCTAGTTCTCGATGTAACGAGCATCCGATCACGACCGTGTCCAGGGTGCCGACATCACCGCTCCCTTCATTGAGGTCATCGGCGCAGTCGTCGATGCCGGGACGGTCAGAATGCTTGCTTGTATCAATCTCGGTGACGACCTGGGTGCGCGACTTACCTATACACAAGCTGTGCTGGGGCTAACTCGGATGCTCTCCCCAGATATGGACCTCGTGAATGATGTTGTAGAGGTGTGGCACGATCCACGTTTCGCCAAGATGGTATAAAATGTATGGAACAAAGGGCGCCACGGTTCATTGCTGTATTTGTATGTGCTGTATTATTATTTGCTCCACAGACTTCATCCTTGAAACTACGGCGTTGAAAGGTGTCTCGAGAGTCCCGGGCAATGTCTCTGCGGGTCGCAAACACACCGTGGCTACTTTCGATCTGATATCTGACAGGCACGAAAGCTGACACGCGATCCGTGCTTGCATGCATGTTCGGCTCGTCCGGCTCGCGGTAAGTGGATGCTATTCTTCTCTGCATTTACCTGAGCGCGGGTTGCACTTACACATCTGCGTGTCAGCTAGCGATCCCACTAACCCGGGGTCTGCGGGTGTGATCAAAAGCGTTCTTCGCGTTGGTCTCACGTTGCATTGAACTAGTCGGCCTGCATGCGAGCGATATCGCTGATTGGCAACATTGCAGCTGCCGATGCAACCGAAGAGTCAGAGGCTGCCGCTTTCTCTTGAAGTACAGGCTACCTACGCGATACATTCGTCTGCCGTAGCTATGACGTCCATGGCACCCGTTGAAATCCTCCGGGCATGTCGTCGTGATCGAGCGCGTCATGACTGCGGACAAGAACTAGGAACGCTGGCAAGCAATCCTTGTCCATGCTGTGAAACGCAAATCTGGTCGTAGCGTATGTGGCGCTCCCAGTCTTTGTTCATGTTCAACTAATCGTAGGAGAGGTGGACAAAACCACATAGATTGAAGCGGACTGTGCGTCAGCCTTAATTAGGCACGCCCATACTCTTGGTTTATTTAGTTGTTCCCGCGGCGTTTTGTGTGGAACGGTCACGGTGGCGTTCAATCCATCCAAGGCTGGTCCTGGATTAGACATACGCGTCTCGCGCACATACACCGCTCAATCTTCCGTCATGGTGTCCCCGGTACCACACAAGTCACGGATGCGGCCATGGACACCCTTGACTCAAGTTGCCAACGTGCTCAGCCCAAAACGTTTGCCTCCGTGTGGCAGCTGATTCGTCGAAATCTTGTGTGAAGTAAGTATAGTCACTGGTTTGTTTTGTTGTCACCCGTAGGCAATGTACTGACTATGCCAGTGCCAGGGATACAATTGAGCCCAGTTTCTGCTGACCGGACAAGGAGCAGGAAGTCGTTTCACATCTAGCATCGGTTTGAGAAATTTTGAATTACAATACACTAATGGCGTCCTGTGTCCGTGAAAAGCCACGATTCAATATCCATGTGTCAAAGCAATATCCATGTGTCAAAGAATGTGGTACGGAGCGCCTTGTTCAACTAATCAATAGGTTCCGCAAGTCCGAATCCAACGTACAACGATTAATTGAGATCACCGCCGTAGAAGACTGAACGCCTCAGGTGAGCTTGAGCATTCCTTGAACTACAAGCAATCAAGACTCACTGTACTTCGCCACGTAATTCACAGATATGTCCGAGTCATTGCCGTACGTGCACTGGTCGTAAGGTCAGTCCTCGGTCAAGACAATCTATACAGTTGACAGCAAGACTCACAGACGACGGAGGCTGGCCGCCAACCGAGTCGAACCGGAAAAGTTCGCCCGCAATCTTGCCCTCCACATTCAGGACCTCCAGCCAGGTGATGTCCGTCGCAGCGTCGTTCGGGCTAGACAGCGTGCCGTTGACCCTCCCGATGACGAACGCCTCTGAGTTGCCCTCAAACTTGCCATTTGACGTGAAGTCCCACTTCGGAGAGAGGCCCTGATTTGTGACAGGGTTGTGCACGAAATAGTGCTGCGCGAGATTCGCGGGCGGGTTGAGGAAGTGCACAAACTCGATCGTTTGCTGGATGGACATTGACCGCGAGAGCTCGTCCCAGCTGGATAGAAAACGTCCTGGATTGTGGGAAACCAGGATGCGTTCACGTAGCAGGAGGCGTCGATTATCTCGGCTACCGCGCCCACATTTCTGCAGTCCACGGCGGGTCAGTAGGTGAGTGGAATATTCGCTCTCCTTGGATCACTCACGTGAAGGTATTGCTAGATGAGCAGGTGTAGTTTTGCACGCCAAACGCAAGACCGATGAACTCCGGGTCCAAGTTGCTTGGGACCGTGAGCTGGGTCTGATTTGACGGGAACGAAGGCACGAAGCCTGACAGACTACAATCAGCTACCTTGCCGTACCCCTTGAAGTCGGTCGAGTTCGCGCCGGGAGACCATCCATACTGGAGTGCAGTTGCGATGAGCGAGCCTGTGAAGGTCTTCAAAAGGGAGGACGTGTCGATCATGTACATGGCGGCGGGAAAATACACGTATTAGTCGGTGAAGGTTGGCAAGCCTAAGGAAGAAGAGCAAAGAGCGGGACAAGCATGATCGTGGACTCTGCGGGGATTTATACCACACCCTAGTCCGAGTCTGCGCTAAGTTGGTGTCGCTGCCTAGTCGTTGCCCTGGCAATATGGGCGGCTGCTTGAGGGATCATATATAGCATTGTTCTGATATGAGGGGCCAAGCCTCGAATATTAATAGTCATTACGGAAGTGTTTCCCACCCGGTACGAGCCCATACCCATAAGTACGACTCGGAGCAGCGCACCACTCATGGTTTGAGATACTCAGCCATGCTGGGTCAATTAAATCAAGCGGTCGAGCGTCGGTCAATAATACGGCTGGAGGATGGACTGGGCGGTGTTCCCATTGAGGTGTTTCGTTTCCGTTCCGCCTCGACCACCGACTGGCCAATGAGCGTGACTGACCAATGAGCGTGTAGATCGTCCACGAGTTCGAGCATCCTCACTATTTTCTCTTGCACCTCAAGTTCTGCCATCGTGGGAGAGGAGTGGTGATCCTGTAAAACCCACCAGTGCCAGTGGCATTAGGCCTCGCTGACAAGCAATCCTTGTCCACGGTGTGGAACGCAAATCTGATCGTGGCGAAGCGCCATCGGTCCGAGTCTCTCTTCAACTAGCGCAGGAGAGGGTGGCAAAGCTCAAGTGGCAAGTAGATCCAAGCGGTCTGTACGTCAGCCTCAAGTGTCAGAGTGGCAGTGTAGATACGTGTGAACGCAGACTATCGCAGCTCGATGGGTTATTATCCGTCAGAGTAACCTGACGAAAGCCGCAGTAATCGGAGAGAGCAGAACCTGTCAGCATTGTCGACCTCTGCGAGGATGGGTATATATGTACAACAGATGTACTTCCGCCCAACAACTACAGGTACTCCGCGATGGACACCGTCAATCAGGGCGGTCGTCGCCATCCAGAGGAAGGTTGATGCACTCCCGTACTTCATCGTGCACCAAAGTAGCATGCCCCCCGTGTCGCGCGACGTACATATAGTACAACCCTTTCCCAGAGTTATTATGAAACTTCTATGATCGCAGAGGGTACAAGAGTTATTACTGCATCGCGCGCGACTATCCTACATGTAATCCACAGGCCTCAGCGTCAGGAGCCGCATCGCCGACGCGAGCACATCCTTCGCGCGCAGGTACATCCACATCCGGGCCCGCGCCTTTTCAAGGTCTGGCTCGCCCTTGACCTTGATCGGCATCCACGCCTGCGAGATCGCATGCGAGAGGCGGAACGCGAACGTCGTCACCTCGCTCGACTCGTGCTTCTTGATCGTCATTTTCACAACGTGGGGATACATCCCGAGCAGGTAGATGATCTGTCGACAGGGGGCTCCGTGAGCAGCTCCGTCTTGATCTCGGATGTCGGGGGCAGCGGGAGCAGTTCTGGGTTATTTCGCGTGATGGACGATATGCGGACGTGCGCATACTGGAGGTATGGCCCAGTATCGCCCTCGGCGGAGAGCACTCGGTCCCAGTTGAAGGTGTAGCTGTTGATTCTGTGCATAAAATCAGCAAACGCCGCCCGAACGCGAGTTCAAGCAGCCGACGCACCGCTTCGCGGTCATGTCCTGGACCTTGATCCCAGAGATGCCGACCTCCTGCGAGACCACCTCCGGTTCCTTGATGTTCTGGTACTTGTCCTCGTTCTTGCGCATGTGCTCGTGCGTGACGCTGCCGGCCTCGCGGATGATGTCGTCAAGGAAGACGACGGTGCCCTTGCGCGTGCTCATGCCGAGCACGAGGCCGTAGTTGATGTGCTCGATGCGGTCCGCCCATGGGAGCTCCATTAGCTTGAGCACCTTCATGAATGCGCGACGTGCAAGTCCTGCTGCGTCGAGATGACGTACAGCATCTTGTCGAATTTGTATTTCTCGTAGCGCTCCATCGCGCCGCCGATGTCGCGCGTCAGGTAGATCGACGTCCCGTCTGCACGCCTATGGTCAGTCGCATGCGGATGGAACACAGCAAAGACGCACCCTTTTTCCGCACGACCGCCCTCGCGAGCTTGTACTCCTCCAGATTCACAAGTTTCGCGCCGTCGGTGTCCTCTATGAGCCCCATCTGCTCCAACCGTGCAAGCGCCTCGTTCTGGCTCTCCTTCCCGACCTGGCTCTCGCCCGTGTACACGTCAAAGTGCACGTTCAGCCGTGCGTAGTCCTCCTCGTACTTCTTCACCGAGAGTTCACGCCACATCCGCCAGTCCGCGAGCGCGGTCTCGTCACCGTCCTCCATTCGCTTGAAGAACGCCGCCGCATCGACCTTCACAGACGGGTCCTTTGCCGCATCGGCGTTGATCTTCACGTAGACCTCGAAGAGGTGCTTGATGGCGTCTTTTTCGAGCTCTTCTCGCGAGCCGTATTTGTTGAAGCCCACAGCGATCAGGCCAAACTGGAGACACACATCAACGACCCTCCGTCGCGAGAGTGAAGCAAACGTACCTGTGTTCCCCAGTCGCCCAGGTAGTTCATCGAGATGACCTCCCAGCCGCACGCCTTGTACAGGTTGGCGAGGAATCCGCCGATGATGGTACTTCGCAAGTGCCCGACGTGGAACTGTTTTGCGATATTCGGCGAAGAGTACTCGATTATGACACGCTTTCCCTGGCCCGACGTGTTGGAGCCATATTCTGCCTGGCCTGACGGCGTGGCATGCGTGAGGGTGTACACTTGGTCAAGGACCAGGCGGTTCATGGTGTGGTGCAGAGGGTGAAATGGAGGAAGCCCTTGTCGCACACCAAATTTTCTATCCATTCGTCGGGTTGGAACTAGTCAAACGGTCGTCAGCTTGTTGAGATCGGCCAAGAGTGTGTCAGATGGAAGTAATCTGAGTTCCAGACGCGTGCTAGAGCAACAAATTGCGTGCTCTGCGCATACTCGGTAACGTAGTCTGATCGCACCTGATATGCGAGGTCATCGCGATCCGCAATGCAACCGATGATGTAAGCGACGACAGAGCGGAGACCAATGCGACTCCGTAAGACAGTAATGTGGAGCCCGCCTATGTGACCCACATAGTAGGAGAGAGCGCAACACCGTCCATGAGGTGGCACACCGTTCCCGTCGGGAAGGCGAATCTCAGCCCCGCATCTCCTGCGAAGGCCGTACGAGAGATAAGCTCCATCACGTGGCCCACCGAGCCCGCGAAAGGAGGCCGGTGGCGATGTCTGTGGACGAGAGCCAGCGCCATGCACAGGTGACGAGGAGGAGGTCTGACCTCCGCCTTAGCAGCCGTCGCTTCATCGCGCCGCAGCCCGTAAGTGAGAAGCCGACAGCCATTACGACAGTGTACAAAGACCGGAAGAGCAAGAGGAAGCCTCAGGCAGAGCCTGTCTACCACACATCGCAATCGCAATGGTCATGACAGGCACGCCTTCCTTTTCCTGCACCGACTGTACCGCCGACCCATCTGGCCGCAAAATCCTCGTGCTGCGCCTCCATAGGCATCGCAACGTTCCCTACACCTAGCGACGGAGACAGAGAAGTCGTAGGCTCACCTTGCTCAAGACCTTCTGGTTATGGACATCCAACTTGCCAGGCAACCTGAACCGACCAAGATGCACAGTGAAGTCTTCGTCCTTCTTTCCATAGTCCACAGCCTCGAGCACTTGTTCGGTCGTCAATTCTGGGAGAGCCTCCGCTATGAGTTGTGCGATTGCGGTCCGGAACGCGTCCATGACACATCGCTCGAACTCCACGCCCGGCAGTTGGGGTAGCGCTCTGAGGTGCGCAGGAATCTTGAAGCCTGTGCTCATGCCTGGTGTTGGTGCTGGAGACCTGCCTGTCGAAAGTTGGCGGCGAGAGAGGTAGACGGCTGAGAATGAGATGATAGACCGGGGCTTGAAGCGATGTTTTACAGCTGATGATACAAGGGTGAGACGGGGTCGCCGGAGGAACTGCACGGTCGCAGAAGCTTTCAGGATATCCTATCTGAGCAATGCATGCAATCGATAGAAATTTTGGCGAGTAAAGCTGGAAGAGAGGACAGTGACTTTGCGGTGACTCGGAGTCACGAGCAAAGACCTCCAGCCACCGAGCCATCCGCGCTTGCACCTGTCGCCCGATTTGGCAGGTTTACTAGAACGACACCCCCGTCCACATTCCGGGCACAACCGATCAGACATCCCTTCTCTCATCTCATTGATCTTGCATGGGAAATTCATGCGGGGTAGGAACAGCAGCAAGCACAAACATCAGTCATGAGGGTAGACATGCGCGGGTATGAAATAAATATCAAACAAGTGCAAATGGCAGGTGTTATACATGGACGGGAGGTATAGCAGAGATTATTTAGCAACACGGGAGCGTCGAGGACCATAATCGGCGACCAACGAGTACGATAAGTAATAAAATACACAGCCTCTTGCAGCGCGCCGGTACACCTCCACACCTCAACCCCAGAAGGGCCGCATGCGGTAAGTCGTGCCCACACACCACTGAAGCACCTGGACGAGCGCGTCGCCGTGCAAGCGCTCACCATTCGATCACCTCAGGGAAGTACTTCGCGATGAGTGTCTCGTAGTACGGCCTGAGCTTCTCCGGGTTGACCGGATCGTCGCTCTTGCTATAGAGGTCATATGGGTTGAATGCCCTGACAGCGGCCAGCGCGCGCTCGTCCGCGGCATTAGTCAGGTGCGAGTACGCGCCCTCCCTGTGCCATCTGCATCCGGCGACGAGGCGTTAGAAAGATCGATCGTGTGCGTACACGCTGCGGAAGATTACGTACGGGTAGAAGCTGTGGTAGCGGATCATGTACAGAGCATCCTCTGGCAGGCTGCTCTGCTTCTTCAACACATGATACAGGTACTGTATGCCATCGTCAGGACAGGCCTTTATAATCGAGGGGTATGGGGGGACGGACCTCGTCGTGTCCCCAGGAGAGCATAACGTTCTCGAGACCACAATGGGGCTGGTACACGCCATACTCGGTCGAGTAGACAGGGTCCCTCGAGTCGGGGTTGCCCGCAAATGTGTCTGGGTAGATAATCTTATCGGCGAATTTGCACCCCACGACGAAAGTATCCTGCGAGGGTCCATCCGCATTGGTCAACGTGCGTGAGATACGGAGGTGCTGAACTTACGCCGACGACGTCCCATTGACCTCTGCAGGAGATGATCGAACTCAATCAGCCCCATTAGGCCGCACGCAGAGCTGATGGAAGCACTCACTCAGCGCCGAAGAAGTAGAGTAGCTTCCCGAGATCGTGCACCAGGCCGGCAACCTGCATCCACTCAGGCTTGCCGTCCCTCCGGATGGCCTCGGCCGTCTGGAGGAGGTGCTCAATCTGCGTAACGCTCGTCTATAGTCGTGCGTGAGCTATGCGCAACGATGAACAGAATAAACGGACGTTGACGCACGTCTGGGTCGGAGTCGTCGACGAGCTTGTCGAGCATTTCCATTGCATCCCAGATGCCTGTTAAAGGGAAGGGAAGAACCGTCAATCACTGCGGATACGGCCGCGAGACTCGGTCGTACCCATTCGCGCCCGCACGGTCTTCTTAAACTCCTGGCGGACCCTAATATTGTATTCCACAGTTTGCTTCTCTGAAGCCGACGCCCTCGGTCAGCCGAGACGCATAGATACGGCGTCGATACATACCGTGTTGCTCGCGATAGAAGTTCTTCACCCGCTCGCAGGCGTCTTCGTACTGGCGGAACTGTGCCTTGTCCTTCTCGGCGTCGAACTTGGACTGTTCGCCCCAGTCTGGGACGTTCTTGGCACCCTTGAGCTTGTTCACTGTTGTGGGCAGAACGGATGTGAGACAAAGCACATGCGGTGGCACGACGCGTGCAAGGCGTACGGACCTTCATCGACGGCATCGGAGATGATGTCGAGAGCGCGAGCGTCGACAACGTGCATGGCGAGTGATAAATGGATGGAAGAGAAGGAAGTAAAACTTGAGACTCGAGGGTGATGGTGCTGAGACAAACGAGCAACGCGTGAAGGTTATATACCTGGTGTGGCACAGGTGGAGAAGGCGGACGCGGCGCAGATTTGTCAAACCGTTCAAATTGATCGGCAGTCCTAAACGAGCAGTGCATGTGTGGGCACCAAGCGCTGGCAGAGATGCCGGAAAACGATGGCGCTGGGTTGGGGAGGGGTATGACTTCTTCTACCCACCATGGCAGGTGGGTTACAGTCTCAGGTCGTTCGTGCGCGTCGGGCGATTCGAATGGGCCTCATTGCACACTGCGAACCGCGGACGCGCATCGTTCTGATAAGGCGGTCACGTGGTGTTGCTAGCGCCCTTCAGATGCTGCCTCCCACCGTCCACCAAACGGTCCAAACGACCCGCCTGAGGGCACCAGCACTCTTGGTTGCCGCGCACGGTCACACATCAATTGACTAAGGCCGCACACAACGCGGGGATCCGGTCCGATGCGCCAGGGCCCCTCTTGCCGGCGGTTCCGCCCTCGTTAGATGCTCCGTACTTGGAGAGTTGGGGGATGACCAGGGATGACCGGGATTTCGGGGTTCAGATGTCCCGCTCTTACCCCAGAGGTAGATATGTTTCCGGGCATACATCCAAGACTACTGCGGTCGCTCGGACCGATATGCGACGAACATTAGACTCGGGTCACCGAATAAACGATCGTACTCCACGTACTCGCTCCAATCCAACAAAATGCTTCGTGTAAAGGATAGTACCATATACATCAATATGAGTACAATGCAAAGTTTGGGAAACCTGCCAGTCAACTGTCAGACGAGGGTGTAACATTCTAACGGTACTCGAGTTAATGACACACACATTACACGGTACACCAATGGGAAAAGACGTAAAATCACCTCACGAGCTGGTAGGTCGCCGTTGCACATGAACTGCTCACCGAGAGCACCCACGCTTCGTCAATGATGTCAGGATGCATTGGCATGGTGCTCGATGCACAAGCCGATAAGAGACACCCGCTCTCTAAAATTCAGAAGCATTGCCTAGATTTCTGAAGGAGCGTTAAATAGGAATGAAGGCAGGTGTCACGGTCGATGATGCGGTCAAACTGGCCGGCCGGGAAGGACAGAAGATGCGACACAGGTGCAAGCTTCGTGCCGCGTACCAGACACAATTAGGCCATGAGTCCCAGCTACGTACGATTTGGAGTTTTGATGCCAATGCTCAGACCCAGAATCGACAATCCAATTGCTCGTGTTTAGCAGCGAAAGAGCTTGAGGGACTTGTTGACGCTAAGGTCGCCGTCCGAGCAACGTGTCAGCTGTGACCTCTTCTTGCCTAGCTGCAAACTCGCAACCGACAAGCCGAACATCATACATACCCGCCGAGAGGACTGTACCCAACAAAGTGCGTGTAAAAGGCCAACGTGATGTCAGCCATTCGCGCCCCGCAGGCACATCGTTGCGGGGAAGTGGGAACTGATAATCGGACAACCTCCGCACTGGCAGCTAGGCCCGTTCTGGATCTTGCAGACGCAGTCTGTGTCTGCAACTGCTGAGAGATTCGAATGATGAGTGAGACGTCGAGAATCCTCACAGAAAAAAGCCGACTCACAAGACGACTCATATGACAGTCAGCAGACATGTTTTCCGCGATCTCCGCTGGTCATGGACACCTTCAAGGCGACCCATACCCGTACGGGGTGGGACAGCCTCCGCCATATAAGTGGTAGCGTCGGGAGCCGTGGAGTGCCATCAGCTGGGGGCAGAGGCAGGAGCGACAGTCCGAAGGCGAGGGCTCTCCGTTGGATGTAATGGCCACGTACTTGAGAGCCGCTGACGGTGTGGAGGAGACAGCGGGGTACTACCGTCCGGGCGCTGGTTGCCGCGGATCGGCTACTACTCGTTTCTGTGGTCGCGGATTGAGCACCCGGAAACAAGCAATGCAAAGCGGAGAAAGATAGTTGAGGGCATCCAACTGCTTCAAAGTCTCGATGTGTACGGTCGTGCTGGCTACGTTCAGGCCTGTGAAAGAGTGAGACTAAGATGTTCATTGCACATCCGGTCGACATTTCTTAGTGGACGTACTAGTGGGAGCCCCGCTGATAAATTCTTTGTATCATGAACTTGACTCGACATCGACGGCCACATGAACAACAAATGTTTGATTAGTGTTCTTCCCAAGGGCTTCAACTGTAATCAGAATTGACGCTACCATAACTTAGCCGTTGCTGATGCCAGACAAGTCCAAAAATTCATGAATATACTTATAGCGAATCGACCACAGCGCAACGTCGCTAGACAGAGGCTTTCGTGTGGGAGAAGAGGGGGCGACAGTTGTCAAAGTCATTTGGGTCGTCGACTCGCCGTTGACGGAAGCGTCGGCCCGACATCCGGCGATACCCATGCACCAACAACACGTCGGGATCGCGTGGTACTAACGCCGCCTCCACCGCCGGCGGCACTGAGCATCTCTTCCTCAACGTCCACGACGACGGCGACGGCGACCCTCACCCACCATACTCAGCAGACACAGTCGAACATCATGGCACAGCGCGAGCAGCTGGCACACACAGCACGCTTCCTACAGCTTCAGCAGCAGTATCTGGAGAAGTCAGGCCACCGCGACCCCCTCCGCGCCGTATGCCCGCCGTCCCCGACCTGCGCTTCGAGCAGAGCTATCTTGCGAGCGTCAAGCCATACGTACACATTGAGCGCTCACTCGCGGAGCAACCCGCGGTGGACGGAAAGGGCAAGGGCAAAGCGGTCGATGCGCAGGCGACGGTCGGAGCTCGCAACAGAGGTCGTTACGGTACAGTGGGGGCGGGTGATGTGGATCACGACGAGGGACCAAATCATCAGTCCTTTCTTGCAAGGCTCGTTGAGGTACGTCTCTCCCTCACAGGTTTGCCACCACCGTCTGAATTTGCCTACGGGGCCGCAGAGGTCTTGCGGGCGTGTTCCTCACTCCCTTGCTCGTCGACGCAGGAGCAAGATTTCGCGCCTGGTGGGCGAAAGGAGCGTACCGCGCGGACCGACCTGCACAGGAGGGCCACGGAGTGGGCTGGCTACGCAATTGGATCGGGAGCTTGACTGTAGCGGGCGGTCCGGCGGCACGTCTGTCATGACGCAAGCAGCAGCTACCGTGCCTATCCTCGTACACTACGTCTGGTTGATTGATCTTGTGCGACGCGAGGTACACACTTCGTTTGCTCTCTACCCCGCAACTCGAATCAGCTCACTGAAATTGCAGATGTTACGGCAAGAGGGAGGATGCCGGGGAAATCGATGTCATCGACCGACTCGGAATCGTCGCTGTTTCAAAGCTCACGGACGTGTGCACTGCCGCTGACGCACTATGTCATTTTTGCGACGTAGTTGATGCCGACACCGGGCGCTACTACGGACGTCCACTTCTGTATCGTCGTTGGCAGTCGGAGCACTCCGGTTACCTCTCATCTCCATCTTGTGAGGGGTTTTACCATTTCAGCATTCCGCGTCATCCCCGAGCTCCGACTTTGCAAGGCTTCATCGTGGTCCTTACGTTACAAGCTTCATCGTGGTCCTTACGTTACAAGTCGACCGCAGCGTGTTCAGTAACTCCAACGTGTTACGACTCCACATCAAATAAGCTTTTTGGCGGCGTGCGCGCGAGGAAGCCCTCGAATCGTAATAATTCCCTTTCTATACTTTGCTTTAAACGCGCTAACTAGACGGAGCCTGTCCGCACTATCCGGAGAAACGACGACCTCCACCCACTCGTTCACCCACATATAGCGCGAGAACGCGACGTATAACCACCTAAACCACACCAACTGCGAGCGGTGCTGCATCATCGCGCGCAGGGCCGTCACATACTCCCGCACGCCAGCCACGAACGCTGGCCCTCGCCGGACGCCCATATCGCCCACACCACCGCGTCCTTTCCCCGCACTCGACTGCGTCCTTCCTTCCTCGGACGATCGCGCGGGCGGAATGGGCGCCTCCGCGGGCGCCAGGCGCAAGGTCCGCAGAGCGTCGGACATGGCTGAGCTCGCTTTCAATAGAAGCGGGCTCGCAGGACCGGTGTACTTCCATACGAGGGGGACGGAGACGAGTGTGAACAGTCGCGGCCGGGTGAGTGCGCTGTCGTCTGAGTCCGAGGAGGATGGGAAGGACGAGAGCAGGCGTGCTGCACCGTGACACAGCGAGATGTGGTTCGGGTGCCCGGAGATGCCGTACGCGTCGAATGTCAGGATCTGCGCGCGTTGACGATGCCGTCAGGGAGACGAGACGGGATAGCCGGTGTACGATGACGCACCGTCGTGATGCGGTTCTCGAGGACGTATGGTCGGACGACGTCCGCGACGGTGTCGTAGTCCCACTGTGCGGTGAAGTTGTCTTGCAGGTCACTACGGTTCAAGTTCTGTGAGTCCGATCTGAATCTTCCCCGCGGACGGAGATCCGTGAAGTGCAGATAAGTAGATGCGCATGTTCGCCCAACCCGCACGAGTCATGCCCATAGACCATCGCACTTGTGGGCGCTGCACCTTGACCGGACCTACGGAGCGAGGGCACGATCCGGTGGTGCGAATGGGGGGACCCCAAGACTGGGCGAACCTTGGGATGCAGAGATGCCGAGGCGTTCGTTGGGTTTCAAAGACAACGCTTCGTGACATCTTCAGTTGTGTAGAGTAGTATACAACAACACTATTCATATCCAGCCATATCCCATCCGCACCGCGCGTTATTGTCCTTTCTACACAAATCCTCGAGATCATAAGATATGCCTCGTGTTCACAGAGAAAACGGTGCTCATCGTTTCCTACTCGGTCCCGAGCTCCGCGAACGACTCGCACGCGAGCTCGTACCAATCGCTCGCGTTCGCCGTCGTCTGCGCGGCTGCGGAGGGTGAGGATCCAAAGACGATGCGCTCGAAGCCGGGCGCCTCTACCGCGGTGTTGACTGTTGTGTTGCTGGCGAGCGGTCGTCGGAACGTGTCTCGGCGGCGCAGCACCAGGTTGACGACGAGCTGCGCGACGGAGCGCTTACACCCTCGCCAGGCGCGACGCCGTGCTCCATCTTCAGGTCAAGCAGCACGCCGACCTCCTTCAAGGCTCCGCTGATTCTCGCGCTTGCGCGCATGTCCATGGCAACGTGGAGGTCGTTCTTGCGCATGCGCTTCGCGGAGTCGTCTAACCTGACCATATCCGCGTCTGTCTCGCATGCGAGGGAGGCAGGAGGGCCCTAGCTGCAGCGCTCACGCGCTCGGCCAGCTCGGCTTCTGCGCTCCGGGCGGTGCGTGACGCAGACAGTGCGCGACGGCGGACGACGCGCAGCTGGAGGAACTCGTCAGCCTCGAGGTTGGTTGACGCCGGGTCCAGCTGGGCGTCGAGGAAACACAAAATTGTCGTCGTCCGGCGATGGAGAGCGGACAAGTGGCGGGTCCACAGATACGGGCTACACGAAGAGTCAGTGAACGAGCTATCGGTGTCGTCGCTTGTAGGCAGAAGTAAAGCCAATGGGGGTCGTGGCGAGTCCGGTAGTAGAGGATCGCCGTCGATATCCAATAGATTCGTTTCGTGGTAACTCGTGTCTTCGTGACCGTTGTCTTCCTGAGGAAGCCAATGATCCGCTCGGAGAACTTCATCGGTCTTGCAAGTCGTACGACATGGCCAAATGTCTCGAACACGGGTGCGGGCGTGATGATAGTGGTGTTTACCTCGAGCATGTGTTCTTGGACGATGAAGTGTTTCCGCCATTCAGCATTGCGTCTCCTACTAATGCAGCGTCAGCTGCAGGCCACGCAATGCGACACTTACATCGCAAGCCGCCCAATCCTCCGACGCTTTCCCATAAATCTTCTTTACGTTCATTATCTCATGCATCTGCCTTGTAAGGCCCGCGTCACCCGTCAAAATCAGTGATGTAGAGACGGGGCTCACCTCGAGTCGAGACTGTTGGCAGGAAGGTAAATCTCCTGTTGTTCTCCCGCTGGTCAGTAGCAGCCACCGTGTGGGGACAGCCTGCAGCCGTGACGAGCTCCCCGTGTCGTTTTCGTAACAACGTCACGCCCACACTGGGGTTCGACGCCGAGCGACTGCGCGTCTTATCGCGCACCGCAGTGTGTTCCGAGGCAGCGTGTTCCGAGACCCAGAGACACGGCGTGCAGTGCCTGCGAACCTCCCTCCTAAGCATCCGTCCACTGTTCCGGGAAGCCATGCACGGTGCAGTGGCACCTCTCTCCAGCTCTACAATGTGTCTCTACGCACCCGGTACCTGTCATCACCGCGCCCTGCAGATGCCCACGTTCGTACGGTTCGCAATGATGCGGCCGCGACTGGCCTCGATCCCGGGACGAGTAAGTAACGGTCTGCTCCAGACACCACGCACGGCGTCCCGCCGGACCTGTCGCCCTCGTCCAGGGCAATGGCCCGTGAGTTCAGTCCCGCACGACTCGTAGCCAGTGACAGTGGCACGCGTCCCTGAGGCTGACGTCTTGAGATGGCGGTTACTGATGGCGTCGAACACTCGACCGGCTTGCATGGCACCCCAAACGTCCTCTCCGGGCTTGCGGGAGGGACCATGAGTGCATCGTCATGTCGCAGAAGGGGCACACTCACCCGTTGAAGCCCACGTCTCACAGCGGGACCCACGGGAACTTCTTGACGTGGTTGGCGAGACGTCCCAGAGACTGAGTGAGGCGGTAGCGTTCATGCGATTAGTAGAGGTCGGAACGGTCGTGAAACACAGACCGGCTGAGCCACTTGCAGGCACGATGCATGCTGGCCGGTCGTGCTGTCAGTGTCGCGGCGAGTTCGTGCAGCTGGACGTTGTGGCACTGGCAGCCTCCGGCGCTCTGCCCTCGCGTTCCCCGGCGTCGTGTCGCACTAACTCGCTGGTCTGTTGTCCGCATCATCCACCTTCCTCCACCGCCGTTCGCTTGTCTTCTATCTTGATCTTCCCGCCTGCTTCTCCTCCACGTTTGCCGTTCCGCGCTGGCGACGTTGTGCCGCCACGTCGTGACCGGCGACCGCTTACTGCACTACCACTCACTCAACCGTCGCGTCTACACCGCCGGCCTTCCTGGATCACCTTCACTCTCCGCAACTTCCGTGCTCTTCGAAGACTGTTCGGAACGTTTCGGGACGCACAGTCCGCCAGCGCACGCCTCCGCCGCATCTCCTCAAACAGCGATCTCGTTGCGCGTGCCCTCGCCAGGGTTTCGCACACGGAGTTGGGTCTAGAGCCGGTCAATGGGGCCGAGGCGTCGGTGAGGTGACCTTAGTATGCCCTTGTGGACGGCGCGGGCTTGAAACTGACGACCGCGCGAGCTAGCGACTTCATCCCGCGAGCCAAACGTCTGAGCAGTCGACACGATAGACGATGCCGCCGTCCATCACACGGAAGACGACCTTCGGGACGCGCACTGAGGCGCCGGACAACAGGGGCATGGAACCGGTGACGTGGACGGCAGAGGAACAGCGGTCAGGCACGTACGTCGTATACTGATCTCGTACGCACTCCGCTTACCACAACTGGCCGCCTGTTGCCTCGCAGGGGCGACACTCTGATCCGCATACGAGAAGGCGAGGCTGCGAATGCAAGGCCAGCGCCGCGCGTTACCGGTCTCGCGTCTAGGTTCATCAGAGGCATGTCAGGGCGGAGGAGAACACGAGACACGCACGGTTAGCATGATCTGTGCAGTCCAAAACCAATGTGTACTAACATGCAGGGTCGCCGCTCGTGGTCTATCGCATCGGTTGCTCTGGCGACACATTTGACGGGGTAAAGATGCCTGTTCGGCACGAACGTCAGTCGGGGACGGGTACACACGATAAAGCGAGACGCGTAGCTGCAAAATTGTCGTGACTACACCGCAATCGCGAAGAGAGATACGTGTCAGCCACGCACATAAAGCGGTAGAGGACATCAACAACACACCGTTTGACGGAACGGATGCGGGACAAATGAAAGAATCCCATCCGCATACGCAGGCATTGTGGACAAGTCTTGGAATGGAGACGAACGGAATGCTGAACTGAAAGACGAAGGTTGAAGACACGTCCTGAGAGGCACTGGCACGGCCGGAGACGTGCCGTTCTCCGCAAAGGGAGGAGCCCGTGACCCAATCGACGAGGGCATCCGCTCGAAGCAACGACGTGCGGGGGCGGTACACATCACTCAAGACGTATCAACATGCCCTTGACGAGACAAGCCGTCGTCGAACGAGTTGAGGCTAAGCGGTGATGCAGGACAGGAGCAGGTTACAATACGAAGAACACGACTCACCATTTGTGGCCGGGCACGAAAACAGATGGTACGGGACGAGGACGTCCGAGGTGATAAGTACGCAGATGTAACGTAGACGGTACACTCCCCAACACGGTGGAGCGTGCAGACTGCACATAGATATGCGGTGGATAGGCGCACCTCTCCAGCACGCAAGACATTTGCTCTCGGGTGTCATTGCCGTATTGGTGGTGTGGCGTATTCTGGTCTACTACGGACGTGTTTCAGCGTTGGACCAATCCGTGGACACAATGACATACGCACCGTCAAGACACGTTCAGCGAATGGGTCGCCGTGAGTTGTGTGATGATGGGCTCCTCGGGACTGGCTAGCGCCGCCTTGGAGTTGTTCAGCGTGGAGATCGGGCGGAAGGAAGAGAGGAGCTGGAGGCAGAGCATATCATTAGTGTACTGTGTATGTAGCCAGACATGCGTACCGGCCTGTAGCACCTCACTCACCGCGAGATGCCACCTCATAACAGGGCAACAAGATGATCCCTTCAACTCGCCGCCGGCAAACAGCTTGCGAGACGCGCTCAGTATGCCTGACCAGAGCTCGACACATGGACCGCGTCTCAGATGGCGTGGCAAGTCTGAGGAGCCGTACGGTACTGCTGCCCGAACCAGCCCAACGAGTTAGTCCGCACCGGCAGCAATGATGAGCAGCCCTCTGCGGTCATTCAGATGTTCGCTGCTTATGCAGCGGGCCGACGACACGACTCACAGGTTCTTGCCCCGGCCATGGACACGTCACGAGGAGATGTGAGTCCAAGCTCGCCCGGACTTCAGCAGAATATCAACTGTACCGAACCATTGCGACATGAATCAATCCAACGCACGAGCTAAGCAGAAAACAGTTGACGCGGCGTGTACCGATTCTGTTCTGCAAATGACATCTGCGACTGGCAAGATGTCGCGTGAGCCGAGCCGATACGGTATGACAAGTAGGGTCGGCACCTCACCTTTGATCATGCATCGACAGCTTCGTTGGGATAATCCTGTCTAGATGACTCGGAGCAGTGCAGACGCAATTCAAATCGTCTGTCTCCCTGGGTCCGTGGAAACGAGAGGGTATGGACAATCATCACTCCGGTGATAGACTCTCGGCGATCGCAACGGAGGTAGACCGAGAGTGACAACACCAGTCTCTGTCACGGACAGAGGATAATCTGAGTGGCAGTTCATGACACGATCAATGAACGGAAGACTTACCGCTAATGTACTACACCCCCAACACAACCGATTCCCGAGCTACTTACGCGGCTAAGCCTGGCTCCGAGTCGGTGGCATAGCCAAGTTGAGTGACGGTCAGAACAACACGAATGGACCGAAGTGGGATGTCTTACCTGCTATACGGATGGTTCAATATTGAGAGATCATTGGATGCGATTAGCAGAAAATAACTGACCATATTGGGAGCGCAGCGGGTGCATCAGACAAGCATGTTCCGTGGACGAGCATTACTTGGTTCACTTCGGCCATGGATAGAGAGAGCGGAGAAGCGAGGAAACGGAGTTGGTGGGTTAGAAGCTCGTAGTGTGATAGAATGCAAGCCAAGTAAGTACGGACAATGAATGACACGAGGGGAGAGAACGGGGAAGAGGATGGATAGCACAGGGTCAGCATTGAAGACTAGCTTTTATAGCTCGTACGTTCCGCGGGATGGTCCGTGCGTCTTCGGCACGCCGCGTGGGAACCGGACCATGTCTGGGACCCGCCCAAGAACGGTCTCCCGTACCCGCTACCCGCCATTCCCTGGCGTCGCTTGCAAACTCCGGACTAACGCAACCGCTATTTCCTCCTCCCTAGCGAATTTACAACCGTCGGAAGGCAACACGTACGTTCCGATTGATGCATCACGTATGGGCGCTCTTCGAAGCGCCGTCGGGAAGGTTCACGCGAGCGAGACCGCGTTACGACGTGAATATGCTGCTCGTACGGAAGTTGCCTTTGATTGTGAGCTGAGTGTTCTTGCCGTCTGCGAGTGAGCGTCGGCCGCATATCATACCATATCTGTACTTGTAATTGTAGTTACAGGTAGGCAGAGTCGAGGATCGAGCGGAGTGAAGCACAAGAGGCAGATACTACTGCAGGAGCAGCAGAAAGGATGATCGCGCGCAGAGGAAAGGAATAAGCGCCCGCGCAGAGCGGTTGGGAGCCTCGTGTTCTGAGATCGGATCGAGCGATCTGGCGCCGTTCTGGGCGGCGCGCGACGTCTCTCGCGCGTTTTCTCCCCCACGATCATGTATGTACACAGCTCGTCTGTTGCATACTGTCTTATCTCGGGATGTCTTCCTCGCAGATACTGCTCATGCCTTTCCCTGTAGTACTTGAGCGCGAGTTGCTCTTGTTAGGCATGAAGGAGCACTCGAGTACGGGCTACCATGAGCCTTTGCTCGCGTGGCGACGTACGCGCACAGGCCCGTCGCAATGGAATGATGACATGGTGTTCTGACAGAATTCCAATCGGGGCAAATCCGGTGCATGACCGCGGAGAGCTTGGCCCGCTGAAGCGACGGGCATGCTCGCCCGAGGGCTTCGGAGGCCGCACTAGCGCACGACGAGTCTGATTCCGCGTGCAGAAAGTTGTAGCCACGGAAATCAATGTACATAGCAGCAGCTACAGAATAGGATATCTATATATTTGAGCAAGGCAACCTAGGACATGATCTGCTCAAGGGTACCAGCCAATACTGGACAATTCAGGATTGGCTGACAGCCTTGGGCAGACAATGTCCTCGCGATTTGAGGCTGGCAGCGGGGAACATCCCCGGTTGCCAAGGGTCAGATTTGATTGATGAGGTCAGCCTTCTCGGGCAGCACCCCGAAGCAGACGGCTAAGATTCAATCAGCTCACGGATGTTTCCCTTTTTGTCTGTGTTCAAAGCTGAGGACTTGAGCTACTGGGGAACATGAGTGTTTTAGGGGTTGACTGAGCAGTACAGATTTTCATTTTGGGATTTGAGAGTGAGGGTAGACTCGACTACTGAGCCTGAGCAAAGAATCATACCATATCGGGTCTGAGACACTTGGTGGCAACTTAGCCGCCGCATCAGCCGCTGATACTCAAAGCAGTCTTGACCGCCAGTGCCTAAATTGGGTGAACAATGGGTAGCCGGACATAGCCCGAGGCCGAAGCAAGCCCGCCCGCGGAGTTCGGTGGCTAAAACTCCAGTATATATACAGGAGTACGTTAGCCCTCTCCTCCCGGAGCAGAAGCTATGCCAGGCCATGGTAAGTAACATAGTTGATCTGCTTCATAGCTCATCTGACAATCCCATTTGTTCATCGTCTCACAGATTACTACCTGCTCCATAGTCAAAGCCAGGCAGCATGCCCAACTCGGTAAGTCAGCCCATAGCTGATACAGTAGGTCCTCGTATTGACCGTATCCCATCTCACAGGTGGTATCGTGCTCGCCAGGACACATGGTCAGCAGGCAATGTAGGCTCACCGAGATGAGGACCGACCAGGTGAGTTTCCCTGGCCACCCTCGCCCTCGAGCCGCACTCACGAACACGCTGATTCGCAGGCAATCACCCTGGCAGAGCAAGCCCACATATACGTGCACTCAATGTATTCCTCATTAGACAGCAGCGAGCGAGGCTCCCTGTAAGTTGCCATTGAGCTTCAGCCGCTGTTCCCGTACTTACCCCTTGTCACAGCTCTCCGAGAAACTACTAGGCTGTGTACACGGCCCACCGCCGACACGTTACCTCTACGACCCATCCCGGACAGAACGAACGACGTAGACTCTTCGTCGTCCAGCCGCCAAGTGTCCCAGGTATGCCAGAGAACCCATACGTATTACCGTCCTGGTCTCAAGCCTCCACCATTGACAGCTGTCGGACGCGCATGCCCGGTCTGCCCGTGTGCCGCATGGCCCTGGTCCCGGAAGCCCGCAATACGTCTGCGCACCAGCCCAGGCGGATGGCGAGAGTCCCTCCACAGAGTAAACGCAGGTCTACACCCGCGCCGGCCGGTTCTCTTCCTCATCCCCTTCGCGCCCGTCACGCAAGGACTCGTCCATTGCATGCCCCTTGGCCTCATCACACGCAACGCACGCGTGATGGCTGCTCGCGTATGAGGGATGTGACGTCTGCGGTCGTCCGCCGGATGTCTCGTTGCGCACCTCGATTGGTGTCAGCCTACCTTGTCTGTGCGCGAGGACCCTCGCCTCGACGCACGTGCCGGTGCTCCTTGGCGAACCCTCCCGGTGCAACCACTGCACCATGCGCGGCTGTACCATGTCATGCTCATTGTCCGAGGCATGACAATTCCATCCCTAGTACCCTCTCGGATGCGTCGTCCGGACCGTCGATGACACGACATATCATCGTCCGGCGAACAGGGTGCGGTGTACCCCAGTCAATGCGCACGTCGTCGCCGGTCTTCCACGGATCGCCTGCGCCATTGCGCGCCGCCCGTCTCCCTGGCAGACAACTCGCAGCCCCGACCTTCGAACACACGACATATCGTCGTCCAGCGAATCAGGCACAGTGCGCCTTCGTTCGTCGGTCCCGAAGCTGCTGCCTACCGATGTCTGCCTGTCGCTCACGTCAAGGCGGGCGCGAGGGTCTGGTCTGGTTGCAGCGCCCAGGGGACGTGTCCAATCACACGATGGACGCGCTGTGCCACAACTGTAAACGGCCACGGTCAGTCAACCTACCTCTGCACTAAGACGTGAACATCGCTCAGTCCCCCGCTCTGGCTGCCGTCGATATCGTCTTCGTCCTGGTTTCCTAGAACCATCCTGGCTCGCCGCGACGCGGACAATGTCGACACGACGTATCGCCGTCCGGCGAACCGAGTCCTGATGGTCGTGGTGTGCCTGCGACGCGTCCAGCAAGGCGATGTCAGCCGCAGATGACGTGCCTCGTCGTGGCGGGCACATTGTTGCCGGTATACTGCAGTCTGCAGCCCTAGCATCCCATGCACTGCGCTGCAACATGACACATCGTCGTCGGGCCAACGGGCCTCCGACAGCTGTCCTGGGTCCCCCACACGCAGCCATCTCTGGCGCCATCCCGACTAACCTGCCCTGCTCCGCAGCGTCTGTCGGCCCGGATTGACGAAGACACGACATATCGAATTCCGGCGAGCGGGGTCGTGGGGCGGAATCGCGTGGGCTGTTGCCGCGGGGAGACGACACATCGTGTTCCGGCGAGCGGGAGGGAAGACCAGTGGTAGCTCGGAATGACGAGCCGGGCGCTGTGGATGGTGCCACCGCGTGTCGATAAGTGGGACGGCTCCGGTCGAGGTACGCGTTCATTCGCCAATGGTAGCCCGGTAGCTGACGACACGCAGGGCGCTGGAGAGCATGCTGGCGAGGGACGGCTGTCTAGGTGAGTACAGGGCGGTGAGGTTCATGCATTACTGGCTGACGGAAGCTCGTCTGCCGCGTCATCAACTGGTAGTTGAGTATGCAGCCGCGGCGAGCGACGGAACAGCGCGGGGCCGCGAGGTGGACGACGGGTAACGGAGGGCGGATCTTGGCAGTGGGTAAGGATGGAGGCGAAGTACGGTGTGGCCCACTAGAGGTGACGAGGTGAGTTGGTACACGAGCGGTGAAAGACGTGTTTCTGACGAGAACTCGTCTGCCGCATTATCGACTTGTAGATCGGGCGAACATCATCACGGTGGCCTGCGTGAAAGCACGCGGGCGAGAGGCCATATATACTCCTTCCGGCGACTCGCGGCGGCATGGGTGCGCGAGGGATACGAGCGCGGCGATGGCAAAGACACGACAGATCTGCTTCCGGCGAGCAGGAGCGCACATGTACGAGTTGATAACGCGGCAGATGGGTTAGTTGAGCGTCCTTGTCCGGCGGATGCAGAGGCTCACCTCCCGCGCGCACAGACCCGGCGACCATCGATCAACGATGACGCGCGGGGCAGACAAGCACATCGAGCGTGGCGACCAACGCGGCAGACGGCACATCGAGACTGATTTGATTCCCTGATCTTCGCAGACAGTGACTTTCGCGGCGACGACTGACGTATGTGGCTACTGCGAACGCGGGCGCTACGGTGGGAAGTGTGTAGACCTGCCGCGTTATCAACTTGCAGGTGGAAAACGGGTCTCGTTCAGTCTCGCGACTGCGGATCCGGTCGCAGCGCATAAAGGGTGAGCACATTCCGGTGCAGCGTCGACTGAGAGCAGGGATGCGTTTTGCCCACATGAGTGTCCCCGCGGGGAGGCGGACGTATGCTCGTACATAAAAAAAGAGAGATGGACGATCGAAAGAAGGCAACTTTTTTCGACCCTCCAGCCAATCAGCGTGCACGGAGCGAGCGAGCCGCACGCGATCGGCCAATCGGAGCGGGCGCTCTACGTCCGTTGCAAAACGCGACCTGGACGCCCGAGCAACCGTGGACGTCGACTGTCGCCGGCGACCGTAGCCCGACATCCATGCACCAACAACGCGTCGGGATCGCGTGGTACTAACGCCCCCTCCGGCGGCGCGCCGCGGGGGCCAAACACCTCTTTCTCGTCCACAACGACACTGTCGACAGCGACGACGACCCTCACCCACCATTCTCAGCAGACACAGTCGAACATCATGGCACAGCGCGAGCAGCTAGCACACACAGCACGCTTCCTACAGCTTCAGCAGCAGTATCTGGAGAAGTCAGGCCACCGCGACCCCTCCGCGCCGTATGCCCGCCGTCCCCGACCTGCGCTTCGAGCAGAGCTATCTTGCGAGCGTCAAGCCATACGTACACATTGAGCGCTCACTCGCGGAGCAACCCGCGGTGGACGGAAAGGGCAAGGGCAAAGCGGTCGATGCGCCAGGCGACGCGTCGGAGCTCGCAACAGAGGTCGTTACGGTACAGTGGGGGCGGGTGATGTGGATCACGACGAGGGACCAAATCATCAGTCCTTTCTTGCAAGGCTCGTTGAGGTACGTCTCTCCCTCACAGGTTTGCCACCACCGTCTGAATTTGCCTACGGGGCCGCAGAGGTCTTGCGGGCGTGTTCCTCACTCCCTTGCTCGTCGACGCAGGAGCAAGATTTCGCGCCTGGTGGGCGAAAGGAGCGTACCGCGCGGACCGACCTGCACAGGAGGGCCACGGAGTGGGCTGGCTACGCAATTGGATCGGGAGCTTGACTGTAGCGGGCGGTCCGGCGGCACGTCTGTCATGACGCAAGCAGCAGCTACCGTGCCTATTCTCGTACACTACGTCTGGTTGATTGATCTTGTGCGACGCGAGGTACACACTTCGTTTGCTCTCTACCCCGCAACTCGAATCAGCTCACTGAAATTGCAGATGTTACGGCAAGAGGGAGGATGCCGGGGAAATCGATGTCATCGACCGACTCGGAATCGTCGCTGTTTCAAAGCTCACGGACGTGTGCACTGCCGCTGACGCACTATGTTATTTTTGCGACGTAGTTGATGCCGACACCGGGCGCTACTACGGACGTCCACTTCTGTATCGTCGTTGGCAGTCGGAGCACTCCGGTTACCTCTCATCTCCATCTTGTGAGGGGTTTCACCATTTCAGCATTCCGCGTCATCCTCGAGCTCCGACTTTGCAAGGCTTCATCGTGGTCCTTACGTTACAAGGCTTCATCGTGGTCCTTACGTTACAAGTCGACCGCAGCGTGTTCAGTAACTCCAACGTGTTACGACTCCACATCAAATAAGCTTTTTGGCGGCGTGCACGCGAGGAAGCCCTCGAATCGTAATAATTCCCTTTCTATACTTTGTTCTAAACGCGCTAACTAGATGGAGCGCTGTCCGCACTATCCGGAGAAACGACGACCTCCACCCACTCGTTCACCCACATATAGCGCGAGAACGCGACGTATAACCACCTAAACCACACCAACTGCGAGCGGTGCTGCATCATCGCGCGCAGGGCCGTCACATACTCCCGCACGCCAGCCACGAACGCTGGCCCTCGCCGGACGCCCATATCGCCCACACCACCGCGTCCTTTCCCCGCTCTCGACTGCGTCCTTCCTTCCTCGGACGATCGCGCGGGCGGAATGGGCGCCTCCGCGGGCGCCAGGCGCAAGGTCCGCAGAGCGTCGGACATGGCTGAGCTCGCTTTCAATAGAAGCGGGCTCGCAGGACCGGTGTACTTCCATACGAGGGGGACGGAGACGAGTGTGAACAGTCGCGGCCGGGCGAGTGCGCTGTCGTCTGAGTCCGAGGAGGATGGGAAGGACGAGAGCAGGCGTGCTGCACCGTGACACAGCGAGATGTGGTTCGGGTGCCCGGAGATGCCGTACGCGTCGAATGTCAGGATCTGCGCGCGTTGACGATGCCGTCAGGGAGACGAGACGGGATAGCCGGTGTACGATGACGCACCGTCGTGATGCGGTTCTCGAGGACGTATGGTCGGACGACGTCCGCGACGGTGTCGTAGTCCCACTGTGCGGTGAAGTTGTCTTGCAGGTCACTACGGTTCAAGTTCTGTGAGTCCGATCTGAATCTTCCCCGCGGACGGAGATCCGTGAAGTGCAGATAAGTAGATGCGCATGTTCGCCCAACCCGCACGAGTCATGCCCATAGACCATCGCACTTGTGGGCGCTGCACCTTGACCGGACCTACGGAGCGAGGGCACGATCCGGTGGTGTTGCCGCCTGCGAATGGGAGAACCCCAAGACTGGGCGAACCTTGGGCGGAACAAATGCCGAGCAGTGCGTCTCAAGGATCACGCATCGATCCTGGAACACTGTCAGTTACCTCCGCTCCCCGGAGGCAATTGCCCTGCTGCGGAGCTATACGAGACCGAGGTAGCATCTCGACTGTTCAGCAGAAACGATACGCAAGGCTGGGAGCTATTGCAACACACCGTGCGGGCGCTTGTGCAGAAAAGTACATCGCTCTAGCGCCTGATGTAGAAAACGATCAAGCATACCGTATATGGCGTGTGGAATATACTCAGCGAGCCCAGTTATGAATGTCCTCTGATGGACTTGGGACCGAGTATGACGCAGGTCTGGTGATTGAATGGACTGCAAGACACTTTGGACGGTCGTGAAGAGTTGCAATGCCGGTAGCATGATGTCAATGTCTCCTCCCCCGAAAGTTTCGCCACCGAGCTGATGCAACCGGACATGGAAACGGTATACAACGAACCCGACTAGGTATGACGCGTACGCAGAAAGAGTGGAAGCGCGCATCCTTTACAAAGGATCATACGCTCGGCGCACGCAAGTCCAACCAACTCGACCTCGTGGGTCACAAAGTGAGCGAGCGAAGACTTTCGCGTGCCAAACCTTATTCTCGCCTCCGAGAATCGATGGTAAAGTCCTTGGGGGAATAATTGAGTGGGTATGCCAGACATTGATCACAGAAGACGAGTGACGTCGGGTCTGATGAAACGACCAAAAGTTTCTGCCTACTCAAAGTGAGGACGCAGCATGGCAACTACGTGTCAGAGAACCAGAAGGCAGCTGCCATACACATCTGCACAGATAGCAACGGGATGGGCTGTCTCGTCTATATGCCAACATACCCCCGAGATGGCTAAAAAGTAAGCTCACCTCCTATCCTCGACCCATCGACGGCTGGATGGCACGCCGAGCACGTCCAAACTTCGACCGAGCTCGTCCCTACGCATGTTCCCAAGTCCATCCGCATTTCCAACTGACAGGCAGAGCGAGAAGACTTCTGGTGGTCTTCGGCCATCCACAGAAGCAGTGCCTTGCGCAAGAAGACCTAGCAAGGTGGGTGCGAAGAACATGCATTCGTCATCGGGGTGCGCAGAGAGCAGTAGAATCCGAGAATAGTCGTTATGAATGCCGGAGGCGGGTCCGGTGAGAGCCTCAGTAGCCTGCGATGACTGTCGTGAGATGAGTGTGAAGAGAAAGGAGGATATTAGGACGACGAGGGAGAGTGTCGGTACCGCAGGCATGCTACGGACATACAGCGACTCTACAAAGCTCGATCTAAGGGGTGAGCTACGCTTTGCGAGACGCCCGACAAGGAGGAGGAGGAGGAGGAGGAGGAGGAGGAGGGGATTCGATTTTTAGTCACCACGCCCGAAGAGGATCTGTCGCGCGCCTCGGGCATCTGCGAGCTAGACCACTTACACACGTACTATGTAGGCTGGTCCCGTACAGAATGTCACTTGCTCGTATCGGATTGCCCAGCACCTTCCTGGTGGATTATACTGATTTTTGTGAGCCTTGTAGACGTGTAAAGCTATGTCCCTGGTGCGCCTTGGCTAACTACGCGCAAAAATCATTATTTTGGCAAAGACATGCTGTAAGCGCCGATGATGATGAGCACACAAGAGTCAGTCACTCAAGTGATGTATCCCGTTTTCCCGGTACTGAGTTGTCTTGTTCTTCATGGTTCCCATTTATAACCTATGTGTACACTGTGTTCATTCTTTCTGACTCATTTTCCCCGTCACTTTCCCCCCATACTGGCCCATTTTGTACTGACATTAATATTCCGCCTCGGGTGGGATCGCGCCGGCGCCGGCGAAAAGAAAGTGTCCGAACCGCCCAGTCGCCATGTGCATTCCATGAATCCGGGGTACCATAATGTGATAGATTACATCACGTCAGTATTTCTTTGGTCAATTGCACCGCGTGGTCCCCGCATTTCCTTGGCACCATCGCGGCATCGCCTTCTTGCATGGGCACTACTTATGTAGGACGAACCATTGAACTAGGTCTATAACTCAAATATACAGTGGACAGCGGGATCCTGACATCCAATGAAGAGTGTGTATCTAGGTTACCGGAAATGGTATGTGTTAGGCAGCTGACCATTGAAAGGCGTGGCTTTTGATTGGCTGGCTTTCCAGCCAAACGCATAACGATAGACGTTTCGCCTCCTCCGAAGTGATGTCTCCGGCCGAGATGCCGGGGCTGCCGCGCCACAACAGCCACCCGGGGATCCCTCGGGGATCGGTGGTAGGTGGCTGGACCCCTCTGGACCCCCGTCTCGCGGTAGCCGTTGTGGCGCGGCACCCCGGCACCTCGGCCGGAGACATCACCTTCGCCGAAGACGAAACGTCTATCGATATGCGTTTGGCTGTCAAAGGGACAGTAAGCCCATCGCAACGCTCACGCCCAGTGGAAGTTCTGCAGAAACCTAGGTGCACTGATTGGCGGCGGTGGGCGATCGCACGCTCATTGGCCAGTCGGTGGTCGAGGCTAAAGAGGAACAAAAACACCCAGTCCGTCCTCAGAGTCATATCAAACTTGTCCGACGCCTCGACACCTTGATCTACTTGACTACTGCCACTTCTACAGCGTGGCTTAGGTGTCCATAGGCAATGTGCTGCTCGTGCTAGTAGAGGCACTCATGGGCTCGCACCGAGACGATATTGTATTGGCTATCCGAGGCTTGGCACCTCAGGCCTCAGGCCTCAGATCAGAGTTGTGTTGTGTCTCAAGCAGCCGCCCACCTCGCCAGGGGCAACCACACTAGTGCAGACCAGCCCGTCGTATAAAATCTCGCAGAGCCCCCCACGATGCTGTGTTCCGTCATTTGCCTTTTCTCCTTATTCTCAACCTTCCCCTGATAACTTACGTATATTTCTCCGTCGCCATGTACATCGACTCGTCCTCCATGCTCCAGACGTTCACCGCCTCGCTCATTGCCTCCGCACTCCAGAACGGGGGGAACATGACCGAATTCAAAGGATCCGGCAAAGTGGCTGATTGCAGCCTATCAGGCTTCGTGCCCTCGATTCCGTCAAACCAGACCCAGCTCACGATCCCAAGCAATTTGGACCCGGAGTTCATCGGCCTTGCGTTTGGTGTACAAAACTACACCTGCGCGTCTAGCAACAACTTCACGTGAGTAGTCCAAGCGGGACGCGACTTCTCCACGCACCTACTCACCCGCCGTGGACCGCAGGAATGTAGGCGCGATAGCTGAGCTCATCGACATTTCCTGCTTCGTGGAGGTACCCTTGTTCGACACGATCCAAAACCAGCTCTTCACCGCCTGGGACCAACTCTCGCAGTCAATGTCCATCCAGCAAGTGCTCGACTTTGTACACTCTCTCAACCCACCCGCGAATCTCGCGCAGCACTACTTCGTACCCAACCCTGTCACGGGCCAGGGCATCTCCCCGAAGTGGGACTTCACGTCGAATGGCAAGTTCGAGGGCAACCCCGATGCGTTCATCGTCGGAAAGGGGAACGGCACGCTCCCGAGCCCCGACGACTCGAAGAAAGACGTCACGTGGCTGGAGGTCCTGAATGCGGAGGGCAAGGTTGCGGCTGAACTTTTCCGGTTCGACACGGTCGGCGGCCAGCCTCCGTCGTCTGTGAGTTTTGCTGTCAGCTGAATGATTGCCTTGACTGAGAACTGACCTTGCGACCAGTGCACATACGGCAAGGACTCGGACATAGCTGTGACTTACGCGGCGAAGTACAGTGAGTATTCAATATTCAATGCTCACCGTTGATAAATGCCCAAGCTAATATGAACGTCCAGTCTTCTACGGCGGCGATCTTAATTAATCGTTCAACGTTGGCACAAGCCCTGATATCTATTGATTAGTTATACACGGTACTGCGTCCCACTTTCTTTAGCACATGTATATTGTATCTGGGTTTATGTATTATGAGTGATGCGTGTCCACGAGTAATCTAAACTTGCAAGACCGACTGATGTGGTGACAACTTCGTGCTTCTTGTGGCGGTCAGCAGAAACTCGGTTGGGAAGCCAATCTGTCAAAGTCATCTGCAAGGCAACTTCACGCGGCTACCACGTACTATGATCCATCCTACGGTATGGGATGTTGCGTCTCAGCATCCATATGCGTTGAGGACGGCACGTCTAGGTGATGCTGTACTCCTTTGGTCAGTTTGAACTTATCAACATCATAATGCAGTCTGACTGCTTACCTTGGAAACGTGGCCATGGTGTCAGTGGATTAGTTCGTGTCGATAGCTTGAGGCCGGGGGGCCTGGGAGTGGGATCTACAGGGCCATCATGCCTCCCCACGATGACGCCGGTCAACTCGGGCTGCTGAACTTGGAGCGCAAAAGAACGGTGAACAGCAAGTGAACAGCGCACGACTGCAAAATTTTGACAAATGAGCGACCACATACGACGCGCGAATCTGTCGGTCAAGTGCGCAGTAAGTACGTCAACTTGAGTCATGGGCGTCCGTGGCTGTATTTGTACGTGACTTATGCGAGATGTCATGACGAGAGGTTAAGCGGCATACGTGCGCGAAACGCGCATGTGGTTTAAGGGCCAGCCTGAGGTGAATTGAAAGCACCGCCGTGACAGCCAACTTCATATCCCAAACGCCGCGGCAACTGAATGAAATCAGACACCGTTGCATTCCTCGCGCCGTAATAGTAGTCATGTACATCCAGGTCCCAGCATACTTGCCATGCGCTCAGCGCCGTTCCGTATCCGCTTGACCGAATTACACGAACAACTGAACATGGCCGAGATCCAGGCTGGACGCAGCGCCTCAAACTTGCAATACGTAGGCGCCTTTCCATGTAATTGTCGGTCTGCGCTCTTATTGGCTAGTCGAAGGTTGGCCCTGGGACGGGACTTGGGCGGGACAGAGGCGGAACGCTTCGCTCCTCAATGTTTCAACATGGAATCATCGAGGACTCTAGCAGTGAGAAAAAGTTGCCTTCAGACCTACTATGCTTTCACTGGCAAGTCATTGGCTATGCACTACATGTGCGAGGCTTCGACTCGTAACAGCCCCGGTAGTGAAAACGCGCCGCGTCGGGAATCATGGTATGCAGTACTTACTAGTGAGAGCGGGGCATGGCAACTACGTGTCACATAATATCTGCACAGATAGCACCGGTATGGGGTTTCTCGTGCATATGCCAATGTACCCCCGGAATGGCTAAATGGTAAGCTCACCTCCTATCCTCGACCCATCGACGGCTGGATGGCACGCCGAGCACGTCCAAACTTCGACCGAGCTCGTCCCGGCGCATGTTCCCAAGCCCGTCCGCATTTCCACTGACAGACAGAGCGTGAAGACTTCTGGTGGTCTTCGGCCATACAAAGAGTTGGTGCCTTGCGCAAGGAGACCTAGCAAGGTGGGCGCGAAGAACATGCATTCATCATCGGGGTTGCGCAGATAGAAGTAGAATCCGGAATAGTCATGAATGCCGGAGGCGGGTTCGGTGAGAGCCTCGATAGCCTACCATGCCTGTCGTGAAATGAGTGTAAAGAGAGAGGAGGATACTAAGACGACCAGAGAGAGTCGGTACCGCAGGCATGCTGGATCCATGCAGAGCGCAGACAGAGCCGCAGGCCCCGCGAGCGCTCAGCGCCACGGCCGTCACACCGTGACCGCATCACCGCGGGCCCCCACGTGCACGAGGCGCGATCAGGCAACAGCGCCCTTGTCCCGGCGCGCTGATGGCGGCGGGCGATCTGCACGCTCGTTGGTAGTCTCTCACCAAGATCTTCTACACGGCGCACGCGAGGGATTGTGTCGAACCTGCTTTCATTGGCCAGTTGGTGGTCGAGGCGGAACAGACACGAAACACCCAGTCATCGTCCGAGTCTATGTGTCTCAAACCACAGGCGGTGCGCTGCTCGTATGTGTACGTAGCGAAACAATTCCGCATTGACTATCCGAGGCTTGGCACCTCAGGAACAGTGCTATGTAGCCCCGATGTAGCCTGCACCCAATGTGAACTAGTACTAAGTTTTGACTAAGTTGCACCGCATGTTATGTTCCCGCTGTCATTGATCGTGCCGCAACGCCACCTTCGAGTGGCGAGGATCCGAGGTGTCTCAAGCAGCCGCCCATCTTGCCAGGCAACGACCCTAGCCCAGACTGGCGCGTTGTATAAAATCCCGCCGAGCCCACGATGTCCCGTCCTTTGCCCTTTACCCTTTTTTTACTTCTTGCCAACCTTCCCCTTCCCCTTCTTTCTTTCACGACTAATACGTGTGTTTTGTTGCCGTTATGTACATCGACACGTCCTCCATCCTCCAGACCTTCGCCAGCTCGCTCATCGCAACCGCCCTCCAGTACGGGTGGACGCCCGACTCGAACGCAGCCGACTTCAAGGGATACGGCAAAGTGGCTGATTGCAGCCTGTCAGGCTTCGTGCCCTCGTTCCCGTCAAACCAGACCCAGCTCACGATCCCAAGCATCTTGGAGCCGCAATTCATCGGCCTTGCCTTCGGTGTGCAAAACTACACCTGCTCGTCTAGTAACAACTTCACGTGAGTGGTTCAAGCAGTACACCAATTCTCCACGCACCTACTGACCCGCTGCGGACCGCAGGAATGTGGGCGCAGTCGCCGAGCTCATCGACGTCTCCTGCTACGTGAACGCACCTTGGTTCGACACCATCCAGGACACGCTCTTCCCCGCCTGGGACGAGCTCTCACAGTCCATGTCCATCCAGCAAGCGATTGAGTTTGTGCACTTCCTCAACCCGCCCGCGAATCTCGCGCAACACTATTTCGTGCCGAACCCTGCCACCGGCCAAGGCGTCTCCCCGAAGTGGGACTTCACGTCGAACGGCAAGTTCCAGGGCAACACTGATGCGTTCATCGTCGCGAAGGGTAACGGCACGCTCCCGAGCCCGGATGACCCGAAGAAGGACGTCGCGTGGCTGGAGGTCCTGAATGTGGAGGGCAAGGTTGCGGCTGAGGTCTTCCGGATCGACACGGTTGGCGGCCAGCCTCCGTCGTCTGTGAGTTTCGTTGTCGGCTGAGTACTCGTCTGGACCAAGGACTGACCTTGCGACCAGTGCGCGTACGGTAAGGACTCCGACATATCTGTGAATTACGTGTCAAAGTACAGTAAGTCTCGATTGCTCGCAGCTGAAGGAATTCCCAAGCTTACCTGAGCATCCAGTCTTCTACGGCGGTGATCTCAATTAGTCGTTGAGCGTCGAACTTGAACTTGAGTTCTGTCAATTAGTTTACCAAGACATAGCGTACTACGTTCTTTGGCATAGGGATACTGTATCTGGGCTTTTCACGGACACAATGTGTAATTAGTGACATGTTTCCACGAATAATTTAAACTTCTTAAACTCACTGATGTGGTGACAACCTTCCAGCTTCTTGTGGCAGTCAGCAGAATCTGCAGCCAATCGGTCAAGGATATATAAAAGGGTACTGCATGCGGCTACCACTATCATTTATCCTACGGATGGCATGTTGTATCTCAGCTTCGTCCATATGTGTTGACGACGGCATATCCAGACGACGCTGTACTCCTTTGGTCAGTTCGAACATCGACGTCATGACGAGTCTAACTTCTGCCAGTGTGTTACCTTCGAAACGCGGCCGCGATGCCAATGGGTGGTAGTTTGTGCTAGTAGTCAAATCAAGAACCAACCCGAGGTGGATTGAACACACCATCGTGACCGCCAACTTCATCCCTCGGGATGCCGCGGCAATAACTGGATCAAATCAAATGCATTTCTTGGGCCATGGTGATCATGTAAGGACTTCCGGTTCCCAGTCAATTCCCAGTCAAGTCCCAGTATACCTGCCGTGTATTCGGCGCTCTTCAGTATCCGCCTGACCGAATAACACGGACTTGGATTGAACATCACCGAGAGTCCGGTAGTACCCAGTCCAGTGTTGGTACTAAGTTAGCTCGCATTCAAGAAAAAGGTGCCGTTTGCGATTGCACAGGCTCGTGTCCTAGCGATTCATGCTCCGCTATGACCGCTATAAGTAGTATCAGTATGCCCTCTTCATGCCATATGTGCACGCCATTCGTCGTCAGGGGGATAGTCAGCCTGGCCTTGTGGATGAGTATCGGCGGCAGAGTGCCAGTGCGTATGTAGCTGCTAAGGTGGATCAACGCCCAGCCTTTGCGAGTGGACGATCTGCGCGCTCATTGGTCAGGCCTCCAGCTCCAGGCTCATGGGTCAGGCACGATTGGCCAGACACGCTCATTGGCCAGTCGGTGATCAAGGCGTCGGAACGGAAACGAAAACCCTTGGGAACACCACGGTCCTCAGGCTGTAGGGTCCTGTCCATCCTCTCAGTCGTGGTGTCCGACGCTCGAGATCTTGATCTACTCGACCAGGCATGGCTCAGTATTTCAAGCCATAGGTGGTGCGCTGCTCCGAGTCGTATGGGTATGGGCTCGTATTACCGACTAGTACTGCCAGAGGACTCGAACAATCCCGTAATGACTATAAATATCAAGGCTTGGCCCATATGAATCAGAATTTAGACCGATGCTATAACTGATGGCTCAAGCAGCCGCCCATATTGCCAGGGGCAACGACTAGGCAGCGACACTAACTTAGAGCAGACTCGGACTATTATGGTGCGGTATAAATTCCCTCCGAGCCCACGATCATGCTCTATCCCGCTCTCTGCTCTTTTTCCTACTTTGCCAACCTTCAACACCCGACGAATACGTGTATTTCACCGCCGTCATGTACATGATCGACACGTCCTCCCTTTTGAAGACCTTCACCGGCTCGCTCATCGCAACTGTACTCCAGTACGGATGGTCTCCCGACACGAACTCGACCGACTTCAAGGGATATGGCAAAGTGGCTGATTGCAGTCTGTCAGGCTTCGTGCCCTCGTTCCCGTCAAATCAGACGCAGCTCACGGTCCCAAGCGACTTGAACCCGGAGTACATCGGTCTTGCGTTTGGCGTGCAAAACTACACCTGCTCGTCTAGCAACACCTTCACGTGAGTGGTCCAAGCGGTACGCGCATTCTCCATGCACCTATTGACCCGCCGCGGAGTGCAGAAGTGTGGGCGCGGTGGCTGAGATCATCGACGCCTCCTGCTACGTGAACGCATCCTGGTTTTCCACGATCCAGAACGTGCTCTATCCAGCTTGGGACGAGCTCTCGCAGGCAATGTCCATCCAGCAAACGATCGAGTTAGTGCACTACCTCAACCCACCCGCGAATCTCGCGCAGCACTACTTCGTGCAAAACCCTGTCACAAATCAGGGCCTCTCCCCGAAATGGGACTTCACGTCGAACGGCAAGTTCGAGGGCAACTCAGAGGCGTTCATCATCGGAAAAGTCAACGGCACGCTGTCTAGCCCCGATGACCCTGCGACGGACATTACCTGGCTGGAGGTCTTGAACGTGGAGGGCAAGATTGCGGGCGAACTTTTCCGGTTCGACTCGGTTGGCGGCCAGCCTCCGTCGTCTGTGAGTTTTGCTGTCGGCTGAATACGTCTTGACCAAAGACTGACCTTGCGACCAGTGCACGTACGGCAATGATTCGGACATATCTGTGAATTACGTGGCGAAGTACAGTGAGTCTTGATTGCTTGCAGTTGGAGGAATCCCAAGCTTACCTGAGCCTCCAGTCTTCTACGGCGGCGATCTTAATTAATCGTTGTACGTTGGATTCGGACTTGCGGAACCTATTGATTAGTTAAACAAGGCGCTCCGTACCACATTCTTTGACACATGGATATTGTATCGTGACTTTTCACGGACACAGGATTCCATTAGTATACGATAATGCAATATTCATAAACCGATAGATGTAAAACGACTTCCTGCTTCTTGTGCCGGTCAGCAGAAACTGGGCTCAATTGTATCACTGGGACTGGCATGATCAGTACATTGCCTACGGGTGACAAGATGTCGACAAATTAGCTGCCACACGGGGGCAAATGTCTTGGGCTAAGCACGTTGGCAACTTGAGTCAAGGGTGTGCGTGGCCGCATCCGCGACTTGTGCGGTACCGGGGACGCCATGACGGAAGATTGAGCGGTGTATGTGCGCGAGACGCGTATGTCTAATCCAGGACTAGCTTGAGGTATATTGAACGCACCACCGTGACCGCCAACTTCAACATTCCAAACGCCGGAACAACTGAATTGACTCGGATACTGTACCGTTGCATTCCTTGGGCTATAGTGGCCATGTACTTTCAGTTCCCAGCATGCTTGTCGTGCGTTCAGCGCTCTTCAGTATCCGCCTGACCGGATAACATGTATGACTTGAACATAGCCGAGATCCCGGCCGGACATGGCAGCGCCTCAAAGGCCCGGGGCGACACACGGGCGCCTTTCCATGCAGTGGTGGTGCACGGTCCGTGCTCTTATTGGCCAGTCGATGGTCGGCCCTGGACGGGACTTGGGCGGAACAGGAGCAATACGCTTAGCACCTCGACAATTCAATGACTCAACATGGAACCACCGAGGGCTCTAGCAGTGGAACGGAATTCGGCCTTCAGACCTATGCTTTCACTGGCAAGCCATGAATGGCTATACACTGTGGCATGGCGTCAGTTCGTTGAATAATAACAGCCCCGGGGTTGAAAGCTCGCCTCGTCTGTGCCAGGAACTACGATCATGATGGTGCGTAGTACGCATTAGTCACCCTGCGCCCAGAAACCGCCCAGTTAGCGTTTCCGCTGTCACCCAAAGTATCGGGAACATACACTCCTGGCTCGACTTCCAACCATCCGGAACAGACGTCTCAAGCAGCCGCCTAACCTTGCCAGAAACAGCGACCCTCCGCATGCAATAAAAGCAGCCCGGCCTACGATGTTCTGCCGCGCCCAAGCGCATCTCACTTTCGAGAGGCCCACTTTGCCCTCCAAGCTTCACCGACCAAACCCTTAGTCTTCACGACTAACACCTACACTTCCCCGTCGCCATGTCTGTCAATACGTCCTCCATCATCCAGGCCTTCGTCGGCTCACTTATTGCCTCCGCACTCCAGTATGGGTGGACGCCCGACACGAACGTGGCCAACTTCGAGGGATACGGCATATTGGCCGACTGCAGCCTAGCAGGCTACGTACCCGCGCTCCCGCCGAACCAGACCCAGCTCACGATCCCGAGCAACTTGGATCCGGAGTTCCTCGGTCTTGCGTTCGGCGTGCAGAACTACACCTGCTCGTCTAGCAACAGTTACACGTGAGTCGTGGCGAGACGCAGGTGCTCCACGCACGTACTGACGGTTCCCCGCCGCGGACCGCAGGAGTGTCGGCGCGGTCGGCGAGCTCATCGACGTCTCCTGCTACGTGAACGCCTCCTGGTTCTCCACGATCCAGGACGTGCTCTACCCCGCCTGGGACGAGCTCTCCCAGTCGGTGACCATCCAGGAAGTCATCGACTTCGTGCACCTCATCAACCCGCCCGCGAACCTCGCGCAACACTACTTCGTGCCCAACCCGGTCACGGGCCAGGGGCTCTCCCCGAAGTGGGATTTCACCTCGAGCGGCAAGTTCGAGGGCAACCCAGAGGCGTACGTCATCGGGAGGGTCAACGGCACGCTCTCTAGCCCGGACGACCCCATCAGCAAAACTGCATACTACTTAAGCCGTCTTGACGGACCTTACGAGCTTTCACGCCTTAGATTCTTGCTTAACAATCACTTACCCTCCTTATGTACTTGATCGAATGAACGCCAAATAGCAACGATAGAATCAAGCAGATACTAAGCGCGAGTAAGGAACATTGTACAATCAAGCATGTAAGTACTTTCTGGCGAATGCAATCCCTGCAAATTGTATGTAGATTCCTGAGTCCTCGAGCAAGGTACATTACATCCGACGACTCTCTACTGCTAATATGCTATCATTGTCGCTCGTCCTATAACACGAAAAGCCCACCTTGAGATCATACGTGCATCTGTTCCAGTATCGAGTGTTGTAATCTTCACCCGAGGCTGAGCGAGTTGATGGGCGAGCCGCCGAGCGTGCGATTCGTGAATGTGTGGGCAAGTACACGGGCGATCGTGCGCGAATGAGCAAGCGGGTGGGTGGGTGAGTGTGTAGGCAAACAGCAAGCAGGCGAACAAGTACTGATCTGATTGAATTCATGGTGCGCTCCGTGCGTGTTATCGCGCAGGGTAGCAGTCGTAGGCACATAAGATGGGCCGCGACCTAGGCGCGATGCCCTGGCATAATTGCCCGAAGAGCGCACGAGCGTGATGCTCGCTGTGCTGCCTTGTGCCCCGTAAGCCGCACCGTGGTCTCATCATTCGCAAGTTGTGGGGATGTTAGACACGCCGGGTACACTCATAAGAGCACCCATTGGCGTACTCATCAGTAACATGTGCACCAAGAAATCGACGCAGCGGATACGCTGAGTCACAAGTGGCCGTAGATGAACGCCGGACGTGCAGCTACACGTCTGAATCACAGCACGCATCGTCTTAGCCGCGGAACGGATGTCCCAAGATCACTGCCAGCAGCGTGCATGGCGTTCTTCTCATTCATTAAGTCGCTGGCAGCTCGGGTACTGCAGTCTCGGGTCTGGAAGCAGAGACAACAAGATGTCAGTTAAGGACGTACCTGATATCTCGAGCCTTCGTGCTCGCTGTACCCTTCATTATCATTTATCTTCTATTTTTTTTCCTCGCATCCCCCACATACTGCTCGTGTTGTGCTCTAGTCAGCCCTGTTGCTTGGTGAGTCCCAGTTAGCGCGGCCAAGTTGAGGGTCGCCAGAGCCGCGAGAAGTGAGAAGTTGCAGCGAGACGGCCACTAGGAAGCTCGAGAGTCTGAGACGGAGGGAGTAACCCTCGTGATCATGTTACGGAACACTTCGTGAATGAGACTGAGTGACGGAAGGAACCAGGATGACACGGACAGATGGCGCACAGTCGTTTCGGGAAGTGCTACAGCTGCCTGCCCTAAACGGAAATCCAATCAGACTCCGACATGACACGTCGCCCGCGATGCTCAAGCGTTCAACGTCCTGCAACCCACCCAACGTTTGACCGTCCAACGCGCAAGTCCAATTAATGCAACGTCCAACGTTCTGGTGCATGGCATATGCATCCCACGTCCGATACGGAGCGGCATGGCGCGCAGCGGCGCCGCAGCCTCGAGTCATTGCACGGCTTACGAAGGTGAGTATGGTCCTTCAAGTCTCCTGCCGAGCTTGTCGCTAGAGAACACCGAGCACTAGCAGAGATGATACTGCGCGCACGCACAACGCCTGACTCGGAGGAGCCTGGGCCCTGTGCTTGCCTGCCCGTTCGCCCTCTTGTTCGCCCTCTTGTTCATCCATCTGCCCATTCTTGCCTATACGCGCGCTCGCCTTCTCACTAGCTCGCCGCCCTCGCCTTCTCGACAGCTCTCTGCCCTCGCCTTCTCGTCAGCTGCTCTCTCACTAGCTCGCACTCGCCCGCCTACTCTTGTCTGCCCACCTTCGCTCATTTGCTAGCTCACTCGCTCGCTTGCCCTCCACCCGCCCTCGCCCTCCTTGCTTTATCGCCCGATCCAAAGAAGTGGCATCTCAGTGTGTCGTGTGCTCATCAGACGTCTTCCCCAGCGAACCCACGTTTGCCCAGACGCGTACTTCACAAAATTAACGGAAGGCCAACTGAAAACGATCGACGACATTGAAGAACTGCGCGACCTCGTCGTCCCGGAGGGTATGTTCAGGATTGCGCGGACGAGCAAGGCCGGCAAGAAGGGCGAATCCTCGCGGACGACCAGCAGCACGAAACGGCAGTACGCGCCCTTCCCCTCGCGCTCGCAAATACCCCAGCCCTCGACCAGCTCCCAGTCACAGGCGTCCACAAGCGCGCTCCCGCCGCCTCCGCCAGCGCCCGTCCAAGCGATCAAACACGAGCCACAGCCCGGGCCCTCGACGTCCACGGACTACGAATACCCGCCCGACCTGCAGCACTACCAGCAACAGCTGCATCAATACCCGCAACCCCAAGCATACCCGTCCGTGCAATACCCGCAGGCCGCGCAATACGGGCAGCCCGTCGGCTGGCCAGGCCCCGTCTCCGCACTCCCGCCCGCACCCTCCTCCGACCGAGCGCCGCAGTACTCAATCCCCGCCGAGCTGCAGCCTCCGGTGAGTGGCTACGCCTATGAACCCCAACTACCCTTATCCGCCGCCGACGCCCTAGCTGCCTGCCGTACCCTTCCCCGCGCTCCCCGCTCCCGGGGGCGCGCCGGCGACGTTCCCGCCCAGCGACACGCTCACGATGATCCCGAATCCCGACGACAACCCCTCCGGGCCCGCGCGGCAACTCACCCTTGCTTTCTCGTTGGCTTAGCTCGCTCGCCTGCCTGCTCGTTCGCCCACGCACTCAATGGCCCGCTGCCATCGCCTTCTCGCCCGCTCTCCCTCATGCTCTCATCATCGCCCTCTTACTAGCCTGCCCGCTTTTCTGCCCGCCCATTCGTCCGTTTTCCTGTCCGCATACTTGCACTCACTCTCGCCCACAACCCCCTTAGCATGCACCGCCTCTCGCCCACACTCCCGTGCACCCGTTCGGCCAGCCAGCCGCCCACTTACGCACGCGACTGTCCACGCGATTGCCCATGGACCTACCTACTTGCCAGCGGAACTGGCTTTGTGTATGGTGCCCATGCCCAGCTCGTGTACGCCAGCGAGTACAGTAGTGTATTGTAATTCCATACGACAGACCTGTACACTGTAGAATAAATTGGCACATTTCCGGAATATATTCGCGTCCCATGGAACGATTTGAATGGATAGATCGATGTTCTTGAAGGCCACTTGATCCACGATTACAAGTCTTAATGTCAGCTTAGTACACGACTTAGTCGAGCTTGATTAAGACGGTTCAAGTAGCACGCCCCTTAATAAGAAATGGTACCTCGTTAATTAAGCGCGATCACTTATTCACTGAATGCCCTTGATCGACTTATTAAGGTGTTTAAGCCCCAAATAAGCAACGTGCACATTTGCTGATGCCTACGACGGACATTACCTGGTTGGAGGTCCTGAACGTAGAGGGCGAGATCGCAGCTGAGGTGTTCCGGATCAACACGGTCGGTGGCCAGCCTCCGTCATCTGTGGGTGTTTATTCTCTTAGTTGTCTGACACTCGTCTTCAAGACAAAGGACTGACCTTTGGCACCAGTGCACATACGGCCAGGATACGAACATCTCTGTCAGCTACGTAGCGGAATACGGTGAGTGTCCGTCGCTCGTGACACGTCGTCGATTACCAGCCTAACTTTGATGTTCAGTCTTCTATGGTGGTAGTTTGAATTAGTGTTGAACATCGAATCTGCATATGATGGCATTGCGGCGTTCCTTAGCACAATGATTATCATCGCAACCAGCGAGGCATCGAGGTGTAATATCAATGTGTACTCACAGGCAAGCCACTATATTGCGGCGCGACCAAGCTCGGCAGGGTGAGTAATGTGCTGGGATAGAGGTCAAGTATCCGATACGACGCACGGACCCATGATGATAACCTCAAGATGCATTAATACCGGATACGTGTAAACCAAGAAGGACAGCCAAATGTATATACAGAACAGAACAGATTGCGATGCAAGCTGCTGCAAAAGCAATGCGACGACGATGGAAACAAGCGACAGATGTCGAGGAGCAGCAGGCGGTAAGCATCAGTTAGGCTACACTCGACGTGACGCGCGACGGGGTAATAGGTAGTCAGCAGGCGTACGAATATACGGAGACGGAGACAGAGACCGAGAGGAGAAACGTAGTTGCTACAGCAGAGGGGAGGGCATATGTGATATGATACAAGTGGTATACTCGGCGCGCAGGGGTGCGCTCTTGCAGTGTATGTACGAAGCTTGGAGTCCAGTCCTTGGGATGCGAGCGCGATTCGTGAGTTCCGTTCCTTCTTGCTGTATGTGGGTGCGTGCGGTTGATGAGAGCGACCCGTCTAGAATCCAGTCATGCCCATGTTCATGTTCATGCCCACCTCGTCGAAGGCGGGGAACGCGTCAGTCGCCGCGTCGGCGTAGCCCTCCGTGGCGAACATGTCGTACCCGTCAGCGGCGTGCGCCTGCTGCCCGACCTCCATCGACGAGACCATCTGCTCGAACGAGTGCAGCGGGTGTCCCTCCGCTAAGAGATGCGCCTCCTGCGCGGCCTCCATCTGCGACCACTCCTCCATCTCGACCTGCACGTGTTGGCTCGGGTGCAGCGGCTGCGGCGCTACGACGCCCGCGTCCGCGAGCGAATGATCCGTGAGCGCTGGAGAGCCTGAGAACGCCGAGCTCGCGCCACTCTGCGGCCAGGGAGCGCCATCAAGCGGGCAGACGCCCTCTCCCATGTGCGAGTGTTGAGAGTAATCACCTGCGGCGTAGGCAGAGACGGGCGAGGGCGCGGTGGAGTAGGTCGTCGCGGAGTAGGGGTCGCCTGCGGTCGACGCAGAGTACGGCCCAGTCGGCTGAGAGAAGTCGGTCGAGAGAGGTGGGATGCCCTCGAGCGGGGAGACTTCGAGCCGGAGGCTATGGTTGGGCGCGTAGTTCTGTAGAGGACGTCAATTAAGAGTTCCACAATGGTGGGAGCGGGTACGTACCGAAAAGTCCTTCTGTGGGGCCTGGCCAGAGAGGACGCTCGATCCCTGCGTCAAATAGGCACTTTGGAAAAGCGAGTGGTCAGGTTCGGGATACGACGCCGAGTCTTGGTGCATTGAGTACGATTGAGGCTGCTGCTGCGGGTGGTCGAAGACTGCGCTCGAGAAGGCCCAAGGCTGCGAGGGTATCGGTTGTACGCTCGAGGCGCGACGGTGACCAAGCCAGTTACGGGAGATGCCCGAGATATGGTTAACAGGCGAGGGCGCGCGGGAACCTCCGGCGAACGCGTTCACGAGGAACGGTACAGACGGGATGGCGATCTGGTTGTATGCAGGGAGGGGCACAGAAGACGAGCGGCGGTGGCCAGCGTAGAGGGGTACAGGGTTGTACAAGGGGATGTCGGACTGATCGAGGTAAAGCTGCTCAGTACCGAAAGACATGTCCGGCGACGCAGTCGTGTTCCTCGACTCCCATGCGCGCACAGCGGTCGCAAGCTCCTCGCCCTTCTTCCCGCCAAGCATCAGCTGGGCGACTACGCCCGTGCGGCGCTCGTCGTCGTCAGCCACCGGGGCGGGCAAGGGCTTCTTTTTGGCATCGCGCGCCTTCTTCTTGTCCTTGTTGTGGACAGGCCTGAACTTGTAGTTCGGGTACAGCAGCTTGTGCTCCGCCTTTGCCTTCTTAGCGAGCTGCACCCACTGCTCGCGCTCCTCCCAAGGAAGGGCCCGCCAGATGTTACCTGAAATACGCGACGTACTGTCAGACGATGAGATCAAACAACAAACGAACGACTGACCGATGATCTTCGAGAGCGAGATATGGCTCGTCTCGATCGAACCCGGGACATGTTTCTGACGCACAAAGTCGGCCCGGAAGAGCATGAACGCGTTCGGGGCCTCGGGATGTGGCTGAGCGAGCGGCGCTTGCCAGACGTCGGTCGGCGCTTGGGGTCAGGGGGCGGTGATTGAGAAGGAGGGAAGAGCGAGTCGGCGGGCAAAGGCAGCATCGACTCGTCGAGCAACTCGTCCTGGTCGTTGTAGGTGACGGGGGTCACGTTCGGTGCGAAGGTGACGTTCGGCGATTCGGGAGACGCGTGCGCGCCATACCTTCCAGGCTTGACGTAGGGGAGACCTGACACGAGCCTATGAGCAAGCGTAGGCGGCGCAATGGAGGAGGTATACGCACCAGCAGCCAGTGATGACCGCCTTCGGAGACCGTCGCGGAGACCGACGCGTGATACAGGCATGTTTGCCTATGCTACAATAGGAGTGTGGAAGAAGATACAGACCGGGTCGGGGGCACGTCAGAGGCGCGTGGTCGGGAGTAGGGATACAATAGCGAGGGAAGAAGGGCAGGGGAAGGGCGGGCTCGGCGAAGGGCCCGTTATTGTTCTCGCACTTTATACGGCTCGCCCGCCAGGCCCTATCACGTCCATCGGGCGCGTCTCGCGGAAGAGTTTCCCAGGACCAGGCCCACGCGACCGACGCCACGGGATCGGCCATCTCATCGGGCGTCTCATCGCATGGCCCCCGCCACCCCCCTCAAACACGCATCTATCCATCTCCCCCGTCCCAAATCGCATCGCTGGAAAGCAGAAGGCGAGAAGACTCTGCCACAGCTTGAAAGAGGCTGAGAGATACAGCTCACCAGATCCTAGGATGGTTGCAAGACCTTCGCTGGCAGAGCAGCTTCCGGGGTCCCGCATCTAGAGATCTTCGATTCCGAAGGGTCACCCAAATGCATCCGCTGCATTGTCCCCAAAAGGGACATTCGTTTGTGTGCTGGCCATACACGGTTAGCCCAGCGCGCATGTGGTCGAGGGACACACCTATCCCCCAATTTCATCCCAGGTAATTACTCGTCGTGCTGTCGGGCTACTCCGCGGGGCTGACTCTGGCGTTGCAGCGGGGTGATAAGTCCGAGAGCGATCGCTTGGGGATAACTGTAAACTGGGACGGGCAGGTATGAGTTCGCACCTCTCCCACTATGCTAAGTAACTTGCTGAAAGAGGGCCGGCGACTCACTGGCAGTGGGACGTTCCGTTTGCCACCTTCTCAGCGCGGAGACTGATGCTCAGGCGATGCGCCGCCGCGTCAGCCGCGTACAGTACATCCATTTCGTCTTCAACTCGCATCAGAGCGAAGCTTCCACTGGCGGATTAGTACGTGCCTTGCACAGCCTACTTACAGCCTATGACCGCACTCACATCCCTGCAACCCGTCCCTCGGCAGACTCCGAGCCTCGCTGCAACTCGTGGATTCACCCTTCTCGGCCGCGCCGAGCGCACGCCCAGCCCAGCCAATCGCTGCGCCATCCGCGCCGGAACGAAGGAACCCAATGAACGAAGAGTCCCCTCCACGTGGCCGGCTCCGTGCCCCGTAATAGGCCCCGTCCCGTTGCCGCGTTACCTCGCAACCGAAGGCCTGCATTGTCCAGGAAAGGCAACCCTTATTGAACGTCCCCGGGGCTACTTCGCGCGACGGGCTCGAAGCAAGCCCTCCGCGGGAGAGCATTCTGCTTGGAAACTGGGTCGCACGAGCGGAGCACGTCGCTATGACCGACGTGAAACCTGTTTCAAGGTCTGCCCTGGAAGCCTGCCAGTGCTTACAAGATGTGATGATGCAAGAAGTTCACTGACGATTTCCTGCATGTTAGGCTGGCCGCCTTGCCCTGGCACTGGAAGGCGTCCCATAGGCCGCCACCCCTGGTGCCTATTTTCAGAACGATCAGAAGAGCACAGCCCCACTTGACTGCTCTCCAGGGCCATACCAGTAGCTGACGGATTTTGATATGGTCAGTGCCCCCGGAGGATTCCTATCTGCCATCACATGCGATACTTACTCTGCGGTCGGATGTTGCGTGGGCGTCTCCATAGGAAGCCCATAGTAAAAGGTGGCTGTGCATGAGGTCTTCTTCCACGTTAGTACGTCGGGCTGACAGTTCGCATCAGACTTTTCAACTGCATCTTCCCTTCGCGGCTGAGTACTTACCACTAGTAGACAACACGACCGACTGGTCAGAGCGCGGCCGAAATACCGGCACGCACCCCAACACAGTCATAATACGGCTTTCCATTCGTTTTCCTTCAGCGCCAGCATATTTGCCATCACATCGCACCTCCGACCGTTGGGTTTGCTGTCGGAGCTGACGGGACGCGTTCTAGAACCCGGATTCAACGAACGCGCCCCAAACCCAGGAAACCCCATTTTGGCCATGTGCTCCTGCTAACGTCCAGTAAACCTTCGGGATTTCTGTTATCTCGTGCATCAGGACTTACTGTTCTACCGGACGACGCCTCCGGATGGGTCACTCAAGTGAGGGCTGGCTTTTCCATGTATCTTGTTATGCGAAGCGCACTTCATGGAATAGCTTGTGCTGACTCGCTTAGCCACCGCCAGCGTATCGATTCCAGACGGGCTATGGTCTGGGCTTCGCCGCCGATTGCACTGGCCACCGTCACTCAAGACTAGCGTCCCGGTGACGAGGAGTATAGGGAACCCTCGCTGTGGAATTGTGCAGGTGGATTCATATCGTCGTTTCGTGATATAGCGCCCGTTTGCGCTTGTCGCAGCGCGTTCTTCCCTAAAGGTAAGCGTCGGTCGATGCAGACGCGGTGACGACGGTGGTGAGCCGCCAAACCTTCGACCAACTTGACATCGATGAATCGTCGCATGTCCGACCTGATTGTCGCTGTGCTCCTTCTTTTGACCCACAGCGCACAACCGAAGTGCGTGGATACCTCCCAGAAGCTCGGCGCAGGAAATATCGGCACGAGGTGAGTAGCACACCGTATATTATCGAGCCCGCTTTTTCTTCGCGCGATTGAGACGATTTTCTCTTGCCATGAACGTTGTTGACGTCGCTTGGGCATGCCGCAGTGGGTGGCGCTGCGCACGTTCAGTTTGTTGAACAAGCTGCCTGACCTGATACCTCGCGGAAGGGCTCACATCCTGTTCATTTTCTGCTAGCGGTCCTCTGGGAACGTCCTGGAATACGAGACCAGTCAGCGAATGACGCCGATTGAAGGTGCTTACCGCATTCCCTGCCGATAGCTTTGCATCGCGTACTTGTCGCGAGACTTCGCATTCATTCGTGGTGCTGTTTGACTTGGCAATGTATCCCGACTCGGTGGTACGTCCAATTGCACATCGCCTTCAAGTTGACCTTGTCGCATGCGCTTTGGGTCAGTCGGCGGACCATGAGGACGCGTCTTATGCGGTTGCACGCATATAGTCGCTTTCTTCCTCGCCCGCTTGATACACGAGTTGTCTGCCGGTCGTCTGAGATGCGGAATTGTCAGCACACGATCACCCCGAGTGTGCTATGGCGCTTCTTCAAGAGTGCAGCGAGGGCGATGATGACGGGGGAGAGGAAGGGCGAACCTCGACCCCGCGTTCCAACGCGGCTCTTATACCTCGCGGCCACTCGGGCTGGCAGGAGGCTGACCACCGGGGGCTGTCATTGACAGGTGTCGAACTACGATCGGGTTCTCGACACGGGAAGCTTCCTGCCGGACAGGGAAGGAACGTCGCGACGCCACGAAGGCTGACAGTGGCGTGCGCGAGCGCTTCTGTGCGGTGCGCAGATCGTTCTAGTTATGTCGCTGTCACATCGTCCTAGCGGACCCGATCAAGACCCAATCGGTGAAGTTGCTCGCCGCGTCGCGTGGCTGACCGTCTGCGGTGGGGCAGCCACCGCTGACAGGGTTAGCAATGAAGTCGACAACGGGTTCTATGACAGTAGGCTCTCTGCTTCAATCAGTCGCTCAGTCGGTCGCCCTCGTATGTTGCCATCCTCTGTGACGGTGAATGAAACAGGTGGAGTAGGATTGGGTAGGCTCGATCGACGTGTCCGCCGCCCGGAGGCTGACCGTCAGTCCGGCAGAACTAATCGTTCTTTGTCACGGTGTACAAATACGGCGAATCTGATGTGAGGTATGGAGGACAATATCCGCACAGACCAGTAATTGAGCATAGGATACATACACAAGTGGGTATCTCCACAACTATGGTATCATGCAACCCGTTTGAACCGAGACCATGATCGTCAGCGTCCGTAACAAAGCTCGTGAACAATAATCCGTACGTAGCGGCCAGAGCTCTCATAAGCCAAACAGCCGCCACACGACGAACACCAACGCGACCAGCCCGCCCAGATTCGGCGCATACAGCCGGCCCTGTGCGCTCGCGAACAAGGGCGCAGACGCGCCGATCGTGTCGTTCAAGCAGGTGAGCAGCGTCTGGTCGACCCAGCCCGGCAGCGGCACCGCCGTCGCGTCCGTGTCGTTCCCGAGCGCGTTCGTGTTGTTGTACCCGCCCAGGAGGAGCACCACCGAGCTCGCGCGGTAGTACTGGACCGCCTGCTCCGGCTTCGGCTCGGCGCCCGTCGCGTTGTACAGCGTCGGCGCCGTGGACGACGCGTTGCCGAGCGTGCAGTTGCCGGCGATGGAGTCGATGAGCGAGGCGACGGTGCTGTTGTCGGCGACGATGAAGAAGGTGCTGTTCGAGGTGCTCGACGTGAACGTCGCGTCTGCGAGCGCACCGCCTGGGCGGGTCGTGTTGTCTGGTCGACCGTACTGTAGAACGAGGAAGGAGGCCGTCAGGGGGTTTGGTGCTTTGGTGAGCGCACAGGCTTACCTCGCCGCTGTGCAGATAATGTGGACCAAATCCCGGATAGGCGCCCCACACTACGGGCCAAAAGATGAACGGAAACCCCCTTCCCGCGATACTGCCTCCTGCGAGTCCAGGATAGCCGCTCCCGTATGACCTGAAAAAATTCGTGAGCGACAGAGCCATCGTCAAAGCGATAAGCACTCACCGCGTCCCAAAGACCTGACTTCGGGTGCCTCCTCCCAAGGATCGCCCAGCAAACAGCTGTCCGGAGGGAATCGTCGACACCTTGCCACCACCAAAACCATAAGCCTGGGCAACAGAGCGCCCGCCTGTCGCGCCAGACACAGGCACGCTCTTCGTGGCGCCTGAACCGCTGCCGCCTTTTCCTCCACCGCTGCTGCCGCCGCCCTTCCCACCGCCACCGCCGCCGCCCTTCCCACCACTCCCCTTGCGAGGATAGAGCTCCTGCAGGCTGGGGTCCGAGCGAGGCGGCTGCATGCGGGGTGAAGCCGGGGACATCGAGCGCGGCGTGTGTGGCTAGCAGGTTGCGAAGGATATGCACGAGATGCACGAAGAGAGGGGAGCCCGCCCCGCGAATATGTAGTGTATGGAGCAGAGGAAGGCGATGCGCCGGCTGTGGCCCGAGATCTGGCGTGTCCCCTTAGAGATCGAGGACAGGCACCGTGCCCTTTCCCGATCGGGCACGCCGATCGAGGCGGGCACGAGGCTCGCGGCCGGTCTTCTCTTGGCGCATCACCGCCACAGAACGCCTCAAGCCAGCAATGCATACAGACAACTCTGTTGAGTGTTGGCCTGGTACGCACCTTGTGTGGTTGTGATCGCACGCCATCCGGCTGACCTGGGCGCCGATTTGCGAGGCTACTAGGATTAGTAGTACTACTAGTGTGGCGGCAGCCGCCAACGGCGTGCCCGGGCCTGCCGTGGGACTGTCCTCTAGGATGCTGTGCTGGCTTAGTTGTCCTGGACATATGACGTTCGGCACTGTGGGACTTCTGTCTATGCGAGATGGACTCGCTGAGTACTTACTTATCCTCAAATCCTATCAAGTGAGCGGACAACGCGCTGGCATGACTCGGCATGACCACGGCGCTGACTTCGGGCACTGCCGCCATGCGTATGGTCTGTTTTGACAGCCTTCGCGGGGTCTACAACGCACGGGCCACGTCTTGCGCTCAAGGAAATACGAGCACACAGATGCGTCGAATCTGTGAGTTGTTATGAGCTATCATAGAGCGGTCCAACGGTGGGATACACATTACACCGGTGATTATCGTGCTGCTTATACAGACCATACCGTAGACCATCACACGAGAAGACAATATCATCAACATCGACAAGAAAGGACAACCACACGGCTTGTTAAGCCTCGTCGCAAAGCCTCCACAAGAACCACCACATGACAATCAGCACCGCGAAGTTGGGCGCATGCGCCCTCGCGGGTGCGCCACCAGAGAAAAGAGGGACGGCCCCGCCGATCGTGTCGTGCAGGCATGCCAGCAGACTGTGGTCCACCCAGTCGGGCAGCGCCACCGCGGTAGCGCTCGCATCGCCCCCACCCTCCGCGAGCGCGTTGGTGTTGTTGTACCCGTCCAGGAGCAAGACGACGCTGCTCGCGCGGTAGTACTGCACCGCCTGCTCGGGCTGCGGCTCGGACGCGGTGGCGTTGAACGCCGAAGGCGCGGCCGAGGACCCGCCGCCGAGCGTGCAGTTCTTCGAGACGGAGGTGATGAGCGAGGCGACGGTGCTCTTGTCGGAGATCACGTAGAACGTGCTGTTGGCCGATTTGGACGCGAAGGTCGCCTCCGCGAGCGGGCCGCCGGGTCGGCTCGTGTTCCACGGTGTACCGTACTGATATCCGTCGTGAGCCTAGCAACTACGCAGATCTCGCGGCGAAAACGTACCTCTGGATCGTAGAGATATGGCGCCCCGTATCCCGGACTGTGCCATATGACTGGCCAGTACACGAAGGGGAATCCTCTGCCGGAAACAGTGCCGGCAGGCAAACCCGGATAACCACTGCCATATTCACTGCGCAACGACCAGTCAGCCACTGCCCATTCATTCACGCCGCGCCACATAAGCGGAGACTCACTATGTTCCGTACACCTCCCCACGCGTCCCGCCACCGCTCGCTCGCCCCGCGAACGGCTGGCCCGAAGGTATCACCGAAGAGCTGCCCCCGCCCGAGCCATACGCCTCCGCGTCAGACTCGCCGTCCGTCGCGCCGGAGACGGGCACGTCCTCCGCGCTGCTCTCCCCTTCGCTTCCACTATCACCAGCGTCGCCTCCGTGGCCGCCATCCCCGCCGCCACCATCTCCTCCACCATGCCCTCCGCCACCGCCTTTGCGAGGTAATATCTGTCGAACGAGGGGGGCCACCGGGGACATCTCGTACTCTAAGCGTTGAAGTTGGAGGTGGGTGGGCGGATTGGGGTGGACCTACACGCCTTTTGTAGGACCCACCAAGATCATTCCAGAGGCTATGACATACGGATTCTATCTTTTGTGCAGAGGCGCAGAAACCGGTAAGACAGGTCAAAGTGCGGTTGCTTACACAGGTCCCACAGTCGACGACTTGACGGTCCGAGGCCAAAGCGCACCGTACGCATGGCGGCTTTGGCCACCGCAGGTGGAGAGCCTCGAGGCTTCTCCGAGTCTATGCACTCTGACGCGCGCACGTGCTGGTGTAGAAGCTCCCGTCAATAAGTGCATCGTAGCGGCGCAAGCGCCGATCCCCGACTCCTGCATGGTACACAGCTATTATACTCAGCCTGCCACAGCGGCACCATAGTATATTATGTGTGTATTTAAATAATTGTAAGTACCATCGGAATGGTATGGAGACTCAATTGGAAGCCCTCACGCCCGCGGCGGCTTCGCCGCCCGGGCGTCTCGGGCTTCCACGAGTCTGAGCCACACGGCGAACTTACTTACCGTGATACATACTACAGTACATGCGAGGGCTCTCAACTTAATAGAGGCCCTCCTACCTTTGGGAGGACTTATTCGATGGTCAAAGATCCAGGCGTCCAGATGCAGCCAGAAGCACGGAAGGATCCAACCGCCTCGAGCTGCCTCGTAAGACACTCGAGCATTGCTGCGATACCGCTTATGGAAATTATGAGTCACGTGTTTCCCACGGAGGGAGCGGCATCGCCGGCTGCGAACGACTTATGGTCGACAAAGCCCTCCTCTCTCCCTCCGGTCGGAGTCGGGGATACCACAGCCTCCAGGGACCAGGGCCAGAGTACTCACCTGCTTTGATCCCATGTATGTACGACGGCTGTGGCATCCGAAGATCACTGGAATCACTCCTGAGTTTGGAGTTAGAAGCGTCGATGGGACGTGCTATGCCCTCGGAACCGATGCACCTATGCCGCCCACCGCACAATATGCAGCATAGCCCGCCATATACACCGGATTCGCCATCAAGACCGACATGGTAGGGTGGTGGGGAATGGAACGATGCGAAATGCTGCCACGCAGGACAACTAGAGCAGCGGAGGGCAGCAGACAAGGCCCAGGGAGAAGAGGCGTGCACCGCTTGCGACGTATGTAGTGCCTCATAACCGTTGAGCCCTTCACGTCAAAGGTGCGGTAGTGAATAGCCAATTGCTCCTTACTGGCCGGAGCAATCAGGTACCGTCAGAACAACCAACTATGAGTGTGCAGTGGAATAGCTCAGCCTGCCGCGCCCTACGAAGTTAGATACTACTCACGTACGAGACCCGAGGACGAGCAGCTCAGCTCTATGCAGGCCGAAACGACGTAGCCACTTGGAGGAAGAGGACAAGGACATACGACATATAAGCACAAGACACACCGCTGAGATCTGCCTGTCGGTCCCGAATGTTCATCCTTCGTTGCAGGGTCCTCTGCCATACAAGGGCAAGCAATACAATAATGCACTATCTGCATCTGTAGCTCTTACGAAGCCTACCTTCGTACATGCGCAGGGCGTTGACCAAACAACCGCTGCGGTAGCATTCACCATAAATCATATGGATGCATTGCGTGCGAGATGGCGTAGAAAAACATGACAGTATAGGTAGACCATACAGATATAGACCGCATAGACAAGGTGCCCAGCAATGGGCGTTTTATGCAGCCCTGTACGAACGCAACGGTCAATCAGCGGTATTGCAGAGATTTCAAGGATGGCTTACTTCTTGTGCGACGCCTTGACCGCAGCGACCTTCTCCTTCTTCTCGGCGACACGCTTCTGCAAGACGACACTGCACACCGGTAAGTCCAGATGCTATGATATACGGGAACCAGTGGTAGCACGTACTCGTACTCCGCCTTCTGCTCCTTCTGGCGCTCGAGGCGTCGGCGCTTGAGGGAATGCAGGTGGCGGCGGCGCTGGAGACGGATGGGCGTAACCAATCGCTGGATCTTGGGACTGAGTAGCACATGCACTTGAGTACAAAGATCCAGAAGAGTAGAAGATGGGACTCACGCCTTGGTGTAAGGCTTCGCACCCTCCTTCTTCTGGCTCGTCACCTCTCTCCTGACGACGTACTTCCTGACATCGTCCTCCTTGGACAAGTTGAAGAACTTGCGAATCTTGGTCGCACGCTTGGGACCGAGACGCTTGGGGAGGACGGTGTCCGTCAGGCCAGGGATCTCGTTGTCACCCTGCTTGATGATAACAAGGGAGAGGACGGCGATGTCCGGGCCGACAATGCAGCCGCGCACGGACTTGCGCTTGCGCTCGCCGGTGCGGCGGGGACGGTAGCAGGAGTGGCCGTCGGAGAGCAGAAGGCGCACACGGTGCGGGACGAGGACACCCTGCTTCATGGGGAAACCCTGCTTGTCGTTACCACCGGTGATACGGAAGATGTAGCCCTTCCATTCGTCGCCCAGCGACTCAGCAGAGACTTCGGCGGAAATCCGCTTGTCGTAGAAGACACGGCTATACAACGAAAGTTCAGCACGGCAGTCTCGGAGACAGCAGCGTAGCACACGCACTATTTCCTTTCATCGTCAAAGTCGATGGTCTTTTGTTCCCCGGTTGCGGGGTCTGCAAATGCAAGTTAGACTTCGTACCGTCATCCCGTCGCATCATACTTACTGGCGATGTTGAGCTTCATACTGCGAGAATGACCACAATATTAGCCAGGTCAGCGAGTAGATAGACGAGTAGAACGTACCTTGCAGCGTGAGGGCGTGATCTCCGTCGACGGGGACGACGGCGATAGTCTTGCGCGCGGAGTCGTTTCGGTGTTCAGCACGCGCGGACAAACAGAGCCGCTGCCCAGTGGCGGGTGGCAACAAGGTTTACAGCTGTACAGTTGATCGAAGCCACCAGCCACCACTCCCAGGCACGTGCCTCAGCCTTTCCAGCGACCGCACGACGAGCCCAACGGCACACACGACGCCCAAGCCTCAAGACCACCCCCGCAAAATCTGTAAGTCCTAGCCCGCTACTGCTCCCCGCCGCTGTTTCTCATATCCTGCCCTAGAATCACCATGGGTCGTATGCACGCTCCCGGAAAGGGCATTTGTACGTCTTCACGTTTGGCAGTAGACTGTCGGTGAGGTCTGAAAGTTGCGATCACCACGAACAGCGTCCTCCGCCCTCCCCTACCGCCGCGCTCCCCCTTCCTGGCTGAAGACGACCCCCGAGGATGTCGTCGAGCACATCAACAAGCTCGCCCGCAAGGGTCTGACGCCCTCGCAGATCGGCGTTACCCTCCGCGACTCGCATGGTATCCCCCAAGTGCGCTTCGTCACCGGTAACAAGATCCTGCGTATCCTCAAATCCAATGGTGCGTCAATCGTAGTGGCGGTCGCCTCGCATACGCTCATACATCTGTACATACAGGTCTGGCACCACAGATACCGGAGGATCTCTGGCACCTCGTCAAAAAGGCGGTCGCTGTGCGCAAGCACCTCGAGACGAACCGCAAGGACAAGGACTCCAAGTTCCGCCTCATCTTGATCGAGTCCCGTATCCACCGTCTCGCTCGGTACTACAAGACCAAGCAGCAGATTCCGCCGACGTTCAAGTACGACTCGGCAACTGCTTCTACTCTCATCGCATAAGCGGCGGGTGTTGTACGATTTGATTGGGAGAGTCGGGCGGGCGGTCGAGGCTGCTGGTCTACACTTATGGTATACTGCCTTTCTACATGATGCTATCGCAATGCAAACTTTAGGCCATGCACTTATCTTTTTCGATTACGACGAAAGTGCCTCAAGGTGGTCTGCTCAGTTGTGAGCAGGGTCTGAATCAAGCCTGAATGGGCAGTCGTTGTCCCAGAACCAGTTGAAGCCTTCAAGCTTTAGGCATTATTGAGTACCTGAGTACATGCGTCTATTGATTGTCCACTGCGATGGGCTATTCGTCTTCTACTGTGGTATACGACCTGGTCTCTACAGCTGAATGATACTTCTACGCCGAGTCTGATGCATGGTAGACCACATCTCAGCCCATCATCAGGCCTGCCCAATTGCAAGTGCCTCCTTGACAGTCAACTTCCCCTCTACAACTTGGCGTACAATCTTGAGAGCGTCCTTGAAGTTCGAGAAGAGGATGTGCGGGATGCCTTGCTGTACACAGTATTTGTGCAGGTCGTTCTCGCCGTCCGCCTTCTGCTTCACAAACAGAACATCCGCATGCCTGGCGGCAGACATGTCTAGATGGGCGTATGCATGAGCGGGTCATAGCGTGGAAGAAAACTCAAAACCAACCCGAAACACCATCCCCAAAGAAGAAAATCGTCGGAGGGTTCGGGAGCCTACGGTACGGCAAGATAGCCTGGCTCTTGTCATGGCCGAATCCGCTATGGTTTGCAGGTTGAGGATCGTCGCCAACTAATAGAAGGAGGAATATGTACCTAGACGGATGCCTGTATTGGATCTCCCACTTGCCATCTGGGTGGATGATGATCTCGTTGGAGACGATGTCGATCTTGCTCGCGTCCTCCTCGCCGACAAGGTTTGACAGCACGGCACGGATGAGAGGGGCCATTCCGCTACGCGCATATGCATGTTAGCGCGCGTCCTACATCCGACAGAATGCAATACCTTGAGATGATGACTACCGGGATGCCCGTTGAATCGCAGTAGCGATTGAACTCTTGGAAACCAGAGTCAAGGATGATGTCTGCGATAGCTCTGAGTCATGAACGTGGTGGGTGTGTAAGCACGGTGCTTACGCTTTACGAGCTCTTCCTTGCAGTACTCGAACGAATGGCCCTTCGCCACAACGCTCTCGAGGTCCTCCCGGAAGGCGTCCCGGAAGGTCCGCTCTCCCGCCAAAATCAACTCGTTAAGCTCCCTGCGCTTCTCCCTGCCAAATCCGAGCTCATCCGTCAAGTCTAGATCAGCCACTCGTCAGCGCCGCTCATCCGCACAGATCGCCCAAGAGTTACGCACAATCATTAGAATCGCGCGTCGTGATCGTCCCATCCCTGTAAACGCCATTGAGATCATACGTCCATCGGTCGATGAAGCCGCGTCGAGCAGACATCCGCGATGTCCGGCTCAGGTCGGACGCATCCGTGAAGACGAACCAACCAACCAGTCGGAGAGAACAACAAATTTCTTGTCCTTGTGAAGCGGAGGGTACGGAAGCGTACTCTCGGGAGCTGCGTCACTGGCCATGGCTTGAGTAGTGTTACGGGGGATGGTCAGGGTGGTGGTGGTGATGGTGGTGGTGGTGGTGAGGAGTAGCGATTACTCGGGTCTCAAATTCTCATCTTTTGAGGGCAATTTGAGGGTTCAGACGGATAACCGGGTTGCCGAGATCATCGCTACATCGCTCCAGTCACGTGAGAGCGCACTGTGGCTGAGCGGCGAGCTCACTCGACGCTCACAGTGCACACGTATTACATACTTCCAACTTCCAAACCCCGACTGAGTGATACATAGGTATCATGGATCTCTACAAGACTGTAGCTCTTCACGACTCCCATGTTACTACTAATCAATAGAGTAAGAGATTGCCGCGAGAAGCAAATGACGCATCAGTAGATGTAGGGCAGGATACGGTACGGCACCCGTTTCGCATACGCCTCCCACTCCTCGCCAAACTGCTTCTTCAACAACACATCCTCCTGAGGCGCCCGCTGTACCAAGCTGGCAGACCCATACAGGAACGCCGCCACATATGTCCACGCCGCGATCTTCCCTCCCCTCGTCGCCAGAATCCCACACTCGCGAATCCACGACCCAGGCGCGATGTACATGAGACCAAGCCCGGTCGCGCTGAGGATGCCTCCGGTGTAGCTGGGATGACGAACGTACTGGTAAGGCCCCTCCGTGATCAACTTGTGACCCTCTCTGATGGAGACCTCGAAGGTGAAGAGGCGGCCAAGCGTGCGGTAGCATTGCCAGCGGAAGTACGCGCCGAAGTAGCCGACCGCTGCCCCGGCGAGGAACAACGGGCTGAGCTTGATGCGTCGGACGAGAGAAGGAGGGCCCACGACGAGGGCATCGAGAACCTTCTGAGAAAGGGGGTGCGAGGGGAAGTGACTTGCAGTGATGACGAGCACCTCCAGGAGGCTGCTAGACAAGATCAAGGCCTGCCGAAGGTTCAGCTATCAGTTTTGGTCGGGAGTATAAGCTTAGGTTTGCACACCTTGAAGCCCAGAGTGTAAAGCCGTGCTGTCGCAGAGAAAAAACGTTCGAAGGCAGTGACCTCCTTGGCCCTCTGGTCAACGGGGACCTTCGGGTTCGGTGGGGTCATGACTACGAAGCCACCGGCAGCACCGCCGACAAGGAAAGGGATCTTAACGAGGGACATAATGGCGGTTGGGCAATGCTACTCTGAGATTGCTCTGAGGCGACTGGGCGCAGGAGTGAGGTGCGCGGCATATGTCCTCGGTGCTTAATAAATATGCTCGCCTGCATGTAACTGTGCGATCTTCTGATCGTGACGCTTCGTGTCGAGAGTCAGTGGGCGATCACTTGGTTTGATGGCACTTACCGCCAAGGCGTGCCGCAAGCCTAGAAGCCTCCCCAATCTCGACTAGCAAGTCCGTTCCTTCAGAGACCCACAGTGCAAAAGAAATTCTAGGCAGGTTAATTGGTCAATAGTCTGTAAAACCGCATCGCATGTCATACATACGGTATATGCACTAGTAGTCTCTAACGCTGCGACCGCAGACCGTGTCCATGGCCAAGCGTCGAGAGCATATTTAATTGTGGCTGCCAACACCTGTTACACGGTTGCACCACAACACCGACAGCACAGCACCCGCGCAAATGGGTCACCGGACAATCGTTCTGATGCCTGACCACGCCTGTACAGATCGTCCGAATCCAGATGAAGACCGCGGTCCGCAAGCCATCGCAGGCATGACCGCTAGTGACCGTGCCAAGCCGACGTCTTCCAGTGCAGGAGCAGGCTCGGACTGCGGCACAGCCACCCAAATATTGACCTTCATGATCCAACAGTGTCAAGACGTGTGCAAGATCCAAGCAAAGACAGAACATGCTTGTCTCTGAAATAGGAAACTCCAGTCAGTGCAGGCGATATCGAAGCTCGCGAGTCTCGGGAACTAGCAGGTACTAGCGTCGGCCATGCGCTCACGCGCTCACATTCCAACCCAGGTGACACCCACCTCGGTCCACTATCCCAGCGTCGACGTAAGAAGATCAGCATTGACAAAGTCTCCCAGTCATCGTCAATGGCAGTCTCGGCCTGTAGAGGATCTGGCAGAGGGGGTCCGTGAACAGCTGCCATTGAGTAGGTCTTGCTACTAGCCGGACTGCTTGGTGGTGATCAGCGTGTCGTAGCCAATGTGCGAGTCGCGACAGCTCATGCTCATAAAATGACTCACGAGTCTATAGCCGAGTTGGTTCGAGTTTGTGCTTGATCTCGCGGATTGATTGGCATTTTCTCATGCATGGGTGTGTCTACTCATCTGGTTACCGCACCACATTGCAAGTGACAATGCTTACTCGAGCGTACTTACCACATAGTACCTCCTAGCCAGACCCTGTGGTCAGCTGCGGCTCCCCGACGGCGATGATGATCGGTCTCCTCGGGTCGTCCGTCACGGCAGAACTGTAAGTTAGATTGAATCCAGAGATCCCCGAATTTTCCGATCAGTGGATCTTCATACCACTGTGGGCGTATGTGGACGGTCCTGTCGTAAGTGGCTACAGGTTTACTTGCGAGAGTTCCGAGTAGCGAGGACGAGAACACATACTCGGGATTGACGCGGACGTCTGCCCTCAATTACAGGCTTACAATTAGAGTTTGTTCCTCCACCCGAAGAAGGCAAGTGGACGGCGTTCCTCAGGTATACTCAGTGTTGATGTTCGTTCCTATAGTTCGGGTCTGGCGCCGACAGGCTCCCCGGCCAATGTTCTGATGAGTAACACGCTGTTAGGCGACCGTTGCTTCAAGATACTGCGGCGCTGGGATAACTGCGAAGGGTCACTTGACATGAAGCTGGCACCCAGATTGGTCTTTATCGTGATGCCTTCCGTTGCGAAGACCATCGTTCGCAGTAGCACAGGAAACCTAGGTGTGTTCATCATATGTCATGTCTGCGCTATCCCCTTGAAGCACACTCACACGGCTTGACACGCTTGAGAGTCTTATTGCCTAGGTCGATGAAAGCCAGGATATGTTGTATGCAACTTTCCATGCCGCAGGACCGTAACCTCGGGGGTCCTATCACACTGGCCGCATCTCCATTGCGCATTCATGCACACACGCTACAGGTGTGCCGATTGAGGTTGACGCGTCAGTGTGCGAGTGGTCCATCAGACGGACACAGCGGCCCCCCAGGCGCTGTGTGATGCAAGAAGGCCTAGGTAGTATAGCGTACCCAAATCGGAGGGCCCTTGACTCCGTTCCATCAACCATATCCGTCAGGCGGATGTCCGTGAGTCGGCTGTATTCCTGAGTACGCACAGCGGAGGTCAATCAATTGACTTCTGCACAAATATAATGGATCGTTCTTCCCCTCCCACCCCTTTCCCTGCGACTGCCTGTGCCGCATTGACCCTTACTCAGTATGTCCCTCACAAAAATTCCCTTCCTCTTCACCGGTCTACTATCCGGCTATACTATAACGACCCCACCTCAACCGAAGGTCGCTACACCAGACCTCCACCGAGATGTCAAACCGTTCGAACGGTGGTTCTCAGCCACTGTGCGCATTCACAGCATCGTTCTGAAGGTGCGCTTTCCAGCCCCCTGTCGGCGGAGATGCAAACCAAAGTTTATCTTAGGTCTTGACATGCGTCACGCCTGTCCTAGAAACGGCGGTCATTATCGCCGACCACTTCCCTAACCACCCGCTCTCCAAACTGATCCTCAGCACGCTTGTCCGGGGCCCGCTGTCCCTCACGCGCAGGATTACCTGCTCCCGAGCCTTCCTCGCGAGCTCCGCTGTCGGCTCCCTCGCTGCCCTCGTCCGCTTCCAGTGTTATCAGACTATGGGCCGGTTCTTCACCTTCGAGATGTCGATCCGCGATGGACAACAGGTCGTCGAGGACGGCTGGTACGGCGTCGTACGCCACCCGAGCTACATCTCAGCTGCGCTCAGCCTCGTGGGCCTCGGCCTCATGCACGCCGTGGCTGGCTCGTGGGTGCGGGAGTGCGGGATGCTGCAGACGCGCGCCGGGAAGTCTGCGGCAGGTATATACGCCGGGCTTACGGTATACGTGACGCTGTCTATGGCATGGCGTTCGCGCGAGGAAGACCGAATTCTGAAGAGGCAGTTTGGAGAAGAGTGGGAAGCGTATGCGAGGAGTGTTCCGTGGCTCTGGATTCCTTACGTTTTCTGACATCGGACATGTTGCGGATGATTGGGTTGGGCAGGGCGCCGTCGTGGCGTTAAAATAAATTATCGTGCTTCCGCTGGAGTGTCATTGAATTATACATATGGAATATCACGTCATCTAAGGAATGCCTCTACGCCTGCTGTCTCATAGCATGCACTCATGGGGTCTGTCCAGGCCAGTTCTCGAACCCGAGATCGACAGACCATTGTTGCATGATGAGCCTATATAAGGAAAGTTAGGACAATAGATCAGGATAACGGACAATGGCACACAGGCACTCACCGCCTCTGCTTGCCGGACGCAGCAACGCCGTCCAGCTTCTCGATATCTTCTTTGGCCAGATTGGACGCGGCCGCAAGCGCACCGTTGTAGTTGGATGCAATGCGTGCCGGGGTCACCGACTTCGGCAGCGTCACAATGTCCTTCGCCACTGAGTGTTCGATCAGCTTCGCGCGTCCAATGTCAGCGCACAGACGGCTTCACTCACCAAGGTAGCCGAGGAGAACGTCTGGCGTCTGCAACCCGTGCTTCTTCGCGATCTCTGACGCCGTCTCGTCGCTCAGCAATGGTGAGTTGACCGAGCCGAGCGGAGAATATGCCTGCGGGACGATGCCCTTAGACTTGAGGTAGTTGACAAGGTTGTGTTGCGGGTTGTATAGGTGGATCTCGAGCTATTGAGAACAGCATGATTCGTCAGTCCAGCTCCCCAGTTCCAGGCAGCGTTACGTACCTGGTTCACGGCAGGGACGACAGTGGCATATGGAAGGATATCCGTCTCGAGGATACGCTTGGAGACGTTCGATACTCCGATAGCCCTGACTTTGCCTGCGCGCCAATGATAAGAAGTCTGTACTGCACAGAATGAGATCGGCGGTTCGTACCTTTCTTCAGGACAGTCTCCATCTGAGACCAGGTGTCCTTGATCTTCCAGTCGAAGAGGACGTCCCGCGAGCCATCAGGCAGCGTAGGGATCCTCGGGTGGTTGCCGTTCGGGTTGAGAGGGACGGGCCAATGGATCAAGTAGAGGTCGAGATAATCAGTCCCGAGATTAGCCAGCGTCTCGTCGAGCGCCTCCTCGACGCATTGATGGTGCATGGACCACAACTTGCTGGTGATCTTGGAGCAGAAGTTCAGCATCGCGGGCTTGTCTATCATGGCGAGATGTGCTCACAAATATCTCGGACCGCGGAACGCCAGACCTGCGGATGCCCTCGCCGACTTCCTTCTCGTTCCCGTATGCCCTGCGCATCTCGTCAGCAGAGTACTCACACAGAACGAGCGCCACAGCACGTACCATGCACAGTCGATGTGCCTGTAGCCCTTCTCCTTCACCGCCGTCTCGACGGCATTCGTCACTTCGTTTGGCTTGGACTTCCATGTACCTGTTAGTCTGAATGAGTATTCGTCCAGCTATAAGAATCTATGCACGTACCAAGACCAAGGATGGGCATTTCGACGCCGTTGTTGAGTTTGACGGAGGGGCACGACATTGCTGCTGACATTGCTGGAGAAGATGGAATGTCAATTTTCGTCGTCGGTGCCCTCTTATATATACTGTGAGGCTTTCAGGGCGGCCCGACAAGCCGACGCGTTGGCATTTTGCGATGTCCATCCTGTGGCGGAGCGATGTTTCGGTGAGCCCCCGATTTCAGGGAGTTGCCTGTTTGGGATGGGGACCTTCCCAACAGGGCTCGGCTAACTCGGTTATCGCTTCCTTTGGCGCAGGGGTCGATTCGGGGGGGTCCCCCTACGCCATAGTTTGTTCCATTATCCAAAGCGATCTGTTGCATCAGCAAAACTACGTTCTGCCGATCCGGGTAGAATGTCAAAAAGAAAGGCCGACTCACTGCGATGCCATATCCGTACGACAATTGCGGATATTGCAGTGACGTGGCGTAGCGACGAACATCCTTCTGCATCGTGCCGATGGTGCTTTGTTGCACACCCTGAGACCGACTTGAACAGATAAGGCTTAGCCCGATGAGCGCGAAATATCAGAAAATTACTGACCAGTACTGCCCACTGGCATGCTCTCTGGTACAATGTCGCGGTACTTTCGGACGAGTTGGCAGTCAACTAACTCAAGGGGTTGGTAGTACTACTCACTGCTCAACCGATTGCGTTTCGGCCTCATGTAGCATTGGTCAATAGTACTCGGAGGGCTCCTACTCCGAGAAGCGCGATGTTGCTCATAGTAGCGCCGGGACCGGGTGCTGGCCTCGTGCGTTAGTAGGTTTGAGGGTGTCTGCACCGTGCGGGTGAAGCCTTACTTATTATATCGACCCTGAATGCATTGCCGCGAGGAAAGAATGGAATAGTAAAACTGCGTGCGAGGCTTGCGAAGGAAGTTGCACTAGGCCAGCGTGAGAACTTCTGTGGACGAGTGAAGTGCTAGAGCTGATTGTAATTCACTGGCGGAGTGCTGCCTGTCTTCATATTGACCTATTTCGTTCTGTTCTCCGCGAGAACATCGTACTCGCCGCCTGCCCCTTCTACTACTTGACGGCCCCACTGGTGGTGCCCATATGATTAATACCGTAATCCTTATGGCATGCCAGTGCTCTGGGCCGTACGCGTGTACCGTTAGGCCGTGTTCTGAAGTTGGTGCTCGCCCGTCATGGTGAGAAGAACAAGACATATGGAAGGCAGAAGGTCGTCGTGCTGACCGCCACGGCGATGCCTTTGCTCACGCATCGGTCCTGTATCGGTTACGATGCTGCCACCGTCGTGCAAACGACTCGAGTTGAACATACTAGTAGACGCCTACGAGGTACTGTTGACAGTAGCACATCGCCCTCGCTCACACATTGAAACAAACGGAATTTCGTGAAGGTATGTGCATACAGTACGCAACACATCTCAGTGTCGATTTATTGTGCATGACAAGGACATACGTCGTTGGCTGCATTGACCTCCCTTGAAATTTAAAGTTGTAGCCACCGCACGACGTCGAGCGCTGACACCTTTTGGATCCATGTCACTGGTCCCTGAGTACTTACTTGAGTCGGCCCTCGGATACGTCAGCGACCGGCTAACTTACTCTGCGTGCTGCAGAGCAAGCCAAAAGCTCGAGCGATCTATCATATTAGGAAAATGACCGAGACAACGGACTGATCAGGCCAAGACTGTGATAACGCGGATGATCTATGTACGACTCGGAACCCGACTCATGCTCCACTCCTCCGAGGGGGCTGCTCAATTTAATCTAAAATGTGTTTTGGTTGCCATTTGGATCAGGGTCGGCGCGCACAAGCAAGGGGCCGTCCGAGGCTCCAAGCTCACCGGGCTCCACGGCAACCGGCTGGTACGGCTACGACGTCGTGCGCCACCCGCTTCAGAGCCACTCAGCCTGGTCGGCCTCGGGTTCATGCGCGCCGTGGCTGGTGGCAAGCCGTGGCAAGCTGGTGGCTGGTTTGTGGGTGCGGGAGTGCGCCCCAGACGCCCGCCGGGACCGCGGCAAGTTTGTACGCCGGGCTGCCGGTCCTAACACGTGATGCTGTGTATAGCATGACGTTCGAACGTCGCGCGAGGAAGACCGGCCGAAAATCTCGGAAGAGGCAGTTTTGCGAAGAGTGGGAGGTGTAAGTATGCAAGGAGGGTCCCGTAGCACTGGGTCCCGTAGCCCTGGGTCCCGTACTTACGTATTCGAACATCTGACGTATTGGGCAGAACACCGTCGTGGCGTTATGATAATGTCATCGTTATTCTCGTGCTTCCCCCATTCCTGTCAGTTCTTTCCGTTATACTGATGGGATATCGCTTCGCCTATGCAGAATGCCTTCACGTTTGCTGTCTGACTATCGATAGCCGCAATACTACGTCATCACGCACTCAGGGTGTTTGTCCCGGCCAGTTCTCGAAACCGAGATCGACAGGCCACGGTGGAGTGATGAGCCTACGGAGGGAGGTCAGGACAATGCATCAAGATATGGACAATACAGCACTCAGATACCCACCGCTTCTGCTTGCCGGACGCAGCAACGCCGTCCAGCTTTTCGATATCTTCTTTGGTCAGCTTGGACGCGGCCGCAAGCGCACCGGTGTAATTGGATGCAATGCGTGCTGGAGTTACCGACTTCGGCAGCGTTATGATGTTCTTTGCCACTGAATGTTCGATCAGCTCCCGCGTCTAGTGTCAGCACAGAACTTCTTCACTCACCAAGGTAACCGAGTAGAACGTCTGGCGTCTGCAGGCCGTGCTTGCTCGCGATCTCTGAGGCCGTTTCGTCGCTCAGCAAGGGCGAATTAGTCGAGCCGAGCGGGGAATATGCCTGGGGGACGATGCCCTTGGACAAGAGGTACTCGAGAAGGTTGTGTTGCGGGTTGTACAGGTGGATCTCGAGCTATTGAGAACGACATGATTCGTCAAGTCCAGCTTCCCAGTTCGGGGCAGCGTTACGTACCTGGTTGACGGCAGGGACGACATTGGCATATGGAAGGAGTTCCGTCTCGAGGATGCGCTTGGAGACATTCGACACTCCGATGGCTCTGACCTTCCCTGCATGTAAAGGGTGAGTATGTCTCATAATGCTACGCGGAAGCCTGAGAGACGACGGCTCGTACCCTTCTTCAGGACAGCTTCCATCTGAGCCCAGGTGTCCTTGACCTTCCAATCATAGAGGACATCCCGCTTCCCATCGGGGAGCGTAGGGAAATTCGGGTGGTTACCATTCGGGTTAAGAAGGACTGGCCAATGAATCAAGTATAGGTCGAGATAATCAGTACCGAGGTTCGCCAGCGACTCATCGAGCGCCGCCTCGACGCGTTGGTGGTGCGTGGACCACAACTTGCTGGTGATCTAGGAGAAAGTTCAGTACCACGAGTTCATCTGTAATGGCGAGACGCGCTCACAAATATCTCGGAGCGCGGAACGCCGGACTTGCGGATCCCCTCGCCGACTTCCTTCTCGTTCCCATACGCCCTGCGCGTCGCGTCAGCTGAGCACTCACACCAAACGAACGCCATAGCACGCACCATGCACAGTCGATATGCCTGTAGCCCACCTCCTTCAGTGCGTGCTCGACAGCTTTCGCAACCTCGTTGGGCTTCGACTGCCATGTACCTGTTACCCCGGATGAGTACTACTTCGTCCACCTATGATATGTGCACGCACCAAGCCCGAGAATGGGGATTTCGACGCCGTTGTTGAGCTTGACTGTGGGGATCGACATTGCTGCTGCGATAGTCAGAGAAGCAGGAATGTCGGGTTCCTGTGTCGGTGCACTCTTATAAAGACTGGAGGCTTTCAGGGCGGCCCGGCAAGCCGACGCGTTGGTATCCTGCGATGTCTATACCGTTATCCCAAATTGATCTGTTGCCCATCTGAGGCTTGAGTATGCATGTGGCTTGGGCACGTAGTAAGACACCGGTACCATCCCATCCACGTGCACTGCAAGCTGTAGCATGCCAAAGATCAACGAAGTGCTCAACGTTGAATCTGAGCTGGACAAGAAACAAGCTTACTAAAGAAAGTCAGCCGACCACTTTTGTCATTTGCAGTGGGTCAGTTCGCTGAGAGTGGGCCAGGCCGTACTTATGACGGTCGCGACGGAACATGAACGGAGAGACGTGCCGGTCCGCAAATCGCGGGGATGCTTGATCAGTGGCGGCCCGGGCTAGCCGGGCTACACCGACACGATAGATCATGCAAGCTCATACCTGCTCATACATGCTGTAAACCTGCGATGGGTTGCCGTCGGCCCGGGAAAGCAGGTCTTCGCGAGGGTAGTCGACTGCGAACCGTATCATTCGCAATAACTCGACGAGGTACGAATGACGGCGTTGACGCGTTCAAGTTCAACGTCAACTCGGCAGCCACATCTTGATACTTCACTACGTTGAAGTTCACTCATAGTTTGTGGGACCTAAGCATGACATTGAGTTCACACAAGGTGATGAGACGACGAGAGCGCAACAGAAAACAATACAAATACAATCCATGACCTAGTCCGAACCCTCCTGATGTCCGCATCAGGATGGTGATATTCAAAACATAGCGATGGTGTCGACGGGGCTCCAGTAGAGACACTCGGGCGCCAGCGTCCACCTGCTCATAGTGTAAATGTATCCAGCGATGCCGAGTAGGTATGCGAACTTGATAGCTACGCGGGTTCAATATGAATGGATGGCTTGCGGGAAAGGACATGAAGTGCTTACCTTTCCGGCGATGCGGAAACATGGCCATCTGCGTGCCAATCTGCGGGAGGCCCATGATGTTGCAGAAGATGTGTGCGGTGACGGGAGGAATCAGGGAGCCTGTGCGAAGGAACAGGAATGCAGTGTGGAATCCGAAGAGGGATGTGTAAGACGTCTGGAAGACTATGGACCGGTCAGTGCCGGAACCAAGCAACAAGCGTCTTTGACCTACGTGTGGCGATGATCGCATGCTTCGCGGCAGCTGTTGTACGTCCATACCGGTTGTAGGTGTCCCAAGCGTGGTGGACGTGTGCTAGCGCAAAGGTGCGTCAACAGATAGCAAGGGTAGCTGAGCTCAGGGCACTCACCCAAACCGAACAACCAAGGTGTGAGGAAGATCATCTTCGCTCGCGGCGCGCCGGCCAGGTGATAGACAGCCAATGCACACGAACGGAAGACGATCTCTTCGGTTATCGGCCCCTACGTCAAAGCAAACATTAGAGCCTCACCGCCTATAGGGAAAGGCGTAGCAGCTTACCACCACGTAGTTTCGAACGCTCTGCCAGGTTGTGAATAGTGGCAGCACGCTACACCTCCAACTCCAGTTTCGTTGTAAGGGCAGCGAGCCCGCCAGCCAGTACGCATAGAGAGGCCCAAAGAAGAGTGTAGGGGTAACAAGGCATGGAAGGACGAGCTCGGACCATGGGGTCGGTATGTCGAAGCCTAGCCTAGCAAGCGTCGTCTCCAGCGCGATAGGGAACGCCTATGCACAATTGTCAGGCTTAGTCTTGGGAGCAACCAGCTAGTACTCACCTCTGACGTCCACCTCAATAGCTTCCACACCAGCCCCACCATCGTTGCACAACTAGCGAGCGTGCTCAGGCTAGCCGCTGCAAGCCGCGCACGTATCACGGCCGGGTCGTCCCTCCATCGTTCTTCCTGCTCCTTGGTGCGCTGCTGGCCTTGCTTCAGCTTGATGCTGCCCTGCTTGAACGACAGTCGGGCATTCTTCGAGAGATACAAGGAGCCGACGTAGGATCCAGCGAAGAAGGCCGCCAGCGAGTGCGCCGTGGAGAGCGAGATGGGAGGCTCGGCAAAGACAAGAGGCATGGGCTGGTCAATCCACTGGCAGACAACCTCCACAGATGCTATGAGCAGGAAAGGAGAAGTGGGTGGCGGGGGTGCATCTGCTTGGACTTATGTGAAGGCGAAACCTTTGACGGAAGCCACAGGGCGACGGCGTCTGACGGGACGTCCCAGGAGGCCAAAGCAATTGTCTTAGCCTTTGGAGCTTGAAGCTTGACCCCCTATATGGTACGCCGGAAGGCCACAGTTCGATTTTGGACGCGGCTCGGCGCTATCCGCACCGGGATAGACGCCGGCCACCCACCGACGAGTTCAACAAAGCTACAGTTCACATACTCTTTCCGTGATCCGGAGGGACTCGCTACAACTGCAACTCCTATTGAGATGATATTTTGAGGCATCAAGTGGCCTTGCAAGAAAATCGAGAATCGTCACTCTGAGTACGGGAGAACGTCCGTGAAATGGGAAGTCCGGGGAGAAAAACTGTCCGGGGACTGTCCGGGGTGGCTGCACGCGATTTCAGAGTCCGCTGTTAGCCACGACTCTGGGGTGGCTGAGGATCTCAGATAGCGCCACCACCCGCTGACATAACCTGCCCGAACAGTCACAGGCGCCCCCGTGTTGTCGGCTCGGGGAGACAATAACTATGGGGAGGGCCCTCTAAGCTCTGTAACAAACACGGACATGTTAATAAACATATTTTGAGCACACTCCGTGTATCATTTGGTGGTCTGAGCAAGAATCAAATATATACAGTCATTGAAGGCTCCTTGAGACACCCAAATCGTGTTCGGCGTCCTACTACATCGAAACACCGCGTGCTCTTCAAGATCAAACGGTGTACGCGCAATCAGTTTCCCGGCCCCTGCCTCAAATGGGAACTGCTCCGAGTGTACTTACACGGCTCTTTCAGGCTCTTCCTTCATGTACAATGTACCAAAGCAGTGATATTCTCACTGACAGTACGAAGGAAACTTATCCCTTGTTTGATCCCCGCATTTGCACCGTTCCGCATGGTAGGGATTATGGGCCACTGTGCTTATGTAATGACATATGCTAAATCGGGTGATGAGCTTCATGGAACGCGGACCCAGTAGGTATAAAACAGTTGTAAGTGAATTATGATAATTTTTTCAGGCCAGCAGACTTCACTGAGCGCGAGCTGAAGCCCGCTGTCTCAAGGACCGTGCTCGAGATCCTCAGCCACACGGCAGATCGCACGCCGAGATCGCTCAGCCACTCCAAACGCGGCTCGGCACTTGCCGCCGTACAGTCCCCGGACTGCGCGCCCCGGAATTCTCAATTCCCTGACGTTCTGGAGTACGGTGGCGCAAACGGGGAATAAGCGCCCATCAAGTTCGAACGTAGCCGTAATAGATTATAGAGCTAATAAATATCTTAGCCCTCTGTTTTCGTACTAGCAGAAGCCCGTGCTACGCTACGGGAGCGTGTGCTTGCAAATCCAATCGTGCTATACATATAGTATGAGTTCGCAGAAATGCGGAATTGTTGCTCGAGTAGCTCGCTAACGTAGAACTTGAAGGCCACTCAGCCGCCTCCCTCCGGGAGTCGGCTTCGTGGCCATATTCATGGATTCCTCTGTATGAAAGTACTTACCCGGTGCTCGTAGAGCCTTGTGCGGCGCTGGTCAATGGCGCCTCGTTGTGCGCCCTCGTCGCCGCAATGCGCCCATCTTCATCATCCTTATCCTCTACATCATGGAACTCGTTGAGCTCCTCCTCCTCCGCCTGTCCCTCCCGGCATACTCGTTCAGCAACACGACATTCGTCGGTGAGAGCGCATCGCCATTCCCGAGTGGATGAAGTCCATTCGCCGCCACTTGTTTCATTGCGAGGCTGAAAGCAGGGTCCGAGAACATCGCCAGGTCGAAGGGCACCATCGTCGGGCGCTTTCTCGTGTATTGCGTCCCATTTTGTGTGTTCTTCGCACTGCCACCACCCGCGTCGGGCTCGATCCCGAACGTGAGATCGTTCACCGTTGCTGCGAGGCGCGGTCGGTGTGTGTTGCTTGCGTCCCAGCCTTCCTAAGTCGCCGTCGCTGGTCTTTTTCTCAGCGCATGGGGTCCGAATTCGTTGGCCATGCGTGCGTGCCGGGCAGTTCTTCCCCGCCATCCGTTCGCTCCCGTCCGCACTCACCCTCCACCCGTCCTCTTTCTTGCTCGCCGCTATGCTCGCACCCATGGTCTGCTCTTTGGCTGGGCTTGCATAGGGGACCCTTGCCCTGCGTGCTAGCGGTCGGCGGGTGTTGTGCTGCACGTTGCCGTGGGTTCACCGTCTACTCGCCCTCGCGCGTTCTTCCCTCACATATGAGTAGTCCGTTCGTCGGTCGCGTTTGCGTGCAGTGCATTCGCCCGGTGCGCCGCTCGCGGTTGATGTACGCATCGTGCTTCACATCGCCGTGCCCTGTGAGTGTAGTCAGTGCGCTCGCTCGCGTGCGTCTGCACTCACCTTTCCCCGATGTCTATCCTTACCTCTCGTGAACACAGTCCGTTCGTCGGCCACGTCTGCACACAGAGCATTGGCCTGCATGCTCGTGGTCGTCGTGCGTCTTGTGCCCGTGCTGTTCAAGTTTGTATTGCTGCACGTCACGCCCGCGAGCCCCTCGCCCTCGTTGTGCATGTCGTGGCCCACTTGTCTGCCCGCTCGCATGCCTGCGTACGCGTTCATCGGCCGCGTCTGCGTGCACAGGGTGTTCGCCCACCGCGCTCACGGGCCGCGGTGGACGTGTGCGCTGTTGCCTGCCGCCTGCCCGCTCTCCCGCCTGCTCGCTCTCCCGCCCATCCACTTGCTTGCACATCCGATTGCCCGTCCACGCGTGCCCACTTGCCCACCAGCTCGCCCGCCTGCCCACTGGCTCCGCGTGCGTTCGTCGGCCGTGTCTGCGTGCTGGGCATTCGCCCGGTGCGCTCGCGGTCGGCGTGCGCATCGCGCTTCATGGCGCCACGGCGACTGCGCCCTGCGCCTGCCACATTCTCCCATCCGTCCGATTCCTTCGCTGATGCACCCGCGTCCGGTCGTCGGCCGTGTTTATGTGCTGGGCTTATGCCCTGCGCGTTCACGATCAACGTGTGTTCTGCGTGCCCCGGCCCTGCCGACCATAGCCCACGCCCGTTCTTAGCCAGCTCGCTCGCGTGCAATAATGGCACTCACCTTCGCGTCTGTTGCTCACGCGCTCGTCGGTCGCGTACGCATGCTGGGCACTTACCCTGCGTGCCCATCGTTCCGTCTCGGGCCTTCGATGCGCTTCACAGTGCCATTGTGTTTGCGCTCGTGGTGGTGCTCTTACACGCCCGAGCCCGAGCCAGGCCGTCGTGGATGAATATTGAGGGGGTGGTGCCCACGGTGAGAGTCAGAGAGGGAGAGAGTGGCAGTGGCAGATTGGCATGAGGCAACGCCGCGAGCGATTCGACGGCCCGCACAGGATCAAGCATGCTTCCAAACTTAGAGGATTCGGCTAAGTCGAAGAGCGCAGCGAGTGTATGTACATGCCAGAGTACGTTCTAACAGTGGAGGACAGTACTACTTTGAAACAACGCAAGGAGGTGGACGGCGCTCGGGCCTCGGGCATGGCCCGGAGGCCGAACCGCGTCCGTATTCGAACCGTGGCCTTCCGGCCGACCTTACCCCCTATATCCAGCTTTGATGACTCTTGCGAGTGTGTCTATTGATGAGACGCGTGAGCGGGTAGAGACAATTGGGTGAGAGTGCACTGTCCGCACCGATTTGGGTAAAGCAGTCTCGGACGAGGTATATGACGGGGCTAGCCTTTCCTAGGTAGAATACGCTGGCCGATACGATGAGGCCGGTCGTTGGAAGGCGACTTCGGGGACAGACTTGGAGATTTGAACAAGCTGAGGCGACGCGCTGCTGGCACTGGCAGGCGCGCAAGGAACATCGCGCGGCGCGTTGGCGGCGCACTGGTGGCTGGCGCGCAACGCGCCTGTAGCTGCCTCTTTCGGAGCCCATCATCCGCAGGTGTACAGCCAGCGGCCGCTCGCGCACCAGCAATGCTGCTATCTACGACTTGATTGCGAGATATGATCATAGACGGCGCGACTGGTGAGTTCAGGCCTGCAAGATTACCAGGTTGTGTAACGTTGCTCACGGCACTTCAAGCAGTGGATCCGTTCAGCGACGAGCAGGCCTCTGTGGGGGACGTCGAACCTCCGGAGTGAACACCTTTCTTCAGGCGGCGTACAATCCAGTCATCTAATTGAAAGAACAGGTATGCCTCCCGAGCCGCCTCGTCCATACGATCATCACGGCGAGTGCATGTCGCAACTCAACCGCCGCGGTAAGTAACCCGAGACGATCTAGAACTTGCAGGACTAGTGGCTCATAAGTATCCGCTCACCAGATATGTCCACATCGAACGGCCGAACAAGCCCCTCACATATGAGTTCATGTCCTGGAACATGAAGTCTATGCTGCTCGTTCCGCCGCGTTCAGTAGACCCTGGTCGTGGGGCACTCTACTTCATCTCCGTCGCGCTCAACCTCAACCCCTTCGCCCCGTTGTCCTACGTGACGTCACTATATCGAGGCTCAGACGCAGAGGGGGAGTTTATTGGCGAGTTCGAGTAAGTGAAGCGACCTTCCGTGGCCAAAAAGGGCCTACCCATCTGATGCTGTGACCAGGTTGGGAATTACCCATAGCCGTGCCACCATTTCAATCGGGAATCATTCGACCCGTTTGAAGAACATCCTAACAAGCGATGCTCGCTTCCGCGTATGTCTTGATACACGTCGTCTCATCTCTGTCCTACTCACAGCCCTCAAAGGAGCTCTTCACGTGGCGATACGAGACTGTCGAACTTCGCTGGGACTGCCGTACCAAGCTTGATGACGGGTCTCGAATGTGCATCGTACGTGCATTTTCCTCTCTTTCCAGAAACGTCCGTCGACGAGTCGATCCAGTGCTCGGACGCAGCTTCCCATCAGCTAGCGTCCTTCGTCCCACCACCTCTGGACGCGTCGCCGCCGCTCCCAAACGCGACGTTGACCGTGTTCCCAGATGGGCACCGCCACCAGCTCTTCGACCATATCGTACTCTCGGCGCTGGTCGTCGAGCGCAAAATGACTCTCACGGTCTGACCTCGGAATCCAGCTATGACTGGATGCTTGTGGTATAACTTATTGCAGTCACTCCCTCTATGAACCTATACCTTGTATTGGATCCTCTGGCCGAACTGGATGGCGGATGCGCGGCCGATTCACAGTCAAAAGACGAGTACATGCGGCCTCGTCGGTCTCTTCCGAACATGCGTATGCGTCTTCGTCTGTGTGTGAGGGAGACACTTCAGCGATGCATGTTTGGAGAAGCCCGATATCGCCGGAGGCTGACAGTGCCTATAGTCGAAGCTTCAGCACAATGTCCTATCCTCCTGTGTCGACGATGCCATCGGCGTCGAGGAAGCGAGTGATGCCACTGAGGGTACATACTGTGTGATGGCCGCCCCAAAGTCAATGTTTTTCTGTTCCCATAGGCCAAGTCTAAGGGAGAATCCACTTCCTATGGTGGTACGGAACGGTGATATATAGAGAGCATCTTCTGGATGCGGAACTCCTTCACCGTGTCAATGCAACTTCCCACGCGGGAAGTCCCAACTCAAGGCCAACGGGCCCATACTAGGATGAGCAAGTAAAGTGGTGTGAGCCGGCCTGAATATGGACTCCCGGAGATGCAAGACATGCACTGGCATCCCTGTCAAGCGTCCTAACCCGCGAGCGAAATGGCGCCCACATACGTGTTCGAGTTGGGTGGAAGCGTGAGCTGCGGTGGCAGTGTCAAATACCTTTGCAGCGAGGAGGACGGGGATCCGGAGGAGGGGTGGATACTACTGCATTATGCACGCGTACGCAACAAGGTTTATAATCCGAGTATGTACAAACTTGAGCACACTTCTGTTACTTGATAAATGTGACAACTTGGTGGACAAAATCTGCTATCCGAGTCCATTAAACAACTGTCCTCCGTATGGCAGTACACTGTCGAAGTCAACGAGTGCAGAGTCCTACAATCGGTACTTTGCGAGCATCGCATTAAATGTCCATTGCTTTGGATTGTCCAGGCATCCACCGAAACTTTCATCATCGCTCCATGAGGAACCCATGTTAACCGCGAGCGTCGTGCGCGCTTGCTGCAGGGATGGAAAGCATTGCAAGCCCAAGCTTGTCATATAAAGCCACTGGTTCTGAGTTTCGCTATTGTCCAATATATTGAGGGTGAATTTCAGTTTGCTGGTGTTCTTTGCCAATCCCGTCATGGCAGCATCGAACTCGTCCCACGGGCAACGCTTCATGTTGGACAAATCGGATGTCCGCCAAGTGAGGACGACCTCTGAGAGGTGCTCTTTCCCCTCCCACGCGGAGAGCAACCGGAGGAATCTGACCATCCACTCGTACCGCCTCGGGGTGGATTCTTTTGTATCCTGAATCTTAACGCGTAAGTGGACTCGACGCAGACGTTTCAAAGGAGGTAGGGATCCCGCCAGACTTCGTCTGGGTAACCTGTTTCCGGCCACGGACAGCACCAGCTCCTCCAACGTATCGTCCACGGCGCGGAGCAAGGGTCGGCATTCAAGGAATAGATCGGAGGTGGCGATTCGAGCTCCAGCCTCCGGATCTCCACTTTCATAGGCCGTTCGCCCAAAATTGTGTCATTGTATTGGCAAGAGTCGTGTTCAAGGACAGTGTGTGTAGAGGATGAGTAATGGTCGATGAATCGCTGTCGCCTTGCTCCCATGGAGGCCGCATGCGTGCACCGTCCAAATACAAAGCGCGCATGGAAGGACATGCGGATAGAAGGCACGCGAGGTCCTCGCCGCGGCCGACGGAAGCCTGCACGAGGCGCAGGACGCGTACACGGGGGAAGAGCGTTGGCAGGTTCTGCCTGACGTCCTCGTGCATTGTAAACAGGTCGATGTGGCGGCCGATGGTGAGGTCCTCGACTCCTCGCAGCCTCTGCAGCAGCTCCGGCCAGCCTTTGTCCACCTTTGTCTTCCCCCGTCTCGCCTTTGCAATGACGAGCACCCGCACGCACAGCGCGAATCGAGGTTTCGCCTTCAGGAGCCGCGTAAATCGCTCAAAGCGAGAGGCACTGTTGATAATGACCCTGCGGAATATGTGCCTTTGTGCCCGCCAGACCCAGTTGTGGCACGTCACCGCGCATGCTCTGAGGGTAGGAACGTCGTCCCAGATGTAGTCCACGATCTCGTCGCACAGTTCCTGGGAACGTATGGGCGACAAAACATGCTATACGGAATGTGAGCCTGATATTGTAGTCCATAGAGGAGAATGAGACGTACCGGCGAAACCTGTTTGTGAGTGTCTGAAGAAAGGCAACGGTGTCGACTCGGCAGAGCGAGGAGAACAAATGGCAGTGACAGATCGATGATTAACACGGGACCATACTGGACAGCTGCATGCAGGTCCATGGCTTTTAAGCGATCGTCAACGCCATTACAAGGCGGCGACCTGAAGAGGCCCTAGCCACATGGCCGCCAAATAGCGAGCCTCTGGAGACCACCGGGAAGCAATACCTGAACGGCTCGAACAGCATGGGACGAGGACTCTGCCTCTTCATAGGCGGTGCGTATCACTGCAATTGTGTGGCACAACGTCCACAGGGTCATCCTTGTGGCTGTCACTACTTTAACTGTGTGGCTGGCTACCTTATGTAATTAGGCGCACGCTCAGTGGCACTGTTGCGCCCAGGTGACCCACCGACCACAACCATTGAATCGCATCGTATTACGCCTACACCTTACGATTCCGGGGAATGTACACAACTTGGGGGTCTTCATGGTGGAGAAAGTACCATTGCGATGCTCTAGAGCCCCCTCTCCCTCAGCTCTTCCTCAATCCTATCGTAGCTAGTCTTAGCCGACTTCGTCCACCTCCTCGGCACATCTGGATCATCCTCGACATATTCTCTCGTAAAATACCTGTGTATTGTCTGAGCCGTGTTTGTGTGGACAACTATCAGACAACAGACCTCGAAGGACCATGGGCCTCTCCATCCCGTCTTGACCACAGCCTCGCACACATCGACCACAGGCAAATAGCCTCCGTAGCCTTCTTCCCCCTTCTCACCCTCAATCTCGTCTTGGAAGGGAAGCGGCCGCCACGCGTTCGACCACGCATAGAGCGGATCAATGCCCTGCTTCTGGGCACTCGCTTTGAGGGCGTCGACGCCATGCTTATGCGATCCATCCGAGATCTGGAAGTAGAAGATCTTCTCGGGGGATAGTCTTGCTCAGAGCGGACAATGAGTCCGCGAGCCGATCTCGTGCAACCAAGAGCCTTCCGTCCGGGGAGGTAGGGTCCGCATAGGCACGTGCTACACACGAGCGACCGCATTAGCATGGTGAATTCGTAGCGGTGTCTCTGAAAGGCGCACCCGAGATCTGGAATGTGTCGAGGCAGAGCCCAAAGTTGGACGATTGACACGCCTGCACACCTCCCAGGTATGCTCCCAAGTATTGCTGAACAGTCGGGTACATAATCTCAGATGAACTCACGACGAGAAGACAAGAATTACATACATATGAATGCCCCAAGCCCACATCTCATATGCGCTAAAGGAGGGTTGAGCTTATATGAACAGAACTTTGAGGAGAGATTGAGCGCACATTTTGATCGGAGGGTCTTGGGTAGCGGCTTCGTCTGCAAGCACGCGGAGATCCCGGGAATGACATCGAGGTCAGAGCTTGACGAAGGGTCGTCCGAGAACCAACCTGTAGCATCTGGCAATCGAGGGCCTGTTGGAGAGTAAGTCACGTACGGTTCAGTTCTCGGAGGACGTGGAAAGTACCGCCAAGACTTTAACCACGCCCTAGCTCTCTGCATGTTCTCCTTCTCCTTTTTCGTCCTCATATCCTTCAACTCGGAGAAGCTAATGAACATCAGAACGCTGACTCTGAACAACGTTATAACACGTACGGATGCACTACCAGCACCTGAGTCCCAACTCCTGACAAACTCCCTTACTTCCTTCGCCGTCTTCAAAAGGTCATATAGATCACCTTCCCACTGTCATTGAGCTTCTTGTACCAGGAAACACCTGCGAGGCGTATGCTTCGAGGTCGGGGAAGCCCATCTCGACCTGCGGAATCCAGCCTCTGCGATGGCACGCAACTTCATAGGCAACGTGTGCGCGGGGTTCATTCCCGCTGAATCTGTTGAATATGCCAGGGTTGTTGCAAAAGTAGACATGATGGTGGTGGTTAGGTAGAATCGAGGTGAATGAACGCGATCTAGGATGCGAGCGAGGATGTCGCGACGTACTTGCCACGTGATGACGTCATAGCCGTGTTCATACTGGCGTTGTGTGCACCACTAGGTACTAGGTAGTTGAAGGGTATACTCCCTAGTCGATCCAATGAGTACTGTATGTTTTGCGTTTGGGTAGCATTTCTGCGCTGTCATTTCAATGAAAGGCTCACCATGACCTGTATGTAGCACCGATGCACACTGCTGTGGCAGACGTGAACGTGCAATGAAGGGCCAGCGTTTGGTGACTAGCTTCGATGTTTTCGGTGGCATGCCCACATCGACTCGTGTCTTCAGAGAACATGAGCAAACCAAGAAGGGTCTGAATTGTAGGTATCCGAGCGATTAAAATGGACGCCCGTGGCTCAGAACATCACTTCGCCACTCACCGAATGGAGAGACGCATGCGCGACGGCACCACTATCGAAAGGAAGTCTCGCCAGACCCAGTAATCGCATAAGAACTGCAAGACTTTTGAATAGCATCGCTAGAGGGGGAACCGTTCCAGCCTCCAACTGCCGCCAATAACAGCGTCTAACGCCTCAAGCAACGCTGAGGTCAGTGGCGGAGGGGAACCAGGCACGACCCGCAGAACGCACCCTCAAGGATGAGAGCCATAGCTTCGCATGCGGTCTATAATCACTGGTCCGTGTTGGAAGAGAGTACATCGATATGATCGAAGCGCGATATGCGCACACACCCTGCAATCGCCGACGGCCAGGCTGTGCGGCGGAATGTGCGCACTAACCACTGTGAACGAGAAGGTTGCGAGCCTGTGGACGCAGAGCATACGATAACAAGTTCTGACAGGCCGCCGTGTCTCATGGGAGTGTATAGGGCTAGATCAGGTTATGTTGCAAACTAGTTGGCCTCGAGTCGCCCTTCGCAGGCACATTGTCATCTCGACCATCGTCATCCGCCTCCCCCTTCCTATACAGACCTATTGGAATGAGGTAACAGTCGCCGCCGTCGAACGTCTAAATGAACTAAGAATGAATAGCATCAACGCCATAGTTCGTCAGCTCCCACGGGCGCAGCAGCAAAGTTCGTCCGCTGAATGACATCTGGGCTTCACAACCCTCCGGAAAGAGCCATTTAACTTGCAGGGCTCGGGCTCGCCGTGCGTTGCCAACTTCACCATGCATCTGCTCGAACGCCCGGATGCCCCGGTGCGGGAATGCAAGAGAAGAGCCCGCGTCCGGTGTTCTGTGCGTCTGCTCAGTAACGCGCGGATGATCATCAGGACTCGACCGCGTGCTGCCGCATGTCGCAGCCGCGACCAGGTCTCCGACAGGTCTCTATACTGCCTGACGCACACTAGCCCCATACAGAGACCGACGCGTCGACCGGGGCGAGAGAATAGACTCATACATAGAGCGCACGGTGCGTCAGCGACCACCTGCTCGTCACATGTATACTGGTAGGCCTCGTACGCACAATGACACCGAGGTTCGACGGCCAACTACAAGAGGAACGCAAGGTCCTGTGAGTTCTTGAAAAGATCATCATGCCTCGTACCTTTACGAATTCGACGAACTTGAGCTCATAACTTCCACGGGACGCTACACGCGGCGCTTGATGTCAGTCATGTTGCCTTTCTTTCCCAACACCTGTCGCAAAAGCGATATAAAAGTGATAAGGAGCAGTACGTGAGGGTACACGGATGCCTCTCGAGCTGAACAGGCTCATACAGCACTACTGTCAGGACCGCGAAGTCCCCAATACTAGTGTACGGAGACTCTTCTCGGGCAACGCATGGAGTTCACCGCTTGCCTGAGCGATTGCGCAGAAGCCGCTGACCTGCCGCACAGCCTCGGAGGTTCCCGGTATGCATAGACATGAGCAGCTCATGTCTCATCGCGCCTCCACACGCAATCGTATGGCACGGTCGTATCAGCTGGTTGGCGCAGGCTTAGTCCCCGAGCCCATTGGGGCGGTCCGAAGACGGGAGCGGCTGCGAGGCGTCAAGGACGCAGTACAGCCGCCAATGATATGAATTACAAGTGAGTACATTGGGTGTGCCAAGGAGGATGTGTGATATTCCTGGCCCACCGTCGAACTCGAACGCGGGTATATGAACCTGGGAACCGAAGCACCGTCTGGTGCGCGTCACAGCTCATACCATCGATGTCCGTGGATCTGGCAAAAGAATATCGGTTGAGGCTACGGAGGCGTGTCGTCGAGTCCACTGCACAGAATAAGGAGCATAGCGGATCATGGTGGTCGGGCAAAGAGCGTGCACTGCAGCCGCCACCAAACGCTGCCGCGCGGAGTTTCATTTCACTGATGGGATTGTGGCGCTGCCAGAAGCGCGGGACAGAGCCTGGTTCGCGAGCGATGATGTCCTCCGCCTCGCCGTGAACACGTTTCTGCTCCCAGCGATAGTCTCAAATCGTCCTCCGGGGTCTCCCCATTTCCCCATGACCTCAGGCCGGACGAGTCACATAATCAAGGTTAACTTTACTGACACTCGCGGGTATTCCAGATGACTGAAACCAGAGTAATGCTTACTCCAAAGGAGGCATTACGGACCGAAGCTTGTGAACTCGCTTCCGGCCACGAAATTAACATGTCGAGCTTATAAGAATACTCCCGTCCAGCGGGATGCTCTTCTCCGCCCACCCCCTCGTAAGTTCCCAGACCGCTGATTATTTTTTGCTTTCTCTCCCTACTACGTGGCGTCCATGACCGAATACACGAGCAACTCCGAGGCCATACGCGAGTACATGTCCGCGCGGGAGCGGACAGCACAATGGATCCAGGCTCATACACCCAACGGTACGGTGCCCGCCTTTGTGCCGCCATCGTACCCCCCGTCCATGATCAGCGACTCTGACGCACCCAGCTATGGTCCGAGTGACTCGGACGAGGAAAGCAGCCATTCCCTGCCGCCACGTATGGTGCTGCGCTACAACGATGGGCGGGCTGACATACCCATCGCCACCGAATACAACCCGCACAATGGCACATACTCGAGGCAGGCGCCGAAGATGCGTAGTGCGGAGCCCCGCTCAATCCCTACGCACCGACGGTCCAAGTCAGGACCATACGCACAGCCCGCTGAGCGTGGACCATCGCATGTAGTGTCTCGTCACGCTCAGTCTCTTTCTTATGCTAGCCAGCCAGTCGTCGAGCCCCGTGCTATGCCGGAGCCGCCTCGCTCGCCCGAGAGTATCGTTATCCTTCCGTCTCGACAAGGAAGCCAGAACACGCAGTCCACTAGTCAGACAGCTGAAAGTCTACCCCCTTTCTCCCAGCCCTCGCAGCCCCATCCTTCGTCGCATACGTTTGACGCGGCACTGCAGGTTCCTCTGCCGCCGTCGACTATCTCGCAAATCCCGCAGCAGCCTAGCCGGTTTGGCAGCGCTTCACACCACTCTTCACACCCTTCACAGCACGGTATCGTGTCTCCCTCGCCGCGGCGTGCCTTCGATCCTTCGCAAATCCCTCTGCCGGCAAGCTCACCGCCAATCTCTCACCCCACTCTCAACCCGTGCCTGGACCGACACCGCGTGCTGCAACATCATTCGCGCACCATGCGCCGTCGTCGCGTGTACAGTCGCAGCTCCCTTACCACTACTCGCCCCCCGCAATCGTTTACGCGCCCTCGTCAAAACATTCGAGATCTCACTACGCGCCACCGGCAATCGTGTACTCGCCCTCGGCGACTCATCATGCCCCGTCCCGCCACGCCCCCTCCATGACATATAGCCACTCTGCACCTTTGCCGCAGGCTCCGCCACACCAGCGCGCAGGTTCGTCCGTGTACCACTCAGCGCAGGGGTCGTTGCGCTCTCGCCGTCCCGGATCTGCCATTCCGGAAGAGGACCCGCGCATGGCTGGTCGCTACGACAGAAGTGTCGATCGAGACCGTGGCCGCAGCCGCAGCCGTGGACGGAGCGTGGCTCGCACCCGCACGCCCGCAGAAAGCGTTATGTACATCGCCGATCATGAACTCCCCCCGGACGAGCCTCGCGCTCAAACACCCTCGGACTCTTTCGACGATGAAGATGAGGGTCGAACGCAAGCCTCCGGAAGCACTTACTATGTCCTGCCTACGCCGGGGCAGAAGGTCAAACTTATCGTACGTAATCTCGCCATCTTCTTCCCTCCTCGCCGTCCCTGTCGGTTACCTCTACCGTTTCCCTCGCAACGATTGGTAGTAGATGAACCTAACTCATGGCCACTCAGGTCCCAGGCTCGGGTTCTATCTACACCGCCACCTCAACCACGAAGTCCGGGCACTCCCCTCAATCAGCGCACTCGGGTCCGAAGAAAGCGTTCTTCCAGCGCATCTTCAGCATCCCCAAGCTGTCGGGCTCCTCTTCGAGCTCGGATGGACTGGGTAAGAGGATCAGCCGGAGGCATACCATTGGAGGTGCTCATATGCGTGGAAGGATGGGCCTCCCTCCGCGGTAAGGTGCGTCTGTGGCGCGTACCGCGGCCTTGGTGGCGCAAGTGGGGGCAAAGGTGAGTGCTAGTCTTAACCCTCGGACGTTGATTGTGGTGCTCATGAGATCGCCGTCGCTTCCTGAAGTCATCGTAGGAGAAAAGCGGACATCTGACCGCACCCAGCCGACGGGAAGGTGCTCTGAGACGGTCACGACGTGCTCAGAGTTTTTGACTTACATACTGTACGCTGATAGTCGATGGAGGTTCCAATTCATTCTGTACGTCTACGTCTTCGGTACCACGTCCGTCGTTTTACATACTTTAGGCTATCGCAAGCCGCTTCGTGCTGACGGGACATAGTACGTACACGACGGATCAATGATAAGTGTAGTGGTGCAGCATAACGCACATCGCCAGCCGACGGCAAGTGAGATGTACGCGTCGCTAGGTTCCTTCCCAATCCCTTCTGCTCCGTCCCGTAACTTGGGCGCGACAAGCGCGACCGCTGTTGAGGATCTTTCTAGCAGACTCGGGAGCCTGAGGTGCCTTGAACGTGAACGGAAGACAAGAATACTGTAGTTGTGGCGTCGGTTTTTCGTGCACTACTGTCTTATGCGTGTGGTGCCCTATGGCGCACGCCTTGTCAGATGGGCCTATTCAACATTGCAGCGGAGGAACTTGTTGCACGCCCCCATCACGACCAAGTTATGTATTGCATCATGGAGACTTGTCTGAGACAGACACGTTGTTCAAATTACGGCCCTTCAGCACGAACGGCTCTTGCCGATCCATGCCCTCTGGGATATTGAACACTAGGCTGCATGCGCACACGTTGATATGATACCTTTCGAGCGGCTTAGCCGTCGTTGCCGAAAATGTGCTCAGATGCAGACGAAGGCATGACCAACCGATTTGTAATAGGAGTAACACTATCGCAGTGTCCAAATTGTACACCATTGATACACGTCCTGAAAGGGATGGTCATGACTCATGAACCAAAACTCTGCACGAATGGCACAACTTACCTTATCATTCATCCCACCGCATAGCAGACGGCACCCAGTAAGCGACCCCTTGTTCGTCATCCTGCTCGTCTAACCAACATAACCCGTCGCGGAGTAACATGTTCTCCAACGCTGCGCGCGCACGTTCATGGGTCCATCCTCTCCGCTGCACTAGCGTTTGTTCTGAGACGCGACCACCTTCCTCCTGAGCGATGGCAAGCACCACCGCCTGGTCCGCGTCTAGTTGCTTGGGTACGCTCCTCACCATCTTCTTACCCGCACCAACGTCCAGCACCTCGTATCCAGCGCCGAGGGGCTTTAGCGTCTTGATGCTCCGGATGACATCGTCTTCCGTGATGACACCGCCCTTGACGCCTCTGAGCTTGCTCACGAGCCTCACGAGCTCGCCCATCTCATAAGCCCACCATTTCGCTCCCGAGTGCTGACGCAGACGTCGACGATCTGCACCCCGAGCTCGAACTGCCAGTCGCCGAGGTTCAGCATCTCCGCCCACCAGCCACCCTTTCTAGGGCCTGCCAGCGGATCGACTCCGATGGACGTGCACATGCGTTGGAACGCATGTCGGAATTGAGGGTCGTCGCGAATAGAGTCGCGATGAGTCGCGGCGTAGTGTGCCAATGCACTGCGAAACTGGGCAAGCTGTGCATGAAGAAGGTCGACTTGTCCTTGAGATATCTCAGTTGAGAGCTCTGCAAAAGACCGCTTTTGTTGGCTTTGTCTATCGAAGGCCGCGATCCCGACGCCTCCTAGTCTATGCATAGCGATCGGAGCGAGGGGACGGATTTCACAAGGATTATACCTATACCTACACACATTTTGTTAATACAGCTACGGACCACGTACTTTGTTGTACATTGAGCATTCACTTACTGCGGCGGTGATTGGGTAAGCCTCGGCGGCGCTCGTGCAATTTCTGTCAATGCAGCACTCCAAGCTCGAAGTATGGGACAGCCGATACTCAGTTCGGTGACCACTCGATCCCAAGCGAAGAGGACGCCTGTGCCTCGAATGAGTTCAACTTGAACCTGAGGACATCCGGCGCCCCTGCAGTTGGCTGCAAGTCTCCGGATCCGGTTAAGTACCTGCCCTGAGCAGTCGGCTCAGTCAATTCACTGATGATCTACCGGTCTTGCAAGCCTCTGCATACCAATGTTGTCAAGAGACCGGCTCGTTTCCGCAATCGTCCTGGCAATAGCCTAAGGGAGGTGCGTGGTTGTCGGAAGAGGGTCACGACTGGCGGTAAGGATAGCAAACCCGCCTCGGTGGCGTTACCGGTGCATCGCCGGATTAGGCAAGTGTTGTCGATAGAGTTACTCCCGGTGATCTGACTATTATGTGCAGGGTAAGGGTGTCAAATACTTAGTCATGTATTCATGCTCGATAGCTTGATGGTTTCAAGTGGTGGTTGAATGCATACACGTATCTAGTACAGGACAAGACCGTACTACTCAGGCCGAGTCGCGCTGCCTTCGCCATTTGCCTCAATCGGATGCGATTGAATAGGCTGCGGTAACTCATCCATATCACGGTCCGTGGTTTGCGAAGCGCGGGGTGGCCGCTCACTCCGGGATAAGGCCTCGCGTGGCGTCCGGACCAGCGCACGTAAGTCTGATCCCGCCTTCTCTATCTTCATCACCGTGGCAATGGAAACGCTCCTCCGCATACGCCGAAGGATCCCCCTGTCGTCATCGCGCCCGTCCGTGGAACTTCGGCCTCCAGCTGTTTGGTCCGCACTCCCAGGATTGCGCACGGCTTTCAAAGCCTTATCAGCCCATTTTCGATCTTCGTCATCGAGAACAGGGGCCAGCCGGTCGATTGCGTGCTTGGCATTTCCAACTCTCAGAATCTCGAGCATGTCCGCCGCTAAACTTCCGAATTGCTCGTCGTCTATTTTCGCAGGCTCCTCAGGCTCCGCAGGCTCACGCTGCAGCATGGCAATGGAGACGAGGAGGATGTTTATGATCTTGAGGCCTAATTCATCCTTCTCCACGTTCTTCGCCCTTTCGACGACCGAGGCAGCAGCCTGTAAAGCCTGCTCAGTCTGTGTCGCGAGATCGGGGGCGGAGCAGTTTCCAGGTCTGCTCTCCGTTGTAAGAAAACAGGTCTGTTTCGAGTCATCACGAACAGGAGGAAAGACGGCAACGTCGGTTTTATCGACATCCTCGGTTATCGGGGTCAAATCACCGGCAGGTCCCTTGAAGAGAATCGCCGCTGCGCGACAAGCGAAGCGCAGAACCAAAGCATAGAGGTCCCTTATGTCCTGCTCTTTCGTCGGCTTGATGCGACCGAGATTGATGTACACGTTGCGCAGCACATCGAGTGTAGCTGACAGGATGTTCGTGCGATCGTCTTCTGAGATCAGACTGTCCGACTTCGAGTCGGAATCCGAGCTAGATTCCGTTTTAGGCGACAACTCGACCTCTTGCACGAGGGCTGTACCGAACTCCCAGATGAAACCAGAGATCCCGACGACGTGAGTGAGCGAATTTAGTAGGGCGGATGAATCGACTTCCTGGCGCCAGCCTTCGCTGAATCCAGCAACCTCCTGGACGGCCGTCGAGGCTTGCGCGTCGAAGTTCAGTAGGTTCGTCAACTTCGCGATGATGTTCAGGTCGGGCGTCGTCCGTATGCGTTTCAAGAAGTATGGGTAGCGCTCCAGGAGCGCCTGCAGTAACTTTCGGTGATCCTCGTACTCGGACGAGCTTCTGCATTGAACCTGGAGCTCTGAGCGCAGGAGACACATCATCAAGACGAGGATGGCATCTAAAAACGAGCTGCGTTCCCTTTGGGTGAGAGTAAACGGGCAAGAACGGGGGCGACTGCGTCGAGTGAGGTTACAGTCGGGACGAGAAGCCCAGAAAGAGAACGTGGGATCGGCCGCGACAGCATCCAAACACCCCAGCAAATCTGACGCAACACTGGGAAGCCCATGTCCGGCCTGTTCTGCATGAGGGCCGCAAGGACATCCAGCGCGTCAGACGCGTGTTTAGCCTGCGCCTTGCGCTCTTGATCGTCCGGAGAGTCCCGTACCGTGCTTGTACCGCTCTCGACGTCCGCCTCGGTCTTCTTTGGCTTGTCCTTTGACCGGTCCACCTTGATAGGGCGCATGCCGATGAAGATCGTGGCGTTTGCCAGCGCGGTGAGTTCGTCGCCGTCGAGGCCGCGTATCGTATCAGGCTTGCGCAGGCGGTTGAAAAAATCTTCCACCGAACACCGCACCTGCTCTGAATACCATCCGCTCGACGACACGACAAGCTGCAATCGGAGCATGTGCGAGTAGAGGATGATGTTTTCGTATTTGTCGTTGATACGCGCGTCTGGCTGGCATAGTTTGTCTTTCGTGAGTGCCTCCTCGGGGCGGTACCAGAAGCGAATATATTTCGGCACGCGACGCAAGCGGAAATCCCAAAGCACTGGTATGCCTTGGATCTTGAAGAGGACTGTGCGAGCATCTTTCGTCTCTGCCTCCGTCAGGAGGCGCGCAAGAGCCCTACTAGACCGGTGGAGGTCCATGTCGCGATCCTCGACCGCGCTGGCCGCGCCATCCTTGACCGCACCATCCTTGGACACACCATCCTTGGCCGCGCGATCGTTGTCCGAATGTCGATCGAGGATATGGTCCACTAGCAGGTCAATTGCCCCGGCGTCGATGAAGAGCGCACGATACCGTACCAGTGCAGGGAATTTGCACAACTCCCTGGTCAACTGTGCGCTATCCCCGACATTGGGGTACGCGCCGATCATCCGTGCGAGAACACGGGCGTCCATGAGGTCAGAGTGGTCTGATATGTACGCTTCCTCTCGCAGGCGTACAATGTTGGTCGGTCCGAGCGCTATGTGCCTCGCCCAGAGACTCCACAGGTTCTTCGGCAGGATGTGCGTGTCGCCGAGTGTGGTGAGCAGGCGTCGCCAGCGCCGTCCGAACCAGGACGCGATGAGGACGTCCCAGATGGCACGGAATACTTCCGCGTCTCTGTTGTAAGTCCAGTACTCCTCGGCTACCACTGCAACGAAACCCATGCCCTGCGAGCGCGGCGGGAGGTCCAATGAGAGGCCTTCCGTATCGAGTTGACGAAGATGAGGATAAGGAAGGTGAGCGATGTCCTGTAAGGGCAGGTAGCGCTGAAGATGGACCGGATGTGTGTCCAAATGTATATGAAGACCATGCCTGAGACGAATATCGCTGTAACTGTGCCGACGGTCTTGTTGAAATACCACAAGAAATCCACGAGGCCGGCAAAGAATAGAAGCAGCGACACATGCAGAAGGAAAGGGAGGAAGGGCAGTACCAGTGATAGTCGCCAGTCCCGCATGCTGTCATAGCGTAACTGGATCTGCCTCCCCGCATGTGCGTCTCGGACGACGTATCGTCGCGGCCTTCGTGGAGATCGGCGAGCCACTCTTGCTGAGCATCGCTAGAACGCGGTCGAGACACTTGTGACCAAGCTCGCGAACCAGAGAACGTTGATGCGGACGAAGGTGGAGACCGAACTTGCCTGCGCCTCTACTTCGAGAGCGTGAGCATTCGCCGGGGGTGTGCCGTTCGACTGCAGTGTGATGAGAATTGTCGCAAGATCACCTCGGTCTTGGTCGACTCGGGTTTCATGTATTGGTACGACTCGATTACGAAAGCCGTAAGCACTGCGGAGAACAAAGCCGCCTGCATGGACGATCGTCAAACAACGCGACCGCGTGGGCGATGGAAACAGCGACGCACAAAAAGCAGTAGTGTGTCAAGATCTTTGTCCCAAGTCTTGACGAACTTTGTATCGACATTACTGAAGCGTGTCTCGTACTGTTTCCACGTTTCGTCACTCAGTGGCGACTATCTGACGGTCAGTGTGTGCCTCGTAGTAGAAATTGCGATGCTTACCGTCGTGTGGGATGGGTCTCCGCAGGCATCTCCATCCGAGTTCTGTGCGGATGCCTTTTCAAGTGAGTTGGTCATCTGAGGACCAGCTGCAGGTTTAGTCACCTTTGTAAACGGGGTGTCTTCTGTTGCACGCTCGTTCATTCTAGGGGTCTAGCGAAAACACTTCAGAATCGCAGATGGCGTCACGATTAACATGCTTGAGAATACATACCCCTGGACTAAGAGCTCTGGGGGATCCTAGGGAAAAGCTACCTTCGTCGGGCATCTCGAGCTTGAGCGGAAGTAGCACGAGGGGCGTTGAGGCAAGACGCGAGGGGTCGGGAAAGCTGACAACAGTAGCGTTCACACATTTTATGGCTGTTTGCTATACTCATGGAAGCGCATCGGAATGTGGTACCAGTGGGCCCTCCCGTGTCACAAAAATGACAGCTTCTCGCACAAAGCTGTCCATCATGAACCTTGCTCCACGAAACCCGCCCGTGCGGCCAATACCAACGATCGCGCAATGCGCAAAACAGAACGAAGCCCGCGGCGTGCTAATTGAACGGGCTTACTGCGATGTATTTGGTCGATCACTGTCACCGTCCTCGTAATAGCGACGAGCAGCAACGCGCGTCGCAACTCGCGACCTATTGAGCAACCCGTTTATTTGTCATGTACTGTACAAAACTCAAGACGACTGAGCACACTCACCCTGCGCTATTTGACTTGATTCTCATCGCAACTTCAAGGAAATGTGGCTCGTACTGCCACGAGTCGGGGGCCCAGTAGCGAGACTTCGTTAGCTTCACTGACTCCTTGCATCCACATTCTTTCTAGTATGGTCGATGGCTGTGCGAAACGGTGCTGTTTGCGTTACTTTCAGATATGGGTTGTCAGTAGCTATCAGGCTGTGAATTGTTGTTAGTAGTGTACAATGATTGCAAAACGATTGTTACAATGTGCGAACAGGCGCGAACATGATCTGAGATAGTCTGAGATCGAATGAGCACAAGCGCTCAAGATCACATCTCACGTCGTGCAGCTTTGAATTCATCTTGCAATATCTGAAGCAGTTCTATGAGACATGCCCCATAAACGGGCAAAGCGCACTCTCCGTGAAAAGCAGCGCACACAGTCGTATGTTCACTCCTACTACTTGTCATGGTGCGAACTCAAACAGCCAAGAGGGCTCGACTCCCCCCAGGTGCTCGCCATGCCATCGACAATGAAGACGTCCCGAAGGGGGCTGCACGCATCTTAAACGCGGCACGGATACAAGGAGAATTCAAAGAAAAAAAGCGCAAGCTGCAGGAGGGCGGAGGGGACGGAGAGCCTCGAGGAAGAGGAGGAAGTCTGAAGGCAAGGATGGCGGAGAGGGCAAGTCGAAGTTGAGGATACAGCCGGGCGAGTCAATGGCACATTTCAATAGGTGCGTGGGTCTGTTTTGGTCCTATCCTATGGCCTACGAGGTAGCTTTGAGCTAACCGAGTCGTGCCAGGCGAGTGGAGGATTCGATGCGCGGCGATGTACGCGTGGCCATGAAGAATTCCTCCGCTCTGGCGCGAAAAGTCAGGAAAGGAGAGGAGGCGACATCGAAAGCAACGAAGACAACGAAGAAGGGTGCACCGGCTCCTAGTGCGCGAAGCCGGACGACGATACGCAGACGGAACCCAACAAATCGACCGACACCAAAGCCTCGGCCGCAGGAAAGCAGAAACCCGAAGAGTTCGAACGTCTATCTACCTCTACCCCTCGACGGCTGAACGACATAGTGCATGCACCTCCGGAGTTGAAGAAGCTACCACGAGGAGCAAAGCAACGACCGAAGTCCTCAGACGCGGCTGCCAATGGAGAGGGCGCCGCTAGCTTGCGGCAAGGTGCGCTCTCCATGGCACAAAAGGCGATGCTCGACGAGGAGCGTCTTAAGGCAATCAATATGTACAGGGAGATGAAGAAGGCCAAGGCGGGTGGATAACCGCTCGTCGATTTCTGCATGCCCCTGCGATCCATCACAGCGATCGTAGTCAGGCTGTGGAGATGTCAATGGATTGCATGATGACTAGTCCATAAGAGTCTAATGCATGATTGTCCTTGCGTGTAGAACCTCGAGCATAAGTTACGTTCATGCTAACAATACAGTGGAAAGCGACCCCCAGATCCACAGTCGACAGACACTCACTCACTTGAAACCCATTCTCCGTGCATACTCCCTCTCCTCCTCCTCCGTGAGCCCATCCGGGCCACTCCAGTTCGCCGAGCTCGTCCTCGCCCTAAACCTGCTCTGGCGCGTCCTGAACATATCCTCCATCCTCAGCGGCGGGATCTGGCCAAAGACTTCATCCGGGTTCACAGCCGCCTGTTGCTGCAGCGCCGCACGGAGCTCGGGCGACTGCGCCCACTCCGGCGGGTCGAACGTCCGCGGGCGGTCCTCGTCATCCGAGTCCGAGTACTCGCTATTGATGTCCGGTAGCTCAATCGCCTCGCTCGCCCCCGGCGCAGGCTGGGTCTGCTGCGCCTGCAGTTGCGCCTTCGCGCGGTCGGCCATCTGGGCGCGAATCGCCTGTGAGGGCTGCGGCTCGTCGTCGTCCCGCGCCGGTGTCTTGGCTTTGCCCTTTGGCGGGCCGACTTTGAGGTTGCTTGAGGACGGCATGGACTTGAGATTGCTGGAAGACGGTGTGTGCTTGATGACCTTCGTGGCGGTAGCAGGTTTGCTGCCGGAGAGATCGGTCTGCTTCATGGCTGACTTGGGTGGGGGCCCGACCTTCGTGCCGGGCGGGTGCGCTACGGTGCTGGGTCCTGGCTTAGCTACGACGCGCGGCGCAGGCGGAACGTCCTTCTTTTCCTTTGACGGTGGTTTCTTCGACTCGATCGGCTTTTTCTCAGCCTCGATCTTCCGTTTCTTCGTGTTGTCATCGTCCAGCTGCTGAACAGGGAATGAGTATGACGAAGCAGTCAATCCGAGGACAACCGTTACCTTCTTACTGGCCATGCGGCTGAGCGGCCGCTTGTCAGTATGCTCCTCGCGCTCCCTCTTGCGCCGCTCGTTCTCCTCCTTGATCTTCCTCTCTTCCTCTTGGGCACGCGCCTGTTCCTCTTCTGCTTTTCGCTGCTGAACGAGGTGGCGGCGGTTCTCCATCTCCTTCATACGAGCAGCCTTCTTCTCGATCTCTTCTTGTTGCTATTATGGGCACCGCTGTTAGGAATCCTGTCATGCAGATATATTACACGAGACGCACCTTCTTGGCCGCCTGAGCAGCAAGCTGCAGGCTCTTGACAGGCTCCTTCTTCTTGCTACCACCGAGCATGCTGCTCATGAACTTGGTGGCCTGCCCGATGATACCAACTTGAGATTGCTGCGACGACGACGCAGTGGACGCCATAGATTGTTGACTCTGGCTTCTCTCCGCACCAGGCTGGTTGGACTACATGTCGTATGTCGCGTTAGCAACAGAACCATCCGTCGGTAGAGAACAACATACCTGGACGAGGCTCACCGTCGATTGGCCCCAATGGCGATATCTTCCAGGTCCGTCTCGTCCATGTCCTCATCATCTACGAGCTCATCAACCTCCATAGCCACGTCCGCGATATCCTGTTCCGCAGCGTCCTGCTCCTGCTCATCCTCCGCCTGCTCGTGTTCAGCTTCAAACTCAATGGGAATCGCACTTGACGACTGCATCTCAGCCTCAGGCGGGGCCTCCTCAACTTGTTCGACGTCCTTCTTCGCCACGAACGACTTCGTGAAGTTCGTAGTGACGAAGCCTGTATCGCCGCCCTTCTGGCTCGTGCTTCGGCTCGGGAGCGTGCTCCACGTATCGTCCCTGTTCTCCGCCGACGTGAACCAAACGGCGTCCATATCTGATGCGGCGCGAACTTGTCGTCGACGTGCCAGCTGTCGTCGTCGTCGTCATCGTCGTCGAACTTATTCTGCGACTGCGTCGGCTGCAGGGAGAACTCCGTGTCCTGCGAGTGTGGCATCCACGCGGGGATGTTGTCCTCCTTATCGAAGATCGCGTCGGAGAACACGCTGGCCTTACTTGACTGCGCTGAGAGACCACCACCGGCCTTCTGGCTATTGGGCGATCCCAGCTTGGCGGGGACCCCGAGGGTCATAGCAGCGGGTAGCGAGAACGGATTGCCAGTAGGCATCTTGAAGGAGTAGTCCTTGCTGGGACCAGCAGCGGGTTGCGCCTTCGAAGTTTGGGCAGTGGAGGACGAGGGAGGTGGCGCTGCGAAGACAGCAGGCGGCTTGCTGAATACCGGACCAGTAGGAGGGAGCATTGGGGCCATGCGTGGAGGCGAGTGCGGCGGGGTTGTCGATACGCTAGTATCCTCGTTCGCGCTTGCTGCTTCGATGTTAAGTGCGGGCAACGGCGGCTCTGGGCCAGACGGAGGAGTCCGCTCCTTCTTCTCAGAAGGACCCATCAAATCCGACAAGCTCAGTCTCTTGTGTGAGTCCGCTACTGCCGCAGACTCGGAGAAGGCGCAGACACCACTTCCACAACATTGCCGCCGTCCTTGGCCATACTTCCCTCGGCAGCGACACCGACATCCGATCCCCGCTCCAGCTTGTTTCTCTCTGCCACCCGCGCTTCTGCAGCAGCGCGAGCTTCTGCGAGCGCTGCGCTGCGGTGCCCCCGAGCGACTTGCCCATGCTCTTGCCGTGTCTCGCGCCGAAACCTTCGAGCCTCTTCTTAAACGTATCCAGTAGTGGCTCGTCCTGATCGACGACTTGTATCTGAGCGGTGAAGTCTTCGGGCGGGACGGTGGCAGCCCGAATCTTCATTTCCACGGACGGCCTAGGAGACAGTGAGGGAGGTTCCTCGACGGACATCAGCTTGACCTTGCCCTTCCGTGCGGAATCGCTGTCTTCGGTCAGCTTCACGACCTTCGCTATTCTCTCTTCGTCCTCCACGCCCTTCGACGGCCCAGCGGCAGCCCCACCAGGCCCGCCAAAGTCCATCATCTCGCCACTCTTCCGCTTCGTGCCCAAGATTCCCAGACCGAGCCCAGTACCCAGCGTGTTGCTCGTCCGCTTACCTGCGACCTCCATCGCTTTCACCTCGCGCGCCTTGACTAGCCATGATCCGCGCTTCTGACCAGGACCGAGCGCGGTGCCCATAGACGGCTCACGCCCTGTGCCTGAACGCGTCGATTTGTGCAACGGGGACGGTGCAGGCAGGGTAATCTGCGAGAGACTTGGTTTGCGACCCAGGCTCCCTGATGATGGTTCGTCTCGAAGAGGGACGCTTAGCTCGTCAACGGCTGAGGTAGAGGGCACGATGGGCAGTGGTTCCTGCGCATCCCGCGGCTCGTCGACGGCTGGCGAGGGGCCTTGAAGAGCAGGCGTGGCATATTGCTGCGACGAGGGAGAACTGAGTGGGATAGAATGGAAAGTATCCGTAGTGGACATCATGTCAGTCTGCACTGGCTCGTCTACATCCATGCTTGTCGGGGCATTTGCAGCGGGCTCCGGTTCCTCCAATGTGAGTGTCCCGACTGCGAGCGGTTGGGAAACCTCCTTCACTGGAGAGAGAGGCAGGGCAGACATTCGTGTCCGTTCCGCTGGTTCGTCGTCCTCGGCGATGATAGACAGCTCCGTCGCTACTTGTTCTGAAGACGTACCAGATATGTTCACTTCGTCTACACCGCGTACTTGACCACTACTCTGTTGGAGACGCGGCCCATCTGATGTTGGGGCCACAGGCACTTTGCTAGCCTCTCCATCGTCCCGAGTGTCCTTCGCTTCCAAAAGCGTTTTGTAGAAGCTATTCACGGGTGCATGTTCTCTCGTTCGTCATCGCTCCTCTGGTCCTGTCAATTGCGTGTACTCGTCGACCGCGGCACGTACTCACGTCTAATGACATCGCGACCCCCTTCTTCGCAGCTGTAGCCGTCGTGTACCTCGTACGCGCGGGCGCGTTCTTCCGACGACCAGGTGTCTTAAGTAGTTCCGGACCGACCTGCTCAAGTCAGTAATCGGCTGACAAATCCTTTTCACCACTTACTCCGTCCTCGGACCCTTCAACACGTTCTCCATGTAATCATCCAAGAAATCGAACGTATTCTGAATCTGGTCGTGCAACAGCTGTCGTCCGGGATCCTTGGCTATGGCAAGGCGAATACTGTCGGCCCATCGAAGAACGCCCGCGCCGCCTGGAGTTGATCTGTCCATTCTCTTCGTCTGTTCGGGCTGTCCTAGCCTATGTTTTGGAGGGAGAGCTGGGGGAGAGCTGAGAGAACGAAGGCGCGCGACCGCGAGTCGAGATTTGGAACATTACCACGTGACCGCAACGAACCCCGCCACTGTATCGGGCCGGGATCTCGGCCACCCCAAGTATTGAAATATTGAACGCTCAGGTCGCCTCGCACTCCCTTTTTTTCTGCGTGCACTGTTCCTCTTTATCGACAAGTGGTCGGTCATTTTCCGGATAAGTACTACAACGATTTCATAACAGTCGGCGGTGCAGCACTTCGTGATCAACAAATGTACCGTCCACGCTGACGGAGCAAGAAGATGGCGAATGCTCCTTGTGTCCTCAGTCCGCTACGTCCGGGGAAGCGTCCCAGTCACCCCTTCGGCCACCATCTGAAGGCGCATGGACACTCTCGACACAGGTCTCTTCAGTTGCGTGGAGCCCCGTCAGCGTGAATCTCTACGATGCGGAGATCAGTCAGGGAGACGGTGCGTTCATTCCATAGTTATTCCCAGATGCCACCGTAACGCGAGGTCGTGGGCCACAGCTGACTCTCGATCGTGTTTGAGCACTGCCCGACTTCTAGCGTCGTACCCAAATATACCTGGTACGCACTGCATTCATTCAGGCTCGCCGCACGCAGGAGAGCGTTCCGTCGGACGTGTCCCTGTGGGCCATCTAGCCCAAGGAATTCCCAGGTATGGCGCGCGCTGTCGTTCGTCGTCGGTCAGCTGGACGTAGCGTCAAGCGTACGCCGGCCTTCGAGAGCAGCTCAGCCCGCAATGCCTACCCCACGCCGCAGCATCTCAGTGGTTCGCCACTCTCGCAGACGTCATCCGACTGCTGGAGCATCGACATACGCCCTCTCGCCCATGCTCATACGACCGCACCGCCTGCTGCGCTTGGCAGTGGTCACCCCAGCCTGGCGAGGGATTCGGGTTCACCGCAGGCGCCGCTCTTCTAGCGCGACGCCACGATGCCGTCAGGTGGTGCGGTCGGGTAGAGGGTGACCCTCCGTTCTCACCGACGCTCATCTCCCGCGGCTCTCTGTGGGACGGCAGCGCCTCGCGAGCTGCTGGGGGCGGTGAAACGCTGCATAAGGTAGCTGGTTTACCTGAGATCGAAGCGATATGAAGGGGTGAGGCGCTCGAGTGTTGATGCGAGGAGTGGGTTCGCGCTCTCCACACGGGCGATCGGTCTGGGGTGTAGACGCGTTCCGCAATCCATGTGGCGGGGAGATACTGCGGAAGGTGCAGTGATACCTGATATGGTCTAATGTGCGAACAGCGATTGGTGCGTCGAGCAGGGGAATATACATCGATGCCCTGTCTAGCTACTTCCTAGTCTTTGAAGGCGAGTAAACAGCCTCAAGGACGCGTTCCACGAGAGAGCATGCACACGAAGGGGCACACGGTCGTAAGTGAGTGCCATGCTGAAGGATTCCTGTACGTCATTCCGAGGGTGCGCGGCTCCCGATTCACAGGATGTACGCTCGCATGTCCATCAAGCATGGCAGCCGGCGGACTGACTACGTATGACATACGTACAGTCCTAGCTTCGTGGACTTTGTTATCGTGCCCTGCTTACTGAACTCATTCGCTGGTAAGATTGAGTTACACGTGTACACGTTTCGGGTCACTGAAGGTTACACACTATAGATGCTGCACCCTCATCCATGTGAGAAAGAGATCAATTCAGTGCCTCTTCGTCGTATTGGCCCCACTCGGTCACTGCCCTGCAATGCCAGTGACATTCGCGACACTCAAGTTCGCGTTCGACATCTACATTTGAAAGATGAGTCTGACAAAGTTTCACCTAGTGGATAGTCATTATATCGATCCGAACTTCGAGTTCAGTGACGTTGACTCAGGTTTGACTCCTACAAATGCCGCAGGAAGGTTTCTCGTGTGACCTTTACCTCTTCTTACTGTGCCGGGCAGCCACAGGCCGATCACATCATATCCTCTGCATCCACTTGGCAGTTGCACGCAAGCCTACGTTGAATGAGACTGCATCAAACGATCCATAACGCCACGGTACCTCGTCTACCATACGGCCCTCGAGATTGTCCGCCACTACTTGCTTAAATTCCCACAGGTTCAGCTGCGATTAATCATAGGGCTCAGCCCTGCAGAGGACTCTAATAATCACGGAGACGAAAAAAGCTTTGCCCTCTGCTGTTGGATCAGGGACACTTCAAAGCATGTGGTGCGTATTTAATATCTGTATGGAATTGTCCCGGCTTAACGCAACTCTCCCGGCGTACAAATTCCAGCGAACTCAAATCCAAAGGTAGCACTGAGGCCTGAGGACGGACATGCTTGTTCGGGTTCTAGGTCTGCCTTCCCTGGGAGGCCGCCCTCTGATCTAGCTTAGTCCAGATGATAGTCGGTCTTCAAGTTCAGAGTTTCTTATGATCGACCGCAGTCTCCAGCCCAGTCTGAAGTGACAAATATTGACTATCGTACAGAGGCCGACTACGGACTGCGCCGAAGAAGCAGCTTGTACACGATATGCTGTGAAGCTTGTGAAGGCCCGCGATGCGAGACGGGTACCCGCCGGGACTCGGCACGTCGCAACGCTCGTATGGTGTCAGCGCAATGATCATAGCATCTCTATCCGAGAACCGAAATGCGAGAATCACTCACCGGCTCGAACGTTGCAACCTGCGGCACCTCCGACTCGGGTCCCTGCCATGTTTATGAAGGCCTGACATAGAGTTTCGAAACTTGCTATCTTCATAGTCTGCATGTGGCCAGCTTTGCTCATCCATCGACATCGCTGCCTTCTCGTGTTCATTTCCGAGTCAGCCTTATGAGGTCCTCACGGAACTGATTGAGCATGTGCCATGCCGATCTCGCCGGTGACACCCTCAACTCTGTTTTGTGTCTCGTGTGGTCTTTGCTTCCCCACAGAGCCTGATACTCCAGGGTAGGTCCGCATTCTCTCACTATTGTAAGCTCGCTCGTAGCGGAGGTGCTATAGCGTGCGCGCCAAATTCATAAAATTGGTTCCGTTGGTTCCGTTGGTTCGCGTGGCATTGGCTCCGGGACCTGCCTAAAAAGGCAAAGGGAGCAAAAGTTAAACGAGGAGTGAAGCAGGTGGCGGCCTTGAGGCAGACCGTCACCATCTCGTCTTCTCCCAGCGCGGGGCGGAGCAGCTACATATACCCTCCTCTCCTCCTGCGTCTATGTCAATCTCCCCGACAATCTCAGCCAGCTCCTGCCTTTCTGATCGCGACCCCCGCTTCCGCTTTCACTGCTTTGCGCAGGCACACCGTTGCTTATATACCTCTCATCTGCCCTTGACCTCGCCTCACGAACACCAGCCATGACTGAGTACGACTACTCGCCCGAGGCCTACGAACGGTACCATGCCAAAATGTCCAAGATCTCCGACTGGGCACAGAGCATACCTACCCATTCACGCCTCGCCGACCCTTTCAGGGCTTCATGCATGCCCCCTCACACGTAGCGAGTGTCGTCTCCAGCGTTGGACCGTCGCCATCCGTTCGCGGGAAGCAGTCACCCAGCTGCGACCGCTCCACATCCCAGACACTCGCGCCAGGCGGGAGTCGCCATCACGGACCTCACCGCACCCGTCCTCACACCGGCGTGGCCATACACTACCAGCACCACCGCCACCAGTGCCATTAGGAATCCCGCCATCCGTGGACTACCGCCAGTACATCCAGCAGCAACCACAAGCACAGCGGCCACGTCCACACCCTCCCCGTTCGTCGACGGCGCCGCCGCCGAATCCACCCGTGCCCTTCCCGCGGGCGCGGGCCCATCCCGGCAGCACGCGCGTGCCACGTACCCGATGGACCGCACACACCTGGCGCAGGCAGGGTACGCTCCAGGCAGCACCTATCGCCTTGCGTATGAACCTGGCCGCGAGTACGTCCTGCCTACACGGCCCGGTCAGTCATATGTGATCGTCCCGCCTAATGGGGGACGTGTACAGGTTGTGGTGAGTCCTTCCTATTCTGTCTGCTACTAGAGCTGATCTTGGTCTCCGGCAGCACGATCCGACCACACAGGTCACATACACGAAGGGCTCCCGGGGTACTGGCAGTTCCAGCAGCTCACGCAGCCCGACCAAGAAGCCGCTCCTCAAGAGGTTTCTGGCCTCCATCAGCCCCACCGGCACGGCCAACAGGGGCCCACCAAGGAGCGGCCAGCCGCCTCGTCGACTAAGACGGCATTCCACATCGCATTTCTGAGTCTCGGCCGCTGGCGGCCTTTCCTCCTCTTCACTTATTCTGTCCCATCTCCGGCTGCCGTCCGCACGACGCCGCCGCAAAATGCGCGCCACGGCTGGCGTGCAGGGATCTCCCCTCTTCTACTGGCATCCTATGGTACATACGCCTTCGCTCCGGTCATTCTCCACGGACGCCTCTGTAGATATCATCTTCACAGTCTCCCCGCAGCCTATTCTCTGGATGGCCCCGCTCAGTACATACCACTAGTAGATACCTTAACGAGTAACGTAGAGCACGAAATGTCACGACCCTTCGAGAAGCGGGCGCTAGGCCCGCACCACGATCTACATTACATTCACTGGTCTTCCGCTCCGTCCATCACACGCGGTTCGAGAACGATGGATTGCAGTGATAGGCTTGTGCGGACGAGACGACGCTGCTTGGAGTGATCAGGCCATCGAGGGTCCGGGGCCAGTTCAGGGCTCCAATTCGGGGGTGGGAGAGATACCGAGCCTGACGGTGGGGGTGCGAGCGGGCTCTGCAGTCTGGGGTGCACGCCGGTGCAACGAGGCTGACGATACACAGTGCATGGGCGCGCAGGGTTCGTAGATCGTGGATAAGGATGCGGAGGGTGTGTTTCAGTTCGAGGTTCTGAGCTCGCAGACGGTTTGTGTGCGGGCTGGAAGGCTGGTGATACTAAACCAGAACGAATCGAGCGCGATGAATGATTTTCGCGTGCTACGGACGACCGAGCTGACTATCATATTGCTCATGACGGTGTGAGTAGACCGTCAAGCCAATGGCCACCACTGCAATTACGAGTACATGCTCGACGTGGCCGTGTCGGCGCGAATGAACTCGCCTGGATCTGCTACAGGCAACACGCGCGGACGATCTGCGACGCAGAGCCAGCGGACAACGGTCGTTGTTTTTGAAGACAATGTTTCAGGGCATCTTCACTGACTTCAGCCTCGTACTAGCGCGGCTCAGACTCGGTCGTCCGTAGCACGCGACAGTCCTCACGGCGCACCGCGAACACCTCCTGACATCTGCGCACGCCGACGCCGCGCTGCAACTCACACTTCTACGGCCCAATGGACCTGCTCCTCGTCCCAGAGCTTCAGAGACGTCCAGCTGACCACAGGGACTTTGAGCGGCGCCGCTCGGGACAGGTGCGATCAGCCTTACACGCCCATATGTGCGACACACTGCAGACATCGAAGGGTGTCGCGCCGCACGTACGTGTGTCTCCGGGCGAGCGCAGACACGACATCGGACGGGCGGCGAGCGCGTCTAGGGTCAGCTGCCCGTGCGGTGAGTCACAGTTACGGCAGGTCGAGCATGGGGAGGCACTGGCCACGGGGCAGACGCACCGGGAAACTGACGGTACTGCCGTTGGGAGCTCCTGGGCGCTCGGGGAAGCTGTTGGAATGTGGTGGGTCCACTCACGAACCACGACGGCCAGGGACCGTCGAAGCCTTCGTGGGGCGGTTCTGTGTCAGGTTGAGATGCAATAGCACGTACATACCTCCGCAGGAATTGTAGGATTTCGTGATGTTCTACGTCTCGGGAATATGCATTCGTCGAACCTCCGCATATTGGGTACCGGTGTTCTCGTTCTGGCGGTGAACGCAATACATCGGCATCTGTGTGATTACTTGAAGGTTATAGGGACCATGGCGCTACAGATGGCGTCTCCTCTAGCGAAGCCACGGATACCGGAGCGCATAGAGAGCAATATTGCATGTTACAGATATGACAGCGGCCCTGGTGAGGATGGCGGCCTGCGTAATAGCGCCCGAACATGTGTCGGTCACCGTGAGCTGCGAAGGTGTGGCGAAGGGACGGGCTTTGCGAGTCCTTGGACACAGCCATGAGGTAGCTTCGTCATCGCACTTCGAGCCCATAGTCTGTCTCTCACATAGGAAGGTCAGGCGGGCCCCGCAGAACGGCTACGGGAACAGTCAGACAGACAGAACAGAATAGAAAACAACAGCAGCCATACACGACTGCAGTGCGAGGCACTCCTTCATATTTCCATCTTGGCATCGTCGCTATCTTCGGCATAGGAAGCGTTTTCCTCCATCACCTCCGGTTCTGCCTTTGTCTTCCGCACGGTGGTGGCATGTGAAGCGTCCATCGTGCCTACGCTCTCCTTCAGTGTCTTCCACACCTCTCGCGCCCCGCCCTCCGCAAGCTCGCGAGCGCGCTTGAGCTCGGCTTCGTCGAACGGCGTGTTGGTGGTGTAGTTCGTCCAGAGCAAGGAACCTGATGGTGCATCCCGCGTGCCTGAAGGCAGAACGGCAGAGAACAGGAACGCGAAACAGCCTCCGCCCGAGAGGCGAGAGATCTCTGCTTCGGAGGGGTCAAGTACTAGCTCCAATCCAGACTCCGATGGTATGCGTCCTACAGCGACCGCGCAGACAACACCACGCATTGGGACAGAGCTTGCGTTGACCAGCGCGGCGCTACTCGCGTTCACCACGCTCGCGACAAGACTCGCGTTCCAGCCGCGCCCGACGCTCCCCATCCCGCTGCCACTACCGGTTCCGCAAAGCGCCTGGCCGACAATCTGCACGAGCGTCCGAGGGTGATGCGAGAGTAGGAGTGCAGGGGAGAGTATCCCTTTCAGTGTTGTGGACAGTGCTTTGGAGTCCGTCCCAGAGATCGAGGCCAGCGGGCGGATGTGGATGTCCAGTGTCGCCTGCGAGGGCAGCTCGAGGTTGGCGCGAACCTCAATCGGTCCTGATACTGAGGCGAGCGATTTTGTCTCGCCTTGTAAGACATGTAGGTGAGTTGTTACTGCATTAGAGTGCGAACTCCATGGACGCACCGAAGCCGAATTTTGCTGCCCCGTCCACCCTGTCTAGCCGCTCATATACTATGCTGAGCTCCCTCAAATCGGTTGGCTTCCGCCCATCCGTCCTGGCCATCGAGCCCAGAGAATGAAGTCGTTGGATGCGATCTGCTCAAAAACGTAGCAGAGTGAAGGCAAGAAGAGTACAGCTCTGAGGTAGGCTAAGTGCAAGATTGCGGCTTTGCCAGTGATAAATTGATTCTTGTGGCAAGACGCGACGCGTGTCTGACACGCTACACGTGATCGGCGCCCTGCCACTGTGCCAGTGCGGACCGGGTTTCGGTGCTCTGCCATCGTCGCCGACGACGGCGACGAGGTGTTTGTTTTGCTCACGATTGCTGGCTCTATGTTGCCTGGAACAATATTCTCCATCTACTCTCATCCGCAATCCAGGTCACAGCAACGCAGCCTCAGTGAGCAAGCACTATTTTCAATGTGCACATGCACGCGCGCACGTCAGCGTGAGTACTAGTCTCCATTCTCCAGTGGTAAAATGGACCACCGTACTGGACAGAATGGACAATCTTTATTGTCTAAGTATATATATGCGTCAAGTTTAGTCCATGGGCACTCGTTGCGGCCTAATCTTTTGCCTGGTTTCAGCTGCTAGTTCCTCAGGCAGTGTGGATGGTCCGCACTAGTACTACGGCTGAACTGCCCTCCGCCCTGCGCTCGTATATATGCGCCCTCTGTGCAAGGCTACTGGACATCACAACCTCTGCTGTGCTGTGCTCCACATGTGTGTTGGAAGAGCAGATGCTGTCGGGGGCGTTGTCGAATAAGCGTATTGCAACCATTATCGCTCCTCATGTTGCGTGAGTCCCCTATATAACTGCGTGACATCTCGCTAACCCGTGTCATGCGTTCAGCACCTCGGTTGCGATCATCCCTACGTTGTACGACGCCATGACATTTCCAATGCTCATCGGTGGAATCCAAAACCATTCGTGCTAAGTCGGCGACAATCTCAGTTCATAGGACTCTTCATATCGCTCTCTGAATCAATGTGAGCAGCTGTATGCGCTCTATTTCGTATTTCTCCCAATAGCTTTAACCTGAGACAGGAAGTCGTACGGAGCTGTAGTTATCTCACGTACCTCACACGCCCCGTCTATCAAGGTTCGGCATCCCCACCGTCGGTCGTCCCTTACTCAGTTTGTAGCTCTGTACTGAACATTTGAAACACTGCAGTGTCTCACTTGCCTTGTACTAGTGACACGGGCCGCAGATGGTGCAACATTCACTCTCGCCATCTGTCATGCGGCGGTGCTGCCTCGACGCGTGGGCCACACGGCAAGCTTCTTGCTCGTACGCGCCGGACGAATGTGACGGTCATCCGCAGTCACAGAGACTCCTCGGTGCGTCGTATGCATGCCTGTCCGGCTCTCTACATTCACAGAGGCCTGTATTCATCTCTGCGACATGGTTCAGTCAACTCGCAAGTTACTGTACGCTGCGAGCAGCAAGTATCGAACGCTGTGCCTGTCACAGAGTACACCGTCTCTTCACTTACATCGATGACTCTGTTGACGTCTACTCAAGTGATAGCAGCGCCTCGTTCCTGCCTCGTTGTAAGTGAGTTACAGTTTAGCGCTGACACTATATATCAGCTCGCGCTGCGCTGACCTCTTTCATCCTCTTGCCAGCTCGCTGTCCACCCACGTATGCGACCAAAGGGCGTGCTCCCTGGACTGCGACCGCTGCGCTCAGCGAAATCGCGGACGCACGGTCGGGAGCGCATCAGTCACCATCACCGCCGCCCGACTTTTACGTCATTGGCCGCCGTGGGTAGTCCTTCTCAAGCCTTCTGCCCTACTTTGGACCCTTCACGTCGGCAAATACTCAGTACTCAGTGGCTTGCCCCTGCGCCCGTTCAAGTTTTTAGAGGATCCATCTGAAGACGCTTGAACATGCGTGAAACGACTGGTGAGTGATTTTTTCAGGTATGTGGCATCGTGAGGCCACAATCCGACAATTGTGGTTCAGTGTAAGCAGGAAGAAGGCGCGCTCACTGTGCCTCGTGTATCAAGTGCGCCCACAGACTGCCTCGTGTGTGGCCTCACCCCGGCCTCATGCAGATGCCGTCGGTGCGCCCGCCGTGATGCGACCGCTTCCCAGACCACCCTTGTTCTCATTCTGCCTATATATCTGGCTGCTGAGTCTAACACACCCCGTTTCTTCTTCGCCGCAGGTCTACACTGTTGCTCGTCGTTTGCTGCTGCGCTGACTGTGCTCCTACAATTCAACCCCATCTCCTATCACATCGGTTATTGCAAGCGAACTTTGGAATGTAGGTGTGAGGGCTTTGCTAAATCACTGGACTAGGATCTTGCGGACTGCTTCCGTTGTCATAAGCACGCCTATATACAGCGACCAATATGCGAACCCTCCTGTGTTCGTACTCGCCAGTCGGCTTGGTTGGACGCATTTCTTATGGTGAGTTATGAGCCATGTAACCATCTTAGTACTGACATCAACGTCTTCGTCACGCTGGTTCCAGTGTGCACAGCACCCTAGCCCAAACGGCATCTATGCGCCGTTACACTTCCTCTTCTTGCTCACTTCCCCGCTCACATGTGGATTCTCTGCGCGACGGCGACGTCTCTTCTTTCCACTGCGCTTCTCCGGCTCTTCTGTGTTTCAGCTATCGGTGCATGTAGACCCACTGGTGGGCGCCCATGCTGAGCGATTCGCTATTCTTGCGGTTGCAGTGGATCTCTGCCCTGAAGATCAGTCTTCTCCTGCTACACCTGCAGCTGCTAGTGCCGCCATCGAAATCAGCCTGTCTCGAAGATGACGCCGAACCGATTCTCGCCGACGGCAGCCCGACTGGCGAACCGTTGTGCACGCGCTCCCGACAGATTCATATGACGCCGTCCCAACGCCGTCCTACCGGTTATTCGAGCATTTCGCCTAGGTACCCGTCTGCGATCCGGGCGGCTAGGCTCGCGGATATCGACCCTGCAATCACGCTTGCAGCGCTGAACGTAAGCTCGTAGATGGCTGATCGAACGCTGAAATTAGGATCCGTTTGTGGCGTTTATGCATGAGAGCTTGGTGTCCAGAGACACACTGTCGTGCACCTCCCGCGGAAACTACAAGGCGCCCCACATGATTCGAGATGCCGCGCAGCCAACCCGGGCCCTGTCGCTGCTCTTCGCTGATGATGTTCAGTGTCATGGGGTGCGTACTCGACTATCCTCCGTCCCATCGGTTGCTGACGTAAAACTCAACTCTACGTTGTACTGGCTCGCCCGTTCGCACCAGGGTCCGCAAACAGAAATCGCCCGCCCGGTTGACCGCGCGTAACAGCTCCCCAGCGCTCTCCTTCGAATACAAGGTTATCGGCACACGGCGCTCGGCGGGCGATATGCTGGCATGGTGCATATGGGCACAGCGGAGATAGGTTCGTGTCCCTCACGCGAAGCATTCGCATTGCCTTCAATCAGAATAATGACGGTATAATTCCATCCGCTCCAGGGAAAGTCTATGGTACAAAATAACGTCGTAGCGCGGAAATAACCTTGGTGTGCATTCGTGCACAGAGTCCGGTGAGAGTGATATCCTAGTCCCTGGCCAGACGCCTTCCAGGCGTCACCTTAGTGATACAGTGCAGTGGTTTTCAGCCTAGTTAGTGATACAGTATGGGCCTACGCTCATCCTCGCCAGGGACAAGCAGTGGGGAATAATAGGACAACAGACGACGAGACGAGGATAGAAACGAAGACGAAACGAATGTGCAGTGGTGGGTGCAGCGCAGGACTTCATTGATGGTGGACAGGATAGGAATGCGGGACGGCGAAGAGGTGCTCCTGGTGGTATACCGCATCCGGGATATCCGCGTATTTCTGATAGACCGCGCTGTGGTCGGCCGCAGGAGCGTACATCGGCGCATAGTAGTAACCCTCCGTAGGTTGGATCCACTGCTCCTGGACGGCATCGTTTTGGAACATCTCAACCGGCAGACCTTGCAGCTCGTCGAGCTGGCCCGCGACTGCGACTTGCCCGCCGTAGTACGTCGGTTCGGCGGGCATGTACTCGGACGGGTAAGGGCTGGGGGTGCAGGGAGAACTCGACATCGGCGTCGAGGAAGGTCCAGCCCAGTCGCCTGCGACGTTCGTGTCGATGCGCAGGCCGTCGGAAGGGTGGAAGTCGAGCTGCTGCATCGTATACGCAACCTGTGGCTGCGGCGCGAAGATATCGAGCTGCTGTTCCGCGTACGCCGGACTCGACAACGGGTCGCAGGAATCGACCGGCGATGGCGCAGCGCAAGCGTTAAAGGAAAATGATTCGAAGCCCTGACAAGACTTTCAGTCACTCGATCCAACGAAGAACAGGTTAGCACTCACCATGTCGGGGTTTGGTGCGGGCATCGCATACTCGTGTGAGGTTTCCGCGAAAGGAGAGGAAGGTGCGCTGTATTCGCTCATAGACTCGTATCGCCCATCAGGGAAGGCGTGACGAAGCCCGGCGTGCTGGGCATCGACGAGCTGTAGCCCGAGAAGGGGTCGGGCTGCGAACTGACCGCGCGGAGCTTGTTCGCAGGTGGCGGAACCGAATGGAGGAAGGGCGAGTGGGACGTTCGTCGGCAGGGGCGGACGACGATCGCCGGAAGTGGCGCGCCGTGACCGGGGCATCGAATCGTGTGACGATCTCGGGGACGTGGTTGCAATCGAACTCGTTGACAGCCTCGTCAAGCTCCGCGCCCTTCTTCCCCTTCACCAGCAGCTCGGCGATCTTCTCGCATCGCTTCGTATCCTTTGGGCCCACCTCCCGCACCTTTCTCTTCGTCCTCGGGTACGGCGTGCTATGCTTTGACGACGGTCGGAAGGAGTACCCAGGATACTTCTGCTTGTGTGCCTCGAGCAGCGCCTTGGCCTTGTCGAACCAGATCTGCTTCTCGGCGGGCGGAAGCATGTTCCAGGTATACCCGATGATCGTGGAAGGGTGCTGTGGTTCGACTCGACACTCGCGGAGACGTGATCACTTTTGACGAACGACGATCGGAAGAGAATGAACGCGTTGGGCGGGCGAGGGACGTGATCCTCCGGCTTCTTCCTCGAATGGGTAACTTTACGAGGTGGCACATCGCAGGAGGGGAAGAGCGATGAATCGAAGACCGATTCGAAGGAAGGCTGCGGATCGTTGTACGACCCAGGGGTGATATTCGGAGCGAAGGCGAACGGGGCAGAGCAAGACGCGTCGAAGGATATTGTGGTTGTGGTAGATGCGGCACCTGGTGAGTGACATCAAGTCAAAACCTTGTGTGGCTGCGACGCGTTGTGGCTTTATCTCACCTGACTTGGCACGCTTTGCAGTCGCTGCGCGTGGCATGGTGTCGCGACGAGCAGAAGTGACTACACCAGGTGAGATAGAAGAGGCCGGGATGACTCCAGGAGCGGGGATTGATGCGCAAGGCGGGAGGGAGGTGTCGCAAACGGAACAGGTGGGAGATTACATACGAGTCTTATACAAAGGGCGGGCGAGAGAGGGTGCGAAATGAGGACAAACTCCGATTGCTCTAGAGTTCTGGACGGCATGTTCGCCTACTGGATGCAGTAAGTTCCCATACTCTCGCTTACAGCAAGGCCCGAAGGTCGTGATAACACGTATCGAGTACCAAAGTTCCGACACAACGGATGCGCCCCTTTTAATTACGCGTACAAAATGATCAATTCCCATCTCGTCGTACGGCTTGCCTGCGGAATAATGTCGTCCCAGGCCTCGTGCAATTCGCTGCTTCGCCTATATCGCGAAGATGCACACACCTCTGCCGCTTTCGATGAGTCGAGGAGCGGAAGAGAGAGTGGCAGTTCATGGTCATTGAGCCATGCGACCAGTAGGAGTCTGGCGTGGCTGCAAGCGCCACGTGCGTACGGAAGCATCCGAACTGATCTGGCCAGATCCCCGATTGCGATGTGATTTGCATCCGATATGGCAGCCCTTGTCCGAGACGCCGAGCCTCAGTCCGCTCAGAGCCTCTCAGGCCTCCCGCTCTGCGCCAGTCCTTTCGAGCACGCGATGTGACAGTGGAACCACTAGGTGAACAAGCTTGTACTGACATCAATGATTAGGGGCGGCCAATACACAGGCATCAAGGTACTGACAGGCGCAAGCGCCACCGCCGGGCGGCACATTGCGACGGACCAGCTAGATGTGCGCAATTTAATTGGCACTCGCTGGATGCCAGACAAGGACTACTCGACTCGGTTTAGTCCAGGAGACTAGGCTTCGGAGGGTCGTCATGGCTCAGTGACCTCTTCGACGCCGTCAGAGATCGTCCTGATTGTAATGGAGACTAGCCAGGATCTGAAGATCTGCTTCCGCATGCAAGAGCGATCCATGGCTCGGAAGCTCTTATGCGAACTACAGAACATAGACAGTCGGTACGCACTTTCATTGCTACATGGAAAACCTGCTCTATAGCCGTTGACGCAGCGGCTCACGTCAACTAATGGAACTTCGAGTGATGCCAAAGAAGAACCGATGGTCAGTAGCATGATATGGACGTCAACGGGGCGTCTGCGCACGGTCCAGCACCCTTTTTCCGCGGAGCATCGCCCTTCGTGCTGGATTCGCGAAGTCGTCCCACCGTTCATCCGCAGCAGGCAGACAGCACCACCCGTAATGTGCCCGGTTGCCAGCTGAAGGCTCTGAATACAAGGATACCTGACAAGAACAACGCTTCTCCACGATTATTCGACGAATCAGCACTCTTACAGCTGTTATCAGTAAGCCCCGGATTACTGTCCCGATAAGCCCTGATCATCGTCGTCCTTGTCAGAAAGCACAGAGTAGTATTGATAAAGAATACTACTAACTTGTGATGAGGTAGAATGATCACGGTTTTCGTCGTCCGTACCACCGATCCTACATAGATGCGTCAGCTTCTGGAGGAGCAGCTCATGTGAGCGCAACCGCCCAGGGCCCAGCACCCGCGTGATGTGCCTTGAGATAACATGTGGGGTGCGGGCATAATAATTCGCTCTGCCGTCATAGGCATTGGGTAAGAAGCCTCAGTTAACGTGAATGACCTCCACCTGCAACCTCAGGAAGGCTATTGACCAAGCCAATTGGTAGCGGTCGGTCATGCGTTGGACAGCACCGGCTTGAAACTGAAGACCCCCACTTTGCCCCGCAATTACCGCGCAATTCTCCGTGTCCCGATGCCGCTAGTCTCCCTTGGGGCGTGGCGCCCGTAGGGAGATGCACCGCGATAGAACCTCTATCAGACTGGTGGCGGTGGCAAGAGATTTACCATCGCCGCGCCTCGGCCTCGACGGAATGGGTGTCTAAAGTCTATCCTGTCAGCGCAAGAAACATCGCGACACCGCCAACGAGACTGGGTGAGGGCCGCCGCGCACGTAGCCACCACCCGGGCAACGTGGCTCGCACACGTGTAGGGCCTCGAGGCAGGCTCCCGGCCAGCCATTGCCAAAAAATGAGACATTAATGTTGTCCTCTCCGTCTACACACTCGCCGACGAATTGATCGCGAAGTCGCGGAATGGAGGGAGATGGCACCTCGGGTTACAGGCGGTCCGGCGCCCTGAGGCTCAGGTCGGGGGGACTGGTGTCTCGACCCTGGCGGCTTGACCGTCCGCCCCGCCCTGCCGTGGCGATGCGTGCCGCACGGCGCATAGGCATTTATGCGCTACGGAGCTGTTGTATGAAATTGGCGCGTGCGTAGCTCGGGTGAGCACAAGGCTTGCATCACCGCGCAACCGAGCCCGAAATCCAGTAGACCCACTATCAGCACGGGCTAGTTGCCCGCTGCCACGTAGGACAGTTGCGCAAGGTACTCCGCAGCGAAGAGCCCCATGGCGGGCCGCTAGCGTCAGCGATTGCGCCGCCGATGTTCTGTTCTTGCCAGCGCACGAATGCGACCGAGTCTACCGTGACGAAGTGACCCTGGATTTCCTGTGCCAGTAGCATCTGACACGCACCCCTGGTTCTGTCAGAAACTTGCGCAATGAGTCTAGAGCAAGCGACCTACCGACGCACTACGGCGACCAAGTCCCCGCCTCCGCCCCGGCGAGAGACAAGGTCGCCCCTTCCAAGCATGCAGGAATGATACGACTTTGCCGACTGATTCGAAGTATTCAGCCCTGTATCACCTATGTAGCGGTTGGACTAACTGAGACAGGTCAGACCACACACATACCAGGTCAACGCGTTACTGCGAGCGTAACCAGCAAGAAACAATGTCGTCGCGCCAGCGGGGCGCTCATCCAACTGGGTAACGCGTCGGCGCCACCGAATCACTGTTGATCCGCTCATGGTCTGTTTCAACTGAAGGACACAAGGAGAGCCCATGAAGGGAAGAGTCAGCATGGAATAACGTGTCTGGAAGGGGCCGTACAATACATAGTTGATCCTCGACCACCGCATCGTTATATTCAATTGGATGCTGCACCAGGCTCAGGCTGTCATGCCGTGACTGAAGCCTAGTAGCGGGAAACGCCTAGAATCCAATTGAGATGCTCATGTTATCGCTGTCAATGAGGAAGGACGCTGCAGAAGTCAGGTCAGTCGAGCTGTTTCTGACCCTCTGGAAAGGTATCTGCATGGCAGTTCAACAGTGCGAAGCCATAGTATGATGCGGCGCCACACCCGCGAAGGTCGGCAGAAGCGCGCAATCGCCACCAACTCAGTACTCAGGGTCTGCGTGTGATCCGGCATGCTCGCGGAGACGGAGCCGCTGCAAAGCCGCTCAGCCAGTGCAAAACAAATTCCGTCGCCGTATTTGACGAGATATGCGTTGCAATGTGAAAGGGACTCGGAGGCGGGGCAGGGCCGCAGGGTACATGACAGGGCGACGGCGCAATCCGTGTCCAATATTGCCGTAACGCAATCCTTTACAGGTCCTTGTGAACTCGAACGGCGACTACACGGGCGCCGCAATCAATTTAACGCTCCCAGAATACAGAACAGCATGATAGCGTCTAGCATTGGTGAGGATACTCCGAGAAGGCGGTGCCATAGTAACATCACGAGAAGGGACGCGAGACCGTGGTGGCGTCAGGGAGGACCGGCGGGCACTCTCACTAACTTCTTCGGTCATGGCAAAAACCCGGTCTTCTTCCAGTACCTTACCCACGCCCTGGCATCATGCGCGCTGAGAGGAGGTAGCCCCGCAAGTGTCTTGCTGACGCTGCACGCCTTGCTCGTCTCAAACAACGGAAGACCGCCAGCTTCACAGTCATCAGTTCCAGCTCTCTGTGCTTCCGCTTCTGCGCTGACGAGCGCGCGGTAGTATTCGAGCAATTTGACACCGGGCTGACAGGGGAATATCAGCATGCAAGACGCCAGTCTGAGAGAAGCGAACCCACTATCTTCTCCAGATCCGACGCGGAGGCGTTGTCCGCGACAGCTTCCAATCTTTTCACCCACTCATCAAAAGGGACGAATGGAAGCGTCACACCGAGCTCAGCCTGCATCGCGCCGAACACATCCGACCATTTGGCAGGTCGCGGATGAACGACGTTGATCAGTTCGGGTGCCTCCCGCCCAAGTACGACATCGACGACCGCGCGCGCGACAGCGTCCATCGGTACCCATGATACGCCTGTCAAAGAAGCAGTCATTACCCAACCGTTGTCAGCGCGGTGATGACCACTGTCATGGACGCACACTTCCTGAATTGGGCAAAGCACCTAGGGCGAGACTCGACTTGACGATGTTCGGTACCCATTCTGAAGCGTTCCACGCGCCGGTCTGGGATGCGCCAGAGATCTGTCCGATACGTAACGTTGTTGTCTTTAACCCTCTCTGACGCGCGCCCGCCAGAACCTGGGACACAATGTCATTTGAGCGGTGATAAGAAAGAGTTGTCCTAACGCACCTCTTCCACAACGTATTTGGACATGCCATAGCCAGATGTTACAGCTGCGACGCTGGGGTCATGCAGAGCGGTCTCCGGCACATGTGCGCCATGGTTGGCGGCTTTGACGTTCCAGCCACCGGCGACGGACACGGAAGACGTGAACAAATAGTGCGCTGTAGGCGCCATGGTCAACAGGCGGATCGCACCGGCTATTTGGGTCTCGAAGGACGTCAACGCGAGGTTGAAGTCAACCCGCCAGGCACTATGTACGATGTGTGTGACCGACTGACGGACCTAGCAGTGCGTAAGTCTGATAGCCCGCAGATATGAATGAGTCGTATGCTTACTTCGTTGACGATGTCCTGCGGTAATCCCAAGCCATCCTGTGTGTAGTCGACAGAGAGCAGCACCAGTTTCGGCTGGTCCAGCGACTCTACCGGCAGTTGCGCACCATCGAAAGCCGCCCTCTGACGATGTAGAAGATCACTTCCGCGATTCAGCGCATATACGCGCTTCGTTCTCTCTCCTTCAGTAGCAACGCCAGCACATGCGCCCCAAGGTTCCCCGTCGTCCCTGTGAGAAGTACCACACGCTCGACGTCATGGACATGTTCGGCTCCGGCGCATGTGCCGGCAGCACTGCGGTGTATTTCTTGATCATCGCCTCAATTCCTCAGAGGGCGAATGCACTGTGGAATCATCGGACCGCACCAGCCCAGAGACCGCCTTTGCTAGCGACGCGAGTGTGGGATGTTGAAAGACGAAGTTCTGCGGTACGTGTTGCGCAGCTGCATTCACTGCGCTGTCGGACGATGCACGCAGCGCGCCGATGATGCGGTTCCGGAGGAAAGTTGCGCTGAGACTATCGTTCACGTCAAATGTCGTCAGCATCTATCACAGAAAGACAGCAGAGGAGACGTACCTATCGAACCTTGTTCGAACAAGTCCCTGTCAGGATCAGCCGTTTCTTCCGCATGAATACTCGCAGCATGTTGCGCCAGCCACTTCTGCACATCCTGTGCCTCCCATGATTGCGGCGGCGCGACCTCATGGGCGTTTGCACTCTCCTCGACCGTCTGTACCTACGCCCACGATCAGCCCCCTCCGTCTGTACAGGCTCCGGATCGCGGATTTAGCTACTCACAGGTCTTCAATATCCTGAGCATACAGCTCGAGCGCCTTCTTCCGCTGGACTGTGCCCTTTCCCGCGCGAGGGAGCGGACGGCTCGGATCTGCGACGAGTATCATTTCCTTGAAGACCCGCGAGAACGCCGGGGCTTCATGATTCGCCTGTTCGACACGCGGCCTGCACATGAAAGTCAGAGCTACAGGGTGCTTCACTGGATCACGGACACGGTGACTCACCAGATCGCATTTCGGAACTCTGCGGCAGCGGCCTCGTCGGCTGGGTCGGGTGCGGACCCAGCCTTGGCCTCGACGAGGATACCGATTGCTGATGACCGCGTCCGAACGCGACGACGCCGACGACGAGGGGATGTGCGCTGACGTGGCCTTCGAGCTGGATCGGGACAGTCTTCTCACCTATGTCCACCAGACCAGGTGCATTGGTCAGTGATCGGTGAACTTATAACCGAGACGACATCACTGCAAGCGACACTCACCGGACCCCAGCACAATGACATCGTCAGTACGCGCGACTCTGTGACGTGCGTGAGCATGGGCGTATCCTCCAAGTCGTGAGATATGAGACTTACATTTTCCAGAGACCTGGTTTGGTAGGGTGTGGAATCCAGATGTCAGACGTAGAATAGCCGTGCTCGCCGTTTGGTAGTTGGAAGTTCTCGACTGCAGGCCGATGCGTGGGGCAGCTCTGATATCCCATGTGTCAGAACGCTGACTTGCACCGTTCTTTGGAGAGCGCACCAGAAACTGCAGTTCATACGTTCCATCACCCTGGTCCACCCATCTCTGCTTTACTACGTCGGCAGGGCTATCCACTCCCATCCGCACGGCTGACACTGCGTCGTCCGGGAGATCAGACAAGGTGCCTACCTCGGTGGTACCGTATCCCGCGCAGAGACGAACTCCGCGAGCAACAAGCTTGTCGCCATTAACCTTCGACAAGGGGCCCCCCGCAAAAAGCTAACAATACGAGGATGAGACGATGCCAAATGATTAAGAACCTAAACACTTACGAGACACTTCAGCGTCGCTAAGTACTCGATGTCCTCATCGTTATGCGCCCAAGCCTTATTATCAATCAGCACACAAAATCACCATCTAAGTAGCGCCACTTTCACCTCCAGGAACGCCGGTACGGTGACAATCGTGTTACAACCAGTCTTCCTCGCAGTATCTATCGTATTCTGCGGCGTCGGCACGACCGGCGGGGCGCCTTGCACTGCTCTCGGGGGGAACAGGCTCCCCGGGAGGCCAGACGCAAGCGGCGCAAGCAGCTGGACAGCTATGCCCATAGTGTGGAATGACGGGAGGGCGTGCCCACCGTATTGGCGGCCATGGAAGCGGGCTCCCAGCGTGGGCGGCAGAGTACACCAGATGCGGACGAATTCGTGCGTCTGTGGGATGGGTTTCGGGTGCCCCGTGGACCCGGAGGAGTGCAAGTAAAAGGCAACAGAAGTGGGTGAGGGCTCATGTGGCGGTGGAGGGTACGGCTCGGGCGGGGCAAACGGAGAGGCACGTCCGTTGGAAGGAGAGTCCAACGAGGGAAAGATGGACGTGAGCGAGGGAGACTCGTCAACTTTCATGGCGTAATCGGACGGTAACTCGCCACGCACGCCGGCCATGAGCTCGGTGAATGCGGTCTGTGAGATGATGCGATGGCACTGCGTGCGCTGCATCATGTTCGCGATCGCGGGCGCTGAGTTCCGCGGAGACATCGGGAAGGGCACGTACCCCGCTCGAACGAGCCCGACAAACATCGCATGGTATAGAAGCGTGTCGACATTCGCGATCATCGCGACGACAGCGCCATCTGGTCCTTCGCGGCTTGCACGAAAGGCGTAGGCGGCTCGGTGGGTGCCCTGTGCAAACTCGAGGAAAGATACAGTGCGAAGTTCATCGGAAGCGAGATCGGGATACGGGAAGACGAAGAACGGACGTTCCGGATTGTGTTTGGCATGGTAGTCGATGAAGCCAGGTAGGACGTTGATGGACCCGTCCAATGGAGGAAAGTCAATGTCCGCAGGAGCCATGCTGGTCAGTGCGAGGTGTAGGGGTATGTTTCGACGACAAAGGAGCCGCACTCCATATATATAGCTGGTCGTTGCAAGTATAGAATGGAGGAAGAGATGCCAGTCAGCACAGATTTAGCGCACAGATGCATAACCGGCGACGCCTGAGGTGCGCGCGGATGCCTGTTGAAACGCTGAGTGTTGACGCGTTGACGAACACTGTTACACGATCTTGTAGTTCGCCCAATCACGTGTGAGAGCATGAGCGGCCTTCGGGCTCGGGCTCGGGCTCGGGCCCGGGTGAATCTGCCAGCTTGTGTGCGGTTCAATGCCCTTGCTTGACTTGGGTACTGTGAACAGTACAGTACGCAACAGTCACTGCGATCTGACGACGAGACAAGCTGCGCGCAGCGAAGGTCGAACAAACGGTGCACGGTAGCATCAGCACAGCGCCAAGCATGAATATCTCAATAATGAGACATACCGCCGCCCCGCGAATGGCAACTTGTTGACTTCAATGGTGACCGGGAACACCGGTCGTCGGTGACATGAGTAGCAGATCGAAGTACACGGCTGAGTCGGTTGTTTGACGCACTGATGAAATGCCGAGGCCTCCACGCGATCGCGGTGTTCTTGCCATTCCTGGATTGCCACGATCTCGTACCCTCTTAAGTGCGCGCGGAACTGAGGCTTGTCTACGGAGGCATCACAGACCCACAACACGATCCACTTGAGCACTCACAATGAACATCGTTTCAGGCTTGCAAGCTCGAGATGCCTGGATGAGGAAAGATAACCAGGGCTGAGGGCGTCGCAGTAATTACTCTGAAGATCGGTCATTGTGACAATCAGACATACGAAGCCCTTCAATAGATCGTGAAAAAGCTCCTCTGATCAAGGATCTTCGATCGAGTATGTTGAGATTCGGTCGAGATCCTGCACCAGCCTAACGATCGCTCCAAACCTGGTACGATCGTGCCTGCGGAACCTCCGATCCATCATCCGTCCAGCTTCCAAACAAGCTTCCTGGGTCCCAGAACTGTTCTCCCATAACCGCACGGGGGACACCGCACAATAAACATACTCACAAAACAAAACAAGGTGCAGAACATACCAACGAACAGAACAATCCCGTCCTAATCCACCCTCCATCAACAGTGCCCAAACATCACCGACTATGAGTCCACGTCCATACTGACACTCGCCTCGTCCACCACCGCCGCGTCGTCACCCCTCGGGCGTTGCCTCACGTTCACGGCCCCGTTCCCCGCAAAGTTTGCGCCCGAGCTGGCCGCGCCGTTCGGCCCCGCAGGTATGGCCATCATCGGACGAACGCACGTTGTGGGTGCGCAGGCGGGACGGCATTGGGAGGCGACGTAGACGGGCGTGCGTCCGGCGAACCGGACTTCGCACGCGTCCCGCGCATCGCTCGTGCGGACGGGTTGAAGTGGCCACATTTCGGGCAGACGTACTCTGTCGGAAAAAAGCACCACCCAGTCGTCAATGCTTCGTGCATACGCGAAAGGGTAGAAGTGAAAGAGCAACGTACGTGCATCCTCCCACATGCTCTCCTTCACGAGCCCGTTGTGCGCGAAGCACTTCTGGCAGATGAGGGCGTAACGCGAGGCGGCGGCGCCGACGGAGGTCCCGTCGTCGTCACCGAGAATTGCATCTGCGAGCTTGTCGAACCACTGCTTCCGCGGCGGCGGCATCGGACGCAATGGCGAAGCTAAGCACGCAACACGTCGTTAACACATGTTTTTACAAATACTAAGAGTGAGACTACACACGGGAAAGCTGCTGTTGCAAGCTCGGAGACATTGGTGCCGGCGCAGGAGTCTGAGGATTCAGCTGTTGTGCAGGGCGCAAGGGTGTCTGCGGTAGCCTTTGCTGCTGTTGAGGCGCCTGCGGTCTCTGCGGCGTCCCAGGCGGGCCAGGGCGGGGTCCGTCATCGTATCGCTCAATTAAATTTCGGGTGGAGTAGTAGTTAGTCTTGTTCTTGATTTCCTCGATCTTTTCGCGCTGTTGCTTGCGTAGGGTGATGAGGGCTTTCTCTGCGGTAAGGTTAGGGTTAGTCAGATGCCCGAGCAAAAAGCAGCACAGCCTCAGTGAGGGGAGCGCGAATCCGGCGGGGATGCGCAGGGCAAGGTTGCCTGGTCATGCAAGTAGCCGTCTCACCAGCAAAACTGGCTGGGCAGTGGCGTGGCGCGACAAAGTGCACGCTCAGAAGACGTGAGGGCACGTACCTTCAGCATCGCCCGCCCTCGTGTACCAAATCTGCACAATTCTCCGCATGAATAGGATCCTACCAGGTGTTTCTCTTAGCATATAGCCCGTAACGCGTAAAACAGACCACTTACACGATCGGCCCCACGAAGACTGGCATGCTCTTCGCGGTCTTCTCCCATGCACTCCCTCGTGCATGTCCACTTACACCGGGGAGCATGGTGCTGACATTCGGAAGATAGTCCGCATACCAGAGGCCCGCCCAGAGGCCCCAGAGTGCGAGTGCGTAGACGGAGAAGAGGAGCGTCGAGCGGCGCTCGCGCAGCCGAATTTCGGAGAGGTGTTGTTGTCGCTTCGCAATGTCGTTGCCGAGCGACGCAAGGACCTGTTCGTAATCTTCTGGTTGAGCCTGTACACCGTAGAATAGTTCGTGAACGATTCGACCTTCGTAGTCTCGCGCCTGAGAGTAGAGAAAGCGCACCTTGCTGAACCAGCGGGAAAAGAGACCCATTCTTGGGAAATCAAGGAGCTGTGAGCCCCAGGTTGGTTTAAATATACAAGGTGGCAGAAAACGCGTGGAGGGGGGTGGACGCGTCGGCTAAGTCGCTGTGCTGTCTGTGGCTTGCTGTGGCCTCAGTTGGTGTCGTCAGAGCGTGGGACAATGCACGTGGCTTAAAGAGCCCAGTTGTGACATGGCGCTTGTGCGCTCTTGCGACGATCCCTCCATGCTTAAGCTTCGGTATCGCATTGTAACTGTCCTTCTCACAGATTACACTATATGTAGGAAACGGATCTTGCACAGCCCGACAAAGGACAAGTCTAGGATTGAACGCAACAATCACATACGCGGTACGTGCGACGATATGCTAGTAAACACCTGGGACTCTGAGCCTGTAGGGAACCCTTCTCGCATACTCCTCCCACTCCTTCCCAAACTCCCTCCTCAACATTGCGTCCTCCTGCGGTGCTCTTGCTATCAAGTTTACTGCCGCGTGCGCAATCGATATCAAATAGCTCCAAGTCATCACCTTCCCCAGCGTTGTATCTGCGAGGCCGCCTATGGCCGTCGCGGATGGTGATATCGTACGTGAAGAGTTGTCCGAGCGCGCGGAAGCAGAGGATACGCAGGTAACCGCTGGCCGTCGCGACTCCGCAGCCTACGAAGAAGAGCGGGCTGGCCCCGATGCGGTTTATGGAGGCGGCGGACCCCCAGATCAGGTGCTTGACGGCGTCCTGCGCGAACGGATGGGACGGGTACGCCCCCGCGAGGATGACGGCGGTCTCGCAGAAGGCCCCGGCCCAGATGGCGACCTCGAATGCACGTCAGAGAGACGGTACGGGCCCGGGCAAGTGACGGCTCACTTGCCTTCAGCGACGTCGTCAGTATCCTCACGATGCGTCCGAACACTTTCTCCCCCAACGGAACCTCCTTCTGAATTTCCTCTTCCTTTGGTTTTGGCACAGGGGCTGTCAGGGCCACGCCCGTGGTGTATGCTGTGACAAGCACAAGGGGGACTTTGTACATGGGAGCCATTTTGTGTCGGGGCAGAGACTGCAGATGCATGTCTCGGCCGCGATCACTTAAATGCTCCAAGTTTCCCGCCCCGGACGAAACGCGTCGGGAATGCTAGTCTCGATGCATGATGACTAGCTAAGCCAAAGCTAATCCGTGTACGGGAATCATCGCTGTTCCCTACACTCATGTGCATGACCGTGACGAGCCGTTCCACCACTGAACATGGGTCCATGGGGTCTAATGTAGCTTCAGCGACTAGGCACTCGGCGGCCGCGTCCATCGACGTCCGAATCAACATCCGGATGGGTTAGTGCACATCGGCATGCCTCAGCGACCGTGAGGCTCTTCCAGTAGTCTCGCTTGGCGGATGACTATCGCCGTGTCTGACGTTCCGTTCACGGGTCGGGCTGCCTCTCGTTCAAACCCCGGGAGCACTTCGCCGACCGGAGGGTACAGCTCTTTCCCCCCGGATTTGACCACTGGCAATTGTCCGTTCCACAGACTTCCCAGGCTGGCCGTGCTACTTGTTCTGAAAGGTGGCAGTGTCATCCTTATCAGTGCGAGGATCATTTCACTAAATAGTTTAAGATAATATTGCATGCGACAGGGCACAGAGGGGTTACTGTGGCAGCATGGCGAGCTTAGATCGAACTTCCTTATCGCCGCAATGGTCTGCTGTATCATTAGCTGATCTACTTGAGTTGGGACATCGGACTCCATTATGTGGAAGGCGCTGGTACATGTCTCAAATCATACAGAACGACAGACCGTTTGTTTGACACCTATACCCAGTACGCTTAGCCTTTCTTATAGCCTCCCAGTGCGTCTTTGAACCCACCCACTGCAGTGCTACTAACAAGGATCACAGGAGCAAGACCTACGACCGCTGACATATTGCTGTATGCATTTGCGGGACGAGTAGTAGTCGGACGTCTCGGTATGTGCATTTCACTGGTACGAATCGCTGAGTACATCTGTGGCACCACGTCCGAGTCGTTCCAGCTCGGGCCACGGGCACTATGCGAGCTTCGTCGTTCGCAATATCGGTCTCAAGTCCCCCGCGATGCCTAGGCCTCTTCAGATTATCAGAAAGCATGTCATGAAAGTCGGCAGTGGTCCGTGATAAAAGTCTATTCTGGACCTGTCTCTTGGAAATGCCGCAGATCGTACAACGTCGAGTAGGCTACCAGTGTATACGGCAGGACAACTTGGTCGCAGGTTAGACGCGGCTGGTACTTGACGCTCCCACAGAGCAGGTGCGGGGAGCGGCATGCAGAGTTACCTTCTTGCGCACGGCTTCCGTCTCGGTTGAAATGTTCCACAAGATCGGTATGCACGGTTTTGTCTTCCCGGGGTATGTCGATTCTATCCCAAATCGTTCTTATAATCGTGTGGCGACACCTCTGACGCCCCCAACATCATAATGGACAGGTGTACTAATCACTAGCAGGGTGAGTACAGATGATGAAGTGATATTTACGTGTCATTGATATTTTTTTCAATCGTAGAGGATGCCGTACCCCCGACCCAACCGCCACGGGTGGAAAGAGACAACTCAGACTGGCACGCATTGCGCTCGAGCTGCGCCTGTATACCCCGTGAACGATGTGGCGCGCCGTATAGATGACGTTCCTTCTGTCTCCTCTCTTTGCACTGATTTAATTTGCGGTGGTTCAAACACCTCCTGCAAGCATGCTAGGTCTATGCTGGCTTGAAGCTAATGCTTTCCAGGGCACACGCCACAGGCCCGACGACAGAGTCCACAGGTGAGGCCGGTGAGGCCTAGAGGGCCTGTCAATATCCCGCTATGGGTTGACGTTGATCAGGAGGGGTGATCGTCGATTGCGTTGTGCCGCAGCCTTGCTACATAATTTCATCACTGCAGATCCCCTCAGACGAAGGTGGTGGCATCGCGTGAGCCGCAGCGATCGATCGCGAGCTGTCGTTGGGCGAGCAGCGTCTATACGCGCGAACGAGTATTATATTCCACTGAGAACTAGGGAAGCTGGAGATGTAAGGAGGATGGACGAAGACGTAATACTCACTAGGACGAAGTGAGGATATAGCAGACGTAAACTGTAAAGACAGGCAATATTAGAGAGCGGTGTGCGTACAATACGACTCGGAGGCATTCTCCGAATCTGATAGAACCGGTACCAATGGCTACAAAGTACACGGTGGAAAGGTGAGGACAGAGCAGTATACAACGAGGGATAGCCTAAAACACAACAGATATGCAGTTTGTACATCGTGAACTTGACTTGCGTACATGGTGAGCATAAATATGAATGGAGACCATATGAAGACAGCGACGGATCCTATATAAGCAAGACAAAACAGACAAGAAGGCGGCTCACTGTCTCTTCACCTTCATCTCCCACATGCTATCTCTCCCCTTCTCAAGACCAAGCAAGATGCATCGATCCATCAGGAAGTCCACTCGCCTGACTCCCTTCTGTCGCTCCCCGTCGTCCACACACCGCTCAGCCCACGAACGCGCGATCCGTTCGCGCGTTATCTCATCCATCTCGTTGTTCCACCAGTCTGCATGCGCTATCGGCGTCATCATTGAGAGCCAGATCGCGCTGAACAAGTCGTGCAGCGTGACGCCCGCTGGATTGGAACTCTCGACGTCGATGTGCCATGGGTAGTGGCTATTGTACACACGCATGACGGCGACGGGCGGCTCACAGGCGAAGCGTGTGAGGTCCCAAGGGTTCACCTCGCGATCCAGTGCGCGAAAGCGCAGCGTCGAGGGATTCTTGCGGAGGTCAAGGTGCATGGCGGGCGAGACGGCCGAATAGCGGATGTAAGGATTGAGCTTGGAAGCTCGCGGAGAGTCAAGAACTAGACATCATATGAGGGAAAGTTCGTACAGCAGCATGCTAAGACTCACTACTTCCGGATATCGACGCTGAGCGTGCTTTGGTGAACATCGAGCCTAACGATGCGCCCAACCCAAGTGACCGCCCCATGTTGAAGTCCGCCCTCCATTCTCTCGGTGGACGCTTCGCATTCTCGTCGTGTACCGAGCGCAGACTGCGCGAACGTGATATATGGCTGTTGAATGACGAAGGACTACTTGTGTTGGATGACGAGAACGGAGTATGTGGACGCGATGTTGTGCGCGTGACTGGCCAACCCTCGAGGTTGTCTTCCTCGCCGTTGATATACTGCGAGACTCGCACCCAATCCTGGTCAGGCTCCTCCGGACGTTGGGGCCAGCCGTCCGCGGGACCCTGCATTGTGATGGCAGGAGGCGCAAGTGCAGGGAAAGCCGCGGGTGTCATAACGAATGCGCCTGGCCACTGTTGGCTTGGCTGTGAAGGCCACGACGACATCATTGCGGGCTGAGCGTAGGGCGACCAGCCGAGCTGATTTGTCCCGGACCAGGGTGTGCTCATCGCAGACGCAGACGGCGGCGCCGCAGGAAAGAGGTAGGGTGTCCTGCCCGCATGTGAGTGATAGTTGCCAGGTTGTGCTGCCTCCGACGGTCCGTCCACGAGCGGCGGCATGCCAGAGTAGTCGGCCATCGTTGTGTGCGAGCTTGCGCGGGGTGCGGAAGTAAGACTGAGAGGTATGCTGATAATCGGCCACGAGGCTGGGGGGCGAGCTGTACGAAGGCGGCAATCCGCATTTGGTTGCTCTTCGGTGCTAATTGACCTCTGAGGCGCAACAACAAGGAACCTCTGCGCCGTCGTCGCATTTCCAGAGGCCCGCGAAGCAAGTCGAACGAGTAAAAGGAGACGGTGGAAGCAGTGGCAGTAAATGACGGTGGTGGCTGCCAGTGGTGTCGTGGTCTCGCTGTCGGGACTCGGCATTGCCGTTCTCAGACATGATGTTCGTGACGTTCAATCCACGCTGAATATATGGTAAAATGATCGTACACTAGTTTAAATAGACAGGTATATCTGGATAGTCAATACAGTGGGTAACGAGCGCATTGCATCCATGAAGTGCACTTTAAATACTGCAGTCAAAAGACGAAGAAATAAGAAATAAGGGACGGAATGACTCAAACTTCCACACTTGCCAATGAGCATATATCCAAGATTAGGACTCACTTCCGCGCATCCGCACCCATCCCCGCAGCCAACCCGGTAGCCAATGCGCTGCCCATCTGCGCACCGATACCGTCTGTGGGCACGAACACCGTCTTCGAGCCAAAGGCCTGCACGCGAGACACCTCCACACGACGCATCTCCATCTCACGGGCGAACTGGTCGTCACGTCTGCATCGGCAGCCGCGCGAATGCGGATCGCCGCTGCCTCTGCCTCTGCTGCGAGGCGAGTCGCTTGCGCCTGTGCCTCAGCCTCGATCTGGACCTTCTGGGCCTCAGCCTTTGCCGCTGCGACGACGCTGTAGGCCTGTGAGTCTGCTGTTGTCTGGAGATATGAGTTAGTACGCGGGGTATGAACCGGGGGAGGTGGATAAGCTGACGTTCTGCGACTGTGCCTTGATCCGTGACACTGCAGCGCGCCTTCTTCTTGCTTGATCCTATTGCTGTTCTCCCGGTCCACATTCTGCATTACAGTATGTATGTCGCTGACATCACGAGACAAAGCAGCGACACTCACGGCCGCTTCGACTTGGGCTTGCAAGGCTCGTGTCGTGAGCCTGTCCATCGTGGATGCAATTTCGCCTTGAATTGTCGGTCGATTACGCTAGTATAATGCATAAGCAAACACCCTTCCGGATTTGTAAATGCGTACCGAGATCCTTCATGACAATGCCATACTCCAGCGCAGCAAAGTGGAGGTCGTCCATTGCCCGGGTCCGCAGCGCGTCAAGGAATGCGCCGTTGGGATCGGTCCGTCGTCCAGGTTGTCTGGGCCCAGCGAGCGCTGCTTCACCATCGAGCTGTAGTCCACTATTTGCGGGGTGTCAGTGAGCATAATTTTAGACGGCTATTTACGTACGATGTGCTACGATCTGCGTGAGGATAGACTGGCATTTGTCGCTAGGTACAATGATTAGCTAGAAGTCCCGCAGAAGCAAGAGAATGAACGGACCGGAGTGCGTCATAAGGGGTGTTGTAGCCATGCATGGTCAGCTATGCAAATCAATGAGCATCCGACTTCAGGTCTTATCGGCTGTGTTACCTTCAACGGTTCTGTGAGTTGCCTAGCATGTACTGTCAGTCGAAGCGCGAATACAATTGTCAATCTCACGTACCACTTCAAGTAGATCGTCAACGCCACGGGGACCTGATCTCTCGTGAAGCTATCGCACAGACAATGAGTTCACCACACGCAGACGCGGCAAGCGATGCACGAACATGTCCTTCGTCGGCATCTCGATCTGGTTCTCGCCGAGCGTGAACAAGCCGCGTAGCGTGACGTTCGGGTTCGTGATGTAGTGCTGCCCAGCCGATAGCTGCTCCAGGTCGTCTCCCTTCTGGAGGATCGCGCAGTTGTTCGCGGGAATGTTCAAGCTACGCGAAAACGGCAACTGTGTTAGCAGGTATGTCGGGTTCGTGAGGCAACAAACGGGTACGTACAAGAGCGCCATGACATAGTCACGCTGCGCACCATCCCGTAAGCTGCTCTTCATCGTTACTTCATGCATCCTGCGAGAATCAAGAAGCTTTAGCGCATACGAGGTTGACATGCAGTAGGACTGACCATCCGAGGATGGCTTGGTGACGTCGTCCTTGATGACGGTGGGGAGATGCGTCTGGTCGACGATCGCGAGCACCCTGTAGGCACCCTCAATCGCGTATGCGACGAACCCGCATTCTTGATCACAAAGATATGATTCTGTTTGACAGTCAGGATCGTTCCGAGGACATCTGGATCGACGTCTGGTTCGTACCTGAGGATCGGATACGACGCCGCCTGAAATCAAATACAATGAATCATCGCGGAAGTGATAGCGAGCTCATCCAAATACTAACCTGGTTCTGAGAGACCTGCACGATTGTCAATCCTTGGAATCGACCACAGTGTCGGACACTAGGCCAAACTGTTAATTCTCGATATAAGTCGGATCCGGATATTGGAGGTGCGTACATCCTTTGGTACCGCACCAATCGCGCGCCCACCAGTTACGAAGCGGCATACCGGGGTACCGCCAGGGCGAGTGAGGATACTGGGCAAACCACCATGGTTGATCAGGCCATTTCCCAGGCGTGACTTCCCTGCCTATCCAATCTGTTGGTCGCTGTGTAAGTGTTCAGATAGACATCCACGTCATTCTAGCAAGCATCAGGGTATTTACCTTGCGTGACAAGATATGGCTGCGTCCTGACTGTGAGGTTCCACACGTCAGCCACACACCATATATCGAGAGGTTTGCATTACCTGCTTCAGTTGTTCGTCTAACTTCTGCAGCGCCCCAATGAGACCGCTCTCCCCAATCGTGATGAAGAATGGTCGGTCAGTCAAATGGGACTCAGGGGTCGCAAAGAAGCTCTTGCTGGGTGGCGTAGAGTGTTGAAGCCCTGTCTTGTGTTTCTCGTCGTACCCGTCAGACGAATATCGCCTTGGCTCGCGCGGGTAGGCTGCAGATGCTGCAGGCGCATCAATCGCGGTGACGCTCTCGCTGGTGACGGTGCCTTCCTTGATCATTGTGGTAGGGAGATCGTGGGTGTGGGGATAGAGGAAGATGACGTCGGATGGTCGAACCTTATATGCTTTCGCGGCATCATTCGCGCGAGATGCGCTTGGTATCTGCCATACAGTGATTCTGCTGTCCAACACATGCGCGCGCCGCCGCGCAGTGCGCAGTCTTGAATGGGACAGTGACAGTTCGGCACCGACTACGCTGGTCATCTGTCCATAAGCAAAATACCCTCAGTTGTCAGGGAATTGCACAGGGATCCGCCCCCCGCCGTATAGTAGCCAAGGAAGCCCACCGGACTGGGCTGGACGGACCCTCACCCTCAAAAGCCGCCGACTTGCAGTGCCTCAGCCGGCAGAGGCAGTGCACCAGTGACTCGGAATAATACAGGGGCATCATGGTAATCACTAGTACTTACGCCGTACGAAGACGAAGGCTAGCTTCCGGTACTGTTCCGGATACAAGCGATGCACAGCAGTCTTGTGGCCAAATGTACCTTCAAAACACTGAGCAAGGCTGTTGCACACTGAGTGCGTGTGCCTTCGGTACCTTGATGCCTTAAGGTAAGTATCTCCGTCCTCGGCGTGCCGTAACAGGAGGTGCACTGCCTCGAGACACGCACCAAACATTTCTGAGCGATTCGAGCAATTGAGTCGGCGTTGACGTTGATTCCAAGTTGATTCCTCTGCATTGGCATCGTCTCGGAGTCTCGGAGTCGGGTCACGATGATGATGAGTCTCGCACAGAGTTTCCATATCTAGGTTAAGTACTTAATTTACTTGGAGCGTACTTACTTGATAAGTACTTATGGCATTTTCTCCCACGGATATCGTCGCTGGCGTCGCGACCCATGCCTTCCTCTCCGGCCAGAAATGTGAGTAGCACAGAGGCGGGAATCTCTTCACTATTCGAGCCAATTACTGGTATATTCTCGTTCAGCCAGCTTGAAGCATTGCATGATCAAATGGAACACATCCGAGTCGGCCCGGGGCCGTCACGTCTGCATGTGGTAATTTACGTATTCTGCTGTCGGTCACAAGGTGGATGGTCCAGGATGTCCGGTCAGAGCCTCGTCCTGCTATTATGCGCGTATAGGGAGGCCATCACCGCTTCACCGCCTGCAACCCTCAGTTCTCACCTCTATCTACAGCCCAGGTTGCGGTGTCATGACCGTAAGGTGAACGAACGCCTGATCAACTTCGTCATTGAGAAGTATAACTAACTCACTTGTTGGCCCTTTATCAAGGCAATACACCCGGCCAAATGGGTTGTATTCCGCCGCCTGTACCATGACAAGTCTTATGGGTACCGCGAGCCTCGACGCTTCAATATGCCTGACTGTGAGTTACTACACCAGACGTCTCTTGCTTGCGAGTAGAAAGCCAGACATCCTCGTGCCATACCAGTGATGAGCCAGATGTTACTGTCTAAAAAGGCGCTCGCTATGTGCCGAAGTCGCTTGGGTCTTGAGGCAATGGCTCATTAATCATTGCTGACCGAGGTCTTCTCGCTCGATGCATCACATACGCAAGTATAGTGTGCTCAGAACGATTCGATATTCTGCCAGTAAATTCGGAAAAAGACCCTTGCAAGGGTGATGCATGGCTCGGCAAGAACTTACTTCAATGTTCTTCCAATTGAACGAAACTCATTCGAACGACTTGCAGATAGCCCCACGCAGCTGCAGAATAGGACTGTGAATGCACCACTCCTGCGCTACGTCGACGCACTCCGAACGCATGGACACCGTGCCGCTCGTATTGATCCCCTTGACCTCCTGCAGAGGGAGGAAGTCGCCGCGCTCAATCCTCGGAGGTATGGACTACACGATGACACACACAAGTACGACGTGAATGGCATCGTCTGGACGCACCCTGTTGGCTCCGCAGCGGACGTGACTGAAGAGTGGGCACTTGGCGAAATCACACAGCACCTGCGCGCGATCTACGTTGGGCGCATCGCGTACGAATATATGCACTCACCATCTAAGACCGAGCGGCTATGGTTCTCGCACATGCTCGAGTCACAGGCACCCAGCCAGGCGGTCTTCGACACGAAGCAGAAGAAGCGCATACAGAAGCTCCTTTCGCACAGCGAGACCTTTGACCAGTTTCTGCAGCTCAAGTTTCCGAATCTCAAGCGGTACGGCTTGGAGGGTGGAGAGTCCATGTTGCCAGCGCTTGACGCGCTCTTCGCTTCTGCGGCGAGAGGTATGTGGCTTGATGTTTTGACGTGAAAGTGGCGCTGACTCTTGCATAGCTGGCGTGGAGAACATCGTACTCGGCATGCCACACAGAGGCCGGCTGAACCTGTTGACAGATCTCCTTCAGTTCTCCCCGGCGGCCCTCTTCCACAAGATCAAAGGCGGCTCTGAGGTTCCGGAAGGTATCGATGCCTCTGGAGACGTCATAAGCCATTTGGGTGCGCACAATTTTCATAGCACTACCGGGGCTTTCGAATGACGTGGCTCGTTACAGTTGCCTCTCCTAACCTTCATTATGATGGCGTAGATGCCCCTCTGCACGTCTCGCTTCTGCCTAACCCATCTCATCTTGGTAAGTGGTGTCACGTATCGCGAAACTAGTTAGATAACCTATTTCGGCAGAGGCCGTCAACCCGGTCGCACTCGGCAAGACACGTGCGAAGCAGTTCGCGCTGTTGAAGCAACTCATTCGCTCTGGCACGCATCCCGACGAGTGCTTCCCTGGAGACAAGGTGATGTGTGTGCAGCTTCACGGCGACGCAAGCTTCACTGGACAAGGCGTGGTCATGGAAGGGCTGAGTCTGAGTATGGACCACTTGACAGGACTGCTTCAGAATCTCGGTGCTAACGTACGTTCATCCAGGCAACTTGCCGCATTACACTGTCGGAGGCACCGTTCACATTGTAGTGAAGTATGACATCCCATTCTCACTAGACGCGCTTGCTCAAGCCTCGAATCAACTACGGAATCTTTTAGTAACAGGTAGAAGTTATCGTTGATCATTTGTAGTTGCCTGGCTAACTCAGAGCAGTATCGGCTATACTACCCCTGCATCCAGCGCACACTCGGGATTGTATTCGTCAGACATTGGGAAGATGATCAACGCTCCGGTGCTTCACGTCAATGGGACTACCCAGAAGGTCAGATCAAGGCGCTCTGTCACGGACGTATCTCATCACTTACTAAGCCCTTTCTTTATGTAGATGTCGCCCGTGCGGTCGAGGTCGCATTCAAGTACAGGAACCATTTTCGCAAAGTAAGAACTCACCGTGACATGCGTACGTGAATCTCGCGAACGATGATTGGCAACAGGACATTATTGTAGACTTGCTCGTGTATCGCCGATGGTACGTTCCGTGAGCTGACGGCAAAACACAACTGACTCCTCCTTAGGGGTCATAATGAACTCGACGAGCCTTCATTCACGCAACCTCTCATGTACGAGAAGATCCGCTCACGAAGCTCCGTCCCTGTTCTGTACGAGAAACAGTTCATCGTACGTCCCTCTCGTCAATCTGCCGCTTCAAAATGACAACCAGTAAAATTCATAGGCAGAGGAGGTTCTGACCGAAGAGGCTGTCACCGCTGTTCGCACGTCTTACAAGGCGTTCCTCACGTCAGAACTGGAAGCTGCCGACTCTCGTCCTCCAGTGAAGGCGGACGCGGTGATGTTCCAGGGTTCGTGGCACGGGATGGTGTGGCCAGCGAGCCCGGATGCTGTTCACGACCCGGAGACTGGTGTGAACCGCGAGACCCTGCTCCGCGTCGGACGCGCTAGTGTCACTGTCCCCGACGGTTTCGTAAGTCTGATGGACTGAGTAACGACTCTCGTCCTGATTGTTGTATCGTTTGCACAGGAGATACACGCACGCTTGCAGCGACATGTCAACAATCGTCTGCGTTCTCTGGAGAAAGGTTCTGGGATAGATTGGGCAACGGCCGAGGTACGATATGCGTTTACCGCGAGATAGACACGTAATCATGTTTCGAAAAAGGCTATAGCTTTCGGGACTCTTATGCTGGATGGCTGCGACGTGCGGATTTCTGGGCAAGACGTCGGTCGGGGCACGTTTAGTCAACGGTTAGTGACCACTCGATGTTATGTGCCCCGGCTGGGCTGCTGATGTGATACGCACCCGCGCAGGCATGCCATGCTCGTCGACCAACGGACCGAAGATGTGATCGTGCCCCTGAATGCTCAAATTCATTGCGAGGGCAGACTCGAACTTGCGAACAGTGAGTGTGATCGATCGTGCTGATGCAGCGTAACGTAGTAATGTCTGCCAATTTGCCAGGCTCGCTCAGCGAACTCGCAGTACTGGGCGTAAGTGATCAGTGATACCACCGCGATTGACTATCTTCATTCGATCCCTCTAGTTCGAATACGGTGTTAGCTGGGAAAGGCCTGACATTCTGCCCATATGGGAAGCGCAGGTGCGTTGATTTTCCCTCGGTTTTGTATGATCTCTAACAACTCCAAAGTTTGGGGATTTCTTCAACGGTGCTCAAGTAAGAAGCTGATGACTCGTTGACTGGCCTTGCTCATAGATCTAGGAATTCCTTTCTAGGTCATCATCGATACTTTCGTTTCCTCGGCGGAGAGTACGCACTAACATGACTTGTAAACCGCATCGTTGGCGCTAATTTCTGAGGCGTTCTACAGCGAAGTGGCTCAGGCAAAGCGGTATCACACTGCTTCTGCCCCATGGGTGCGTATCACTCATTACATTGACATCTGCCCTGTTCAATGACGTGATTTGACCCTGTTGATTTTCGATCCGATAAATGTGGATTAGCCTCGACGGTGCAGGCCCTGAACATTCATCTTCACGTTTGGAGCGGATGTTACAGGTAGGTCCGCTTTTCTCGTTTGCGAATGCTCTCATACTCACCACGACTGGTAGCTCACCAATGATGGCCAAGAATACGATGATCGGCCATCCGCATCAAACGTCAACATGCACGTTGTCTTCCCTACGACACCTGCACAATACTTCCATTTGCTGAGGAGACAATACAAGCGGAACTACAGGAAGCCTCTCGTCGTAGCTTCGCCCAAAGCCTTGCTCCGATTGCCCGTACGTCTGGATGAACAATGGGATACATCTGTTTCTCACCCATCTCCAGGCTGCTTCATCGTCCTTGTCGGATCTCGAAGACAATATTCGTTTCCAGCCAGTTCTCGACGACGTTACTGTCGACAAGTCGAAGATCAAGCGTGTCCTTTGCCTAACTGGCAAGCTTTACTACGAACTGGCGACAGAACGTCACAGGTTGCAAGCACACAATGTTGCTCTCATCAGGATCGAAGAATTGTCCCCGTTTCCCTTCGGGCACCTCGCTCACGTTCTCAATCAGTATGATGCAGCCACCGAGATCGTATGGATACAAGAGGAGCCGATGAATCAAGGCGCATGGCCTCATGTTTCAGAGAGGATTAATGCCGTCCTTCAGCGTTTGGGTCGCACGAACCGCCTCTCGTATGTCGGAAGAGCATCCGACGCGCTTCCTGCCCCTGGAACAAGCAAGATGTATTCGGCGCAGCGGCAGAGCATTCTTCTGACAGCATTTCATGGACTGAAGGCCGAACTCTAGTGGATGCTTGGGTCTGATTCGTACGTACGTACACTACTACTTTGTGCGATGTGTCAATGCTATGAACCTTGTCAACCCGTTATGCCCATATCGCACGGAACTTCTCCTCAAACTCCGTTGTCAGTGCGTGCACCAGTTTGTAGACAGCCCAATCTTGGTCAGAAATCCCCGTCGGACGAGCGAGTTCCTTCTCCAGTCCTTCATCCTCTGAATCACTGTCCCCCTCCGCAGCTAGTCCCTCTTTTGCGACATCTTCATCCTCCGCTGCCTTGATCTTGTTTGCCACGTCTGCATCTTGGGGTGAATCGTCACCGTCATCTTCGCCTGCACCGGTAGGCTCAACGGATGCCTGCCATAATAGCTGTCCAAGACCGGCTCTGATGGACTTCAATGTCAATGTGAAGTCGTCAAGCAGATACCACATATCATTGTCCCGTATTGCGTTTGCTGATTTGAGTGCCGCGGGCTGCCCGTGAATATAGAAATCAAGGATGTAGGCATTGAGCATATAGCTCTGATCCTCAGGGGTCGAATGTGCCGTGAAGAGGCGCATGGACGGAATGGCGTACTGGTTGAGGTGAAGTCCATCTCGGCTGCTCCGGGTGAGTTCTTCCACGGTCTGGTAGTGGTCAGCGTGCCCGGAGTTGGCGATAAACGATGACCTAGCAATAGGTCTTACCGCACATCGATCGAGGCGCTCGATGAACGGAGAAGGTGAGCCGGAGGCGCTTTCGATGTCGCTCAACGGCAGCCTGGAATCTGGGCCCAAGGCATCGCCGTATTGTGTGGCATATGCCAAAGCGTAGCTTGTGAAGATAGACAGAATATCCGAGTCGTGAGCGTTAAGGATGTTCTTCGCATCGTCTGGCAAGGGCGGAAGTATGACCATGGATGGAGATTTCTTGATAACCTGCTGGAGGTTCTCGTCCGTCGCATAGATCCTGGGGAGATATCGACGACCAAATAGATGACATAGCAGGAGCAGCAGTTCTCGCTTGGCAGAGGCCTGATCTGACTGGCAGCATATCCGGTGAACAACCCCGTGGCGAATAAGGGCAATCAGAGCAAGATTCCCTGGTTCAGTGTAGTAGAGATGCGATGCAATTCCAAACAGATTGATGGGGTTGCCTTGGGCGTCCAGCAGACTCGCTCGACGCAAGTAATCGATGCTGAAGCGCATGAAATGGACTATTTGCTCGTTGCCAATGTTAGATCGAAATCCGATGTGTGGTAGGGTGAGAATGCTGACGACAGCCTGTTCAGCGATGGGAGCGTAGTCGGATCCTTGCAGCAGGTTGAAGAGCCGCAGGACCATGGTCGAAGTGAGCGGGAAGTTTCCTCCGAGAGATGGTAGCCTTGACAAGACTAGTCGCTGGCACCTGTCTATGGCGACGCCATAGAAGACGACTTTCCCGAGGAGATCAAACCCTCGTCTACCAGCTTATAGAAACAGTGAGCCATAGTCATAACATACTATATCAATACACCTACCCCGACCGGCGCATTGACGAAACTGAACCGCAGAGATGAACGAGAAGTCTCAAATGTGACGAGCTCTGCGACGTACCATTAGTGCCGTCAGGAAGGGCGAGTCACCGCAGAAGACGGAGGTTCTCGCAGGTGCGTTGATTCCGAGAGCCAATGTTCCTGTAGCGATACTTTGTTACATGCTGGACGAGATCAGACAATGCAGCTACATACCCGTGGCAATCACAACTCGAACAACACCTAGCCGAAACAAACTGTGGGAGAAATGAGCACATTCGAAGCATTTGAGTAGATCACTGCGAGCATACTTACCTCTCCACCAGCGTTCTGTAACGCTTATTCATACCGGAGTGATGCACGCCGACCCCCCTGCGCAACGCGTCCAGCGCCCACTTTGGGACAGATGACCATCGCTCTAGTGAACGCAGCTCCTTCTCTAGATCGGCCTTCGAATACGTAGACGATTTACTGGCAAATGAGAACTGAGGGGACGGGTCTTGGGGATCGAACGAGCTCTCCAAAGTTGTGCTCTCCGACTGCATATCATCGTCGACGTCATCCGCCCGATGCTTTTGTCGCGCCTGTTTCTCTGACTGGCGTTTGCGTGCCGCAGACTGGATCTTCCACATTTCCCACTGGGCCATCTGCCGTCGCCACTCGGGGCTAGTTTCCCTCCATTGTTTCTCGGCCTTGATCAGCTCCACCAGTAGTCTTTCACACATCGTTTCGCATGCCCTCCGATCAAAATTGAAAAGAATGGCGGGCTGCGAACGACATTAGCTTCACGAATGTGCAACTCAGTCTGTGATTGAACCATACCAGATCACCGTTTGCATGCAAGTCGGATACAAGATAGATGAGGTTGTCCATGAACTGGCGACGGCTAGGAATCGCATGATGATCGACCGTCTTCACAACCGGATCGACGAGGTGCCCGATGACCTTGTTCATGACTGAGCGGTCGTCTTGTTGGTCCTCCGTGGCGATAAGTTGATCAACGATCTTCTTCAGATCAGCTTCATAGCGCAGAACATCCTGTTGTTTCAACAGCGAGCCAGCGGCGTTCGCAAAAAGTGGGTAGGGTCCATTTGAAGGCCCAAGTCCGGTAGGCTGTCGGTATGTACACGCAGGGCCTCGTATAGCGAGAGACAATCTGCTGCTTCAAGAGAGAAGTCAGGTGGGATCTCATGTGCGCCAAACGAAAGCAGGGAGACAGGATGCAGGAATCGTGTACGACCGGTGTTCTTGTAGTTGACAAAGCCTTTGAATGTCGCGGGTGACTCGTCTTGCATGATATATGCAAATTTGCGAAGGTGTGAGTACCGATGCGGATGGTGAATGAAGGTGTGCTTGAAATGATGAGCCTCTTGAACGGACTTCAGCCAGTTGTTGAATTCTTCAGGATGTCCGATGGTAGCGGAAAGTCCACTATGAACGCGTCAGATGCTGGACCACATTGCGACATGCAGACAAACGACTGACATTATCGGGCACGGCGCGAAGAGTAGAATCTGCTCCCATACAGCGCCGCCTTCTTGTTGTCCTATGCAGTGAATTTCGTCCAGGATGATCCTAGAAAGGCTTATGTTATTCATTGCCATGTGCCACAGTGAGTCGAACACATACCGTTTGATATGAGGGGTCCATATGCGAGCCAGAGGAGGCGAGAGGAGCATGATCGCGAGCATCTCTGGCACGGTGACAAGAATCTGGCACTTCTGAGGATCGTGTATCCGGTAGTCCCTGGTATGTATGGCCCAACAGCTCCCTAGATGATGCAATGTCAGATGAGAATGTGTGACCGGCACTGTTTAAGACGGCGGCACACTCACGTCCTCTGAGTTCCTTCCTATACCGGGCATACACCTCCGCGGCGATCTGATTGACGAGAGCCTTCGTTGGTGCGACGTATACTAGGATGCCTTCGTCTGACTGCCTGAGTACTTGCTCCATAGCATAGTACGAGATGAAAGTCTTGCCAGCACTGGTCGGCGCTGAAATTGTTCCCAATCAGCCTATCGAGAACGTTAGTACAGGGCTATTGCATCACTCACCAACGACAAGAACAGACTGATTGTCGTCCAAGCAGTCAAGGACATTCCGTTGCCAGGCGTCAGGCTTGAAAGGGACCCTAGGATCATACTGGCTATCCATGCTACGGTCCATGAATTCGCCGAACAGACGAAGTTGCCATACGACAGGATCTTCGCAATGCGCATGAACTTGTGCATGGCCGACTTGGTCTTTGACTTCACCAGTCTGACAAACTTGAAAGCCAGTGCCCGGTCGACGTCCGCTCGCCCAGGCGGCGATGCCTTCAGATCGCTGATCACAGACGACAAGCCGATAACGCCAAGACACATGTCGAGGATATCGGCTGCGACGGGGAAAAGGTTGGGCTGCTGATACGTATCCTTGACCATCCGCAAGATCGCGACGGTATTCCTGTCTCGCACGGCCGCGGTGTCGCGTTTATCATCATCGATCCAACGGAGGAACTCCAGGTGTATACGGAAGAGACGCACTTCCACCGCAAGCCAGCCCTCGGACGTCCGCCTGTTCCGCTGGATATTGTCAATGTGGCTGATCTGCTCGGACGTAGACATGGAAGCAACGGTCTCGAGCTGCTCCTTCCACCATGGCACGTTCGAGTCGTCCATCTTGGTCTGCTTCTTCTCATTGTTTGCCAGTCGGATCTTGTCCGCGGAAGATACGTGCTCTTTCTTTCCCTTCTTCGACTGCTGAACTGGCGGCTTTGCCTGCTGCGCGGTGAGCATCATGAGTTGCGAATTCTGTGATTACATACCTGTATGGTACGCGGAGCTTGTCGTCGTGCCTGGGAACCGACTGGCAGGATGAGCATGCGCTCGAGCGGTATACCAAACACTCCCGTCAAGGTCTGCGCCTGGCGTTCCATAGAGGCCATGAAATGCTGAGAGCGACGCAGCGCCTTGTAGCGCTGAACAGCATCCATCGGCTGGTACGCCTCTCCACCCAAATGCGCAGGCAAGATAGCGCGCTTGTGATTATGCCAGTGATACACGTCGTTGAAGATCGTGTTGAAGTCGAGGTGACCTCTGAGCTCGGGTGGATCCTCGGCTTCAACATCGACACAGACGGCAGCGAGGTGATCGTCAAAGACACTGTTGCTAAACGGGAGGAGTGCCTGCACCGTTGGCGCGCTCTCGGTACCTTCTGGTGATTGAACAGGGCGGGGAAAGCGGGCGCCAAAGGCAGCAAAGTCGCATTCGCCAAGGCCGGCAGACGACCACAGGGTAGCCAGGCGCGAGCCGACCGCATCACCAAGAAGTGCGGAAGGCGACAGCTCAGTATGTGTCATGGCGAAGTTCAAGAAGGCGACATATACATGGCCATCAACATCGGGAGAGCTGCGAGTCAAAACACTCTCCAGAGCGAGGAACGCCGTCGACAAGAAATCGCCGACGAGCATCTCGCTCAGCTCAGGGTGTAAGGCCTCGAGCTTCTGTGCCCGTTGCTGGACAGAAAGTGCAGGAACGACGAGGAGGTGCGCAGCGAAGGCGTACAGTAGTTCCGCCATCCCCGCTCGGCGAAGGTCCAGCGCAGACGACATCCTCTTCAAGACCATGGCTAGCCATTTCTCGGAAGGCGCTGGTAGGCTCTGCGGCGCAAAGGTGGCCAAGGGAAGAACCGGAAGACCATGCCGCACATGGGATTCACGCGCTTCCAATGCCTTCGCCGCCGCGCTGCTTGCAGCCCACAACGCCCTAGGGAGTCCGCTTCGCGCTTTCGGGTCGTGACGTTGCTCGTAGATGAACGTCATGATCTGTACAAGAACCAGATCAGTTCGAGAGTGTACTCTCGGGGCCTATGCCCGACGTCACCTTCGAGTCTCGGTACTCCGCACCATGGAGAAGTGCTACCGTGGTACCCTGGGCCAGAAGGTCGAACATGAATGCGCGCTGGACGAGCAAAGCTTCGGCCTGGAGCAACTCGTCATCTGGGTCGCGATCGACGAGTCCTCCGTCATTCGTCATCACGAACATCGGCTGCGCAGCGGTCACTTGAGTGTGTCGATAACTACATTGGTCAGAGTGCTTACTTTCGTCATGCGTTGATATCTCGACCATTCCGGGTCCTGCAGGTTCTCAAATGTATGTACCGGTGTATCAAGATGTCTCAGGTGTTTGAACAACATCACGCGAGCCAAGTTCCTGGACGTATGCACGTATTCCGATTGGCCTGTCTGTATCGTCAGATGCCGGTTGTCTGAAATGGCAGTAAGCATAGGACACGAGACGCAACAGAATTAGAGTGCCTTACCATGCCAGAATACGATCTCAAATGTTGCACAGCGTATCTTGAACTCATTCAGCATTCGCTCAAGAGAGTACACGGCGTGTAAGATTTGAAAGCTAGGCTCTGCGTGAAATGGTATGGATCGGTAACTAATTAACACGAGAGATCAAGGCACGTACGAGCATCCCGCCCTAGAGCAAGTAACGGGTCGTTCAGAACCTCTTGCAACAACGCTTCACCTGACATGAAGACCGTAAGTCGTAGCCTCTGTGCTCATAGATCAAAGGACGCACCATCGAGAACGAACAGCTCGCTCCCGGCATAGTCTCCAATCAAGTCCATCCATCGTCCGCGCCTGCTCGTCAAGGTATACCATTGGCTGTCGATGTATCTCAACGCTTCCTTGGCCACCGGCAGCTTTGGTAGCGAAAAGGTCGTCGCGTTTGCTGCTTGTTCGAAGCCATCCAAATCCATGATGGTGGTAAGGATGAGAGCAGAGAGGGGCTACCTTGCTGGCCGTGACTTCGCTGCGGCGTGGCGAACACGATGTTAAGTGAGAAGTCGGCGTGCCTACCCTTGAACCTTGTTCAATTGCGCTTCGAATAGCCGTCCGGTCGGGTGTGACTTGATCGTCCGAACCTTGATGTGGTGCTGATGCGACCATTGAATTGGACCATTATTCATGAGCTCGATGAAAACCGACGGTGGTGATCTACAACGAGTAATTAGTAGGTGTACTGTGCTCGAAACGCATCTCGATGCGCCCTACTCGACCTGCTACTCGACTTATCCTGCAGACGCGAACCGTCTTGTCGCGCCAACGTGCTGGAGTCGGAATCACGCATAGAGAGAACTGGGGAAAGATTCAATAGGGGAACGAGCGACATGGCCCAGTACTAATACACATGAGTGAGTCGAGTGCTATGGAAGTGCGAGAGAAACTGAGAAAAGTAGAGCAGGAATGGAAGACGTCGGCGAGGAGAGAGGGTTCGAAAGAAACGTGACGCATGAAAGGACGGGTGACGGATCGGGAAGGAATGATACCGGAAAAGGAAATTATTGAACATATTTTCTCCGCCACATGCGTGTCCGAACCATTTCGTCGCTGACACGACGTTCGATGTTATGTTGCTGGTTAACTTGCAGATAATCACATCTTCCCAATTGGAGGTCCTTGGGAATCCCCGCGCGCGCCCTGCTGACGTTACCCTGCCCCGTGAGTTGCCCCCGCCCTTTTGTGCGCTCTGTCGTGTCTGCGGCGATGTATATGCGTACGCGTGCGCGCTGCACACGCATACTGTCCCCCATGCGGTTGTGCACGACACCGCACGCGCGCTTTTTCGCTCGCCTACGTACGACCCGCGCCCATCTGAGTGCATTCAACACTCCCGTTGCGCAAAAGACGTTTGCGCGCACTGCGCCCTCGCGCTTGAGGCCGCGCTTGAGATTCTTGACCTGATGCGCATGTGTATGCCCCCACATCATGTCGTCTCCTGTCACACCGTCGTCGCCCGCCACCGATACCACGTCCCTTCGCAGATAACTCCCTCTCCCTCTCTCTCTCTCGGGCCCGTCGATGCGGCACTCACTCGCCCAATGTCTTCGCGCTCATTCCCTTGGCTGCGCAGGTGATCCCGGCGTGGAGAACGCCAACGCGCTCGCGTTCCTGGTTTCTTGTTCCCTCCGCACGTCGCGTGAGTGTCGTGTGAGCCTTGCGGAACATGTACAGATCCGAGCTGGTCACTTGACCGTGAAGTCGATGATTGTAGTGTACCAATAACATCGCTGGCAGTATGCTCCGGAAAGCTGTAATGACATCATCACTTTTCAATAGAACGGTAGGAAACCGGCCCGCCGTACATACAGCAATACAGAAGACCGGAAAACCTGATAATGGACATGCGAAGCGGGGAGAGGATGCGGAGATGTCTGAGGGATGTCGCAGTCAGATGGCTGCAAACGACCGATCCAATGATTGCATACGAGATGACCTGAAATTAATGACATACCTCTAGTCATTTGCCGTATGCCGCGAGACCATACAATCGCTCTCCTCGACTGCGTCAGGGACATCGAGTTCACCTCACATACACACGATCTCCTCCATCGTTGGCCGCTTCAGTGGATCGTCTACCACAAGCTTGTCCGCGAAGTCCATCAGCCGCTTGGACCCCGCGTCGTAAGACATTTCCTGCGCCACCCTACCGAGTGAATACACGTCCGCCCGTAGCGGCCAGAACCTCTCTCCCTTTTCTGCCTCGGGGGCTATGTACCCTTTCGTCCCTCTTACCCATCCCTTGTACCACGGCTTGGGGCTCTTCACGCGCATGGCGGAACCGAAGTCGATGATGGTCAGTCGTCCGCCCGTGGGAGGTATCACGATGTTCTCGGGCTTCAAGTCCAGGTGTGCGATGTTGTGTGCGTGCAGGAAAGCCACCGCTTCGAACAGCTCGCGGGCGATCTCATCGACGTGCTTCCAAAGATAGGTCAAATCTAGGTCGGTGATGGGATGACCGACTGCCGGCATGAAGATGACCGTGCCCTTGTCCGTGGGCAAGTAGTCGGTAGGTCTGATGATGTGGTTGGTAGGGGGTTCAATGGCGGCAAGTTCCTTGAAGGGACGAGCTTGAGGTACTGTATCCGATGGCATCCCAGATGTGCATGTCGACGATCAGTGCCAGATCGTCACGCTATGAGGAAATCGGTGTCAACAACCTGATGACAATACGATGATGGAGTCTCACCCCCGATGCCATGGTGAGCAGCGTCGGTTTGCGATAAATCTTGCGCGCCAGTGCACGGACTTCAGTAGACATAAAAACCCCCAGGTGTTCGAACCCCTCGTAACATGCTTCTTCGTCTTCGGGCTCATCATCGTCACGGTGTTCACCGATGATGGGGAGAGGAGGGCGGACTCGCTGGTGAGAGGCCCTCGGTGTTCTGCCCACGTTCGGCCGGCTTGTGAAGGAGTGCATAGGCTTAGCGGCTGCATCAACATCGGACAGAAGTCTTGTCATCGTGTCGTCCAACTCCGCAATGGACTCCTCTGCGACTTTCCGCAGAATGTACAAGCTACGCAGGAAATTCACGGCATCTGAGTCGTATGACAACTCAAATGTGGTCTTGAAGTAGTTGACCCGGGGCTGCAATGACGCAAATTTCAGTGCCTATCTCACAGTTTGCCCTGTCACAACGATGGCCGTACCTCGGTGCTGCTGGCCTGATGCAACACGTATACCTCCGCTTCAAGCTGCTTGGTGAAGTAGATTGCAGTGACGAAGAACGGCTTTTGCGAGGTAGTCTTCCGAAGATGATGTCCAACACGAGCGGCGACGATAGCTTCGACCAGCATCCGCCATCGGTCCTCCACATTGTCCTGTGAGACCACCTCACTGATAATGAGGGGGCACTTGTATGCAACCGACGTAACACTCCAGTCGTTTTTGGGTTTCAAAGTGACCCAATCTCCAGACACTGGATCATGGATGAGGATCGGGAACCGCCATTGCGATTGCCTGGGCACAATGAATTATTAGCGATGTTTGTCAACACTGCCGGAACACGCACTCTTCATACGTGAGCGTGTTCCCTCTTTGTTGCATGAACAAAATCGCGAAGCAGCGTGCTTGCCTTCAATGACGATGAATTGTCAGCCGCGACTCGACTCCGATCTTGCTGGAACAAACGAAATTGAATGCAGTGATGTCTCGGGTCGTAGCAAGAATATAGTCGGTGTGAGACAGTGAACTAGGGGGGTCATCCGCAGAGACAAACATGCTACCGAAAAGGGGCTGAGAACGAGCGGCCGCTAGCTCCCTGTCGTCCTCATTCATCTGCTGTATTGTTTGTCATGTGCAGTGAGCGATGGAAGGAAGAGAAGCTAGTAGCTAGCCAACCTCGTTGATGATCAGTTTGCTCTCTCGCAACCTGTTGATCACAGTACGAAGCTCTGGTGTTCGTTCTTCGACTCCGTGATTTGCATACACATCGCCTGCATTCCATCGTCCCAGCTTTCCGACTCGTACATTGAGGCTCGGAAAGAAGTCGCCATAAGTTGATTGAAGCAGCTCCAATGCGGCTGCCGAGGAAGCTGGATGAAGAATCGAGTGTGCGTCAGATCGCCGCCCCTGGACGGTGAACGTCATGGCAAGGAACTGTAACAATGATAGAGATTGATCAGTCGCGTTATAATTCAATATATGCGTGGAAGAGAGCATACCCATTAGAGACTTGGCTGTCGGTCAATCCGCGACCAGCAGGGATTAGTCGGTCAACGAGGTCTTGAATCTGAAGTTGTGGGCAGCGATTTTGACTGTCAGGCGCCCAGTATTCAAATTCATCGATCGACTTTCGTCGCCGATCGACAGTTTATGTCTTGGTTTCGAGCATTCTTCTCAGTAGCGGGACTCGCTGCACTATAGTACACAATGGCGAAGAAGAAACCTGGAAAAGACGTGAACAAGGCTGCTGCAAAAGCGGCCAAGAAGGCGAAGGCAGTACAGAAGGTCGAGCGGAAGGAGAAGAAGAAAGTCGGCAAGTCGAGGGAGGAGGTGGACGATGATGATCAGGACCTGGAGGGAATCCTGGACAAGGTATGTCACATCCCTCGATGCGCTGTCTCGGGCAAAAATCGATGTTTCGGACCGGGATTAGTAGATGCGAAGAGAATGGGAGGAGGCGCACAAAGTCACCCAGGAGCTCGTAGAGGGTCCTCCCAGCCGACGAGCGAACGCAACATTTACTCCGTGCCCCAATGGGGACCACCTCTGGGCGATCGGTGGTGAGTTCTTTAGCGACGATGGTAAAGCGGTACGAGAGTTTCCTTCCTCCGTATACCTGGCCGCCGGCGCTCAGACGACTGTGTCTACCCATAGTACTTCTACAACGACGTTTTTAGGTATTCTCCAGAAAAGGTATGCTATCTGCTCCCGAATCTGTTTGGAATAGTGCATCTCATTCGACCCGACCCTCCCTTCACCCTCAGGATGAATGGCGCAAATTCGTTTCGCCAACTTGTCCGGGACCTAGATCAGCGCATGCTGTCGTTGCCTCTCCGGCTGGAGGAGGAAAGTTATACCTATTCGGTCAGTACGGCTGTTCCTTTACTTTGTTCGGGCACTTGAACAGGGTACCTTGGTCTAGGCGGTGAATTCTCGTCTTTGTACCAGAACTCTTTCCACCACTACCGGGACTTCTGGTGCTTTGACATCTCCACGCATATTTGGGACCGTATCGAGACCAAGAAGAAACCAACCGCTCGCTCCGGGCATAGGTGCGCCTTATCACTTCTGGCTTGCACCCAGTAACTCACCATGACTTCGCCAGAATGGCAATGTGGAAGCATTATGTCGTGCTGTTCGGAGGGTTCTATGACCCAGGGATCAAGAGTAAGTCAGCAATGCACTCCAAAATTACGAGAACCGGATGATTGACTTGCGTCCGTATCCACCAGCTAATTACTTGAATGACTTGTGGCTATTTGATACCCAGGAATACAATTGGCGTCAGGTTGAGTTCAAGGATGCGGAACGCAAACCCTCGTAGGCAAAGTTTCCTTCAAGTCGTATATAGTAACAGATTATGACGAGAGCTTATCAGTCCCCGAAGTGGTTTCTCCTTCCTTCCCGCCCCAGATGGCATATTGTTGCATGGTGAGCATTGTCATCTTCTCCTCGTAGCCTTAGTGCTCAGTCGGAGGTCCCCTCCTTCTCAAGGCGGATACTGTAAGGAGTATCCAAAAGGCAGCCGACCGATAGGTATCATGCTGGATGATACATGGTTCCTCAGGTACGTCGCATGGCTGTCGAGACGGCTTGCCTCTCTGAATGTCTGCCACCCTCCAAGAATCACAATGAACGAAGTGAAAGACGGAAAGCCACCAGCAGAGCCTCTCACTCTCAAGTGGGAGAAGCGAAAACGAGCGTCGACGGCATTCGCACCGTCTTTACGCTCCGGGTGTACGATGGCTCTGTGGGCGACGAAGAATACGGGCATCCTCTTCGGTGGTGTCACGGACGAGGATACGAGCGAGGAAACACTAGAGAGCGTGTTTCACAACGACTTGTATGTCTAGTTCTGCCAACATCTGTTTAGTGCCACATGAACAGGATCGCTCCCTCAGGTTTGGCTATCAGATCGCCGGGAATGGGCGGTGGGTATCCATGATGCTCAAGAAGCCGAAGAAGAAAGGTGGTGGTGGCGCGAAGAAACAGAAGCCCGCCGCCGCAACAAGTCGACTTCAGGACGATCTCGAGGGCGAAGGTGATCTCGACAGTGATACGGAGAACGGCAACGATGGCGAAGTGAGCTAGTCTATCCTTGCGTCGACGACAGTATTACTGAGTCTTACTTCAGTCACAAGATGCCCTGAGGAGGAAGAAGTCCTCCGCACCTAAGAACCGCACTTTGCCCGCCGAAGATGACGTGGATCCAGATGACCCAGAACTCTCAAGACCGATGCCTCGGTATAATGCGATGCTCGCGGTTCAACGCAACACGCTGTACATGTACGCTGCATATGACTCATGCTACATGTACGTTCGCTAACGGTTACCATAGTTATGGTGGTATCTTCGAGCGAGGGTCCCGGGAGTATACTCTGGATGATTTCCATTCTCTGCAGCTAGACAAGCTCGACCGCTACACTTGCTTGAAGCGCAGCGACGTCACCATTGCCACAGATGGTGACGACGAGAGCAGTGATGAGGACGATGACGAGAGCGATGGCGACGATGACGACGACGGCGACGGCGACGATGACGATGAGCAAACAGTTGTGGACGTAGACGAACCCATCGAGGAAACACAGAAGATGGAGAAGGAGCCGGACGCAGACATCGTAGAGAAAACGGCGAAGCTGACACAGGAAGAAAAGGTGCGTACGGCGTCACAACATCCCGTCTTGGGGCTAACATGAGGATAGGATGCCTTGCGTTCGAAAGCGACTGAATTCATGGGTGTGGCGAAGGATAACACACGGTCAGCGGAAGACGTTATAAGCACCCCGCTTCCGGGCGAAACACTGACGATGTTCTACGCTCGTTCGCGTAAGTACAAATAAACTCATTTTACTTGCCCTAACACGTTCGGCATAGGCGACTACTGGGCACAGAAAGCATATGGGAGCAGCGCTGATAACCGCGGCAAGCAACTCCGCAGAGTTGGATTTACGCTGGCCGAGGAGCGATACGGTGAGTCATGCCCCCTTGGAATCTGCTCGGTTGTTGATCTCATTACCCCTAGCTGCATACGAACCTATACTCAAGGAGGTGGAAAAGATCCTCGCAGAGGCTGGCTTAGACGAAGAAGACATGCGAAACGGCGCCGCAGCTGGGCCAGCCGGTTCCAGTGGTCAAAGTCGGAATCGGCGGTAACCTCAGACCAAGAATACGTCCGTTATCTCCAAAACTCGATGCGATACAAGGCTTTATGTTGTACATTCGTCGTGCCTTCTAAGTCCATCAACCCATACTTAGTACACTTCACCACCGTCTTCCGTGCATCATATTTGATCCTCAGGTGTCTCCCCAAACAGCCCAGTCCTCGATGTCCTCTTCCGCATCTACGGAACCTCCAACCGTATGTCCGTTTTCTGAGTACCACGATGGATACGAGAAGACAAGAATACCACGAGTGTCCCAGTCCGAGAGTAGGCCACAAATCTCGTCTCTTGCCTCCCGTAAGGTCGACAGCCTCTGTGTCCCAGTTTGGGAAGGGTAGCGCTCTACATTCACGGTGACCCGCTCGAGAGAGGCAAATACTGGGCGGGAAGTGATGTCCTTGGCTGTCTTTCTGCGCGAACTCGCATCCGAGGCTAGGATATCGTCGGTGAGGAATTTCTGTGACTCCGTAATGATGTGCAAATCAACGCGGCGCATGTCGCCGTCGATGGTATCGCACTCCGCGAGAGCCCGTAGCAGTGCAAGGCGCGAAAGTCGCAGAGTGGGCGTATCCTGTTGTACGCAGATTCGGATCCGTAGGCCATCCGCTTTGCCCAAGTAGTTGTACAAAGTCTGCGTAGCCATGCCCTCTTTACCAGGGCAACGTCAGCGAGTCATCTGGCAAGGTAAGAAGACACTCACCCTTTGATGCAACAGTGTGTAATACGAGTCTTTGTAAACCACCGCCCACGGCCCGCAAGGTGCGACCCACAAGAGGCGTGCTGCACAGATTGACATCAAGTGACTCCAGACTGCGATTGGGAAGACTCGCAACGAGCCAGTCAAGCAGCCGATCGCCCTGGACAGATGAAGCAACCTTCGCAACGAAAGTGTGCAACCTCGGTAGTTCGGGACCTTCGCTCAGGATCGAAGGAAGCGTCGAACGTCGAGGACTGGCAATATCCCAAACGATGTCGAACATCTTCAGCTGACCGAGTTGGGGAAAGCAGGATACGAAGTGCCTCAAATCGTCGAAGCTCCTGAAGGTGCACTTCCGGATGTGAAGCATCACCAACAACGTGAAGTTCGAGCAGAGATCGAGGATGGGGTTGAGGAACATGGGGTGTCCGACGAGAGTGCCTCCTTGAGGCAAAGCATCGAGGCGCAAGACCTCCAAGCGCAGCCACTTCACTGGAGAACGCGCAGACCTGGGTAGATCAAGGTATCTTGGCCCCGCCGCAGAGGACAACACACTGACGTTGGCCAGCTCCAATGTTTTCAGTTCTCGGAAGGCAGATATGAATTGTCGAATGTCTGCGGAGCTGCCAAACCGGCTCCCCGTGATGCTGAGATCGACGACAGATGTGAACGCGGTCGTCAGAGCGAACGTGCTGGAGTGCGGCCGGCGGCTCGTCCAGTCAATTTGCTCGAGCCTGAGGAGCCGCACGTTGGGTAGAAGCGCTCCCGGGAGGCGGAGAGAGAGGACGTGCATGAACGGCTTCTCCCTGTCGTCCGTAATGTAGAGCTGCCGCAAGTCTCGATAGAAGTGTCGCGTCTTCTTCGAGTTGAGCAGTCGCGAGATGCGGTCGAGGTTCTCGAAGTTGTTGATGCTGAGGCCTTGTCCTCGTTTCAAGAGCCGTCGACTGGCGTCTCTCCACGTTCGACATGTCAAGGCACAGTTGAACAGCGTCCACGGGTCGCTCCACAGGTAATCCAGGATGTTGTACACGAGATCCGCCGGTATATCCGGCGGCATTACGCTGTTCATCCATGAGTATGCATGACCATGGTACCAGATTCGAGACAGACAGTTCACCAACCTTGTTGTAGGTTGCAGACGACCTCCTACGGGGCAGGTTGAAGCCAAGCGGCTATGGAGCGCAGGACGACTGGTTGGGTAAAGGTTGGGTCTCAGCCTTACATACGTGAGGTTCGACGGATCTTTCCACGAAAAGATAGTTACATAGGTTCTCTGATCTCGACTGGTGCGGATACTGATGAGTTGGAGCCGTGTCACTGATGTGACCGCGGAATCCACCATAAAGCATACGTTTTGTACTCAGGGCTTTCTAACTTGGTCTCACAGCAATGGTGCCAACCTTTCTGAGCTGTACATTAGCAATTATGAGTGCGATGGTATCTCGAATGTATTGCTCACCGAACCATATTGCCTTGCATGCGGCAGTAGCGCACCCCATCACGTACAGCGGGGCCGCGTGGACAGCGCAGAGGGCGATAATAGTCACGAGGAAGTTCAGAGTTAGTTCAGAGTTTGCTCCCGGCTAGAAAGAAAGGGACATCGATGGCAGAGTGGGCTATCGCATGTCTAGACGTGACCTTGACCCTCCTTGACCTCCCCCTCGCGGTCGGAACATAACCGCCGTGACATTGGCCCAGCACAACCGCATCACACGCCCCTCATCCGGTGTGCCATCACACCGACATTACCACGACCAGGATCATCCTCATATCGGCAACCCGATCCCCAGGACGAAGCCCAGGAGCACACCTACTACGCCCATCCCCCACCATGACTCCAGCACACCGTCCACCAACCCCCTACACCCTCGCGAATCCGGTGCGAGCCACAGCCACATCCTCAGCACCGCCTCGACCCCGCCGACGCTGTAGTCCACCGGTTCCTGCGCTGCGACGCGCCGCATCGTGACCATGTACCATGCCATTGCCGTCCCTGCGCCGACAAGCGGCGGGAGCCGGACGGGGAGGAGGGCCCAGGATCGGGCGAGCATATATGCTTGGATATGGAAGAAGAGAGCTCGTGCGTGTTGTAACGAACTTCGGCGAGACGGTGCTACCACCGGCGATTCGAGGTCAGGTTCAGGCAAGGGCTCCATGGGGAAGCGATCGGTCGTGAGGTCCCCCGTCATGGCCGCTTCGAGGGTGCGCGGCAAGTCGGGGCACAAGACCGACAGCCTGCCGATGCCGAGCAGGTCCGCGTGGCCGTGCTTCAAGACGGACGACATCAGAGGCAGCGTGCGCAGACCACCCGTGAGGAGGATTAGAGGTGGCTTGGGGAATTGGGAGGCGATCATCTGCTTGACTTCGTGCGCGAACTCTGTAAAATATGCCTGTCTGGGTGACGTCGTTTTGGTCATGAAGGCTAGGTATGACGAGAGGTGAACGAGTGAACACTCGATATCGAACAGCGCAACGTACCGGGATCCTCGTAGTCGCCTCCGCTCACTTCCATGAAATCGAGCATTTCCCACTCCGCGATCTGGCGTACGTGCTCGAGGGCTTGATTCTCTTCGTTGTGATTTGAGTCGACTGGCGGCGCTCGGTCGGAGCCCCCGTGATCGACATAGTCCGCTGCGTTTAGCTTGATGCCGAGGATGAACTCATCGGGGATCTTGTCATTATCCCTGATAGCAGATACAATGTCGTGCAAAAAGCGTAATGCATTCTCCGGAGCGCCGTATTCGTCGATACGCCGGTTCGTCTGAGTACGCGTCAGGTATGAGTCAACCGTACCTCTGCAAATAATATCTGCGACCTGAGTAACGTACCTTGGGAGACATGAATTGCGAAATAAGATCTGCATCTCATCAATATTACTGAACCATGGCTCAACGCGGTCAACAACTCACATCCATGCGCGGCGTGCAGCTGCACTCCATCGAAACCACTGGCTACCGCGAGTTCCGCGCCCCTCACAAAGCTCTCCACAACGTCGCTGATATCCGACAAACTCATTGGGCGAGGCGTCTGGAAGAAAACGGTGTGCACCAAGCGAGACAGCAGCGCCGACGCGGACCCCTCTCCGTCCGCCGTCCTCCGCCCAACCGGGACCGCACTCGGAGCCACTGGAGGCGCAAACGGCCAGCGGCCCCCAATGATGTTCGTCGACTGCCTCCCAGGATGCGACAGTTGCAAAACCGCCACTGTCCTCTTCTCTCCATTTCCCTCCGCGCCCTCTGCACTCCCGTAATGTATCGCCCTCGCGAGGCACGTGAAGGGCTCTATCGTCTCCGGGGTGAGACGCGCCGGGACGACCACGTCGCGTCCGAGGCTAAGGTGGTCCTCACACACCTGCACGTTTCCCGTGCAGACCATACCCCACCCACCTTCGGCCCAGCGCGCGTACAGCTTGAGGTGCGCGTCGTTTGGGGGCCCGCCAAAGAGCGCGCTCATGTGCTCGTACATCGCTACCTGCGCGGGAATAGTGCGTTATTGGATGCATGGCGTAGATTTGTGGGGAACCTACCTTGACAAGCCGGTTGGGAATGTAGCGGCCGCTAGGAAGTTGGGCAGCAGTAAATAATTCGCTGGCGTCTTCGCGCCAGGACTCGGACGGACTGAGGTCCTCGTCACGGCTGGTCGAGCCGTTGGTCTCTGCGAATGTACTTAACTGAGATGCTCTGTGCAAGCTCATGTCCATATCATCACGTACGTTGGCTCATCTATGGCATGTACTGGCGGTGGTAAGGTTGAGGAGGAGGATGAGGAAGAGGAGGGGTTTCCAATTAGTACGGTCATGGTTAACCGCAAGTCCATGTACTACCCGTAGCGCCGGTCCGTCCATCATCCCTTTGTGTCCACAGAACACCCACGGCCTCTATGTCTCACGATCAGCACTCAGAGGAGGAGACATGCTGGGCACGGAAGGGAAGGATGTGAGTGTACTCGGACGGCTTGGAGACGACGGCAGAGTCGGAGCGGCCGCCGTCAAGACCTGAGATACTTCCTACACTGGACCAAACTGTTTGTCTATTTCAAGTCTATTTTACATTGCTCATCCATGCTAGTCCCGGTACAAACTTGCTCAACGGCCTTGCCCTTTGCTACTTACTGGTCTGAATCCAGCTCCTCATAGTGCCTGTACAGGCCCATGCTGAACGGCTGCCTGCGCCCGCTCGCGATGTACTCCTTGATGCCCTTCTCGCCCTTCACGCGCTCATACAGCGCGAACACGTCCGCGTACTCGCCGCCCTCCTTCACCGCGTCCATCCGCTTCGGGAACGCGAACAACAGTCCGTCGAGGACCTGCACGGCGCGCATCAAACGTCAGCACCAGCATTGGAGGGAGGAGGGCAGACGTACGTGGAAGAGCACGAGGTCCGCGGTGGTGGTCTGCTTGCCGACGAGGTACGTCTTCGCGCCCGCGTCCGTGGCGGGGTTGCTCGCGAGCACGCTCTGGAAGTGCGCCAGGAATTTGGGGATCCTGAGTTTGCGGAAGTCCTCCGCACGCACGAACGCTGCGTCCTTCTGCTCGTCGTAGTACTTTGAGCCTGCGAGAGGGTGGTGCACGTCGTGCGCCTGCCCATCATCAGCTTGAGCTCCATCGCGCACAGCGCGCAACGCACCTCGTTGCTCAAGTCCAGCGCCGTCAGCGTGAGCTGGTTCACCACGGCCCTCTCTTCCTCCGCCTGCTCCCTCTCCTCCTCGCTCAAGCACGCGTCCGCGACCCTGCTCCCTTTCTCTCCCGCCAGCTTGAATTTTGGCGCGAGGTAGTTGAGGATCGCGGGCGTCTGCGAGAGATAGCGGCCCGAGGGGAGCTCGAGCACGGGCGGCGCAAAGTGCGGCGGGTGGCCGACCTTGGCGGGGTCGGTGATTGTGGGGAGGAGCGTCTTCGGGGCGTTGTTCTCGCTGTAGGACTCGCCCGCGTACTCGAACGCGAGCCGGATGTACTCACCGCGCCCTGGAATCCCGCCCCACTGTGCGTGAGGTCAGTACAGGCGTGGGGCACTTCGTAGGCCTCGTACGTAGTAGAGCTTGTATCCGCCCGTCTTGGGTTTCTTCTCTGGAGGAGACATGGCTGCGAATGGGCGAACTCTGACTTGGAGGAGCGAGCACGAGGGGGTAGATGCTTTGATGCTCAAGTGGTGGGAGAAGATGGGTGAGATGCGTCGTTGGGCCGGTGAAGGGCCGGTTTATATGTACACGCTGACGTCAATTCTGGCTGAGACCGGGCAGGAGCGCTCTGCCGGCGAGGTCGATATGGACAGGATTGTTGCAGGCCTCGATGAACCTTCTCAGTTGACCCACCAGCTGATCCGTGTGTCGTAATTCGTCTCTCGAGACTCAGGATGAGCGAAGCGCACAATGTCGGGAGAGCGGATGAACTTCTGTATGGTATATTACTGTCAACGTAGATGCCTGCGCATATAGGTTACTTTTCCGCGTCTAGATCTTCCCCACGAGTGCGTTTCGTAGCATCTCGCGCGCGGTGATGCGGACGGTGTGGTACAACGACCACACATCCAACGTCGACGTGAAGACGTCGGCGAGGCCGAACGGCAGCATGAGTGGGATCCATCCTGCATGCTCAAGTCAGCCTCTAAGCTCCGCCCACGCGCGCACTACACACCTCGAGCATACTCAAGCGCGTAGCAGCCTTCGTGCATCTTGTACTGCTTAACGTACCCGCGCGGGAGGTGGTGCACACTGCCGGCAGGGTAGCGCTCCATCTCGAGCGTCGGCGGGGCGAACGCCCACTGCTCGCCGACGAGGATGTTGAAGTAGTCGTCCGCGGTGTGCATGCCCGTATGGCCCTCCGTGCCCAGCGGCGTCCCGAACACGATCAGGTACTCCGTCACGCTCGCGTGGATGATGTACATCGCGCCCATGGCGCCGCCCGCATTGCTGAGTACCCACTCGGACGCGTTCGTATTGAGCGCGATCTGGGAGTCCGGGTACGTCGCGGTGAGGTTGGTCACAATGTGATTGATCATAGAGTTGATGTCGTTGGGCTCGGGCGCGGAAGCGATCGCTGCCTGGGCGAGCTCGTGCAGGCTTGTCGGGTCGAGCACGTACCAGCGGTCCTTGGGGTCAGAATGTTAGCATGCGGTGTCTAGTGAATCGCAAACGGACCACCAGATACAGGCAGTGAGCTTGTGAGAACAAAGGAGGGTTGCAACAAGATCGAAGGCATAGTAAAGCTGATGATTCAGTAGGCTGTGGGCCGCGAGGGGCACGAAGAGGGTATACCATGGACGACTTGGTGCGACGATGCGTACACGAGGTCAGACGCAGGGCTTCAGCACTTCAGCACCGAGTTCCGCATTGTGTGGCCGAACGCGTTGCCTGAACGTTGGCGATCATAGAAGTGAACAGTAGACGGCAGGGGGTTCTTAGCCCCGCACCTCAGCGGCAACAGACGACGTGTCGACTGATACGCCAGTATCCACCCCGGTGCACCGCCCCCATTGAGGCCCACTAGTGAGAAGCACGCAGCGGTCGCTGTTGCCCACGAGAGATGGAACGACAGGTTGGAGTTTGTCCTCAAGTAGCACTCACCTTGATTGCGTCCAAGCCCTTGCATACTGCCCACACCGCTGTGAGCCATGCCATCCGCACCAGCCATTTCGTCACCCATGGCAGTGCACCACCCTCGGGCTGCGCTGTTCGTGCTGTTGACTTCGAGGAGGCCATGGCAGGGCTGAAAGTAGTCGGATGCCAACACCCGCTGGCTGAGAAATAGTCGGGGGTCGCTAGCGGGATCGGGCGCTAGAGCGCGCATCGTACCATTCGACGCGTCGCGGGCGCCTGTTGGGCGCCTGGGACGCGTTTTGTGAAGCGAACCGGTTCGCAGCACGCGTGTCCTCAGATGAACGGGACAGCTGCATCGTCTGTCCATCACTGCGACATCCGGCAAACCTCTTCCTCTGTCCAGATCACGCTCCGGGAGCGTACTACACGATGTCCTGCAGGCACCTGATCGCTCTGAAGTCCTTGCACAAAGCCTAGGAAATACACTAATGCCCCCCACGCATGTCGCCATCCTCGGAGGTGGCTTGACAGGGCTCTCGTCCGCCTTCCACCTTTCGCGGCGCTTTCCCAAGTCGCGAATTACCTTGCTCGAGAAGCAAAACAGATTGGGAGGTTGGGTGATGAGTGAACGCGTAGACGTACGCGTGCCCTCCGCGGGAGGAGCTGCAGAAAGCGCGAGAGTGCTACTGGAGGCGGGGCCCAGGACGTTGAGACCGGGTGGGCTGGCCGTCCTAGAACTGGTGAGTTCATGTCGTTTCGACGTGGTATATGCGGGTTTTGAATAAGGGATGTCGTGGAGGATGTTGGCGCGAGCAAAGAGACGTGACATTACTTTCTTGTTCTTCGTTAGAGTGCAAGAGAACAGCGTCATGTCCTTTTATAATTTATCGCAGTCTTTTCAGAGCATGCTACATTCCTGCTGCTCGCTCGGACATGCAGCGCTTTCTAGATGAGCACTCTTTGCAGCTGATTCTATATTGCTAGATCCCTTCCCGAAAAAGTGTGCGCAGGCGGGTTGTCAAGCCTATGTCTGACCTTCTCATCGAGCGTTCCGCACCTCTGCCGGTCTCGCTCGCCCTCGACATTCCTCGGTATGGTAAAATCCTGACGGGAGCACCCGGAGATACCAAGATCGACATGCTTCGCCTGTGCTCACTTCTGCACTCGGGGTCTAGCGATATGGAATTAGCTGTAGCAGCCCACCGATCACCATAAGAGTACTCATGCTGCCTGCGTGCTCCCTGATGTCAACGTTCGTCGTGATACCACTGACGCCCACTCCAGGTCCACCTCCTCAACCTCACTTCCTCACTGCTCACCGTCCCACGCACCGCCCCCGCAGCACACAGCCGCTTCCTGCACCTTCCCGGCACGTCAGGGCTGCTCCGCATACCCTCCTCCCTCTCCTCCCTGCTCTCCTCCCCCCTCGCACGCACCTTTGTTTCAGCTATCGTGAAGGACGTCTTCTCCCTCGCGCCCCGCTTCGCCGACGCAAAGGAGCCACTGGGAGAGGGAGATGTGTCAGTCGACGCGTTCCTTACGCGTCACTTTGGCGAGGCATTCGCGCGGACGTTCGGGAGCGCGCTCGTGCACGGGATATATGCCGCGGATGCGCGTGAGCTTAGCATGCGTGCGGCTTTTCCGCAGATGCTCGAGTATGAAAAGGCTGGCCGGGGCAGTGCTATTCGGGGTATGGTCGCGGCTGCGTTTGCAAGGGGGAAAGTTGCGACAAAGGAGGAGGCGTATGAGTTGGGTGAGGTGGAGGTGCTGATGAAGGGCGTGAGCGTGTATTCGTTTAAAGAGGGTATGAGTGAACTGGTGGACGCACTGGAGAAGCGTCTCGCGGGGAGCGAGAATGTGAGGATTGTGACGGGCAATGGCGCACTGAGCTTGGCCAAGGGAGAGGATGGCGTTGGTTTCGAGGTCAGTCGGATCTCACGACGCCTGCTCATAACAAACTCATCCCGCTATGCAGATAGAAACAGCGTCCGGCACAAGCCTCACCCCCTCACACCTCGTCTCCGCCCTCCCCCTGCCAGCGCTCGACACCCTCATCCGCACGCCCTCCCCATCCTCCGCCCTCCCTCCCCTCCCCCACCTTACCGCCAATCCCGCCTCCTCCGTCACCGTTGTGAACCTCGTCTTCCCCGGGCCGCCGACGTCCATCCACCCGCCTGGCTTCGGTTACTTGGTCCCGCGTCCCGTGTCCGACTACACCGATGACGGAGAGGGGCTCGGGATCCTGGGCACAGTGTTCGACTCGTGCGCGCTGCCCACGCAGGACGCCAGCCCCGACATAACCAAAGTGACCGTCATGCTTGGCGGGCCGCACTACACCCCCGGGCGTGCCGCGCCGCCTTCCCGTACCAAAGGTGAGGACGCACCGGACCCGGCGTTCGTCCGCCGGCTCCTGCCCGAGCTCGCGCGACACCTCGGTGCGCGCCTCCCCGAGCCGTTGTTAGTACGCGCGACGACGCACGAGGCGTGCATACCGACGCTGACGCCGGGGCATGTGGCAAGGATGGCGGAGATGCGGGGTGCGGTGAGGGAGCGGTGGGGGGAGGCGGCGGAGGTGGTTGGCGCGGGGGTTGGTGGCGTCAGCGTGCCGGCGTGTGTGGAAGCGGGGAGGAGGGTGGGGAGGGGGTGGGGACGGTGAGTGCTGGTAAGAGTGGATGAGAAGGGAAAGCTGGACTTGCTAGTGCCAGGCGGATATACGGTAGGCTCGGTATGTGCCCTCGACGTCGTGCTGCGTACGTTGACTCTAAACATCGACCACCCAAGGACTGGGGCAATAGCAGCTGGTTCCCATGAGCTTAAGCGTGTTGCCAAAGATGCAAAAAGACCCACCCTCGCCGTTGAACGTGACATTAACCGTCCAGGGTGTCGAATCTCTATATTCTTTCGTTGCAAATCCAAAAAGCTCGCAGAATCAAACTTCAGAAATGGCGGTGGGACTTTCGGAGCGCTCTGAGCGCACTGGCTCGCGATCGAGGGCGGCACAGGACACGTGCATGACACGAGTTGTCACTTGGTGTGACAAGACGCGGTCAAACGTGACAGGACGCGTGGCTCATGGAGGCCGCAGGAGGTCCAGTGGGACGTGCAAAACGGGAGGCTGGCCCCGGTTATCTCACAGACCTCTTTCTCACATTGTTCTTTGTAGATTGAACGTGGTGAAGCTTGAGATACTCCTATGGAGTTGTATTTCTGTCACATTTGTATTCCTCGCTGTCTAGCTGTCCTGTAGGTCTCCCTGCATATTCTATCTGATGCATCTGCATTTGTACCAGTGCATGTCCCGCTGCCTATTGGTACATATTGGGTCACCGAAGCCGGTGGAATTGTCCGCGCATCCTACTGTCATCTTGAACCACACATCCAAATTTTTCTGAGTAGGTTGCTCTGTTAGTGTGAGCCAGACCGCTCATCATGGATCGGACGAGGTGAGTCATCGTGACCCCGTTACTCGATTTCGTGCCTGATCTCCCTGGCCCCTCATGGTGGTAGCTCAGCTACGAGGAAACGATGGACGCCGAATAGTCGACGTGCGCCTGCATCATGATGAGTCTCAGTCTGCATAAGCAGCCTAGTAAGTATATATGTAGTAGCAGATGCAGTATGTCAGTAGTAGTGTAGAATAATTCTCGGTCCAGATCTAGTCTCCCTGGCAAGCAGACGTAGACAATGCCTTTAATCTTCGTGCCGTTCCAATGACTGAATGGACCTACAAGCGCACTCGTGCCCCCACACGTCAGCGGCAGCGTGTCGAGCTGTCCAAATCCCGGTCCCAGACTATGGTATCAACGCCGATACCGGTGCACAAGCCCATATATGTCTCCTGGTGGGTCTCGCAGTGAATCAAGATCAGAAACATGGGCGACAGCAGGCGACCCTGGTGAGATCTTCAATGTCGTCGTACCGATGACTCGGACAGTAGGAAGGGATTGCTCGATGCAGTCAGCGGTCCGCGGACGGAGCGTTACAGCATCGGTGATCGGGCAGGAGGTTAACAAGTGAGTCGGAGTATGGTGTCAAGCGTGCAACGTCCCTCCAATGGTAACAAAGGGCCAAATATCGCGCGGTCGAAGACGTTAAAGCTTTGAAGCTCACATCATGTCGAGCATTGAGCGTTCCGCGCGCGGACCGTGCAGAGGTCGTTTAGAGTCTGCCACTGCAGACTAGCACAGAGCGGTAGAAACCGAGCAGCTCGCAAACTGACATTCTGCGATGTGAACCTCAGCGCGAATGAGACGCCGTTATATAATTCGAAGATAGACTTACCTCCATCCACAGTCAGCGAGCCGCCTACGTACGTAGTATCCGTCAATAATTCAGGTAGAGGAAGCCCGGATGCAGGCTCATGACTGACCTTATCCATGGGCGAGCCGCCGTCCGGTCGTCACCACTACCCGTGCTAGATTTGCTGAGCGGCATCTTGTCCTACGCAGTACACCGACTGAACAGAAGAGGAGGCTTCCCAGCAAGCAAGCACCAAGCTACAAGTACACGAATAAGCAATAGGGCTGTCGTGTGACCGTCCCGCGAGCAGTATATGGAGTCTGGGTATCATGTCTATGTCGTGTGCTCATGAGAGTTCTACCTCACCCGTGTCCCATGGAACCTGTACCACGCCTAATACGAGCTCCCTTGACGCCGCGTCCTCGTCCGACACGCTCTCAGGGTATCCGCTATCGCGCTCCTTGCCTGTGCTCAGGCTGCTTTTCCGCCGCTCCTCGCCGACCCCGGTAGGGCGTGAAGAGTACGTCAGTGACGGTATTGCGTAGTCCGCGGCATCTTTCGAGTAGCTGCTGTTGTATGAATGTCGGTAATTTGGGCGGCGTGGAGAAGGCATGGCTACAAGCACGGCGACCTTCACCGCGCGGACCGGTGGAGATGGAATCTCTGGCACCGTAGAAGAGTGATTGAATGTTCCGGCGGCCGCAGCGGCTTGTACCTCCCGCATCCGGCGTAGCGTACGATAGGCGATGAATAGCGACACGAAGGGGACGAATTCCAATATTCGCAGCCCCGTCGGGACCTCCGGGAAGTGAATCTGCGGTATTGGCGATGTTGACGGCTCCGACGGGTCACATTTCTCCTCGCGGACATATGAGACGGAGAGTGGCTTCGAGGACAGTACGGTCAGTATTCACAAGACCGACTTGGCAGCGAGCGCGCACCGATGCTCACCAGAAATTCGCAGAACTTGCCCATGGCTTCGTGGCATGTCCGCGGAACGATGTCCCACAGCTCTGGCGTCGGAGGTAGAGCGCTGCACCGGCCCGTCGCGTGCCCTATTGTGCGCCGCAGCTCGATCGACAGCCGACGCGTCCCAAAGCCGCACCCGACGATGAAGAGGAACACGGCGATGAATGTCATGAGAAAGCTGAACGGTAGCTGGCCGCTCGGGGGCTGCGAGGCGCCGCCGATATTGCCCGTCTGCGTTGCGGATGACGCGCTGGAGGACGCCGTGGTGGACATGGTGATCGTCAGTTCGTGTCAATGTCTGAACGGGCACACGGAGCATAAGTACGAGGGTGTTTCAGGGGCACAGAGTCATAGACAGGAGATCAATGACTCGAACGTGGTGGTTAGGAGCTAAGGCGTGTCTGGCGACGAGAACACCATCATGGAACCTTGCGTTCTCGGAGAACCGTGAAACGACACGCGCCCGTGTGCGGAGCTACAGGAAGCCCAGGATCGCTGACGAATAGGCCATCGTGACTCCGTAGCGCCCGACCATGGGCGTACTGGAGGGCGCCTGTAGATCCGTGGTCGAGAATCGCCAAGACGCTCAGCGTCCAGGAATAACTCGCAGGCGCAAGTCTAAATGCAAGCGCCCCGCAGTACGTGCCTACGTACACCAGACGTACACCCAGACTAAATGCATGCGCATTTCCGACGTCGTAGGAGCTAGAGTTGAGGTCAATCTGGAGAGAGACATCTTCTAGCATACTAACTTAGTTGGAACGCACCTAGCTATTACGCGAGACTAGCCTGATGACGATCGCACTGAGAATATGGCGAATAGGACGACAAAATCTGCGAATGTGCGCAATGCTGATATGTGCACCTCGTGCTGTGATCCGTGTTGCACTGCCTTTGACTGTTGGAGTACTTACCCCAGAGTATGTACATTCAGTACATCTCGATCACTAAGTTAGCAGCTTGAGTCACCGGCGACCCTCGGCGACCTGAGCTTGGAAGGGGCGCTTCAGCCACCCCTTAGTCAGCCCGTCTGAAAAGCACAAGAAACAACGAATATACGAGGCACAGTGCCTGTGGACAGAGTATTCACCCATTCGGGAGGGTCACAACAAGCCCGAGCAGGGCGGGTTATGACAGAGATGCTACAGTATTAGTAAGGCTGTACAATGAAGGCCAAGCAGGAACCCCTCTGCACGCACGACGCACTGGCCAAGTTACGGACGCCATGCAGCTTGACATCGACCCGGTGAGACCCAAGGAAAGATAAACGAAACGATTCTGTGCAAGGGCATTAGCATTATTCATGAGGAAGAAGAGGAGATCGTACATTGGTCCGAGCGTTCTGGAGCTAATCGGGCCCGCTCAACACCATACGTGGCAGTGTCCCGGCAAGACGATGGGCTCCCGGGTTGGCCCAGTACATCTTGAATGTTCGCGCGGCGGGACCGTCAAGCCCAGAAGAGGCGCAGGATGCATGCCATGCCTTTCGCGCCCAAGCCTTCGCGTTACCAAAGTCTGAGACCTATGACGCATACACGTATGAACGAGACGGGATGGTGCAACAGACCTGACGTCATACTTACCAGGACGCATAGCTGGAAGGCATCGAAGCAAAACGTTGCTTCGTACAGCGCAAGCCTCTCTTCTTGAAGAAGCCGGAGCGCCAATTTTGCCTACACGAACCGGCATATAATGAGCCAACATCCAAGTCGCGCATGGTCATGAGCTGACCTTCCGTATGCCCAGTGTAGGCTCCTTCAAGCACATGCTGACCTCGTCATACAGTCGCCGTACAGTCGCCCTCCGCTGATCGCTCTGCGCGAGCTCCTCGCCCAGCAACGCGCAAACCGCGCATGCGCATTGGAACCCAAAGTAGTCTGCCAAGTGCGCATTGCGTTCTTCCCGTGTCCCGAGCACATCCACGTAGTTCATGCAGAGCTCCTCGCCCGCCTGCACGGGATGCAGGGTGCGGAAGACAAGCGCTTGTTGGCCAGAGTCCCATATGCGTCCGACGTTGGGCGTGCACGAGTGGTTGATACGCGAGGCGGTGAGGAAGATGCCGCGTCGTTGCTTCGAAGGGGCCGTCTGCGGGGAGTCGTCACACGCAAAAGAGTTGGTCTGGAAGATCGCGAGCGCAGGGAGGACCTTCCCGCCGCTCTTGTACGCGTTGGATAGCGTGAAGTACTCGCGCTGCTCGTCGCGCGTGCAGCCCGCGAGGGCAGATAGGACGTTCGAGTTCGTGCATCCCGGGTCCTGCGTGAACAACGGGCGCTCTTCGAGGAAGACAGTGCCTCTCGGAAGGGGCTGAATGGCGACGAGCCCCTTGTCTTTGTCCTGGACCCCGCTGACATAGTAGACAGGGACTTTGGGCGTCTCGAGCTCTGCGCCGGGGCTGGAAGGGGGAGGGTGACTGCGCCTGGATGGCAGGGCCGACGCATTCGTGTCCATGACGAGGCGAGCGCCACTCGCGGGGCGCTGCACGTTCGCTGGGCGGTGCACGCTGATTGTGCGCGACATTCTACTCCACGACCGCTAACGGAGTAATTCTCTTCGCCTGAGTCTGTGCGCAGGACGAGAGGTAAGGGTGCTGATCGAGACGAAGAGGAGAAAAACGCACGGCAAGCGGAGAGGAGGCAGAGAGAGCGGAGGGCGGAAAGTTGCGGAGAGCATTGAAGTAAGGGTGTTGCTCTGTAGGGACTGGGAGGAAGTCATCATCGTTGTTGAGACAGGCTGCACTCTTGCGCGTGCCTGATAAGACCAGGTGCTTTGGCAACTCTGACGCCGTAGCCATCTGCATGCTAAAATCCGCCGAAAAGGTGATCACATCGCTCTTTGCGTCTTGTTCGTTCCTGTGTTCTATGCAATGCGATGCATCAGGTAGCAATTGTCTGCCATTTGCCCTCCCGCGTGATATCTGCGCGCATATACCCATCCAAAGGCTCGATGAGAAAAACACTGGTGTCGACGCCGGCGCTCTGGCCAGGTCCTTGTCCAGCCGAACGACGTCAGATAACACGGAGGACTGAGTCCGGTTCATTCTGTGAATTCGGCTCCAGCAACGGGGATGAAAGGGCGCCCTCCTTCGCGGGGCCGAACACCGTCAATCAGCACCGTGCGTCACGTCTAGAACCTGGTCCTATACAGTCAATTCAAGGGCCGACACTATGATATGAAGAGTCAATGAACAACGTGCATCATCGACGATAAGGTCACTGACCTACCACTTGAAGACGGGGAGTGCTTCCCTCAAATTGAATCTCCGGAGAAGTTACATGCATGTATGTGTCCTTCTCGTTCAGTGAGAAGGCAAGTTTCTGTCTCGTTGCGTGCACTTTTGTTTCGTCGCATGCACAGTTCATTCTGATGTTACTGCTTTTAGGATCACTGCACCGTTGAAGTCTTTTGTGCAGTGACACTCACTCACTGCAATGTACATGTCTTCTTGGCCTCTTTCCGTGAATGACTAATGACCATAGTCTGAGCGGGAAGCACCCTTCATATGTGTTCCTCCTTTCTCATTCTTGGATGGGTTGAGCATGGTACATATACAAGAGGATAGACCGTTAACGTTGTGGACGGAACGAAGGGTGAAATATTGAGGATTATGCGATGTTCTTGACACATATTTTAGTTAGTTTCCGAGTCGGGTATCACATGCTCTAGGTTATCGGGTCTTAGAGCGCAAATCCTCGTCAGAATTCCTCTCCAGCGACACCGTCATTGGCAGTTCGCCACCTTCAACTTCACTGTCACTGTAGAAATCTACGACGATGGCAGATGCTGGTGAGTATTTGCATTCAATGCAGATCTTTCATTGTCGTGAACAATGCACATCCAGGCTTCTTCAAGGGAACATCCGCAGACCAGGACCGCAGGTTTTCTGACAAGGAACTGAAGCTTCTCAAGTCGATGAAGTTTCCCTCTGAATTTGAGAAGAAGGTTGGCTCGTTATAGTCCTGGAGACTTCTTGAATCCGCTGACACCTGCGGTCGTATAGGTCGATATGCGCAAGGTCAACTTATCAGTCATCCGCCCATGGGTTGTTAAGAAGATCGTTGAATTGGTGGGCTTCGAGGACGAGGTAGTCGTCGAATACGCGATGGGTCTTCTGGAAGATAACAGTCAACCTGTGCGTGCCATACCGTTGACCATCTGTGTGGCTAGCTTACCGAGAGACGTGCAGACACCAGATCCCAGGAGGATGCAGATCAACCTGACAGGATTTCTCACCAACCACACCGTCGAATTCATGTCTTCTCTTTGGAAACTCCTCATTGAAGCTCAAGAGTCGCCTGCCGGTGTACCACAATCCTTCGTAGAGGAAAAGAAGGCGGAGATGCGCCAGGCCAGGATGGGGGACACACGCGCGTTAGATGAGAGGGACAGACGGGCACGTCTCGACAACATCCGCGAGAATGAACGTGAGGCACGCGGTGGCGGCAGAGGGCGTGGCAGGGGCAGAGGACGGGGAGGACGAGGGTTTGATGATGACCGCGGTGGTAGACCACGCGACAGTGGTTGGGGCGGACGTGGTGGTGGTGGTGGTGGTGGTGGTGGTGGTGGTGGTGGTGTGAGTCTCCTGCACCATTATTGTTATGTCTAGTTCTGTGACGCGTCTGACTACAGCGCCCTGGCCGCCGACGTTCCATATCGCGGACGCCACCACCCCGCTCGCCGCCACCGCGCCGTCGGAGGTCTCCCTCACATACACCAGTCAGCGCGCGGAGTTCACGATCTCGTTCACGGACACCTCCAGCACGGCGCCTCCGGTCACCCCCTCGCGGCCGGTCACCCTCTCGTTCTCCGCCTCCCCGCCGCGTCCGCTCGCCGCCACCCCGCCGTTCATTATCACGCAGCCCGCCACCTCGCCGTCGTCCACGGACGCCCTCCAACATCCCTCCGCCGCGAGATCGTGATAGGCGTATCAGGGAAAGGGATTCCCGCAGTCCCCCAGCACGGAGGCGCCGCGTCTCCCCACCACCGCGCTCGCGTTCCCGCTCCCGGAGCCCGCCGTATCGCGGTGGTTTCAGGAGACGACGAAGCCCGAGTCGAAGTGTGAGTCGCTCGCGCAGCCCGCCACCCAGAAGGAGCGTACGAGGCCGAAGTCGCTCGCTGGATCGGCCGCCGCCCCCAATGCGCGGTGTGGATCGATCGCGGGAGCAGAGACGGAGTCCCACTCGCAGCCGTAGCAGGACGCTGAGCAGGAGTAGGGGCCCCACTCCGGACATTTGGGGAGACAGGCCTATAAAAGGCAGAACTGACACGATGGACGTAGACGAAAAGTCTGGCGAACTCAAGATCAAGGGACAGGCTGCTGCCGAGAAGAGGAAGACTAGGGAGGAGGAAGAGGATCAAGTATGTCTTATGGTCTCTCCACCGGCAACTCTCGCTCATCGGTCGGTACAGGATATGCCTGATCAGGCGGAACTGGAACGAAGAGAAAGCGAGCTGAAAGAAAAGGCGTTGCGCAACAAGGTCGTTAGGACGAGGAAGGGGAGCGCGAATATCGGAGGCAGCTAAAATGACGGAGGCAAACCCAAAGTCTTCGTATGGTCTCAATAATTTGCCAAAATAGTCTTTGACTTACGTCCTCTGCACCGAGGGTAGGGTCGCGACTTGGTTTTGTGGTTTCTTCACGCCGGAAGGCGTCCCTTCCTGCATGTATCCTGTCATCTATCGTCTGCTATGCTTCCGTTCTGCATGATCTGATGTATGCCTTTCCCACACGTCTATGCAGGCTCCTGTTGCGACGCGGACATATGGGTCAATGGTTATAGATTCGGCTAGCTTTCCTTCTTCCTCTCGCTAGTGCCGTTTATTGACCCATCTATGTGCAGCCCAACCATATGAGCCCAATGTGGGGGTCTTCTCTTGTCGTACGAAGGCGGTGTGCATCTGTAGGGTACGTGCAATTTATGCAGCGCTGTAGCATCTATCCAGCTCTAAGTGTCGCGCCTTAATCCGTCTCGACCAAGCTTACACATCGCCGCGGGATTCTGAGTTAATCATGGGCATGAAATTCGGACAATGCAGTGTCTGAGGCTGAAGATCGACTACAACACCGACGCAGCAACGAGTCTCGAGTCTCACTGCACGACGGTTCGACCACACCGGTAGGCATATTCCTCCCTTTGTTCTCCAATGACACGCATCGTTTGTATTTTGAATCGAGCGTCGGATTGGTATCGATCATGTCGGTGTCGCGGTAGTACTGGTGAACCATGGTGTACTCTGACTCAAAGCAAAACATACGCCCGGTCACATAGTACTCCAGACGACACAGAAGGAACATCAATATTGCCGTGTTGACCTCAAGACCATACACGGAACTCCGTCTTGAGAGCCGTGAACGGTGCGCGGGCCGCGTGTAGCGACAGTGGAAGTGCAGCTGACCGGGACATCCAACCGTTCATCCGGCATGCAATGCTCCACGAGAGGTATATATAACCATGCGGGGACCATGCGGATACTGCAACGATACTGAGGCATCTCTAACACCTTGATGGCGAGTACTATCACGAAGATCGAAGTATGTAGGTCATCCATCCGGCTGTGGACGACCGACTAATGATTGCATGTTTGTGAGATTTTCCGCGTGCCTCCTCGCTGGCTCTTCGTGCGAGTTGAGACCCAGGATGGTACGGTTGGTTGGGGAGAAGGCACTCTCGAGGGACATACAGAAGCAATCGAGGGAGCATACCAAGACATCATCCGGAGGTTCATCGGATGGGATGCAGACAGAATTCAAGACATATGGCAACATTGCTATCGGGCCAGGTTCTACAGAGGTGGGCCGGTGCTCATGGTAGGCAACCTTCTGGACAAACGCAGCCATCACCGAGAATGATCGCCATCGCAGTCTGCAACATCCGGGCTCGATATAGCACTATGGGATATCAAGGGCAAGCGACTCGGGGTGCCGGTTTGGCAGTTACTCGGGGGCAAAGTGCGGGATCGCCTTAAGGTCTACGGGTGGATCGGAGGCGACAAGCCAAGTGCGGTCGTCGAAGGTGCGAAAGGCCGCAAAGAGCAAGGGTTCACCGCTGTCAAGATGAACGGAACGGGTCAGTGCATCCACACTGACAAGTCATTCGCGTTCCACTCTGACTACCTATTGGTTTCAGAGGCGATTGGCTGGATCGACTCACCGGAACAGCTACAAGAGACAGTCTCGCGAGTCAGGGATGTCAGAGCCCTAGGGTTGGACGTTGGTGTGGATTTCCACGGCCGTGTCCACAAGGGCATGGCGAAACAGCTCGCTAGGCTCCTGGAACCTCTGCAGCCGCTCTTCATTGAAGGTGAGGTTCATCTTGCCAATGCGTTGACTTCGTCTGAATGAGCATGCCCGTAGAGCCTCTTCTCGCGACACAGCCGTTGGAGATCGCGGACCTCTCCAAGCAGGTGTCCACCCCATCGCTCTGGGCGAGCGTCTGTACTCCCGTAGCGATTTCCGACCGTACCTCGAAGCCCGTGCGATCGATATCGCGCAGCCAGACGTAGGTTGCTCGTTCGCTTGGATGGATTCGGACTGAGCCATCTTGTAGGTTGCGCACTGTGGCGGTATCAGCGAATTGCACCGGATAGCGTCTCTGACTGAGACGTACGATGTCGCCCTCGCGCCGCATTGTCCGCTTGGCCCAATCGCCCTCGCTGCATGCATACAGGTCGATATCGCTGCGCCCAACTGTACGTTTCGTATATGCATACTAAGAGCACCTTTCGCTGACGTCTTGTGTTCATTTTAGTCTGCATTCAGGAACTGAGTCTACAGGTACGTTGTGACTTGTGTGACCTTCCCTCGCGAACTGACCTATTGGTTTCCTATGTCAGATGCACTATAACGAAGGTGCAGATCTCCTCACCTACCTCGTCGACCCATCCGTGTTCGCCATCAAAGGTGGATATGTCGAAGCCCTCCAAGGCACGTAGGCCTTCACAGTTGCACGTTGAAATGCTTATCAGAGCATGTACTCATTATGCTGAACAGGACCAGGCTTGGGCATTGAGATCAACGAGAGCCTCGTGCGCGAATACGCGGAACGGTACAGCGGTGAGAAACCATGGATCAACGCGGTTTGGACGGGAGAGGACGGATCGCTTCGGGAATGGTAGTCATGTACTGAGTAAATTGGCAATACAGAACGCAAGCATTAGAGAGGCTATCTCAGTCAGATATTCCAATCCTGCGTACAACATACGACCTAGGCAGCGACGGCAAGTCAACAAGACTCCCAAATAAGGGTTGGGTCATGGCACGCACATAATCAGCTTGACGTCAAACAACTGGCCCAGTTAAGGTCTGTCTTGGTCGAAGACCGAAAGACCTGTGTCTGCTCGGATCCTCCAGATACCCCTTGTACTGCTTCGCAGTCGGCGTGTCGGGCCCTCGCCCGAGCGTTTCTACTTCCAAAGCTTTCTTGACCCATTGCTTTGCATTTCGCTTGTCCGAACAGCCTGCATTGTGGAGCGCTGGTTTCAAGACGTATCACCAAAGTGCATCATAACACTCACTGGCGCAGAATTGAAAGGCGTCGTAGTAGAAGCTGGCTCCTGCACGCTCCAGTAAACCCTCTTCCTTGAGTAGCTGAATCCCCAGCTTCACCTGCATTATGTATCAGTCCTGCTGACAAGAAGAAATTACCCCACCTTCTCAAGCCCATAGACGGATTGTTACCGCATGGCCGATCTCATGGTAAAGACGTCCTATGTTCTCTCGTCGCTTGTCGCTGTCCCCTGCTCCTTGCCGGGAGGGTGCACGCAGGACACATGCACTCAAACCAAAGCCAATTTTCGACTGAGCTGCCTCGCTTCACGTGCAAGAAGGCTCGGTATAGCAGATACACAGTTCTTCGCCTTCCGCGACGTCCTTCAGCGCGCGGAAGCTGATCTTGTGCAACGTGTCTTCCCAGAAGTTGTCTACGTTCGGAACACATGAGGAGTTGAACCTCGAGCCCGTCAAGAAAAGCCAGCCCGTTCGGCAACCGCTCCAGTGATTTCATCCTGGGCGCCACAGGGCAGTGCGTTCGTTCCATATATACCGACTGGAGGTGGGAGACGACCCCGATGGCAATTGCTGTGGGAGAAGAACTCCCTCTGCTCACTCCCCGTCAGAGCAACCAATTTTGCTAGTACGGCAGAGTTATCGTACTCGGAAGGAAGAGTGAAAAGAGGCGCCTCGAGGAGGACAAGTTCACCCGCAGTGATAGGACGGGTGGCTATGACGCCCTTGCCCTTGCCAGGAACGTCTTGCACTACGATCGGCCAATCTAGCATATCATTCAGCTACTGGCCCTATCATGAGTTCGTACCACGTACCGGTGGACATGACGGGCTAGAGGGAGCTGTGAGGCTGTGTGGTGAGCAGGCTCGTTATATGTGCAGGTGAAGATCAAGAAGTCAGCTATTTCCAACGTACGAACCGACTTGTGGCGCGAATCGAAGCCCTTGCCAGTACATGCTGATCCAGCGAGTACTCGCTGGGAGATCCGCAGTACTGGTCTAGGTGAGCAACAATACATGAGGTGTCCTCGTGCCCCCCTCATGCCATTCATACCGCATCTCATTCGCCGCGACGGTGGTCCTCAGCTCGGATAACACCTACGTCGTGGCAACAAATTACCACAATGTCCACAGGCTCGGAGAAGTGGTGTCCATGAGTCGCATACTAGCCAGGTTTCAGCAGCGTAATGCATTAGTAGTCGGTACAACACAAGCCCCAACTCAATCTATGAGATATTTCCGCTTGAAGAACGCCCGTAAGTGGAAGATTTGCCAGAGTCCCAATGCGACCAGAGAGAACAGGGTGAACCACGCAAAGTTCTGCACGCGAGTATTCGTCGACACTGCCGCGACACCGCGAAGTGAGTAGCAGCCCGCACGAACCGGACAAGACGCACTATTCGTCGTTTGGAAACGCTCCTCTCGTGACTTGAGGTAGTCCATCTCGTCGACAATCTCTTTTACGACCCCCTCGAGCTTTCGCATCTCCGTCTCCAGCCCGGACAAAGACTCCTGGTTCGCTATGGCACTGATGGGCCGTCAGGGGTCATGTTTCGGTGACTTCATGACAATTATATCACGTACTTGTAATCCACAGCATCCGCGCCAATGTCAATGTCCAAGTCTATCACCCTCGAGCGCGGCTTCGCCTCCACAGGACCGCCTGAGGATGGCCGACTCTGAATCAGCGCGCGGAGCGCCGGACAAACACATACGACGTACCTTGCTTGCCAGGATCCAAATAGTTGCGGAAGCAGACCCCCACGTCTTCGTCTGAATGTGCGGTGATGGCGAAACGTTTCTCGCCGCTGATATTCTTCTTGCTGAGGTATACATTCCGCTGTGCACCCGATCGAGGATCTCAATGTCCACCCGCTGATGTTCCCCGGGCCCGATGTTCGCTGTTACGATTACAAGTGCGCCTGGATGTGCTGCGTTCCATATGCATTTCGCTGCAGGAAAGCGGGCGGCTTGTACAGCAAACTTGATGGCGTGTGTTGGCTGGCAGAGCAGCAGGAGGACCGCGGCGAGCCAGAGCAAAGGAAAGCCTGACCTACGCGACGGTCGTCGAAAGGAAGTAGTCATGAGAGCAGGGGAGTAGGGAGGCTGCGAGGGGCCTCAGGGGCAGGACGTGGTCGTGAGCTGAAGCTGAAGGCGGGCGCGCTGGTGGCGTGGCAGATCGGTGGCGGGAAGGCAGTCTCACGCTCGTCTCTTCCTGACTACGACCACCCTAAGACCTACTCACCGCTATGCATCGGTTCCATCCGCCTTATTTCGCTCATCAGAGTTACGGGTCGCATCTGCATGGATTTGTCCAACTGTCCTTGCTAAGATTGTGATGCATTGGATGGGGGCGTTATGCTCATCGGTGGACACTGCAGCCAAGCCCAAGCAGCCTCATCTATGACACCCGATGAGACAGCTCAAAGTACTTGGGCTGCGTGCCGTGCGAAGGGTGAGTTAGCTGCGGACTGTTCATCTCTCTTCTATACTTGCTGATGTCCTGATTGTCTCACAATGACATCGCGGCTGTACAATTGTTCGGAATAATCAAGCCTGACGATGCGAGTGCGCCTTTGACTCCAGGAAACAGCTACGTCGAGGGGATGTAAAATGGCTGCTCCCTTCAATCGCCCGCCCGGTGCAAGACTCAGGTCGACTTTAAGGCATACTGATGTGGCTGTCGGCGCATCTCCACTGTGCACTCAGTGCACACTGACCAGTTTCGCCTATTGCTGGTGCGCACTGATCGTACCATCATCGCTTTGCATCGGAGCTCTTCGGCATGGGTTGGCCTCCCGGTACATAGCAGTGAAGACTGACTAGTACTGACTGCTCGTGTCTCATTCGCTGCTCCATCGCGGCCCACACCGCTTCAGTCCTCAGCTTGTTCCAAATTTGACCTTAGGAAGATGCACGGTTACAATCGTTGACATGGCCAGTTGGCAGGTGTGCGAGCAAGTACGACATGGCTGTCAATGGCTGCAGTTCTTATAGCACCCCACGGGTATCCCATCTGGCCATTTCTCTTCCTTTGTGTCTTCCTTCTTCATACTTCTTACATTATTTGGGTACTGTGTGGTGCGTATCCAACATATGCTAGCTTTGTCAGGCGTACTGACAATATCTCTGCTAGCCCTTGTTGAATCATCGCCTTGAACCTCTCACCCTTCGCTGAAGATGCTTGCTCTGAACTACTTATTCATTCTCGTGCTGCCCACCGTCCTTACTGTGCCTCTGCCCAATCCATATGTCGTCTGGCACAATCCTCAAAACATCACTGAGCCTGCAGCGCTAACGCCGTCGATCAACCCTGCTTTGATTACGACGAACGTCGATAGATCGCGCAGGTACGCCTGTACTGGTGCGTTTTGGTTTGTCCTAACCAGTCTGAATAAAGTGTCCGTGCTGCATCGGGCGACCATGGAGACTTGGGGGATGGCATGGTGGAGAAATCGGCTTTGGTACTCTGGGAGAGATGTACGACTTTGCAGACTCTGAGTCTTAAGGTCTGGGGCCACCGGTGATGAACCACCTCCTTTCCTACCTTGAGTGTAGACAGTCGGATGGGATGGACGATGCCAACGGTATTGGGTCGCATTCATGTCATCATATTGAGCCATTATCCAAACGAAAGGAATGGTAAAAAAAAAACACTCTGGAGACATCCTTCAGTGTCCTAGCATGCAAGCCGCATAGTGAACGTTGGAGAGTTCGAACGGTGGTGAGTGTTACAGCGCAGAACGGTTGAACAAGTAGACCTGCCGTATTTAGCCAAATTGTGGCTTACGTTGATAGCCGCCGTAGCGGTACAATTCGAGAACCTTGCCATACGTTCCCTCTCCAACTCGGTCACAGATCGCATTTCACAACTACACCAGCATTCGTCTTCTTGATCGCATGCATCGCTCCGCATGTTTGGGGAAGCAGTAGTCAACGCCCTGTCTAACATCGCCGCGCCCATGGTTAATCAAAGTGATCTGCCATTTCGCTTGCTCGTTCGGCGGTACAAGACAAGCCTGGTATACACACAAATGCTCTTGCCGGAGAAGATCCTGAACGATAGGGACTATTTGGACTTTCATCTGCGCGGCCTCGGCGAACCCGAAGACCAGCCGGTCGTAGTACAGCTCTGCGGGAACGACCCTGAAATGGTCATGCAGGCCGCCCGGAAATTACAGACACGTTGTGATGCGATAGGTGTGTTTCTTGCCTTATCCAGCGCAAATCTTGTGGGAGACGAACACAGACGAAGCTGAGTAGATCTAAATCTCGGATGCCCTCAGGAAGCGGCGCGCGACGCGCACTACGGAGCCTATCTCCTCGGGCAGAAAGACTGGCCCCTCATTGAGGGCATCGGTACGCCCGCCTCTCGTGTGTGTATTACCATGATTGCCTCATTGTGTCCCAGTATCAACCATGTCCAACTCGCTTACTGTACCCGTGTCCGCGAAGTTGCGTCTCTGCCAACCTGCCTCCGCGACCATGCATCTTGCTCAGCGGCTCGAGCATGCCGGGGCCTCGTGGATCGCCCTCCACGCGCGGACGTATCTGCGAGGCGGCGCCGACAGGGTGCGGCAGATCTCGAACAAGTGAAGCTGCTCAAGGAAGCACTGTCGGTGCCGGTAGTGAGCAACGGAAACGTTCGAACATGGGAGGACGTGGAGAAGAACCGCGCATATACCGGCGCGGATGGTGTTATGGTGGGGGAAACTCTTCTTGGCAATCCTTGGTGAGTGTCGTGCTCGGAGGTGAGGGCATAGTAGAAGCTAAGCAACACCTCCGCTCGCAGTCTCTTTGCGAACACTATCCCTGATCCGGTCTCTATTTCGCGCGAGTACATTGATATATGCAGAGAACATCCGGGTACTGCTACCATGCAGACAATACAGACGCATGTAAGGCATTTCATCGATCACCAGTGGTGCGTTCGACGTGGCTTCTTGCTTTATGTCCGAGGTATTCTAACGATTAACCTCTTTATAGCGGCCGGAGACCTTGGTTCAACAAGTTCCGGGCTGCCTTGGCTCGCTGTCAGACCCCAGACGACATCGAAGATTTGCTCAAGAAGGTGCAAAAATGGCGGGGACGGTCTGTGTCGTCCGAGTCCCCGACTGACACCGAGAAAGACGACGAGATGGGGCGCAAGCTCCTCCCGAAGAGATCCTCGAGTCTATGTCGCCATTGCAGTAGCGATATGGCGGAAGCTACCCCGACCCTAGCGCTGAAGTGTACTGATTATCATCTCTCCGAGAGCGGCCCAACTTCCTCACATGTCGAGCTGCGTGTGCCTTACGGAGTATTCCAAGCATAGGATCTGCGCTTGCGCAATGAATGCTGAGTCAGGCCAGACCCCGCGGCAATTGAACATGCGTTCTCGGAAGCTGGCGGTTTTCGCGAAGCTGCTGAGCTTGAGTATCTGGTAGGTTCCGTACTAGGGGCGGCCGGTTGCTTTCTTTGCCTGTGTCCCGACTTCTAGCTTCCGAGGCTGATATCGTTGATTACATTGACTGAGGCATAGTGCGGTCTAGATGCACCCATGGACATGGGTACAAATCCGAGCATCTCCGCTGTTGTTCGTGGGAGCTGGGGGTGCAGCCTTTGGGGTCAAGGTTCTAGTTGGTACTACAGTATCTGCAACTCGCCTCTACTTTGCTATGCTAATCCGTTTCCAGCATTTATCCTTGCTGTCCTAGGAAATACGCCGTCTACCTTTGATCGCGCAACATGAATCAATTGCGCACAATATCGCCGATGCCGCCTTTCTAGCAACGTGCAGCCTCACGCGCACGTCCGAAGCACGACTCTCGTACCGGTTCTTGCATTAGCTCAATTGGTTGGAATGGTATGGAACATGTCAAGCTGATGCGCCCATTTGCAGAGTTCCATGCATATTGCTTCCGTTCGCGCGAATTGCCGTGTTCTGCGGGGTACCACCTTTTACGCCGACGCGCGGTGGCGAAGCTTCACCAATCAATTAATCATGAAGGATGGCGTACATCCGATACGTGAAGGAGAGCTGGTGGCCTTATCAATTCCACCTGTGCGTGAAAACAAAGTACAGCATGTCTTCTCAGTACGGTGCCGTCCCGGTCGGCCTGACATTCTCACAGGGCCTTTGGCAGCAGAGGATTCTGAAACCCTTCAAGTTACGGCCACGTGACGTCCAATTGTGCTGACCGCAGACTGCCAGTGGACGATTCTCGGATGTGCTGTCCTTAGAACACCCGAATCCTAGTCTGCGTCGTGAACAGAGACTACAATCAGCTCTGTCCAGAAGCCACCCTCCTCGTTATCACCCCTCTTGTCGCCCTCGTGGCCTTCAATCGCTGGACTGTATGTAGGACTTCCTACGCCCAGCTCAGCCTCGGCCCAGCGGAATACCGGCACTCTGACGCATCGCTCGTGCGACGTCCAGCCAATGATCTGCTCAGCAACTCAGCGGCGCCTTCGCTGTCCCGGTCAGAACACGAAGTTATCTTTTTTTTACCTTGTCTGACGGCACCCGTACCGCAGTCGAGGTCAATGTTCTGCATGTTATGGTTTGAAGATAGAGGACAGAAGCGCTTTCGGGGCTCCGACGGTGATCGAAGTTGTCCGACTTCTGCGCGACCGGTTGGACTCTGCAAGGCAGGTACAGTACCTACTTACTGGGTGATAGCTCTGTGGTGCGTCATGGATTCGCAGGCCTGTCACCTCTCGACACGACAACCTCCTTCGTCCCTTCCGGAGATAAAGACGCGATAGACAGCGAGCGGAAGTCTCCGCTAAGGTGGGATATCGCCGACAGGTCGCCGGTCAAACTCGAGTTCGTATCAACGTGCCCGTGCAAGCTAGCTCGGAAGGGACGTGCTCCGCGCCTTCGCCTTCGATTGCGGGGTAGGTACGCAGCCGTATATGGGTGATCTACGGTGCGTCCTACGCTCTTCCCTCTCTGTCTCGCGGTGTGTTCGCTAGTCAGAATGAATGCAGCGCACGGGGGTGTGGACGGGAGAACGCAGGCTGATAGATGCTAGGACCGTCCGTGCCGGTCGCCCAGTGATCCTGCGGCTGTCCGCGTTATCGTCCTCTCGTACCACAACTTGTGCGCCAAGTTATCAATTGCTGCGTGACACGGGGAATAGGGACCACGGGGGAGGATTGGAAGAGTAGGTATGAGCAGTTCGTTGACCTACGGAGGACTACTATGAACAGCCCAAGGCCAAGCCAATGGCTCGCGCGATGTCCCTGCGAAGCCCATATGCGGATGTTAGGTCAATTGTACGTCTACGCTGATGTTCATGGCGACTTTCCTGGGACGACTCCGGCCGCCACAGCCCACAGGCTGCGTGTTACCTTCGCCCAGCATTGATGAAGCACTAGAAGCGCATTATTACGGCTTTTGCCAGGGGTGCCATGGATATGTGCGTGTCTCGGCCCTTATCTGCTGGTTCGCATCTTACCTGCGTTTGGCACCGCCGTCGCATCGTTGCGGCCCACGTTCAGAAGACTCGTCATTATGGAGGGGCTGTCCGAGTCGGATACAGCAAACGCACTTCGCCTTCCAGCAATCCATCGGAAGATCGCCCCTCGTGGCATAGGGGGAATCGTATGATTCTCGTGCGCACGCCCAGGTGCGTAGCTGATCTGCTGTGTACGGCCGGCGTCGGATGCGGGCCAGGGATCCCCGTGTTCCTCTGCTGTGTGAGTTGACAAAGTGGCGCAGCCCAGGCTGCAGGATCATAGCACGATGCCGTACAGCCAAAAGCCTGCTGATCCCGAAATCGCAGGGGTGGAAGTTTCTCCGCTAAATGGGATGCAGAGCGTTGCATCATACGCCCGCTCGCCGTCGGGCCGCACGTACACACGTTTCGAACGCTAGTCCATGACGGGGGCTTCTGCGCACATCTCGGTTCCCACTTTCAATCTGCGCGGAGATAGCCAGATCGTTTCCTCTCGGTCCGCGACCACTGGCCCTCTTGTCAGGAACTCGGACAGTGCGACGCGGTCCGCAGGTCGTCGTCGGCTCACCTGCAGGCCGGTGCGCATGCGTAACTTGTTCTCAGTGCAACCGCGCGCACAACACGCCGCCAAGTTCGCTCGCACGGAATCCCACACACGCCCCTTAACACGTACAACCCTCCGCCGTTGCCAAGTTCCGGAGAACAGAACGACGTCAAACAAGCTCTCCCGTGGGCGACCACCCGCACCCGCCTCCGAGATAGCGAGCGCATGCCCGCACTCTCCCATCCCAACATCCCAGCCGCCAACAGCACACCCACGGCACCCTCCCAGTGCTTGTTCGGTTCTCCGGCCCATCGGAGGTGCGTCGAGGGGCGACGGGGCCCGGCCCGCGCGACCCGCGATCCAGATTGGCAGCGCATCGGGCGCCTGGACCGGGATCTGGCAGGCCCAGGTCTGATCGAAAATTTAATTCCCGGCGTACACCGTGATCTGACCCGGTGACCCGGGCGCACGGCGTGTCGGCACCGAACTCCGGAGTGCCCTGCACGTGGCGACGGAGCGCCCGTCTGCCCACTGGCACTGGCAGGCTTGCGGGCAGGCGCGATCTGCATTTCGCAGCAGCAAAAGCGATGCAGCGGGCAGGGGATTCAAAATCGAGGGATTCCATTGGCATCGACTGAAATGACTGCCGCGAGACAATACAGGCATTGGTGTACATTCCTTATTCCTTCCAGAAAGTCGGTCCCGGCAAGGCACACTACCGGCCCATCCACCCCTTCGTGCCGAAAGCATCAGCCACAACACGTCGAGCAGCGAGAGCGTGAGAGCACGCACCCCGTCGACCACGAGCAGCTCGCCGCACACGTACTGGCTCGCCCTGCTCGCGAGGAACACCACAGGGCCGGCAAAGTCCCTCGGCTCGCCCCACCGACCCGCGGGGATGCGGTCTGAGATCTGGCGGAGGCGCACGGGGTCCTGGAGGAGCTTCTCGTTCCTGTTTGGGCGCAAATTGCGGAGACGGGGGTCAGCTGGGACGGCCGCTAGCGGGCGACGATTACGCGAGACGAAGAATGAATCAAGGAGATGGGGCGCGCCCACGGGACCATGTATGTATCAGAGAATCAGAACGGACGGTGCGAAGAAGCTCGGTGTAGCGACGGCGCGCGCGCCTTTCCAGGTACTACGCAGGAACCGCAAGATGCTATCATACGCGGAGCGCGACGCTGGATGCTCGGTGCGACAGCCGGTGTGTGGTAGGCAGTTTGCGGCGGGAGCCTCCCCGTGACAGCCGCACCATGCGTGCCCCTCCTGCGTAGCGCGCATCGCTGCGATGATCCCCGCTTGGCAAGGCTTGATCAGCAGAAAGCGATTGCTCCGCGAACGGGAGAGAGCACGGCAAAGCGCAATGACGCACGCATAATACCGCAGGACCCGCGTACGTTCGCATGCGGATGTGCGGTTTAGTCTGGAATGGAGGAACATCAAGGGTGCGAGGCGCAAGCGGGGAGCACGACCGCATCAACAAGCAAAATTGCGGCGAAGCTTCACGCTAGAACAGGCCAATGACGAACGCGACAATTGCAGTGAGCGGCGGCGCATCACGGTCACACTCCGTATATGGTGGAGCATAGAAGACATCAATGCCAGTCAGGCCTGTCGGCCGCGTACCGACATTGGATCACTGCGGCTCTATATTGGGCTGCTGACGAGGGCGCGTCCTATGACTGCCGGTTCTCGACGAACCACCGCAGTGGCCGCGAGAAGAAACGTCAGAGCACATACGGATCGATCCCCCGTATGGCGCACGCGCATCATGTCTGAATGAATACCGCGCTGCGCGAGTTCATTACGGAGAACCGCACCGCACCGTCGAAGCCCTGCGGCATCCGCGGGGCTCTGAAGAGAGGTGGAGCATCATCAGCACGCATCGATCCGTCCGTGCGTCCAACGCTGCCTCGAACGTCCGGGCCCGACCCATTCATCGCCAAGAAAGCCCAAACCGCCACCCCAGGCGCGAATGAACGCCCAGAACGCCCACACGGCACGAACAGAAGAGCAGAGAGGCGCACGAGCCAGGAATGCAGCCAGTAGAGAGCGCACTCACATCTCGGTCGCGATGTATCCGGGGCAGATCCCGTTCACCTGCACGTTGTCCTTGCTCCACTCGTTGCTCAGCGCCTTGGTGAGCTGGCCGAGCGCGCCCTTCGCCGCGGCGTACGCCGGCACCGTGAAGCCTCCCTGCAGCGCGACGACGCGACGTCAGCAAACGGCGGCGGACGCGCGAACGACACAACGAGATGGACAACATGGGCGCGCATCAGTGCGTGTGGGGCCCTGAATACGTGAGAGAGGCGCGCACGCACCTGGAACGTGAGCAGCGAGCAGAAATTGATGACCTTGCCGCGCCGCCGGGCCACCATGTGTTGCCCGGCAGCCTGTGACAGCAGCCAGACAGACTTGAGGTTGACGTTCAGGACCTGGGTGCATACAGAGAGGTGGTTAATCTCTGACTTGGAAAACGGCGCTCGCAAACGGTCCGGAGATGAAAATGGGTGTATAGTCAAGAATAGGAAGTCGCGTCAAAGTCGGACATCAAATGTGAAAACACTACAGGCCGGCCAAGCAGTTGGTTTGTGCGCCACACACTCAAACGCTCGGGCTTGGACGAGTCCGTGTGGCGTAGCGCACGCCGTGTAGACCACTTTCCCCGGATGCTGCACAGACGCACTACTCAGCGCTCTGAGCAGGGCCGCAGCCCATCCGGATGTCACGTCAGCGAACGCCCCCGCACGGCTCGCCGACTTCTGCACTTCCAAGGACGACGTACAGGGAGGCGAAGCCGCCATTCAACGCAGAGCCGTGCCCGGCCCCCCATTCACCAGCCAACGCTGCCCACCACGACCACATCCAGGCGCGACGATCCGCACCGCACACCCAACGTCGACCGCGCACGGCACGGAAGCGTACAGACGCGTGACGTCACGCTCCAGGCCGCACGTCGAACGCCCATCTCACAGAGAGAACACAGACTGGCCCAGCCCGTCGCAGGGGGCCGAAGCCGTGCTACCATTCGCTGCATCCCTGTACGTCGAGTGGACGGCTGCATAACCCCGGGGATCGTCCGAAGCGCAGGAGCAGCGACGGGCCGAGGCCCGCTACCTACCACCCCGAAGTCGAAGCCGCAGTCGAAGTCGAAGGCGTCGAAGGGCAGTGGGACGGCTCGGGCTCCAACGAACGCAGGCCGCCAGAACTAGAAGTCGCCAGGCTGAGGCTGTCTGAGACTCGCCGGTGCCGGCGGGACGGGCTGCACGACGTCCGCGGCGTCCGGCGATGGGCCGTCGTGCGCGATCCGCGATCACGATCCGCCGCCACCGACCAACAACGCCACGACGTCCCGCCCGGCCGCGCGCCGCAGAGACCCATACACACCAGACAGGCGATCGGGGCCCGGCGGACAGGAAGCGCAGAAGGCGGACGCACGCCGCAGAAGCCCCCGAAAATCACGAAGCCCGGCGAACGACCGGCAGCAGAAGACGGGAGACGGGCGAAGCACGGACCGCGGCGCACTGGCAGGGTCCACCACACGACGGATGCCGTCACCGCGCTCAGGTAGAGTTGTCTGTCCACCTGTTTCACCGCGCGATGTCATCGCCACAGGCCAGGGCTCGCGCGTCCTGTCGTGGGCGATCGGGAGAAGGGCACATCATCCACCATCGAGAGGTGCGCACGACGTGTGTACGGCAGATGACGCGCGCCGCCAGGACGCTCGTTCCGGAGAGCGACTGAGGGCCCGATGCTCGACGCTCGATGCGTGTAGGGGACCGCGGCCGGAGTGAATGGCGAGACGATCGCTACGGAGCGCAAGCAGACGAGCGACGCAGAGACAGATAGAGAAGACGCGATAGGCTGCGACGAGCGGGAAAGCGAGAGGGCATGCGCACGGGCGCTCACACTAATAGCAGAGTGATCGAGCCACCAAAACGAGCGCGCGGGCCCGTCGGGCTTTCGCGACGCCGAGCAGATGGGGGCGCGGGATCCTGCGCAGCGGAGAAGATGCGAAAGCCAGTACAGGTGGTAGGATGACCACTAGTGCTGTCGACGCGCGGTGTCGCGGTATGTACGAGGCACGCCGCACGCGCGCATGCTCACATGTCCCTGCGCGGTTCCCACTGCCATCCCATCAGCTGCATAGAAAACGCAAAAAGAAGCACCCGCGAACGATGGGGAGCTGGGGTCCGATGGGGAAACCCCGCATCCCAAGCCCATCCCACGCGTGCGTCCGAGCTAGCGTGACTCCGCACACCGCGAGCCGCTAGCTGCAGATACCACACCATGCCGTGAATGGCGCAAGGGTCAGAGGACGCAAAAATCAAGAGGCAAGCCCGAGCTGCAGATACACGTTACGAGGGCGGCGGGGTACCGCTCTGCCGGCTCGGAGGGACCAGCCTATGGGGGCGTCGGGAACTCGCTCGCACCCTTCCCTCGCGCGCCCCGAGGACACACGAACGCTAAAGCTTGGGTGTCGTATGTGGGGATAGGGTGGTCCAGATAGCGATAGAGATCAGACGGTGACGCCGTTTGCGCACGAGAAGCGCGTGCGCAGGGATGAGGCGCGAAGGTGCGGCTCCGGGGCCGACGTGCGTACAGGGCGCGAAGACGCGTTCTCCGCGGTCGTACGCGTAAAAGGTACGAGGGAGACGCGCGACGGCCGCGGAGGCTAAGAGCGGGAGAGGGACGCGGAGGGGGAAGACGGAACTCGAGAGATGACAGGGGAGACGCAGACGCACATCGTCCCAGTCACTTTCGGGAAACTGGACGGCCGGGGATCTCCGCTGGATGCCTGCACAGTTGACGAGGACGTGGATGTCGCCGCCCATGGCCTCGAGCGCCTTGGGGAAGATCTGCCTGACCGCGTCGAGGTCCTCGAGGTCGCATTCGACGGTCTTGACGGCGCGCCCGAGCGCGGCGACCGCGTCGGCGGTGGCGTGGTTCGCGTGCGCGGTGGCGGGGCGGACGACGAGGCAGATGTCGGCGCCAGCCTCTGCGAGGGCGACGGCACAGGCGGCGCCGATACCTGCGATAAGAGGACGTTATTACGGCTGGGGCACGCGAGGAGGGCGAGGAGGAGGACGCACCGCGGGAGGCGCCTGTGATGAGCACATTCTGGCCTGCGAGCGAGAAGAGGTCAGGCGCGGGGAGGGCGGGGGTCGGGTCCATGGCTGGGGCAGTTCACGGCGAGCATCTCGTGCACAGAGGCGTATAAATCTCGCAGAGGAGGGCGAGGGAGGAGGATGGCCGGGAGTCGGGTGGCGTCGTCGGCTGGGCCCGCCACAGCTACCCCAGACCGGCTATTTCCCCGGATCGGGATCCGGTGCCGACTTCCGGACCAGCCAAGGCCGTCCCTGCCACAAATGCACCGGCCGCGCACCGCGCACTCGACGCACACCAGTCTGTGTTCGGTGGCCGGGCAGCTGACCGGCCGCAGGGCGGCCAATGGCCAGGGCCGCGATAGGGGAATTCTCGCAGAGGGCCCACGGAGACGCGCGGGGACGGAGGCTGGTGCGGAGAAGAGGGCAGCAACGTGCCGGCCCAGGATGGAAGGCAGGGTCTGGGCTTAGGTAAGCGGGTGTCGATCAGCAGAGGCGCGGAGGACCGGTCCGGGTCAACGCAGCGGTCCAGCTCAGAACACGCTCCTCACGAGACTCTCCCGACTCCAGGGCTATAAAGCCGACGCGACGTCTTCTCCACCGCAAACCAGCCCCCCGCCGCCGCCCACCCACCTCCCCACCGCAGCCCGCCATGTCTCCCGTCGCACTCCCCTCCCAGCACGCCGCCGTCCTCCACGGCGCGAAGGACCTCCGCCTCGAGGAGCGCACCGTCTGGCCCCCACAGCAGGGCCACGCCCAGGTCGCCGTAGTCGCCACAGGCCTCTGTGGATCCGACCGTGAGCACCTCCCCGCATTCCCACCGCAATCCCTCCGCTGACCTATTTTTCTGCCCGCCCCCAGTCCACTACTACACCCACGGCCGTAACGGCGACTTCGTCGTCCAACAGCCGCTCGTCCTCGGCCACGAGGCCGCAGGCATTGTCACCGCGGTCGGCCCCGGCGTCAAGCACCTCGTCCCCGGCCAGCGCGTAGCCATTGAGGCCGGCATCATGTGCAACAACTGCAGCTACTGCCAGAGGGGCCGCTACAACCTCTGCAAGAACATGCGCTTCTGCAGCAGCGCAAAAACATTCCCGCATTCCGACGGCACCCTCCAGGACCGCATGAACCACCCCGCGCACGTCCTCCACCCGTAAGTCGCCTCCTCCGACCCCGCGTCCGCATCGTGCCCCTGCCCTGTCAGTACGCGTGTCACGTGATGGTACTGATGCGCGTGTCCGTCCGTTCGCAGACTACCGGACAACTGCACGTTCGAGCAGGCCGCGCTCGCCGAGCCGCTCTCCGTCCTCCTGCACGCCTCGCGCCGCGCGGACCTCACCCCCGAGCGGCCCGCGTCCGTCCTCGTCTTCGGCGTCGGCGCGATCGGTCTCCTCGCCTGCGCGCTCGCGCGATCGTACGGCGCGCACAAGGTCGTCGCGATCGACATCAACCAGGCGCGCCTCGACTTTGCGAAGGCGAACGGGTTTGCACAGGAGGTGCATTGCCTGCCCGTCACCGACAAGGCGAAGACGACGGAGGACCAGCTCCGGCGGGCGAAGGAGAACATCAGCGCCGCGCTCAGCAACTTTGACCAGCCGGACGGGTTCGACGTCGTTTTCGAGTGCACCGGCGCAGAGCCGTGCATCCAGATGTCCATCCACGTATGTTTCTCGCCTTGTCTCGCTCCGCGCTTGTGACTTACGCCTTGCCCCGTCACTCAGGCCGCAGTCACCGGCGGGAAGGTGATGCTCGTCGGGATGGGCGCGCGGAACGTGATGCTGCCGCTCTCCGCCGCGGCGACGCGTGAAGTCGACGTCCTGGGCTCGTTCCGGTACGCGAACACGTACCCGACCGCGCTCGCGCTCCTCGCTGCGGGCAAGCTGCCGAACATCGAGAAGATCATCTCGCACCGGTTCCCGCTCGCGGACGCGGCGAAGGCGTTCGAGCTCATGGCGCGCGGCCGCGACGACGAGGGCCGCATGGTCATGAAAGTCATGGTCGGCGGCCAATAGGTCGCCGCCGCCGCCGGTGACTGGCTGGACTGCACCGGACCTTGATGAGCGTGATGATTTGGATACCACAGATGATGATTACCATTAGACGATCCCCCGCGTCGTCGCCACCGCAGTCCCCCCAGCACGCGCATGCCACTCCCCGCACTATCTGACATTGCTCACACCCGCTCTACTGACATATCCCTGGCCTTCGTCCCCGGCCCCGAAAGCGTGCTGCGTGGAGGGCCCGCGATTGGCGCGACCCACCCTGTATCTGTATCGCCATGTCCGCATCGAACATATCTATTCGCATATCTGTTGTCGTATACTACACTTTACATGAATATGGATGTCATCTGGATTGCAACGACTCTGCGGGGCGCCTGCCACGAAGGTTCAGCCTTGTGTGAGAGACAGCCTCGCCGGCTCACTGATCTGCTGGAGACCACGCAACCGGTGACCGCCACTTGGCCGTGCTAAGAAGCCAGTAGCCGCCTTGGGCGCGATCCATCTGTGAGTTACGGTACCCAATACGGTACGGCGTCCCCTAGATTCCCGTCAGAGCTCAAATTCCGACGAGCTTGAGTTTGGACGCGTTCCATCGGACGCTTCCAATTAGACGGTGGACGGTGGGAGGGCCCTGTGCTGGCGCTGACGGCGTGATGGCTGGCGCACGGTTCGGAGCGTTCCTGCTCGGATGGGCCATCTCCGCAGGCTATCTCGCCGAACCCTTTTGCCTCTGAGTGCAGCCACACCGCGATGGTTCCCCGACAGGCGTTATCCGTTCCTGGCGCAGGATCCGGGTGCGAGTGCCCGACTGCTGCCTCCTCCCGAGTGGGCGCGCAAGCCAACGGCTGGTGTTCGTCGTCCGGCTGGTTGCAGACTGCAGTAAGTAAGTCAGTAGCGTTGCCCAGGCTGAACGAGCCACACCGGCCCGACGGGGAACCTACTCCTCCAAGCCCCGCCCTGCACACCCAAACCTAAGGCCTAAGTACCGCAATACACTTCAGCTTAGCTTCAACAATGACTCAGAGGGTGCGTCCGGGGTGCACCCACACTGGCGCGGGCACGCGCACAGCGCCATTCTGTCAAGGTGGGGCGGGGCAGTAGCAGCTATCGAGGACGCGGAGGCGGCGAACTCGCTCGCTCGAACCGGCCGCGGGCCACTGGCATGAGTCACGAAGCGGAACCGTGATCGGGCGCAGTGGTTCCAATTGTGACCCATTGCAGGATGCTGTTCTATCTGCGCAAACTGTGTGCTGGTTTGGCGGCACTATGACGCCACACTGGCCCCGTCGAGCCCGCTTCTGCGTGCTCCGCGTCTGCTTCCGAGCCCGTGCTGCCGTACGCGACCCCGCCACGCGTCCGCGCAGAAGGACGCGTCCATGGTCCAGGCCACACAGACACGCGGTCGATGCGCTGGGGTTCGACGTTCGCGGCACGAGAACGCGAAGTCGTCTTGGACGAGCGAACGGGGCAGCGCATGACGTTGCGATCGAACGCGGCGGCGCGGACCCGCCGCGCCCAGACCGTTGTGCCAACGCAAGATCGGCGTGCAGATGCGGCACAGGGCAGATTGCGCGGGATCCAGATGCGCAGGGGCGCACGGCGGTCCGGTCCGGGGTGCGGGGCGCTTTGCGCGCACGAACGGCCTGCCAGGTTCGGCGGGCGCGTGGCGCAGAGTAGCAAGGTCATGCCCGTACGGGGAGGGCAGGACGTGGTACGGGAATACGAGCGAGTCGCAAGATCCGGAGAAGACGAAGCGACCGGTGTACGTGAGCTCGGTAAGTTGGCGTGGTAGCGACGGCGATGCGCACTGAATGGGCAGCATTGAATGGACGTCCTTCCGGAGGTTACACTTTACAGTGTCCGTGCTTCACATTTCTCCATGCGATCCGAACAGTGAGCCGTTAAGATGTGATGCTGCGGATACGCCTGCACGAGCCTGCGCATCACAGGGTCCCCCGCGGATGAGTCGACGATTGCATGCAACCTCGCTCGATTATGGAGTGCGCTTCCACAGGGAAGCTCGCTTCGTGACGCGAGCAAGCTGACCGAGGTCCTTCAGACCTGCTTCAGTGGAGGCGTGCACGCCGGCCCGGCCCTCCCGTGGTCCGTAGATCGCCCAGGTCCTTGAGTCGCGCTAGAATCCCCCTACTCTCCGTCGGGGACTCCATACATGAGTTGGAGATGAGTTCAGGAGCCTACGACTAGCGTCCGGGATATCGATACGGAAACCCGGTCCGGTTGAACCAGACCCAGGACGCCAACTTCGCATGTACAATTAATATACTGCGGCAATTTCTTCAGAGTCGGGGGCTCTTGTGCCAATGCACACCCGTGCGTCTCCACTTGACTGGAAATGGCCGTCGAATTCCAGGCCTCGTCGACACACTTGGGACTTGATGACTCTGGAAACGCGCAGGGTAAGGGAGACGAGTTTCGCCCAGAAGGACCGGCTTCAAGACCCATGGCGAATATTAGGCGGTCTCCGTAATCATCGGCGGAGCCTCCGAGGTCATTTGAGTGTCTTAAATTTTCTCTAAGGACCGTCTTCCGAAAATCATCGCTTGAGCGCATGTAGGGGCTCATCGGACCGATACATGTCACATAGTGATCGCCGCTGAAGAACTAGCATCAGTACGTTGCTGAGACGTACGATAATTATGTGTATTGGTCCTGGAAGTAACCATACTGTTACCTGGAAGCCGTGGCACCCTCTCTGACGCGCAGGACCGATGTCCGGAAGACGGACCCGATTTTCTCGTATTCGCATGCGTTGACATGTTGGGGTGTCATTACCTGTGAACAGACATGTCATTTGCGGTCACATTCAAGACGGAAGAGGCGAGAAGCTAGCCGCGTACTTCTCTTGTGCATTGGCCCAGGATCCTACCACCGCACTTACGCCTATCAGAGGTGCGCACCCTATTTTGACGTAAGGCGTCGTCTCCGTCCATGCAGACAACTTCCACGAGACCTGATTCCAACTGTCGAGTGGGTCACCGGACCAAATCGTGCCGATGTCTCCATCGATAGTGTGGTTGTAATTGACTAGTGTGTACAGCCTAAACAAGACTCATCAGAATTTGGATGAGCGGAGAAAGCGACTCATGTGGATTTGAGCTTCGCCAAGTTATGGTTGGGATACCATGACATGCCGGTGGCTGGTTTTGTGTCTGCAAAAAAAGTCTGGGCACGTCTGAGGTGCCTGGCAATGCCTCAGCCCAAATACACCAGCCAGATAGGAGCTTAAGCAAGGCTATACGGTGCGTCGTGTACATGCGCATATGGAACCTGTATTGCCTGCCAGGGCGCCGAATGACAGGATAGGTATTCCCGGAAGACAGTCAGGAGAGACCGCATTTGCTGTTGCAAGGTCTTGTGCTTGAGGAAATTTTTTTGCCTCGAGGAAGCCCCGTGAAATGTCAGATGCCGGGATTGAAGTCGCCGCAGAGCAGGAGAAGTCTGCCTCGAGGACCCAGCCGCTCGTTTTCCAGGGTCTGGGACGACAATACGTTGTCCAGTCCATGCCAACGAGTCATATCGGCCGTCTACACAAGCAGCGGTAGCCTGATGCAGCAGTCTTCGTGGAGAGATACGCCCATGCTCTGCTGCCAGCATTGACGGTCGATATGCAGCAGACAGATGATCAGTGCGCCAAGGTCTCGGAACATGAAGCGCAATTCTCACATACAGGGTTCCAAGAAAGCGCGGAGAGCAGTATGCCAGCATTGGACTACACCCGTTCGGCCCCTCGGAGCGGTAGTGAGGGGCATATCACCTCGGGGGAGGCCCTGCTGGACACACAGCCGTCGGAGCCGCCTGAGTCTGCAGGGAAAATACCAAATGAGACGACATTGCCGTCCACACGTTCGGAGATTCTGCGCTCACCTACACTAATCGACGCGCCACCATTGACAAGCTTCGACGTCGTAAAGTATCAAAATCAGGATATGCACGGCAACGAATACTGCGCTTTATTGTCTGCTATGTCAAGCTCAGCGGGCGTTGCTAGGGCAATGCCTTCAAGCTACGGTCCGTTGCCCGTTACTTCGCTAGAAGCTCGACGTCCAATGCTAGTCTGATGAGAAATGCGTCGTCGGACACTTACCCATAGGGCAATGTGACTCGTCTGTAGTCCGTCAGATGCGGACACAGGCTGACAGCCGGCCTAAGAGCGGTTACTACGCCTGGAAAACGTCAGGAACGAGACACTCGAACTCTGCATCGCATCAGACCAATCAGCCAGAGATGCACGAAGCGGGGACGAGTGAAAGATTTGGTATGACCCGGATTGAGAAGTCGAGAGCGGAGAGTCCGATATTCTCACCTCCTGACTGGAAAAGGCCGCTCAACACCGACATCGGGTGACCTGATGCGAGGATGCATTCAGTCTTTGGAGTCTGCGATAATACGTGCATCAGCTTCTGTGAGTGAATTCAGCTTCATGCCCGAGGCTAACATAATTTGGGGATGTGACATGAAATCACCGCATGTAAAGGCAAGTGTAGTTCTTGGAAAGCCTTTCCAGCAGCATCATAGCAGAGATGCGGGGCTTGATGTCGATCGAAATAGGATAGCAAGTAGTCTCTGCGCCTTGTCGTCAGCAATCCGAATACTAGGAGAGGAGAGCCTCTACGATGAACTCGGGACAACGGACCGAACCGTCTTGATGGGCTCCCTAATCGTCCTACAGCCCATGAAGAACCTAGGGCTTGGCTTGCGAAGTTTCATCAGTGAGCTGTCAATCCTATCGCACGAGGTTACTTGCTCGAAGCCTAGATTTCATTGCAGCCCGACGCCGACGTTCTACGGGGCGCTGAGGCTTCTTGGATGACTTATACATATTGCTCCAGCAATTCAGTCTTGTTACGTGTGAGTTGAGGAGACGGCTCACCATGATGTCAAACCTGCTTTCTTTCCACCAGTAGCAGTCCGATGTCACAGTCGGCGGTGGAAGGCTCCACCGGGGAAACTATATCGTCCCGTCAACCAGATGAGACGACTTCGTAGCACACATTAAGACACGTTTAAGTACCACGTATTCAAAGCCTCGAGATCTAACGTCCAGAATGCGGACGCAAAGAGTACCGAGGAATCGGAAACTGAATCGACTGTCGCGGTCAAGCTGGTCGCGGTCAAGTTAGTCGCGGTCGCGTATCCGCGGATACGCGTCGCCGACCATCACGTGATTTCCGCGTGTGCGTTGGACATGCCTGCGGCCAGGCCCGTCCCTATTTCTTCACGTACAACCACCATCGTTCCCTGGCCAGTAATCTACTGCTCCGCTCAGCACGTTGGAAGTTTCTGCTGCTTCAGCAAGACTCACGAGGGGTATCTGTCGAGGACCACCGCCCTTGCCCGACCAACACGCTCATGGTGGCAAGTCTCAGAGGGACATTAGAAGAGCCAGGCAAGTCAAGATGAGTCGACTCGCTGCTTTGCTTTCGTTGTACTTCGTGGAATTTTCTGCTTGCCTACTGATAAAAACGAAGCATGTCACGCTTACATGTCTAAAAAGCCAAGCCGTCCAATACCCCGGGAGAACGGTGTCTCGTCGGTGATCGATTGATCTCTCGGTATTCTTAAATACCATCGGCACATTGGAATGTGTTGCTTATACAGCCATGGACGAAGAAGAATAGCATCATACATGTAAGTAGTCGAATATCTCCAACAGGCGACCTAGGTCCTCGACGCTGAAGCCACTGTCCAAACCAGCCTACCTGTGATCTGCGGGTCCTACAGCGGACACATCCCCAGCTCCCTTGCCTTTATCTGCAGTGCCTGTTGCATTGACAAGTCAGAACACGAGAGGAGACGCATGGCCATTCTTCACGCACTAGCTGCTTCGACATAAAGCGAGACGCCGCAAAGTCGCCTCCCGCGTACCATAGCTAGACGACGCGCTTAGCGAACGGGGTTTCACACGCGAAGAGAAACATACAGCGGGGTGACCTGTAGGTCTGTAGGCGCCTCTTATTTCGCCTTCATCGTCAAGTCCCCATAACGGGCTGGTGTTATCAACCACTTCTGCGCCGAATGTTTCCCTGTGGCTCAGGCGAGGGTCTCCATATCCCGTTCTGTTTGGAGTTTGCGGTTAGTACCATTGTTTAACGTCAGCGTACAGCTCTCACTACCACTTACGCCCATATTAGCAAATCTGCAGGTAGCTCGGAGCCGTCGGAGAAAACGACGCCCCCCTCAGTGAAACGTTCGATCTCGACTCCCTGTTTGACTTGGACCTTGCCGGACTCGATCAAGGGAGCACATCCCACATCTACCCCTGAAGCCTCTTTTGAGCGCTTGCGACTCACGCATACTTTGGTAACTCACAGTAACCTGGAAATGGCATGCTCAACATTCCCAGTCAAGTACGATGTATCCAAGGCACACGTACCTCCACTCCTCTCGAAGATCAGGAAGTGTTGACCAGACCCGTCTGTCCCCATGTTCAGCTTTACTCCGCCCTTCCTCAGCTGGTCGTGCAGCGGCTTCTCCCTTTCCCACAGCTCTGCTTCCCGCTCTCGCGCCATAGCTCTTTGAAGATTGATCGGCATGGCATTAAATCGAATGTCGCATATTTCGTAAGGCACTCCGTCAGGATAGCCCTTCACCATGGCCCCGGCGACGGTGTCGATATGGACGACGCACGTAGACGACCGCTGGATCATAGTCACCGATTTCGCACCTCGGGATGACAAGTCTTGGCATAGATCCGCAGAGGTGTTCCCTGCGCCGACTACGATGCAATTCTTCCCCGCGTATGGTTGGCCACCCATATATTTGCTTGCATGGAACACGGTTCCCTTGAAGGTCTCCACGCTAGGCACCTCAGGAATGCGGGGTGCTCCAAATGCGCTGGTCGCCATGATGACGTGTACAGGGTGAAGCTCGATATCCTTGTCATCCCTACGGACGACGACATTCCAGCGTTTCGTCTCGGAGTCGTACTTGGCACCAGGAAGAATCTGCGACTTCGTCCACACGACAAGATCTTGTGACTCGACGTACTGCTTCAACCAGTCTGCGACCTTGTTCCGGGGTGTATACGTGGGCCAATTCTTTGGATACGGTTGGTACAAGACTTCAAGACTCGTGCGTCAGTGTCGATGTCTCATCTGGAGCGAAAGGCTGCATACAGGTATGGTGGTTCTTGGTCGTATGCAGTGACAGCGTTGGATATCGCTGTCTCCACTGATCACCGACTACAGCATGTCTTTCGACCACCAACGAAGCAATGTTCATCTGTTTGAATCTCGCCGCAATATTAAGACCCGTCTGGCCGGCGCCAACTGTCACGTAAGTCAGTGATACATTGCCTCAACATTGCCTCGACACTTGTCGACGCCCTCCTCACCGATGATGACATAGGGATCCTTCTCTATTGCATCTCTACGTTCCTCGTCGACTTCTTCCCACGAGATTGTATGTCCGTTGTAGGTACCCAGTTCGTGGCCCATCTCTTCGTGCCCCTTGATATCCTCAATCATCATGAAGACGGAGAGCGCCCCTTTACTCGTCGCCATCCGGGAGAAGGTAAGCATATCCGTGCCCACGGCGATCGAGGGTGTCGAACGTGAAGCCTGCTGCAAGACCCGTGCCGAGGTGCGGCTCCGGCTTCAGCCCGTCCTGCGTGTCTAACTTGAAGCTTGAAAGATGCACGATCGGAAGTGTGTTCGCGAGATACGCCCCGATCTTCTTTCGTCCCTCTAGTGAACGCGTGTCCCAGGTGAACACGAGCACGTCACGGAGCCAGCCACCCGGCAGGAAGCAGTCCACTACCGCGTCAATGTCGGCCTGGAAGGCCGCAAGAGCGAACTTTGTCAACCAAGTACTAGCTTTGTCGTGCAGGTTCGTCATGTTGTGGACGTCGAGCGAATCTCTTGCTTATGAAGTTGTCTCCAGCGATAGTCGGCCGCTGTTGGACCTTTATCAAGCTGGCTGCCAATCATGTACTCAGCCGCCGACACGCACTGGGGAATAAGACGGCCAATGTGTCCTCCGATATAGCCCTTGACGTGAGAAGGGTGGATCACCAGACATAACTCTCCTTGTCGTTTCCTTATACAACAACTCGGGAACATATGATACGTCGGGTGACCTGCATCTTCCAGAGGTAGAATGCTTGTGCCGACTGACGACTACATGATCAGATTGTCGGTGCATCATACAACCTTCGGACACACAGAAGGACGATATCTCCCCACCACACCGGATCATACATGCTGCACGCACCTTCAGTTACTGGTCTGTAATGGTGTTCGCATGCCATGGCCAACTTATGGTTCGGTCTCACGAGGCTTACTGGTGCGTGCCAGCCTCTCTGTCGCGTGGGTTTGGGCGTATCTGTCATTGATCCAGCGCCGCGGTGGTTGAACACGATGTACATACTAATGCTACAAATGTTGAAGTCGTCTCACGTCTATCTCCCTGCACTCACACCCACCGATGCGTTCCCCAGGCCTATACTCAGATAGGGACAGCCACTACTTGCGGCAGCCAACTCTGATGCGCTTGGTGCACCTCGACAATGCGGAAGTTCGCTTGCGAAAGGAGGTACGCAAACTCCGGCACTGTCCGCTCGCATGCGTTGTGGTTGCTCAACATCTGCGCAGGAGTGTTGAGCCACAATATCAAGTAGGCGACGAAAGTTGACTTACGTTGAGATCCTGCTTGTAGGAGAGCGAGTTTGCGACACCCCAGTTGGCGAGCAGCGGTTCAGGCGCAAGCGCATCAGGGTCAGATGTGCCGGTCTCTTGCCCTTCGATCTCCTGCGACCGAGACGCGAACAGCATGATGTTGTCGACGATCACAATGCGAGTGTCCTTCGTACAGCTGTTGCGTACGTTCTTCAAGATCTTGATACACTCCGCGTCGGGCCAGTTATGCATGATCATCCGCAGCAAGAACACAGCGATGTCCTTGTTTTCGGCGGGCTGAGGCTCGAAGAAGTTGTGCCCTGTAGATGCTTCAGCAATGTACACACTCTTGCCCAAAGCCGACCGACCTTGGAAGCTCACGCGTCCTTGCGCGAGAGCCTGGGGTTGGTTCGCTTGCCAGAACTGTGTTGAATATGATCAGTACAATCCCCGAACAGCCAGGAAGCTTCGCTCACAGTAGGCCCTTCGGCGACGACGGGCGCGGTATCCTGAACGATGAGACGGATCTGCGGGCACGTTTGGACAATGGGCAGCGATACGGAGCCGACACCGCCTCCACAATCAACGACAATACTTCCTGGAGGAAGGCTGGCCCAGTTGAAACCTGAGTATCGCCGTGAGTAACAGACAGGGATTCCTTTGCGAACAACCACCTACCACGAAGGATTGCATCTGACGGCGTCATGCTGTTCATGCCGTGCATTCCCATACCAAAGCGCTTCTTGCGGCGGTTGTTTTCGGGAAGATTGAGCCAGTCGTACATCGCGATATTCCGAGTGCCGGGCCAAGCCAGGGCGAATGATGCATCGTAGGGCGAGAACGAGTTCGTCATCTGAGGATCCTTCAAGACGTCTGCTGTGCACACAGCGTTGTGGAAGGTCTCGTCCGAGCTGAACAGGCGTGAGTACGGGGTAACGTCAAGGCCTGTAACAGAAGACTCACAAGATCCCGACAAGAGCGGCAATGCCATTGCTACCATCGTACTTCTCGTCTGGGTTGGCCTCGAGTTCAGCAAGGGTCTTGCCCGTGTCCAGCGCACTGGAGATGGCATTGTTGGCGAAGACGTTAGGGGACACCTCGTCTAAGACATGGTGCGTAGCGAGCAGGCGAAGCACTCTAGCTATATAGATGCTCCGATGAGTACTACACCGCAATAGCGGCGGGGAAGCTTACCGAGTTTCAGGTGGTTAACATGGTTGTAGGCACCGATCTCCTCGGCGCTCAGCGCCTTCTTTGGTCCTTTCCCCTTCTCGCGCAATATCTCAACAACGTGCGTCTCGACAACTACGCGGAGCGACGCGCTGAGTTGGTGCTGGATACCGGAATCACAATCAAGACTGCATCGGACGGCAGTTCATCGTATGACTGACCGCAGTGGACATATCCATCAGATACCGCTCTGGCGTACGGACCAGCGCAATAAGCTGTGATGCTGCAGCGACAACCTCCAAGGACGGCTTCAAAAACTCAGCCCTGGTGCTTGACGCGGAGTGCTCCGTTGCCTTCAGCGAGTCTTGAAGCTGCTTCAGCTGAGCAACAGAAGACGAGATTACGGAGGACAGAGCCTCAATCTGCTTGATATCCATGTTTGCCGTTCAAACGCAAGGTATACTGTGACCTGTAGCGAGTGTCAGCAACCGAAACCTAACAAGTTTCGAGCCAACGTACGTGAGGCGTTGATAGACCTCGAGTGGAGGTGGTCGAGGGAGAGAAAATGCACATCCTGAGCATACAGCTATTCGTTTATAAGCACACCGACGGGAACACTCGGATAGAATCGTCTCCTGCGATATCTAAATGATCCCCCTCACGAAGTATCTGGATTGCCATTGGCACAGACCGTACCACGCTGTCACCTTGACGCCTTGATCGCCACTTCTCGTGCGAATTGAGCCGCCGGAAGTAATGTTCAATGGAGGTATGATGGAGCCTGTGAGATGCAATGGTAAGTAGGGTCGCCGTATCGGGAAGGCAGTGCGGTCTGGTAACACAAGTCCCATGCTGCCCAGACTCGGAATCCTCAGGGAAGCCCTTTCTGATGAGACCTGGGAGCCTCCTTCGGAACTTCTGTTCATGGAGCACTCAAAGGGTACCCATTCACGTGGCTTACGCTGAACTTCTCACAGCCGTGGATGCGCCACAAACTGTCCTGTGGGCTATTCGGACCCGCCCAACGCAGTCCCATCTTTCAGTAAAGTGTTTGCCGTATATCGGACAATATGATATTACTCGCCAATATGCAGATTGCAAGACGCCTGAGGAATTCTGAGCTGGATGGAGCCATCATTCGACACCCAGCGACTAGCTTGTGCTTCGGATGACGATCAGTAATGCGAGAAGCCCGGATACACGAATTCACAAGAGCGTCTTTGCGATCTCTTCCCAGATAGCGGTTGGCTTGTTCACGCTGTGGCGTCCGCAGCACATAGCCAGCACAAGGGCGGAAGACATGGTCAGGCAGGTGTGACAGCAGAGAAGCAGAGAGCTCACATGTCCGCAGTCAGCGGGAAGTTGACATCGGCAGGATGGTCTTGCCATTCTGGCAACAGATCCAGATGATCAGGAAATCGCCGCGCATACATCCTCAAAGAAGTAAGACTTACCCTCCGGCTCCGAGGATCGTCAATACCGAACCCAAGCCTCCATGTAATGCCATGCAGGCTGTTTGTGATGCTGAATCACAAGAGAAAAGAGTAAACTTGAGCCTGAAGTCGAGTCTCAACACAATCTGAGCACGTACAAGTCTGGAGGCGCGAGGGTGTGATTCTTCAATCCAGCAGTCTGGAGGAAGACGTGCGGTCAGCGGTGTATCGGAGGTTCATTCGGGCACGATCCAGACCTTAATCTCGGTATCGATGTTAGGGAAGCGGATTGATTGGCCACCGACGACGCCGCAATACTGCTGTGGGATATCATCTTTGCCGCCGACCACCACAGTCGTGGCTCCCTCTCCCTTGGCCATGGTAATCTACACGCTGACGTGTGAGTCTGCATGACAGCACTCCGTCGTGAATGCCACGCACACTGAACAGCGAGCATGAGCTGGCACACCTAGTGTCAAGCCCTCAGTCAGTACGATTTGACGTGCGTGACGAGTGTACTTGATTCACGAACCGTCCGTTACTGATGATCACGACTTTCTTCGCGTCAAATAATGGCTCTGCCGGAGGGTCCATCTCGAATGGCTGACACTCGTCTCCCAGCCTTCAATAAACCCTCAAAAAGCGACCTCCCTGCGACAGTTCAGGGTCTCAGACGCACCTCTGGCTGAACGTATCCTCCACGCCATTGACCGTCTTTTTGACAGGCGGCTGCAGCCAATTCTCAGTGCCAGGGAAGGGCGTGTTGTTTGCGTATTCCCAGTTCAGCGGGTTGTACAGGAGCAGGTTCTCAGGGTCGGCTCCACTAGCGATATTCTTTACGATGAGCTGGGCCAATGGCGAGGCTCGTGTCTGAGTCTGAAGACCTGCTTGCGGGATAGTCGTGTCCTTGGGACCCGCGATCTGAGAAATGCTTACTCAGGCAAGAGAACACCCAAAGAATGGGACGGCACGTACGATACGGTGAAGCCACTGGCAAGAACATTTATCAGCACAAGCGCAGACTGACTATGAAGGATAATCTCACATGGGCAATGCAGATGTATCCTGTCCAAGTCTCTATTCAGTGCCGACCTTAGGCGATACAGTAGCAACACTGACCTCCGCCATTGTTGGTCTGTCCAGAGGAGAACCATCAGTCTAAGAGCGATAACAGTGAGATTGAGCTCACGTGCCACATCGACGATCAACTGCTCAGCACCCTTCTCCTTCAAGTTCTGCAACCCGATCAAAAGACTCGACTGAAGGTCGTCGAATGAGCTCGCTGAGAAGCTGCCCAGCATCAACACGCCCGTCGGCGTGTCCGTCACAGTAGCATTCAGCATGTAGAACTGCGAAACGCCTGAACTGCCTTTGAGCGGAGACGAGGGTGCCATCTCGGATGGCAATTCGATGTTCAGGGCCAGCGATGCATCAACCAACTCGTTCTTGTGATGCTTTCGCCGTGTTGACCTGGCGAGCGCTGGGTTGGTGAAGGGCTGTTGCTGTCGTTCGCCGGACTCCACGATAATGTTAGGCTGCGCATAGAGGTTGACGCCGTTAGTGGAGTTTGTGGCCAGGCAGTTGTTTGCCCAGAAAGTCGATGCGTTTGTCCACGGCTCTACGGCTGACGATAGACGGGAGCGGTACGGAAGCTACGAGCGATAAGATGCCAGCAAGGTTGTTACATAGTCTCAGGCACGTACCGTGACGTTCGCGAATGCCACATCACTGCCGTTCTGCATCTGCAGCGTCAAGGTTACCAAGTCCCTCAGAGGCAGACTTTGGGCGGCGAAGTCCCCGAAGTAATACACCCAGCCAGACTCAGTCCGGCCATAGCTTGCAAAGAACCTGAGAAAGGTATAAGCGGGACTTCTTTGTCATTGAATGGACAGCTCACATGTTTTGACGTGTACCAAACGCCTGCATCCGCCCAGTCTGGACAGCGCTCCCGTTCACGGCAACGAATGGCGCGTCACCATCAATGGATAGTACTTCTGCACCTGACAGCTGATGCCGTTTTCATGCATGGAACAACCGTCAAGATTATATTACACTTACTAACTCGAGCTTTCCTCTCAGGTCTTCGGGAAGTGCATCCTGCCAAAAGTCCAGCTCTTCGCCAAACTCGCCAGAGGAGACTTTGAAGGCTTCCGGTGCTATGTGGACATGTTGCACGTCCAGTTCATCTGTCAAAAGGACCAATGGGATCGGTAGATACGTTGTATATAAGGCTGTATGACAAACGTCAGTTCGGGTGCGGTACAAGCAATGCACGCAGCACGTTGGCCTTACAGTCATAACACAGGTTCATGTAGAAGCAGTGCCCGTCTACGAGTCTCTTGAGGGCCTGTACTAGGTCGACGTGCAAATCGAAGTCTGAGGAATGGTCCTGTGATGATACCCGCGCCAAGTCTGCATGTACGTCCTCATGAATGTCTTCGAACGGAATTGGTGCCTGACGCTGGTAATTCACTGAAGTATGGAATGCGAGGGACTTGTTGAGCACGTCCACGATCTTCGGATATGTGTGTTAGTTCTTGAGACTATCAGAGCGTGAACCGAGCGTACATTAGCCTTGATATCGGGAACCACTGGAAAAGAACTGAAGCATGCACGAGCATCTTGAGGCGAGACCCATGTCTTGTTCGCGATAGCGGCACAAGGATCAATCTGCGAAGAGTCTATGACAGCTACAAGACCGCTGGCCCACACCGATCCAGCGTAGCCCAGACATAGTAGGAAGGAACCTAGACGCCAATTCATCACGATGAAGCGAGCCGTAATCCAGCTTCCCGGTAGGATGTTTCAGTGACCAAAGTTCAGCGACGACGATGAGGTCCGAGGCCTACGTCGTTGACACGTCCCGGATCTCCCGATGGTATGTACAAGGGCCGGAGCCCAGGTTCACCGCAGGTCGTACTAGTGGGCACTCGTCCCGGATTTGTCAAGACTTGAGACGATACAAGTGATTCGGGCCTCCAGTGGTTTCCTAAGAGAATTCAAAAGCCGTTGACTCTGCAGGGCCCAGGTGGTACTGACAGTACTAGTGCTACATACTGCATACGAAGCGCCCGACATGTTGGTACGCCATAGATCACGTGTGCGATGTCGGGCCCGCCACTTGATAGCACTTGCTTCAAACTTGCCCAATAATGCCACCTCCTCCGAGTCCTCCCAAGGAATATCATCATGGCCCATGATTCATGAACCATATGATACATGCTGCATACGGCACAACACTTCATAGTACTTGCTCCTCAGCATCAATCCTCATCCTGTGGCAACGCCGGTACGAGTCTGCGCGGCTATCCAGAGGCTATCCAAGCGAGAAGTCCGCGGCGAACCTACAGTCGAAGCCATGTGTTCAACTTCTACTGGCAGCGGTATTCAGTCGCTATTTACTCAGCATTTTCGTGTCCATTTATCTCATTCATAGCAACATGACAGCCTCTCTTCGATCTGCTTCGGTGCGGTAGAATGACTAGGGCCAGAGCCTGTACAATTCTCGTGCAAGTCACAAGGTAGTACACAGACAACGAGTGTTGCAGTTTCCATGTCCTGCACGGGAATAACCAATTTTAGAAGATGAGTGCGTTTCCATACTATTCATATCTGAACTTTGTGCATGTCGGACAAGATTCACGGTCTGTGCTCTTAGGAACTCTCCCGGTTGGGTACTCTCGGTCGAGGAGCGCTTATGAATTCCCTGATACACCCGACGTATCCCTACTTCTGTAATGCATCTGTCAATTCAAACTTTGGTTATGCCTTGCGTTGGACGTTCAAAGCAGGTGATTATTCTCCAAACAGTGCAAACTTAGCTCCTCCGCGGACTATGTCGCCCCTGTGACCTATACATTTCAAAGTGGGTTTCACTTCCTCCATGCCAGATGCTAGAGGAAGGTGTCCGGTTCGCGCGCTTCCATGACATGTTTTGGCAAGTCGGCTGAGACACCGTGGCAGGATGCCCAATTCCGCGGCCGGATTGTACCGGTAAGAAAGCTAGCACTGCTTGGGATCCAGGATATAAGCGTCAGCAGCGAACGTGTAACTCCAGCCCCAACTGCCTCGCTCAACTGACCGTGTCCACCAGCAACGATGTCCCAAACCCCCGCTGTGCTCGTATCCGCGAAGCTGAACCACGCTTCTCGTGTCAAGGATGCCTTCGACGAGCTGAATAAATACGCGGCCTCTCCGAAGCACGGTGCGACCCTCGAGCAGATCAAGGCTGTACACCAAGTTCGCAAGGCCCACCCGCCCCAGAAGGGCACTGTCGCAGAGTAAGTCCTCTCGCTGCAGTTGTCTCTCAACGAATGACCGGGTTTCCTCCGCCAGAGACGATCTCGTCAGCAGGTTGATTAACGACCCTGACCACCATGACCTCTGGTTTAATCAGCTATTGGGAAACTCGTTTTGCAAGGAGATGGGTACGACAGGCCCCAATGACTCCGGCGCAGCTGCGCTCTTGAAAGGTTTCCAAGCCTACATGGTGGTCAGTGCTACGCTTTTCATACACTTCATCAGCAAATCTACAAGCTACTGGATCGCACTTACGGAGCTTCAGGCACTTGATTGTTCCCTTATTTACGATTACAGTCTTAGGATACTTACACCTCGCAGACGTGCTACGGCATCAAGCGGAAATAAGACGTAAGCATTTATTAAGTGTATCTCCAGCTCGTGCCAAAAAACAAGACAATCAAGTAGTAAAGGGCATCGTGTTTGCGAGTCGAGTAGTATTGTGTAATCGAAGTCATCGAACTAGTATGCTATCTCGTGAGCATTGTGATCAGCAAACTTGTTGATAAAGTAAGATCGGAAGGCATCTAGAGAATACGCAGCATCGAAATTGTAGGGAAGGAAGTCGTCGCCGTACACGGGTATGAGATGTGCAAGCCGGAGAATTGAATCCAAGTGTACAACGGACGTATGGCGAGAGAGGTTGGCATTAAGATCAGGTTCAACGACCCACATACCTGTACAGTTGTCTGGCTCAGCGTCGGGAGCCGTGAACCACTCGATGACGGCACATGGGTAGGTCGTACCATCATGTTGGAAGGAGAGGAGGAGCCGTACACGAGCAGCATGCATGCTTCGCATCCCTTGCTGGGCAGGATCCGTGCCGACGAAGACACAGTCATATCGACCTGGGCCATTGTACCAGCTTGGCACAGCACGGATACGCTCGTGCCGCATGCCGCCGACTCCAGAGATGTCGCTCGGTGCGTAGAATGTTGCCACGGCTGATGGGTACACACGCACTCTTGACCGGCTGTTGACGACAGGGCACTCTTGAAGCGGAACATCATCCCCCGGTGTTTCGGAGTCAGGATTCTGCTGATCGTACAGAAATCGGCGCAACAATGATGGCAACGCAGGGTGTTTAATGCTATTGCTGAGGGCTTCAAGAGTATTCGGTAAGCCGCGAACTATAGATACAACTCTCGTCAATCCTGTCTGAAAGCCTGAAGAAACTGGACGTACCTGGACAGCGCGCAAGTGATACAGAGCCGTGTATCTTCGGCCCATCGACTGCACCGTCTTCCTCGTTGTCTCCGTCTCCGTTGTCTCCGCGTCCGTCATCTCTGTCTTCGTCATCTCCGTCCTCGTCTCGCATCTGCTGAGCAGCCTGAGCTGGTTCGTCGGCGGCGGCCGGTCTCCCTGCTACAGGCTCGACAGGCCCATCCACTGGTGGCAGTTCGTCCTCGTCTTCATGCATGAGCTCTGCTACTGCTGCAGACAGTGAGTCGCCATCAAGCATTCCGCGACGCTCAAACTCTCTGCGGGATGCAGCGAGCTTGTCCAGGCGCTGGTTGGTCATCAGCATCTGCCCGAGCGGTCGATGACGGTTTGATCGGCGCCACGGTTCTTTCACGGCCTTGATGTGCTTCGCCTCGGTCATGGATGAGCATAGGCCATTGGGTGCTCCGAATTGTTGTATGTGTCGTACATAGTGATCGAGGGCGTGCATCCGAGGAAGTGAAAACCCTGTAGGCCGGACGCCAGAGTCCTGGAAGATCTGACGATAGTGCCGGAATCTCTCGAGCGCAGTCTCAATTGCGACGAGATCCGTATCATCCAGGATTGATCGTCGAAGGAGGTAACACACTTCCATGAAAGCGCCGATGGCGCGAACCATGTCATCGGGTACAATACCATAGATAGCTGGGAGGTAGACCTGAGGATGTACTTTTCAATCACGTCTCGAGTATGCACAAGCAATCCGTTGACATACCTTCATGAGGGCCTTAGAATCATCCCCGGTCCATTGTTTGAATTCGCGCCCCTCGTGGAATCGTCGCAGCCCTGGGAAGTAAGGCGTCGCTGCGATTCTAACACAATTATGAGTTAATAGTGCTGATTGATCATCATCCGAGTTCGTGACATACCGTCGATCTATCTCGTCAAGGAGCTCCTTCGCACGTGGCTCGCCATGTTGTAGAGTCAGATACTCACCGACCCATGTCACGAGATGATCTTTAAACGAGCCCTTGATGACTTGATGCAGGAGATCTCCCGATAGTAGTTCATGTATGTCCGCACGTGGGAAGTCGTTCGTGAAGGGCTGTAGAGCATGAGGTATTTCCTGGAATAGGCAGTTAAGGAATGCTTACGATAATGTCATGAACAATTCCATATTCATCCCAAAGGATCCGTGGGTCTAACGCGTCGATTAGGGCTTCAGTGATTGCCTGAGTTCGCCGATCAGCGCCTGGACCGAGATGTGAACGGTGGGCGTCGCAACTGTGAGTTGCGTGTACAGTGTTAGCATCGAGACAGCAAGTATAACGAGATGCCAACTGACAAAGAACACCAGCCCTGTACAATACATGCTGCCAGTACTTGTTCTGGATAGTCAGCAATGTATGGACCGAGACCGTACACAACCCGTCGGAAAAACCCGTCGCCACAACGGACAAGGTCGTATTGCTCTGCCATATATGGCCGTAGGCAGTCGAAGATCGCCGAGAGACTTGAATGGAACAGTTGTTGTCGAAACTTCAGGAATTGTTTTGTCTTCTTGTGTGCTCGGTTTGCTGTAGATGGAAGCATGATTCTGTTGTCGTAAGACTCGGCGAATGTTGCAGGAGACTCACACTTTGGTATGGACAAGAAGCCAATCAGAACCAAGGCGTCTCGGTGGGCGCGTCGGACGTTGTTATGGACGTTCCCGAGTGACATATAGAGAGGGTAAAACTCATTCTGACCTGTCGCGACTGAGACGGTGGTCTTGTCACTGCCGACGATTACGGGCGCAAACATCGTGCCATGCATCTTCTCGTCTTCAGCTATGATGTCCTATGACGAGAGCAGAGCACTCAAAATGATCAGTTCTGTATACAGCTGGCAGCCTGTACGTACTGCTTGTTCCCAAGGCCAATTTGCGGACATGAAGTTCCCAAAACGGCGCCGTGGGTTTTGCTCACCATCAACATGCACAAACTCGCGGTAGGGGACCGTGTCGATCTCGTCTGCAATGTCTGTATTTCCGATGATATGGTGAGCAATAAGACGTGGTGATTTATACCACACCTCGTGCTCCGCAGTCATCCATGAGGGAATGTTGCCGGCGTCGGGCAAGGCTCCCGAATAGTTGACCGAAAATGACTCCCATGGGATGCCACCGACAGTTGTTGCGTCGATGACGTTCTCGAGGTCAGTCTTGTCAGCAAAGGGTGGGCTGTCATCGTGTTTGAGCAGAGATGCCCCCCAAAGATCCATGAGCTGATTGATCCGAGCCTGTGGCATCTGACATCTCTTGTACAGGAATTCGGCGACCTCGAACTCGTTCCGACTGTCATACGAATCCCAATCCGTTGGCTCAGGATCTTGCCAGGGAGGCGGAGGTGCCTTCGCAGGCAGGACATTGTCATGCCTGTCACATCCGAGGCCTCCGTACGATGTCAGCCAAGGAAGAATGAGAAGGTCGTATAGATCATACCTGTCAAGAATGGGTGATACTCACGGAAGTCCACCGGATGCGGCGGCTGGCGATCTTCGTGATGACGTTCGTCACGATCTATTGGTGCATCGGGAAGGCCATCCTGGGGATCATTTTCCGGACTTTCTGAGCGACGAGGGCGGTGGGGCTGTCCAAAAGAAAGTGCAGGTAGGTGTACAGCATTGTAGTGTTGCGTGCGACCAGATGCATTAATTGACAAATGATCACATGTTGGAATCGGACAAGGCAGTCGCCTCGGTTGATGCTGGCGACGACGAGGACGAGGGTGCATTGGGATTTGAGATGGGCAAGAATGAGGAATGTCGAGGACGTAGAGACTTGTCTGCAAATTGTGAATGGCTAACTCGCAACACGCAGATCACGCGTTGGCCTGCCGGAGTTCAAACAAATGCGAGGTCGACCGTCGCCAGCACATCTCGCCCATACTGTCAGCATACGACTCCTCCTTTATTCATCCCCTTCTACCTTACATTCATTCCTTTCAACTCCAAACACCCTCCGCACTCCCTCCTTCTGCGACTCACTGATATGGTCAGTACACGCCCGTCTAATGCGACCAAGCACCCGGGAGTCCCCGACGTCAAGCGTACGCGGCGGCCAGCAAGTGACGTGGCTGCTGAGCGACTCGAGGCAGCAGAAGAACAAGTGGCGGAAGGTGCAACGCAGACTCGGAAGATCGCGCACGTTGCACAACTGCAGAACGACACGCGTCAGAAAGAGTTGAAGAGAGCAAAGGCTGGAGACGTACCTAGCGTTGTGTCGCAAGGCAAGACAACAAGGTCTACCGCATCGAGTTCAGGTGCGAAGAGTACCAGCACTCTGAGTGGGACTCCTGCGGCATCATCTCGTCAGTCTGAGGTTCGTATGCAGTTCCATCTTGGAAAAGTACATGACACTCATACCATTGAATGACGATACTTCGCGGTAGAGCACGCTCTTATCCGAGTCTGCAAACGGTCAGCAATCAGAGTCCTGTCCAACATCCACATCGAAGTATTGACATATATCTATAGATTCTATCAACAACAACAGTCAGCCAGCACGGAAATCGAGTCAAGTCAGACCAGGACGTGTCACAGTTACCGAGCAAAGGGAATTGTTGAGCGGATCGGGGCAGCAGTCGCATCGCAAAGGTGATACTACTAGTAGTGCGAGTGGGAAAGGAGCGACCGTTACAAGCGTCTCCGAGTCACACTCCGGTGGCTTGAAGCGCAAGGCGCCTGCGGACAACGACGGCGCTGCTGCTTCCGAGTCTGTACATCCCAAGTCAGTGCCATCGATGTATCCGAATGATCTGTGAGTGTCAGCGGGTGGTTATTGACATCGAATACAGGAAGCCAGCAGCCAAGAAACCAAGGGCAAAAGCCCCGTCTGGCATACGACCTGACTGGATTCATCCGAGTCCTGGCAGCACGCCCACCGTCAAGGCTCCACGTAAGGCAACGACAACCCGTGCCAAAAAGCCAGCTCCACGCACCATGTCTCTTCCGAGGGCTGTTACTTATGTCGCTCGCGAGTGGACGAAGGCTCAGCAACCGGCGCAAGTGTCCACTGCTCAAGTCAATGGAAGCAACTCGGAGTTGGGCCCGCCCGGCGAGGTTATGCATGGAGGGTATGTGAGCGATGAGGATGATGAGACGGCGGCTCCAGAGAACAATGCCGTCCGTACCACAGCCATGGTAAGTGTTGTAAAACTTGTTTGTTTGCGTGTACATGACCCTTGGTCCCTTACTAGCAGGGACTCGTCACGATCACTCACAAGTCCAGTGCCCCGGGGGATGTCAAGAAAGCCCGGAAACGCGGTGTCACTCGCTACACGAATGAGGATCTTCCTCTCGCCTGCCGCGCACTGTGGCGCAAGACCTATGTTCCGACGCTGTACGACATGTATGCCACAGGTAAGGACCCCTGGGACAACACCGCGAACAACACTATGCTTGACTACGTCACACATGTATGGAAACGGGTTTACTCTGACCTTCCTATCTCGGTGGAGGAGATTCATGGGCCAATCCTCGCAGTTGTGAGTGTCTCGTATCTGTGTTGCAACCTGACATCATCACGGATCACCTATGTTGTATCAGATAAACCAGCGCCTGGCAGAATGGCGGGGAAAGTTTGCCACAACAGCTATCGATGCCCTCACAAGATTCTTCGACTCTGACGAGCAGTACTCGTCACCCGGTTCTCGGGCGAAGTTCGTGAAGTGGGCGCTCGGGCCGAAGAAGCTCTTCATATGGCAGACAACTACCCCAGTACAGATAACACTGTCTCAATGCTGCGAACGTACTAATTATTCGACCTGCAGAAGCGGCGAGGGGCATTCCAGTCTCGACTAGTCATCGAGACATTTGCGTCGCACATCTCCGACATCAGTGGAACCAAGGACAGCTTCTACAAGGCTTGTGAACCACAGGGTGCCCTTGCGCTTACGTGCGTAGCAGTAAGTGACTCCGAATCTTGTCTTCTTCATGTACTCATGCAATGGCTGGTCACACAGATCGAACGAGCTCTGGGATTCTACAAAACGGGTACACGCCATGTGCCGGAGCGAGGCGAGTCCCAGTTCAAGGCTGACATGTGGAACGACACCACGAAATCCTACCTGAAATGTATCAAGCTGCTCGAGGCAGAGAACTGGGACGCAATCGTAGCGATCGCTGAGCCGTATGCGAAGAAGGGCAAAGGACGGCAGCACGGACATTCGTCCAGTTTCGACTCTGACGAAGATGATCGCACCAGGCTACTTGACAGCTCTGATGAAGACGAAGATGCCGCTGTTCATTCATCTGACCCGCTGGATATCCGTGACGCCTCGCTGGAGCTTTCGGGTGACGACACCACACAGGGCTTGGAGATCGACGGGCCCACGGACTTAGGCGACGAAGCGGCGAGTCTATCCGAGTCGCATGTCGACGACTCGGGGCGGCATTCATCACAGGCAGCTGAGGAATTCGAGGAGTATGACGATGGTAAGCAGCCGCGGCGACTCCTCTGTATGATGGCATGCTTACTATCGTGATGCAGAACTTATGCAGTTGGAATGAGCACCTTTGCCCCGGGCCCGGCTTCAACTCGCGGTCAAGGCCCCGATCAGACGACGCCTATGTTTGTATTCCCCTTGCCATGAATCTATTGGACGCAGTTATGGCCTGGAGCTATCATTCGGTATTGACCTTACTGTACACTCGCTACAATTGCCATTTTGGTACTAATCTGCTTACTGCACATTCGTTACATCGCCGTCTCCGCATCAGTAATCCACGTATTGTACATTCTATACATCACCGTCTCCGCACCAGTAATCTACGTACAGTACATTAACTAGACCGCGATTATGCATAATGCGGCCAATATTGGTTTCCGCGCCTCCTCGTAATGCTACTTGATGGCCACTTGAATGTCTTGAGTGCCTGCCTGACTGTCGTACAACACTGCTTATGGCTGCTTACGAGGCTTGAACGGTAGCATTAATCCTCCTTCTTAAGGGCTATCAATCGGGGGCGTCCTTACTAACAGATGGTACCTCGTTAATTAAGGATGATCACTTACTGACTGAATCCACTTGATCCACTTATTAAGGTCGAATAAGTAGCGTGCACATTTGCTGATGTTGTGTCACGTTCACCTTCTAAAGTACATTGTGGCATGCAGCAAGACTACATCTACTGCGCCCGCGGCATCTTCTACCAGACTGAGCGCACGGTCAAGTCGACAACTACGGATGAGTTCGATGAAACAACTATAAAAGCCTCGAACTACTGCAAATACGCTCGGGGTGCCTTGCATCTCTGCGTCGACGCCACAGACAAGGGCCTGGGTTTGTAGAGACTAGACAGACGGTCAGACGCTCAGTCGCGGTACAACATCGACTGTGATTGATCTACCTAGACAGACGGTCAGACGCTGCGTAGGTAGTCAGTACTAGATCGTCGTATAGTAATGTGAGAGACCTTACCTCAGTCGCGGTACAACATCGACTGAGGGAAAGGGAGGAGGAGAGACGAGAAGACTTCCAATGGCCAGGTACATCAGGCAACCGATGAGAGAACGATACGGTAGCCGAGCAGCACGCTCCTTGGCAGCGGGAGTCTTGGGAGCATGCTGGGTGCGGGATAGACGAAGGCCGGCTTCCATGGGCGTAGAGACCGGGGCACAGTCGGGGCCGTCCATGCGGAACTGCTTGACGATCTTGTCGATCAGAGCAGTCTGCGAGACGGCGACGGAACGACGGGCACGATCACGGTCAATCTGAATGCCCACACAGAAGCGAGCCTCACCCAGGTCCGCAATCTTCCAGACACGGCGCAAATCGTCCTTGAACTCCTCCTTAGCGGCAGCTGAGCTAGCCGTTAGGAGAAAATCGTCGACGTGGACGCCTGTGAGAACAGTTCCCCGCTCAGTCTTGCGATAGTACACGCAGTACTCGCAAGGCAGGCGGGTAAAACCGACGCTCAGCAAGTGCGCGTTCATCGTGTCGTTCCACGTCCGGCTCCCCTGCTTAGTACCATAGATACCACGCACCAGCTCCCAGACCCAGCCCTCCTTGCCAGGCTCCTCGAAACCCGGAGGCTGCTCCATGTAGCAGTACTCATCCTCCGGAAGGACGCCGTAGAGGAAGGCGGTCTTGACATCGAGCTGCTCGACTTCCCAGTCGAGCGAAGCGGCAAGATGCAGGAGCGCGCGGAAGGACTCCATGCGCATGGTAGGTGAGGAGGTCCGGTTGTAGTCCTGCCCGTAGACCTGCTGAAAACCTTTAGCCACCCAACGTGCCTTGAAACGCACCGGGTCCCCGTTCTCATTTCGTTTTAGACGATACACGGGTTTGCCCTTCATCACGCGACGGCCAGTCGGGACCTGGGACCGAGGGATTAGGCGGTACACGCCCAGGTCCTTGATGGACTGGAGCTCGTCGCGGAGGGCTTCACGCCACTCGTCCCGAAACGGGGACGCCTCAGCCTCTGCCAGCGTCGCGGGGTCACCGGGGTACTCCACGTTGAGAGGCAGAACATCGTCCTTGGCCAACGCCGCCAGCGCGGACTCGATGTCCGGCGGAACGTCGACGGACGGTTCATCAACACGGAGACCAGAAGGGACGACAGGCGGCGGCGGACCAGCGATGAGAGGAGGAGCAGGAGCGGGGATGCCAGATGGCGACGCCGGACGCGAAACGCCAGCGCGCATTCGCTCCAGCGTGCGATCCAGACGCGAGACGAAGGGAACGCCCGACGCGTCGGCCAGCTTCTGGGAGGGGACCGGCAGACGAGAGGACCGACGTATAGGCGGTGTCACAGGGCGAGCAGCAGGAGGCGGTGAGGGCAGAGCGGGAGGCAGGACGGGTGCAACCGGGATGGAAGGCACAGAGGGCGGAGCTGCGACCTTGACAAGAGACGGGGGCGGCAGCAACGGGGCCATGGCGTCGTCGTCTGAATCGACAGCCACGGAGGGCTCAGCGGCAGGAGGGACGGGCGGCGGTGCCGCCGCAGGTGACGGAGGTGTCGAAGTCGACGTCTCATGCGACTCGATGAAGGCCACATGGAACGATTCGACAACCTTGTGCGTCCCGCGATGATACAACCGATACGTCTTCGAGTGCTGCCCATACCCAATGAGCACGCACTCAACCGAACGCTCGTATATCTTGGGGTTGTGCCTATTCTGAATCAGCACGAACGCCCTACAGCCGATCTCGCGCAGGTGCGACAGGTCCGGCTTCTTCCCATGCCACATCTCGTAGGGTGTGACGCCTGGCGGCAGCGAACGGGAAGGAGTACGCACAGACAGGTAGTTAGCCGTGACGAGGAACTCGTCCCAACGATTCGGCGGAGCGTTCGCGGCCAGGCGCATCGCGCGTGCGCGGTCCATCAGCGTCCGATGAAAGCGCTCGATGCGACCATTCTGCGCGGACGTGTGCGGAGCCGTAGTGCGCCACTGAGAGCCGCGACCCTCGATCCAAGACTTGAAGTCATTGGACAGGAGTTCGCCATTGTCGACCTGCACTATGCCGAGACGCTCGCCCGTCTCGACCTCACGAGCAAGGACCCACGCCTTGAAGCGGTCAAGGACGACCTTGGATGGCACAGGAACAGCCCATGTGTGGGACGTGAAATCATCGAGAATGTTCATAGAATACAAGTTCCCTGAGGCGGAACGAACGTCCTGCTGCCCCTGCACGTCCACAAACACCGTACCCAGAATCCGTTTCGCCTTATCCCCCACCCGCACCTTTGGAACCGCGCTTCTCGTCTGTTTACCGAGGATGCAGTGTTCACACTTGGCAGGGGGGATAGAGTAATGGGCATACCTGAAACGGACCCGAGCCGGGCCATGTCGTGGATGGTGCGATGGTTGACGTGACCGAGACGGCGGTGCCAGACGTCGAGCGTCGGTACGCGGCCCGAATAGAGGGCATGCTCGGTGGAAGGAGGGGTGCCGTCGAGAGAGTAAAGTCGCTTGGAGGTCAAGGTGCCGCTAGCGAGAACAGCCCCACCCGGCTTCAGGATGCGAACCCCAGTGTCCGTGAAGAGCACGGAGTAACGAGAGGACGAGGCGCAGAGGGCCGAGATACTCACGAGGCGAACGGTAGCCTGGGGTACGTACAAGACGTTCTCGAGAATGATCGAGGCGCCGCGACCGATATGCAGGCGCACCTTGCCGACACCGCAGGCGTAGATGACCGAGCCGCTGACCCCCCGAATGCCGCGAGGCGAGATGGGGCGAAGATCATGGAAGTCGGCCTTGCGAGGAGAGAGATGCGTGGACGCGCCAGAGTCAAACACGAAGGGTTCAGTACCTTCTGTAGAGAGACGACGAGTCGCGGCGGGCACAGGCGCCACCGAGAACGCAGCAGGGTCGGCAGGAGCACGGCAGTGGTCGGACCAGTTGAGCGAGACTGACTCTTCGTCCTCGACGGACACCAAGGCGTCGTACTCAAAGAGATCCGCCGGGACCGCCACCGTAGCGAGCCACTCGGGGGACGCGTCAGTCGCAAGACCAGCGAAGTCGGTCTCAGAGGTAGCGTCGGTCGAAGAGGTGGACTCGGCAGATGACGGCGGAACAGTACTCAGCAAGTACGCATGGCCGGTCTTACCGTCAACGATGTACGCACGGCCCTGCTTGTCGCGGTCAGTGCCAGAGGAAGAAGCCGCCGGCTTAGCGGGACGCTTCCCAGTCCTTTTGTTAGCGAGCACCTCCTCGCGACGACCTTCCATGCCGCCCCCGGGGGCCCAGCACTCCGGAGCGGTGTGGCCGTTCGGACGCGGACACTTGGCGTTAGTGCACGTTTTCTGCGACGACGTCGATTTCCCGGGCTTCGAATAGGCGGCGAGAGCCGTGGCGGACGAGGATGCCTTGCTGTCGGAGAGGAGCCGCTGCTCAAGGTCGAGGCGGGCAGCGATGTCGAAGGACGTGTAGGGAATGCCCGAAGTAGCTGACGCCGTGAGTGACGAACCGACCTGCGACTGGAGATGGGTGAGGTAGCCATTCATGGAGTTGAGCATGCCGATGGTCATGAAGACCTCGAGATTCGGGATGCCGATATGAAAGATACGCTCGGCCAGCTCCTGGAGGCGTGTGGTCGTCTCCGAGAAGTGCTCTTCGGCGGTATAGCGACAGGCGAGGAAGTCCTGAAGAAGACGGACCTGAGCGTATGCGCCAGGCTGCTTCTCGTGTCGAGCGCAGAGGGCGACCCACAGGGCGCGTGCGTCCGTGAACCGAGCGATGAAGCGTTGCTCTTCTTTTACCGCCTTCGAGCTGAGCAAGGCGATGATCACCTGCTCGTTGCGTCGGAAGTTCACGACGGAGCTGGGGTCGTCGTCGACAGATGGAGCGATCTCATCACCGGATAGGTACCCCCAGGCGAAGCAGATCTTGAGAGAATTTTCAATGTAGGTCTTCCAGTCGTACCAGTTGTCCTTTTTGCGGTCGAGGATGACTCCGCCGCTGAGCAGGGACGACGGGACGTGGAGGAGCGTAATCTTCTCTCTGGGGGTCGCCTTGAGATCCATCTTTGGCGCCGGAGATAGTTCCGATTGCTTTCTCGGCGTTTTGGGCACCGATACCCTGGGACTCGAGGTCGGGGTAATTGTCATTGGCCGGTAGAGCGACTATATGCGGGGTAAAAGCGGGGTTAGCACACGTTGATGGGTGCCTCGAGGTTGTTCCGGGTCTGAAAAGCCGAAACGAAGTCTCAGGTAAGCGGGCGGGATCAAAAATACCGCCCGGGGCTCATAACCTGTAGAGACTAGACAGACGGTCAGACGCTCAGTCGCGGTACAACATCGACTGTGATTGATCTACCTAGACAGACGGTCAGACGCTGCGTAGGTAGTCAGTACTAGATCGTCGTATAGTAATGTGAGAGACCTTACCTCAGTCGCGGTACAACATCGACTGAGGGAAAGGGAGGAGGAGAGACGAGAAGACGAACCGCCCCCGGCGGTATGTCACGTGCCCGGTGGCTGAGATCGAGATCGCGGCGCGACCTCAACAGGGTTTGAAGGACAACGATGTGCTCCAGGCACAGCCGGCGGATGCCACCAACTATTACACAGGCATGCAGTTCAACACGGCCAGGACCCACAACTGGGTGATGGGGCTTGTGGCGATGATCCCATGTATCCAGGTGAGTAGAACCGTGGTTTTCACGTATCGAGGGCTCACGGTTGACACTTTCAGGCCTACTATGCATTGGCACACCCGCTCTACGAGAACGCAACAGACGATGTCAAGAGTATGTAGCTCACAAGACTGTCCTGTCTGTTTGATGTGCTAAGTATCTTCTCAGAGACGCTCTGGTACAAGCTCTGGATCGAGCCCAATGGTAATGTCACGCCCGACGAAGCCGGGGTAACAAGTCAGATCAGTGAGCACTCCGTCCCGTCTTCAGGGTTGATAGACGTTCATACAAGTATTCCGACAGGTTTCTTCACGGCGAACTACGATGTCTGGAAGGACCATTACGCCGAAGCTAAGGACATCTTCCAGAAAGCATGCAAGGGCGAGATCGGACTCTGGAAGTGGGCTACTGATAGCAAACAATGAGTCTGCTGGCGCCCCGTTGCTCTCATGGACGTGGTTGACATTGTAACATTGTATGACCCGTATGAACTTCTCCGAGTCGTGAACGACGATCTAACACAAATCAATCCGCGCCAAGTCTGCATGTACGTCCTCATGGATATCTTCGAACGGAAGCGGCACCTGACGTTGGTATTTCACTGAAGTATGGAAGGCGAAGTACTTGTTGAGCACATCCACGATCTTCGGATGTGTGTTAGTTCATGAGACTGACATAGCGTGAACCGAGCGTACGTTGGCCTTGATATCGGGAACCACTGGAAAAGAACTGAAGCATGCACGAGCATCTTGAGGCGAGACCTATGTCTTGTTCGCGATAGCGGCACAAGGACCAATCTGCGAAGAGTCTATGACAGGTATAAGACTGCTGCTGGCCCACACAGATCCGGCATAGCCCAAACATAGAATGGAACCTAGACGCCAATTCATCCCAGTGGAGCGAGTCGTAGTCCAGTCTCCCGGTAGGATGATTTAGTGAACGCAGTTTCAGTGATGATGAAGTCCTAGGCCTACGTCGTTGACACGTCCTGGATCTCCCGCTGGTATGTACAAGGGCCGGGCCCAGGATCACCGTAGGCACTCGAGTACCGGGCGTGTCGAGACTTGACGCGACAACAAGTATACAAGTGATCCGAACCTAAAGTACTTGGTTTCCTAAGAGAGTTCAGAAATACGTTGACTCCGCAGGCTGGCAAGTGCTACTCAGAGTTCGACTGGCAAGTACTGACAGTAGAGCTGACAGTATAGGACAGTACTGCATCTGCATACGAAGCGCCCGACGTGTTGGTACCCATAGATCACGTGTACGATGTCCCGCTTGCCCAAGTGAGTCTGACGCTCCCTCCTCCTCCTCCTCCTCCTCCCCCAAGGAAGTTCATTATGACCCATGGACCATCTACATGCTGCATGCTGCACATCACTTCACACTGTCCCATAACTTCCATCCTGCGTCAACCCCGGCACTTTGCTATCCAGAACTAGTAAGTTCGCGATGAACCTACGGTCGAAGCCATATATTATCCACAGTCCAGATGCAACTTTTACTGGCAGCGGTATCGAAGCGGTATTCAGTCGGTAGTTAGTTGGCACTACTGTCAGCTTGGCCCGTTCATGACACCACGGTAGCATCTCTTCGATCTGCTTCGGTGTGAGATATTTAGGGCCAGAGTCGGTACAATTCTCGTGCAAGTCACAAGGTAGTACGCAGGCTGGTACGAGCGTTTTAGCTTCCGGCAACAACCAAAATTGGAAGATGAGTGCGTCTCCGTATTCTTCATAATTGAACTTTGTGTGTGTCGAACAAGATTCACGGTCTGTGCTCTTAGGAACTTGACGCTTGCCCTGGTTAACTTGGGTATTCTCGGCCAAGGAGCGCTCACATATTCCCTGATACAACTGACGTATCAGTACTTCTGTACTGGTGCCGCATCTGTCAATCCAAACGTTGGCTGTGCCTTACACCGGCCGTTCAGAGCAGCAGATTATCCTCCAAATCGTGCAAATCCAGCTCCTCCGCGGATTATACCGCCCCTGTGATCTACACATTTCAAAGTGCGTTCCGCTTCCTCCATAGATGCAGTGGAAGCTGTCCGGTTCGCGCGCTTGTTCCGGCCAGGCAAGTCGGTGGAGGCGCTATGTTAGGGAGCACAAGTCCGCGCGGCTGGAGTGCACTGGACTGCTTGGGTTTCATCTACTTATAAGTGTCAACAGCGAACATGCAATTGCTGTCCCAACCGCCTCGTTCAACTGACCGTGTCCATCAACAACGATGTCCCGAACCCTCGCCGCCCTTGTCTCCGCAAGGCCGAACCACGCTTCCCGTGTCAAGGATGCCTTCGACGACTTGAACAGATACGCGGCCTCTCCGAAGCACGGTGCGACCCTCGAGCAGATCAAGGCGGTACGCCAAGTCCGCAAGGCCCACCCGCCCCAGAAGGGCACTGTCGCTGAGTAAGTCCTCTCGCCGCAGTTGTCTCTCAACGACTCACCAACTTCCCTCCGCCAGAGACGATCTCGTCAGCAGGCTGATCAACGATCCTGATCACCATGACCTCTGGTTCAACCAGCTGCTGGGAAACCCGTTTTGCAAGGAGATGGGCACGACGGGCCCCAATGACTCCGGCGCAGCTGCGTTTTTGAAGGGTTTCCAAGCCTACATGGTGGTCAGTGCTACGCTTCTTGTACACTACTGTCACGTTCATCTTATATGGATTGTGGCATGCAGCAAGACTACATCTATATCGCACAGGGCATCTTCTACCAGACCGAGCGCGCGGTCAAGGCGACAACCACGGAGGAGTTCGACGAAACAGCTGAGAAGGCCTCGCACTACTGCAAGCACGCTCAGGATGCCTTGCACCTCTGCGTCGACCCCGTGGACAAGGGCCTGGGTTTGAAGGGCATCGATGTGCTCCAGGCGCAGCCGGCGGATGCTACCAACTATTACACAGGCCTACAATTCGAGGCGGCCAAGACCCAGAACTGGGTGATGGGGCTTGTTGCGATGATCCCATGCGTTCAGGTGATTACGATAGCGGCTTCAACATAATGAGGTTGCTCATGGACGCCGCTTCCAGTCCTACTATGCTTTGGCACACCCACTGTACGAGAAAGCGACAGATGACGTCAAGCGTATGTGGACCATATGACTGTCTGTTTGATGTGCTTATTGTCTTCCCAGAGACGCTCTGGTACAAGCTCTGGATCGAGCCCAATGGTAACCTCACGACCGACGAGGCCGGCGTAACAACGCAGATTAGTGAGAACTCCGTCGCATCTTCAGGGCTGATGCACGTTGGATGCTTACGAACAGTATGATAGGCTTCTTCACGGCGAACTACGACCTCTGGAAGGATCACTACGCCGAAGCCAAGGAAATCTTCCAAAAAGCATGCAAGGGCGAGATCGAACTCTACAAGTGGGCTACTGATAGTAAACAGTGAGACTGCTGGTGCCCGGTTGTTCTCATGGACGTTATTAACGTTGTACTGTAACATCGTGTGACCCATGACATGGACTCCTCGTGAACGACGATCTAACACAAATCAATCGCGTATTGTCACCTCTTGATGGTCAAGCTTCAGGTGTTGGCACTCCAAACGATAGATAGCAAGCACAATAACGATACATCCAAATTACCACCAACAGCAGTCTATGAGCACGACAACACAACAGCAGAATGACGTCTACACCTAATCTTCACGGATTCCACATCTTGCCCTCACCCATTCCCCAGCTGGTCATCCCACAAATCCTTGATCTCCGTATTCTGGTCTACACCAGCGCGCTGGGCCGCCCTGATCACCTTCGTCGCGATCTGCTCACTGATCTCCCGGATACGCTCCACACGCGGGTAGATCATATCCAGCGCCTTCTCCTCCGCCGTGAGCGAGTCCGCGAGGCCGAGCGAGGACGCCTCGACCATGCTGTCCGTGACCTTCGACGCGCGCGCGAGGATCGCACCCAGCCCCAGCCCAGGGAAGATGTACATGTTGTTGCCCTGGCCGGGGTAGAGCATCCGCCCGGCGTGCTCCTCCTCCGGGAACGGCGACCCGCTCGCGAAGATGACCTGCCGCGCGACCATGCGGCGGCGTCGTGGAACTCGCACTCGGACAGGCGCACGGGGTTGGAGAGCGGGAAGATGATGGGGCGCGGGTTGATCGCGGACATGGTCTCGACGACGGACTGGCTGAAGGCGTTCTTGATGGTGGAGAGGCCGAGCAGCGCGGTCGGCTTCACGTACTTCACGATCTCGGTCAGGTCCGTCATCGGGGGCCCGTTGTAGTCCGGTCGCGAGAACACTGGCGAGACGTCAGTGGACGCTATGCAGCGCTCGTGGGCGAGACTTACGCTTCTTGTGCTCGGCCATGGGTCCGCGCGTGTCGAAGATGAGACCCTGGCTATCTACGAGCCAGATCCTCTGCCGCGCCTCCTCCTCGCTCATGCCCTGCAGTCGGAAGAACGCCATCAACTGCGTCGCAACACCAACACCGGCACTGCCTGCACCGAAGAACAGGATCCTCTGGTCCTCGAGGGGCCGCCCGCTGGCCTGCGCGCTGAGCTTCGCGGCATTCAGGAAGCCGCTCAGGACGACTGCGCCTGTGCCCTGGATGTCATCGTTGAAGAGCGGGTACCGATTGCGATAGCGCGACAAGTACAAGAACGCGTTGTCCGTGCTGAAGTCTTCGAACTGGATGAGCAGTTTGGGGAACACGGTGCGCATCGCATCCATGAACTCGTCCATGAATGCGGTCATATCCACGGACGGCACCCGCGGCTGGCGCAGGCCCAGGTAGAACGGGTCCTCGAGGAACTTCTGATTATTCGTCCCAAGGTCGAGGCAGATGGGGATGGTGGATGATGGGCGGATGCCGGCACCCGCAACGTAGAGGGAGAGTTTGCCGATGGAAATGGGCATGCCGTTCAGCCCCAGGTCACCCAGACCGAGAATACGCGAGCCGTCTGTGACGACGGCTATGCGCCCCTCATCGATGCGGGGCCAGTTGCGAAGCACCTTCAAGATGTTGCCCTTGTCTTTGTACGAGATTACTATCCGAGGGGTTAATGCTTACTGCACGCATAATGGACCCAGGACTACTCACCAAGCCCTCAGGCCTACGGTATATATGTGAGAACTGGAGGCATGCATCGCCAACAGTCGGGGTATAGATCAGTGGTGTGATTTCCTGGACCGACTCTTCAGACGCGTTGTGAAACAAAGATAGCGCGTGAAACTCACCGGCATGTTATCGAGGCATATTTGTAGAAAATGCGTGGGTCGGCATCCTTGAGTTGTGTGAGATAGATGTACTTTTCGATCGACTTGTCTTTGAGCGGAGCTGGTTCATACACCGAACGGCGTGCAGTGACTCGTCGAGAGCGGTCGGTACAAGGCCTCGGGCGGGCTTCGGCGGTGCTGCATTGGGAAGTCAATAAATCACCCAAATTGAGGAGCGTTCGGTACACACGTTGTGGGACGGCCTTAGCTTCTGAACGCCATTGACCCAGACGGGGTTGAGGACTATTGTCATGATGCGTGAGCGGTGTATTGCGAGGGATGTAGTGCAGGGGCCCGGGGGAATGATACTGCATAGACGTCGCACTGCCTGGCCTTTATGCAGATCGCGCGCACGGGCGCCGCACTCGGAGACACGTCTAGTGCTTCAAAATGTCTCCGTAAGGAACATCAAAGTTGTGCTGCTATCGACGGCACTAACAGTGGTCGCGTAGCGACATCGTTGCCGGTGCAACGGGGAACATATACACATGTGGATTGCTCACCTTTCGCGGCTTCCTTCCGTACCACGTTCATCTGTCCAACTGCTCAGTCCAATCCCACCGGTAGTAGATCACTCCGTGCGCAGTGAAGCTCTGACGCTGTGTCAGCTGTGTCAGTCAACAGTCCAAACACTGCTTTCAAACGTGAACGTTCGCTTGATGGACGCGCGGGAATGGTCAAGGACTGGACAGGAGGCAAGGTCGGCGTCGAACGAACGTCGCGGTATGACACCGCTGAGGCCCTGATCGCGTATAAGAGCTCTCGCCGCAATCAGGATCACTGGCGTGTAAGTCCTAATTTTTCCGTCATGAGTCAGACCACGGTCAGCACTCGTCTCATAAACAGACGGCCAGGTTGCTCGTACGGTGGGAGCGCTAAAATAAGTGGGTCGCCTTCCCGACGGAACGACTCGGATGACTGAGCGGAAGGGCATAGGGGGGCATTCATGACGGAACGGGATGCGGGCAGGCCAATGGGGACGCCGTCAAGGACGCGCGAGTCACGCAGTGTCCCACGACGCTCTGCTCGTTTCAGGTAGACGCAGGGAGACGCACGGATCAGTACGTACTTGACGACCACCACCAGACAAGCTGGGTGGCGGATTGGTGTCGACATGTCAGCTAACCTGCCTTGTCCCGGAGGCCTCGCGGTTTCTGGTCTTCCTGTCGCTGCAGCCTTTGGCTATGCTCCGTGACGGTCAACTCCTAGGCCTTCAGGTACGACTCTCGTACCTTCCACGGACAGAACAAACTCAAGCTATGTAGCGGCAAACAGACCGTTCATGTGGCACCACCGGTCTGAAGGCGAACCCTCTGTGTATGACTTGGTCACGGGAATAGTACTTCGGATGGGCTCTCTTACTGTCCTCGTCTTGTTTCACTCTTCCCTCCTCGGACTGCGCTTTGCGTGAACAACGCTCTCACGAATCTGCGAGATTTCTGCGGCCATGAAGGCTACACATGTACACCGCACATGCCGTTTCTCAGGCTTCCCTAAGGTAGAAGGCATCGGGCCGCCTGGGTCACAGGCCCACGGGGTCGAAGCCTGCTCCATGCTTCGATACTACATGTTTCTCGACTAACAGCCAGCACGGGTCGCCGGCCGCCAGGCCGCTCGCCAATTGGCCTTCGAGGCTTCGTGAAGGTCGCGCGGACTTAGGATGCGCGCGAATATACCTGTGCTCTTCGGGCGATCCTCGCCTGGTGCAGTCATTACTCGCGAGGGCGAACACTCCCCGGCACGTCCATCGATATAGGTCCCCGGCCCTCGCTCAAATCGCGCCCTCCCCACTCGCTCGCTCGCTGACGTCCCCGCTCTGGCCGGATACAGGCCTCAGGGTGTGCACGAAGGACAGGACACCGATGTCCGACACGCCTCTGCCTGTTAGCCCCATCACCGGCACTCATCCGTCCTGCGCTCGAGCAACGGTCCGCCGCTCATCCTCGTCTTCCTTGCGTCCGGTCTCCTCGTCGGCGCGGTCCTCAGTATCCTCGTGCTGAGGCACATCTACCCAAACCGCTTTGGGAGCCGCACGCCCCCGGTGCGCGTGCGCAAGCAGCACGACGACTGGGAGAGCGTCCAAAATTATGGGACGTCCACGTTTGTGACGGAGGAAGGGGCACCAACGTACAATGGGAATCCTTGCTCGTACGTCGCCCTGCTGCTACCTCCATTCGATACGTACACCCGCGATGCGCCGGTGTGTGCCTTTCGTTCCCGTCGAACTGCGATTGATGATGCACTTCAATGTGTCAGCCATTAGCGGCAGCCTTCCTGCCCGAAACTTCAGACTCCCTGACGGAGCCGGCGGCCATGCTTCCCTCACCTACCACCCCCCGTCCCCATCCTTGGCCATGGGTCAACTGGCTGCTCCGCCTGTTCCGCAGTCCATCCCGCCAATCCGCACCAGGCGATTTGGAGCGAACCTTAGTTGCCGAGGACGAGCGGCCTTCGTTGGGACGATTGCAGATCGCGTCACTATCGCTATGCCGTCCGCGCGCGGATCATGGACGTGCCCGGAGAAGAAGCGCGAGATGACATTCTCCGACGTTGCAGAGGAGAGCGATCTCTGTATTGGGCTGGCGGAGGTGCCAGATGTTCCGCGATGTTTTGGGCAGGCTGTGGATGTAGAAACGGCGTAGAGATGAGCGGCGGCGATCAGGACACCTTAACGAGCTGGTATGACCGCACACAGATCTAGAGTGCTCATGTATATGACCGTAACACGGGAATAAAATGGTGCACGTGGATGAAAGATTGCGGGTATCGTAATGGCTGACGCTGCAGAGCTGCTAGCACCCAGTGCTCACAGGTAAGTATATCGTGCATCGTGTCTCAACTGGAAGGTGACCATAATCTTCCAAATACACTGCTCCTCCCAGGAGCGCCACCACCTCCCAAAAGCATACCCATGCCTTCCTGGATGGCCACACTCACCGGTCGGATTGGCGCCGAATCGAATACGTGCGGGCACGGCTGCGTCAGCGGCGGAGGGTTCAGGCGGGGATTCTCGAGCTCGCGCTCGTACATGGACGGCGGGTTCGGCCCGCGGCTGAGGGAGGCATAGGTGGGATCATCGAACGTTGCCCGCGCGTTACGCAGACGAGTTAGATCTGCTGACGTGTGAGACTCGGATGGGCCGAAGGTCAAAGGGAAGGACGCGCCTGTCGTACAGCGCGATCTCGCCGTCGAGGTGCTCCTTCGCGAGCGTCTGGAAGTCCTCGACCTTCTGCGTGTGGTATGTGTCCATCTCTGCCATCGTCGTGTTCAACACTGTCTCGCAGCGGGCTGCCATCTCTTCGTCTTCCTGTGATGCAGATGGACGGCGTCTCTCAGATCATTTCGTACGGAAAAGTCGAAGATGAACTATCACCTGCCCATCACGTATCGACTCTTGGTATCGCGACAGGGTCGACCGATGGGTGTCAATGACTGGCTGGAAGACATTGTCAGTTCGTGGGAGGAGCTAGATGCAGGGGCAGCTCACTGCATACACAGTGGCAGGATGAGCCACGCTCTTGAGTGCTTCGTGAGTTGCAAGCTGTTCCTGTCTTGCCTACCCAAAGAAACGATGCTTCAGCCCTCGCTTCGAAGATCAAGTAGTCGAGGGAACTGACATGATCATCGAATAAGTCAGCCACATTCATCATGGTCTCTGCCGTCCTCTGCACCGCTTTGTCAACCTAAGACAGTCTTCCTTCCGGTCAACTGCGTCGATACCCAGAAGACGATGAGGCACTCTCGCACGCACCTTCACAGTTCTCCCGCCAGCACCACGCGCCATCCGTGTTGACATGTCCTTTCGGTTTCCCTGCCCCGCCCTCGTCTTCATCGCCATTGTCGCCATTGGTATGAGGCGACGCAGGGTTAGCGGACGAAGACGCGAGCGGCTTGGCTGTGATCAATGACAAAAGGGAGTAGAAAGCAGGCGTTCGGCACTGGACATCTCTACGTCACGACATATCGATGAGGAGGGGTATAGAGTTAAGCACGGGGTGCTCACCGACCCGAGCCTCTCGAACCCTGCCGAATATGTTTCGCAGCCCTGCACACCCTTGCCACTGCCTTCGTGTGCTCACGAAGCGATCGATCGCGTCAGTCGCGTCGTCCGCGTCGACATTGAACGCTGGTGATAGACCTGCGCATAGAACGACGGTCCTTTGGGAGGCAGCGACAGATAGTGAGGAAGCTGCTTCTTCCACTCCTGTATCGTCGCGTAAAATATGATGAACAATGTCATAATGAAGCCATTGGCGTGCGTACCACATCACTTTCACAGCTCAAGAAGAACGTGAGCACCTCTGCATACCGAGCCACCGGATGCCTCACAACACGGTTAATGTAGCGCTCTAGGTCCCCTCGTCTTGCCTCGACGAATTCATCGTTGAACCGTCCAGCGTACTGTTTCTCCGGCAGCGGTGGAAGTGCGATTCCCGGCAATCGCCTCGTCAACGCCGTATGCAGCACAACAAAGTGCGAGAACCGTCGCTGCACGGTGATACTCGTTGGCTCCGTCGCCGAATTTGTTCCATCGTATCCTCGTCCTCGTCGGGGACGTAGTTGATGTGGAACGTAGATGCGAGTGGGACGTGTCTGGAGAGTCAAAAACGGACGTCAGTGTGTAGACCGTGTACGGTCCTGTGATGCCTGAGCTCCTCTTGCTCGGCGAGTGTACCAGGACGTGGAAGGGAGGTAGCTTGCTCTTCCAAGCCGGCCCCATCTCCACGAAGTGCTTCTCTGTCTCCCCACTACCGCCCAGAATACTTTCGCGCTTGCTCCCATCCTACTGATGCTTGCGGCCGAGACATCTCTGCTGTGACTCGCTGACGGTATCGGTTCTTCTTCTGCACTACCATGCAATACGAAGTCCTCTGCACCGCTGGTAACGAAACTTGAGAATCGGTTGAGAGAGCGACCGCCAAGGAGGCTGCGACGGAAGCTCGGGAACCACTCGCCGGTGGTTTGCGGGATGAGAGGTGTTGCAGAGGACGTACGCGTAGGCGAACCCCTGGGTGTGATAGAGGAGCCTGAGGCTTCGCGGCGGCTCTTCGTGCGAGTGTGCAAGGAAGGGATGATAACACCAGGGAGCTTGGCAAGTCGGCAGTAAACTAGCAGCAAGATATATTAGAGGGAAGCGAACAGACAAGGTGTGTGGATCATTCACGGTGTAGTACGACTGCGGCAGCAGCCCTATCTCACCCTCGTGCCCGTTCGCGTTCCTGCACTTTGCCAGCTTGACGAGACTCCATCCGTCCCCGACGTCTTCCTTCAGGACCTCCAACTCATCGCCGGCCTCCACGCACACCAACTCCCTGAACTCCGCCCTTCCCTCGAACGCGTAAAGTGCGCGTGCCGGACGGCCTTCAGCAGTGTCAAGATCGGGCTCGTCATCTCCCTCGTCGTCGGAAAGTATATTCGGGTCTTCCGCGCTGGCGCTGCTACTTTGCTTTGCAGCGTCGGACGCGGTCCATGCGGCAGAGCTATTGATACCAGAGTCGAACTCGAGCTCGACGTTTGTGTGCGGCCGAGACAAAGGCTGCAACGATGGCACAATCAAGGTTGGCTGATTCGTGGCTGGTGCATCCTGAGATATCATCGTAGTGCAAGGTGCTTGCAGGGGGACACTTCTCCTGACTATGTTTGATGACCAGGTTGTTGTCGACAGTTCCAGCGGAAGTAGTGGGCATGAGATATCGCAACGACGCTAGTTTCCAAACCCGCAGAGAGACACAGCCACACAGCCAAGTTCCCAAAAGCTGTACGTACAGGCGGCCTACTCGCCAGTACTTGGTAGGGCGGGAGAATCCCCGTTTAGGCAACCGTCGGGATTTAGCGCGCTGAAGACGCGTTTCAACCTGCCCTAAACGAGATTATAACTCTGGACCCAGTGGCCACCCCCAAGCCGCCCCAGCGTTGACCGCAATTCCTACCGCTTCGATGACTACATATAAATGATCAACCGAAAGTCCTGGCCCATATGTAGTACTGGCGCATAGTAATCTGTGCAGGTCGACGGCAATATCTAGCATTGGCGCCCCGGAAGTCCTCAACTTGAAAAATATCTCAACAGAAATTTCAAGCTCTCGATCGTCAGTGAGCCCTACAGTCTCCTGACGTGCTGCTGTCAGTGGTATCGTCCGTTTGGCGCGCCGTTAGACAGTTTACAATCTTATACAGAGTATTTCCCACCCAATAAGACTCACGTTTATCCTCTATGTAGACGAGACAAACAGAATGCGTTGTCTGCGCGATCTTTCCGCGCACTTTTATAGTCAATGGAAGACAGCAGTACGTTTCATTATAATAGGGAACATCAGCCTGAGTGTACGGGAACGCAAGATAGATATAAAACACAACAGAAACAAATCAAGGATCCTATCACGCCTCAAGCTTTGTGGCTTGCCACGGTAAATCAGCCACTCCAAGGTACAGCGGTAGAGGCTCCTCCTCCGTTTCCCCACCCTTACCCTTCTCGTCGGAGTACTGCGGCAGCTTTGGCGACGGCATGGCTATAGTGACCGCCACACGGAGTCGTCCATCTTCCCCAGCCTTTCGTCCTCCCCGACTCCCTCCACTCGAGTGCGAGGAGGAGGACAGCATACTGACAGGACGACTGGTAGCAGGGGTTCCAGGATACGAGGACAGGTTCGCAGCGACCGCCTGTTCGACGTCGTAGACATCTTGGGGTATGTACTTCACCGACAGCGGCTGGTAAACATTTTTTGTAAGCCCGGTGATCGGTTGGATCGCGTCGCAACGTGAGTAGCGTACCTTGATGTCGTTCCACCTAGCATTGACCGGGTAGACAGCAGGAGGAGTCTCGATCTGCACCTCAAACAGCTGCGGCTTTTCCGCGACAGTCGGAAGCGTCGCGGCGAATCCCTGCCTCGAACGCGCACCGCGAAGGGCCCGCACGATCCAACGGACGAGGAGGGCAGCGAAGAGGACGAGCACGATCGTGACACAGACAGGAATGACGACCCTGGTAACGATGTTGCTTGCCCCACGTCCTCCCGACGAAGACGAGCTCGAGCCCGAGGATGAGCTGTCGGGATGTGATGCTGGGCCACCAACGACGTTCCCCCCTTGGCCGTCTGACTGCACCTGGTCCAGGCCTCTCGGTGCCATAAAGCGAACGGATGACATAATGTAAGTCTGAAGAAATGCAGCCGTGGGTCAGCGCACTGTGCAACGCACTGGTGGTCACTGCTCACCTGAGTGGTCGGTTTATGTTGCTCGAGCTGAGCGTTTACCGACACGGGAGCGATGATCATCGGTGCGGTAATTTTCTCGAGTATGCTAAAGTCGCAAGGAACAATTGATTCATCGGCGAGGGGGAGGGTGTGCGGTTGCTGTGGGCAGAGGGCTGGAGGAGGAATGATGAGGCCAATAGCAGGGTTAAGGGCAAGAATTGTTGTCGAGTTGTCCTAGTACGTTGACGAAGGGATGGTCGACTGGGGAAGCGACGCATCCCCCGCTCAGTATTTAAACCAGCTGTGACTCCGAGTCGGGCGCGTGGCTGGCGTGGTTCTGCAACATGGCCCTTCGCGAACAAGGTTGCATGGTGCTGGACCAATCGCTGAGCGCGATCGACGGAGTAGCCGGTGCTGATGACAGCTGCGAGTCACAGATCCGACAACTTGTGTCTGCCTGCTGTGCAATTAACTGTGATCGAGTCATCAGCGGTTCCGCAGTGAGAGATTGACGCCTCCAAGTCCGAGACGTTCGGTGGCTATTTGTATGTATGGACAGACTTAGATGATCAAATAGCAGTGCCTGCGGTGTACTCCTGTCAGAATAGCGATGTCGATTCGTGTCCATCGGTACTATATCCTACTACACCCTGTGCACCCATGTTGAGAACCAACTTCCTGGATGGGACGTGGGGCGTTTCATACACAGCTTCTACAAACCTTACAAGCATCAAATCCCGATGCGTCATGCACATCACTGGTGGCTTACCTGCGACTTGCGCGTACAGTGCGCTGCGCTGGCGTTCCGGTCTGTCGCAGAATCGTTTCTGCTGGGGCGCAGCCTTCGGAGTTACCGTCCTAGGTGACAGTCTTCCGCGCCGGCCGGGCTCTAGAGCGCTAAGTAGTAGTCCCGCGGTCTTTGCGCAGCTCCAAAGACGGGCTTGCGCGGTTATATGTGAATACAGGACTTGGCATGCACCCCGGCCCAAGGGCCTCGGCCTCTGAATTAAGGGTCGGATCCTGGGTCCTTATTTGAAGGTCCAGCATCGCTTGTCAGTGTAGTTGCCAGCGACGCTCGGTGGCACTAGTACGGTACAGTACTTATGACTGTCGTCGGTCAACTTGAATGCCAGTGTCGATCATTCTCATGATCTCAATATGTAGGATTTCAATCGTCTGGACCGAGAATCATTTGATGTCGCAACTTCTTAACCGGGATTCTAATGCCCGGGCATTCCCATGAGCATTGCCATGTGACTGCATTCCCCGATGTGGGAATAGATTAGATAGGAATGTCAATCGCATGAGCGTCCGACCATATCGTCAGCTCCCCGATCATTGCACTGGCCGCGGCTCATTACAATGAAATCTTATCATCGGATGCTGATCGAAATGCAATTACAATCGTCGACTCGGATGCGTTCGCACCGCAGCGCTCGCGCCTTGCTCCCTGCGCGCGCTCTCTCTCTTTCTCTGTACGCGGCCTCCACTCTCTCTCGACGTACTGCCGACGATGTCCGCCCTAGCTTGTTGCACGAACAACGAGTCCGGTCCGTTCGAACACACTAGCAGTTCACCAGCTTCAAGCAATGGAGCGCCGGAAGACGACGGCAGGAGCCATGCGTCCTCCACTTCCTCGTTTCGACACAACAACGGGTCCACCTAGACTCGAGCAGAACTTGGAGGGCCTGCGCTTTGAGTCTCCGGCATGGGCTGCTCAAACCCTTCCTTCAAGTTCGTCACCGCCAGCACAGAAAGCGCCGTCGCCGCCTCAACTCGTAATGCCTGCCAGCCCAGCTCCGAGCTCGACCGGACTCGATGTTACGTCACCCCCGACTATCGATGCGCCTGCTGGCGATGTTATGCCAGCGCACCCGCAGCTTCACATTGTGCCCGCGACGCCTGTCAGCGGAGGTGCCGATGGGCGGCAACCGTCCCTATCCCAAAATGTACCCTCGGGTGAGTGTGTTACATGTTCATGCCGGGACGCTTGTTCATGTTTCGTAGATGGTCAACACGGGCTGACGTCCTCAGATCCGGAAAACTGGGATGCGCATGCGCAGTTGTCGCAATCCATCCAGGACCAAGGTATGTTGCCCTCAGTTGCACAATCATGCGTTGTCTGACGGGACATAAAATGATAGTGGGTACATCGGGAATGTGCTATGGCGATGAGACGTCGGGTGATTCGTTACAAGCCCAACAAATATTTATCGGCGCAAGCGCCACAATGGTCGCGAAGCCTGTCTGATACATCGCTCCGACCTCCTACCTGGGATACCGTGCCCATGCTGGGTGGCCATCATCAAGGGGCCGGCATGAGCGCTGATGACAGTTTGTAGCGTTCTCACGACGGCAGACGGCCTGCGTCCGCGGGGACTGTCAATATGAATGATGTCCTCCCCGGTCCCTCCTCTTCTAAGCAGCTGTTTCAACAATGCCCCTCCCTCAGGCTCAGGACCCAGCCACTTCGCCACTGTCCCTCATCCGCCGGTCTCGTCCAGAGTACATTCGTTTACAGCCAAACATCTCCACACAGTTCAACTTCGGCTCCTTTCGCAACGACTACCTCTCGCCCGACATCGCCGCATCCAACCTACGCTGTACGAAGTCCGACGGCAGAGGCCATTGTGTTGTGCGCTCCGAGGACTACGGCTATGGTCACCAGAGCACCTTCCTCAACCTGAACGATATGTTGGTCCCTCCGCCATCCATCACTCAGCAGGAGTTCCTTCGGAACACGGCTACTTGCCAGTTCCTCCATTCCGCTGAGCCCGTCGCGTCAATATGTGGCCATCATCGCCGCGCGTCTTCTGGGTCACGGGAGCACCCTGGCATGGGGAGTATCTCCGGATGGAGCAGTGGCGCGAGCAGCGCGTGCGCGAACCCATACCTGTCGCCGTCGGCTAGCCCGCGACCTGGGTACAGGCTGTTACCGGACATGGGCGGTATGCCCGTGAACGTCAGCATGACCGCCATCATGCACCGCACGCCGTCGAGGATGATGATGACCACAGATATGACTATGGACGGCGGCATGGGCTCGATGTCGATGGACACGAACAGCGTGCCCGTGCACATCGCGAAGGTGAATGTGACGGCGCCGAGTACCGCGGATGCGAGCCAGAAGCGGAGGAAGCAGCCGGCGAACTTTGTGTGTCCCGTCCCAGGGTGCGGAAGCACATTCACGCGGCACTCAATCTGAAGGGTGAGTCCTGTCGTCAAGTTGATCGTCATCCACCCTGCTTGTCACAAAGACACAAGCACAAGGCTTGCGTTACATATGGTTGCGGCTACATACTACCGTCGCTCCATCGCACCCTGCCCTTTGGCGACGTTATTGATGCGCGGACTTCGTCGCATGGCCAACTGGACTCAGACATTTCTAGTCTCAGTGTCACGGCTTGGTGTGTTTGTCAATATCTCGTGTCATGTGTACATCATTGATACTCACTCGAACTTCGCAGGCAGCCTGAGCCCAGTGTAACGTGCTGTGTGCTAGGCATATTGCTTGAGTAGTACGTCCGCAAGAGACGGCGACTCGGATGTACTAATTGATCTCGGAGTACAACACCGTCAAGCACTAACGCGGCCTTGTCACGGTGTAGCAACTCGCCGAGGGACATGGGCTGTGGCTCATTGATAAGGTTCATTTCCGCCTCTCGAACGCGCGTCACGCGCACATCGAGCTGAAGATGGAGTGCGGTGTTGCACCTGGCAAGGGTATGATGTGCTCCATTGTGCAACTCGTCGTGAACACGGTGTTGCACCGCCGAGACACGTTCCGACCGTGGTCCGGGAGGCGGGCCGCGGGCACGGTGCGCGCGCTGTACGCGCACACCCGGTGGCCGTGCAGTCATTGGTTTGCAGGTTGGAAAGACAACGAACTGTACATTATCATCTGTCTCTCCCATGCACACACTTGTAGTTCTTAGTGCTGTCGTAGTCGTCGGGATCACGGTGGTTGCGACGTCGGCGAACGAGGTATAAGGTGAGTCTCCGACCTGCCAGCAGCTCCACCGAGCGATGTAGTGGTTCATGTACTAGGTCGTGCCACCCACGAGTCGTGAGCGATCCTTCATGGGTCGAAGCCGCAGATGACGTGTCGACGTCGTAGATACTCATGTACTCACTGATTCGATAAGAATGCATTGCTATCCGAGTCGCTCATGAATTACCTGCCGCGCCCGGTCACTTACTTCATCATTTAAAGTCAATATCAGAGTAGACAATAGTATAAGGGGACAGTCAAAAGGTCGAGATATTCTGTTAAAGTTAATACCCAGTATGCCCGTATAGGCCAGCGGTATGCACGTCGTTACAATGATCTCTACGTATGCTCTCTCCATGTCGCGCGTTTGAATCCTTTTCTGACCATTCCAATTAATAGGCGCCCATTCCAATGCCCGCCGTCGTTCACAACCATCTCAGTGATAGCATAGTAAGTAGTATAATCTGATCAGCATAAGAGCGGAGCACGATAATGATCCTTGGCAGTTAAACTAATGTCCATAATTGGATAGACTTGCCGTTGCAATAAAGTGTAGCCGCTGACTTTTATTGCATTCGTTGCTGTCACATTCCAATGCATTACAATCTCAGTGGTTACAATTTACAGCTCCGACATTGGCATGTCATTGGCATCTCAGTGATCACGCATCACAATGTCATTGCAATAATCTGGGGTTGAACGCGATGCAATGCAATGTCACGGGCGCTTAAACGCAATGAAATGCATTACAATGAATTACAATGCGCGTAAGAAAGTTGCGACAGACCCTAGTAGTCGTCAGCAGTACATAGGCCGCTTGTGCAGACTGAGACTCATCATGTCGACAATCATTTCCTGGTAGCTGAGCTACCACCATGAGGGACCAGGGCCCAGGGAGCCAGGTACAAAATTGAATAACGGGGTCACGGTCGTCTCGCCCGATCTAAGTCATGATGAGCGGTCTGGCCCACACTCAGAGAGCGACGTAGTTGCAACCAAACCGCAGTTGTATAAGAGAGTTTCGGATTTGTGGTTTCAAGACGACAATCGTTTTCTGAATGCGCGGATAATGCGGCAACGGGACATGTACTGGTACAAATGCAAATACATCAGATCCATATGTGGAAAGACCGACCGGACAGCGCGATGGCGAGAAACACAACGTGCTGGCAAAGCACCACTTACAACCGTAGAGTGTCTCAAGCTTCACCACGTTCAATCTAGAAAGAAATGTATGAGAAAGAGGTCTGCGAGATCACCTGCCGACGCACCTGGGCCAGCTCACGCTTCGCGCGCCTCACCTCTTCCATGAGCGCAGCGACGTGCCTGTCGAGCATCTCAACGTACGGCTTCATCGACGGTTTCTGCCAATCTGTGGGTAGCCATCAAGCACAGTCCGACCAGCCCGCAGCTCATCAATATCCCGAAGTGATATTCCGCAGTGTCGCCGCCAGCTCGTCGAGCTCGCGAAGCAGCTGACTCACGTGGGCACGCGCGCGCTCGGGCCTGAAGCTGTCTATCGCGCTTGGGTCGACGGGAACGCAAATTCGGCCTGTCTTGGGGTGCACACAGAAGGTTGCCTTGAGCAAGTGTTTGCGGTGCTTCGAGACTTCAGCATTAAGGCGTAGATAGGTATACTGTAGCACGATCTCTTGCATTGCGGCTTTCAAGCTTTCCTAGTATCTGTTTTTTTTTTCAGAAAGCACCGTGCAGCGAAAGGAAAAGAGTAACTCGTTTTCCCTTTCCCTTTTTCCGCCCTTGCCTCTTTCTTGGGGTCATCACATTTCGCTTCTGACGAGAGTACTTGCCCGCCGTTGCTCATCGCCAGGGATAGAGCCGCTTGTAAGAAGCGAGCATCATCTCCGGAGACACGTCTTCCTGAGCCATAGCCCAAGTAATGGGCACAGACGGTCAAGTATCGCCCGAGAGGAATTTGCGGTGAGTGAGCTGCAACAAGTTGAACTTGAACGACTACACTGATTGAACTTGAAAATCAGTCACGGTCGCACGCGTCTTGTCACGTTTGAACGCGTCCTGTCACACTGAGTGACGACTCATGTCATGCACGTGCCTTGTGCCGCCCTCCGAGCCAGTCTTACTTGAGTCTTACTAGCCAGAGCGCTCAGCGCTCAGAGTCAGAGTCCCGCCGCCATTTCTGAAGTTTGATTCTGCAAGCTCTTTGAATTTGTAGTGGAAGGATATAGAGATTCGGCACCCTGAACGGTCAATGCTCACGTTGAACGGCGAGGTGGGTCTTTCAGAATCGATTGCATCTTTTGCAACACCGTGACGCTTATCTAGCTGGTTGCCCATGTAGTACGCGCGCCCATTGATCGCTTTTCATCTCATTGACTCGATCAAACCCAGACTACGGAGCCGACAGACTCTAGGCGGCTGGGAAATCCATTCAGTCCGAGTCAGTTATTTGCATAGCCAATACATAGGAGGAGCAAGCTCAATTGGCGCTGCAAGTATTCTGCGCTCGAACGCCCACCACCATGCCGCAATACCAGCTCGAGGTCGCGGTCGTGCTCGCGGTCAGCGCAGCATGCAGTCTGACGGTCTTTTTGCTTTCGCAACCGAGGGAAGGGAAGATCCATCTCAGCGTCGAGGAAGAATCGGAGCAGGACCCGTTCGATGTGACGAAGCCAGAGGATCTCGTGGATGGGACACCGGTCTACGGAGACGAGTTCTGGCACACAGTGCGTCGTAGAGATGTCATTGTCAAGGCATATCGGGACTCATGTCATGCGCTAGATGCGACTGAGGAAGTTGTTCTTCTCGTTCATCCTCGCAGCCATATTGATGGTCCAATGCGTTAGCCTCGGCTGGGCGGCCATTGAGGACGAGCGGACGAGCATCGCGGTGCACACATTGCACATCGTCTTCGCACTCTACACGCTCGTAGTGGCGGCGCGCTCGGTGGGCCAAGAGGACAACGAGCACGCTGAGTCCATGATACACCTGTCTGCCCTGACGTTCGTTGCGTCTGCCTTCCTGTTCACCACATCCATCCTGCCGTCCACCGAGCTGGTCGACATCAGCCTATACGTCTCCTCCAGCGTCCCGCTTGGCCTGTTCTACGCAACCCTCGCACTGTACATCGCCTCGCTCGTCCTGGTCGCGACCACCCCATGCGGACCACCGCTGCACTTCCCACCCGAGCAGATCTACTCGGACAAGGTTACCGCGAAGATGACGAACAAAAGCGAGGACAACGTGTGCGGGACCGCGGGGGCGTCGGTATGGGACACACTGCTGTTCTCATACACGACCAAGGTTGTTATGCTCGGGAACACGGCGGAGAGCCTGGAGACGGGCGACCTGCCGATCGTGCCTGCGGACATGCGCGCGACGACGATCTTCCGGAACATGCGCGGCGCGATAAAGCAATACCACCTGCGTGTGCGCTCGTGGCGCCCTCGCCCGGGCACGGGTTGGGAGCTGGGATATCGTCTGCTGCGGGTCAACCTATGGGATGTCACGACGACCGTTATTGTCGCGATGTTGGTCGCGGGTCTGTTCTACACGCCGCACTACTTCCTGCAGCGCGTCGTGCGCTATCTCGAGATGGATCCCGAGAGGAAGGACCGGAGTTGGGGATGGGCATACTGCTGCGGGTTGTTCTTCGCGAACGCTCTCACTCAGCTTAGTGAGTAAATTGGATGGACATGTCTATATCATGTTCTGACCTAGGCTCAGTTATGGGTCAACTGTTGTCTTTGACTATGATGACGCTGCAGGTCAGGTTCAAAATTCAGCTGAACTCGATCCTCTACGCAAAAACGCTTGTGCGGAAGGACATCGCCTCATCTGCTGGCCCCGCTTCCGCGGAGAACGGTGCCGACGCCAGTGCAAGTACCGAAAACGGGGAGTCGAAGAGCGACGAAGACGAGTTCTCGAGCAAGGCACAGATCATGACCCTGATGACGACGGATGTAGACCGCGTCAGCGAGGTCGCACGGCAGTTGTTTACGCTGTTTGGCATGTAGCTTCAAGTTGGCTCTCGATATGGACGGGGAGATGACCGTGCGTGCTTCAGATTCTCCCATTGAGCTCATCATTGGCACAATATTCTTGTACAGCTTGCTTGGTATGCACACCTGTCGTCATGAAGTACGTGTTCTGCTAATGGTCTGCCTTTAGGTGTCTCTTGTTTCATCGGACTTGCGGTGGCATGCTTGTTGCTCCCCCTCAACCACTTCGCGAGCAAGGTCGTCGTCTCGGCACAGGATAGCTTGATGAAGGCGCGTGATGAGCGTGTTTCTTTGATGAACGAGGTTCGTATCGGTGCACCGTGTACGATTAACCTGCTCACTCGAGCGTGTAGATCCTTGGTGGTATCCGTATGCTCAAGGTAGGATTGACCTTTCGTCTGCATCCCTCGAGTATTGACGAATATCATATCAGTTTATGGCATGGGAGCGCAGCTTCGAGGCACGAGTCATGAAGGTTCGGGCGAAGGAGCTGAAGTACCAGAAGCTCAACTACCATATCGAGGTACGTGACGTCTGCTTGTGGCGATCGTGATCGGTTCTGATTCGTCCGGCGTCCGGTAGGTTATCTTCAACGCCATATGGTATGGCTCTGCGGGTAGGGTTTGAGGTGTGTGGGCTAACGGCTTGGTTCAGGGGTGCTTCTCCGATTATTGTCGCGCTGGTGTCTTTCTGGCACTTCGCCGTCGTTCGTGGACAAGTTCTGACGCCTTCCATCGCGTTCACTTCTGTAAGTACTTTCTGTGATCAATGGTAGTGCAAACTCTGATCATTAGGCACTGCAGATTAGCGGTAAGTCCATCAGACAACGGAAGGGTACGGGCATGAACTCATCCGCCCATGCTCAGTCTTCAACGAGCTGAAGTTCGCACTGAATGCACTTCCGGAGACGTTCATCAACATGCTTCAGGTGGGTATTCCCGTGGCGAATACATGCAATCAAGTTATTGACTCTTTTCGACAGTCTATGGTGTCCATGCGTCGTATTGAGAAATATCTGCACGGCGCCGAGGTAGCAGTCGTCGAACTCCTGAGCCAGCAGTCGCAAGCTATCACGTTGCAAAACGCGACGATTACTTGGCCGCAGGACCGTGTACGCGGCGCCAGCGCTACCCCCTCTGCTGCGTCGACCCCCAAGCAGAAATTCGTGCTCCTCGATCTGAGCATCGACTTCCCTGTGGGTGAGCTCTCGTTGATTTGTGGTAAGCTCGGAAGTGGCAAGTCTTTGCTCTTGCTTGCGCTCCTTGGTGAAGCGGATGTGCTCGCCGGTCAGTTGACTTGTCCGCGCTCGCCGCCTGATGCGATCGCATCATTTGCGGGCAAGACTGTGCCTGAGGAGGAGTGGGTCGTTCAGGGCGTCTGTGCTTACGTTCCTCAGGTATGTTCGTAGGCTCGATCGGAGGCTCGAATCTCATCTCCTAACAGAGCGCTTGGCTTCGTAACGCTTCAATCAGAGGTAGCTACTCTTCGTTACGTCGGTTTTTCGCATACATGCTCATTGTTCTGCAGAGAACATCCTATTTGATCTTCCGTATGTTGAAGAGCGCTATCAGCGGACTCTTGAGGTACGGTTCACCCATCACCCATTATATCGTTACCGTCTCTGAAAGGGTCGGCGTAGGTCTGCGCTCTAGTCAGCGACTTCAAGATCCTCGAGGACGGAGACATGTCGGAGATCGGTGAACGTGGTGTAAACCTGTCTGGTGGCCAGAAAGCTCGAGGTGGGTTCATCCGATTCGACGTCAGATGACGCCTCTGACATGCATGCAGTGTCTCTTGCACGTGCGGTGTACTCGCGTGCTTCGGTCCTTCTGCTGGATGATGTTCTCTCTGCGGGTGAGTTCCCAATGGACACCATGGTACCTATTACTGACCCGATCCCCTAGTCGACGCCCATACTGCCCATCACCTCTACAACGAATGTCTACAAGGTGACCTGATGCGCGGTCGTACTTTGATACTGGTGTCACACCATGTACAGCTTTGTGCACCGGGTGCAAGCTACATTGTTGCTCTCGACAATGGCCGAGTCGCTTTCCAGGGCGATCGGGACACGTTCCGGTCGTCTGGTGTGCTGAACACGCTCGTCCAATCCGGGGCTGCTGATGCAAATGATGACAAAGAAGAGACGACAGTAGCAGACGTAGAGGAGCTAGTCATCGAGAAGGAGTCATCCGACGAGAGCGGAGGGCACTCCTTGGAGAATACCTCTACTGCCGCTACCTCTGAGACTGAGGTAAAGCCAGAGGAACGGAAGGCACCGCGCAAGCTCATCGAGGAGGAAAAGCGTGCTGTCGGTCGCATTGGCAAGGATATCTGGATGACGTACATCGACGCTTGCGGTGGTTATCTGTACTGGATCATGTTTGGCGTGGCACTACTGCTCGCAGCACTCAGTCCCGTTGCTGAAAATGGTTGGCTACGGTGCGTGATACAGTATTAATGACAGTGGGACTTTCGTCAACCTGAGCTCTCACACAGTATCTGGACGGGCTCGGCGCTTGAAACGGACGAACCAAGACCTCCATCCTTCTACATTGCTATCTATGCGGCAGTACGTCTAGGGTGCACGTTCAGCTTGATTAGTTCTGACATGTTCTTTCAGATCACAGGAGCTGGTATTTTATCTCAGGTTAATCGCCCTATCCGTTTATGATTTTAACACGTTGTTCAAGGCGTTATCCTTCAGACTATCCGCTGGGTCGTTATTTGTGAGCCTGCTATCTTTGCGGCATGTTCCGATGCTAACTTCGTACAGATCACGGTGGTATCCATGCGTCAACTGTTCTCTATCAGCGTGGGCTTCTTATACACCATGCGCTGGTCTACGTCTTAACGATTTGCTAGGACTTCTTGAGGGTGTTCTCTTCGCCAACATCCGGTTTCACGACACAATCTCTCGCGGTCGACTGCTGAACCGCTTTGGAAAGGACTTTGAAGGTGTGGATAGCAGCCTCCCCGACAACTTCGGACGCAGCGTTGCCTACACCTTGTCTGCCACCACGGCGTTCCTTACGATCACGTACATCGGAGGGTTTCCTTTCCTGTTGGCGGCTTTCATCTTCGGAAGTCTGTACTACAGCGGTGAGTCACTTCATTTCAATGTAGCCATGCCGCATACTCAAGGAGAAGCGCAGTTGGCAAGGTTTACGGACAAGCGTCTCGGGACATGCGGCGACTTGGTATGTATGCGCAACACTGTCGGCAATCAAGCTCATGTTTTCTCGACTCGCAGACTCTGTTACTCGTTCGCCTCTGTACTCCATCTACGGCGAGACCATTGCGGGCGTGACGGTCCTCCGAGCCTTCGGCGCTTCCACGAAGTTTATGAGAGACATGCTACGATGTGTTGACACTGTTCGTCTTCGCATTGTACTTTGCCGTTGTCGGCTAACTCATCGCTACTAGAACGCCAACCCGTACTATTGGATGTGGGGTGGTACGTCAATCGTCATACCGTGACTAGCCTATTCTCATGATCTGACAGTGAACCGATGGCTGTCTGTCCGTTTCGACCTTTTGTCCAGCGCTGTCATCGGAGTGACTGCCTTTGTGTGCGTCCTGACGCCCGGTATCACGGCATCGCTGGCCGGGATGGCCCTTGCGTTCTCCTCGACCATCTTGAACGACGTGAGTGACAATGCTCGCTTTCACCCATTCGAGATGAACCAATGCACTTCGTAGCTCCTCTTCCTCGTACGGCGATTCGTCGGGCTCGAGCAATCTATGGTAAGTTTGCTACAATACATTGTTGAGTTCGCGTTGATATTAATTGGGGACACAGGTTGCTGTAGAGCGTATCAAGGAGTTTTCCGAGCTCCCGCGCGAGCCTCCTGAATTCATTGAGCCACGTCCTCCTGCCTCCTGGCCCGAGAAAGGCGCCATCAACTGCGAGAACCTCGTCATCCGCTATGCAGTATGTCCTACCTTTCATCTAACTTGCCGGTGTTACTCATTCGCGCGCAGCCCGACCTTCCGGATGTGTTGCACAACCTGAACTTCACGATCGCGCCCGGAGAGAAGATCGGCGTGCTCGGGCGGACGGGATCCGGCAAGAGCACGCTCGCGCTCTCGTTCTTCCGCTTCGTGGAGCCCGTCGAGGGCCGCATCCTTGTGGATGGTTTGGACATCGCGGACATGGGTTTAACGGATCTGAGGAGCAAGCTGACGATCATCCCGCGTCAGCCTCTCCTGTTGTATGAGAGTTGTGGAGTGCTTGGTAACTGATCACGGATTTACAGAGGACCCGACGATCTTGAGCGGGACGCTGAGGTCGACACTGGATGTCTTCAATGAGTACGAGGATGCCGAGATCGTGAGCATCGCGGTGTTGCGTCTCAGTCCTTGAACTGACGCACTACGTTTCGCAGTACGAGGCACTTCGTCGCGTGCACCTCATCCCAGCAAGCAATGTCCCGTCCGAAGATTCCGAGACGATCAACGCGAATGTTTTCCGCAATCTCGACTCGTCCGTCTCGGAAGGCGGCGACAACTTCTCCACTGGGTTTGCACGAACTCCTACATCGTCGTATCCCACTCTGGCTGATCATAGCATCGCAGTGAGAAGCAACTGCTCTGCATGGCTCGTGCCATCCTCAAGCGCTCCAGGGTACTGCTGATGGACGAGGTAAGCTGTTTGCTGATCTGCGTGATTTCTCTGGCTCATATTTCGTTTAGGCTACCGCGAGCGTAGACTACGCTACCGATGAACTGATTGGGAAGACTATAAGACAGTAAGTGATCGCCCTCTGAACAGAAGTCCACTTTTCACCGTCCACCTGTACCCGCAGGGAGTTCGCAGAGAGCACGCTCCTCACGATCGCACATCGGTTACGTACCGTGATAGACTACGACAGGGTACGTGCCCTCCCTCCCTCATTTTTCGCGCAACGTCCTAACACGAGATATCGATACCGCAGGTCATGCTCCTCGAGCAGGGCCGAATCGCCGAGTTTGATAAGCCCGCGGTGCTGCTGGCAAACCCGTCGTCAAAATTCCACAGCCTCTGCAAGGCCACGGGGAAGAGCGAGTTCGCGATGTTGAAAAAGCTGGCGGGCGTACAATAGAATAGAGTCGGCGCACGTCGATAGGGCTTGCTGTACTGATTAGGGGAAGCGAACTAATACATATCATGATTGTCTCCGTGCTTTGTGCGACGCTAGTACAATACGTGAGGACTGATGCATACAGTGTATGTGCCATGCAATGCATCCTTGTGGTCAGCAACGGGGTGGAAATCCTCCCTGAAACGACTAAGTACGGACCCCAGTGCAATACATCTATGTCGTGAAGGATAAGACAGGGCTCACGCACAACCATCCAGCTTGCGTGACATTGGCGCGCTAAGCTAATGGAGGCTTCGATCAGCCGTTTTAAAAAGATTCTTTCGCATAGTAATCTGCGGAATCGTAATGCGGACAAAACTGTGCGAGCAGATTTGCAGCCATCGTAAACACGAAGTTTCCTATAGGTTTACGAGTGTAAGAGCAATAGCCGCTCAGCTGCCTGTTTGAGTGCGATACCTGCCTCGTATGGCTACTCCGAAGCCCGGTCACAGGTGTCACGCTGGATGGTTGTGCGTGAGCCCTGTCTTACATACATCAGCCTCCAGCCTCACCTCCGTGCAGCCGTTCGGCGACGCTTACTTACATGACAGCGTGAAAGGCAACGCTAGCGGCAGCTTCAAGCTCCAAGTTACAATCTACAGCGCCTTCATTGTACGGAGTCTGGGTCATGATACAATACAGATACACGATACATTCCTGTTCCGACCCGTCCGATATTCGCGTCCACGCCGACCAGCGCATCACCAGCACGGGTGCAAGAAGACCGTGCCGAAAGCAGGAGGCTCACCGCTCGCAGTCCGCGAAGCCGATGCCGCCGTAGCCCGCCCAGAACGGCTTGTAGATACGGATAGAGCCCTCCTTCTCGATATCGAACAGTTGCTGGACCTCCTCCGGCGACAGGTCAACGATCTGCATGTTTTCGATGATCCGCGCGGGCGTGACCGACTTCGGGATGGCTGCATACGACGTCAACATTATACCAGCACCAACATGGGAGTGGTTGAAAGCGTCGCCTACGTACTGTTCACGCCAGGGCGGTTCGCGTGGAAGGAGATGAGGATGTTCTGCGGCGTCACGCCGTGCTTCGCCGCGATCTCCTGCACGACGAGGTTGTCGGTGAGGGGCACGTCGTCCCCCCAAGTGGGGAATACGCCGTGACCGCGACGCCCTTCTCCTTGCACAGTTCCACAAGCTCTTCCTGCGCCAGGCTCGGGTGGCTCTCGAGCTGATTCACCGCTGGCACGACGGACGCGACCTTCAAGAGCTCTTCGAGGAACGGCGCGCTGACGTTGCTCACGCCGATCGCGCGCACCTTGTCCGGGTGCGCCTCGAACACGGCTTCCATGCCCTTCCACGTGTCGAGCCAGGTCAGCGTGCGGTCGGGCTTGCCGGCCTTCATCGGGCACGGCCAGTGCATCAGCCAGAGGTCGAGGTACGGCGTCTCGAGCGCGGCCAGCGACTTGTGCAGGGCTGCGAGCGGGTCGGCGTGATCGGGGTTGTTGAGCTTGGTCGTGAGGAATATCTCCTCGCGCGGCACACCAGAGCGCTTGATGCCCTCGCCGACCTGCCTCTCGTTCGCTGGGCCGGGAGTAACGTCAGGCGAGGGGACGAGAGGATACAAGCAGGACGAGCGCACAGTATGCTTGCGCGGTGTCAAGGAGCCTGTAGCCGTGCTTGAGTGCAACCTCAACAGCCTGCTCTACGGTGCCTGGGCCTCCAGGATTCCACGTGCCTATAGTGAGAACTACCCATCAGTATGTACCTCAAAACTTCAGTATGTAACGGCATGAACTCGGAAAGGCAGTATTCGGTGCACGATGGTATCCTCATCTCGCACTGTATCCGGTCAGTCATGTCTCTGAGCGCGACTCGAGGTGACCTTCTACCGCTCCCAATGACTGAGACACTTTGCCAGCTGGTCCGGCGCATGTCCCTACGACATGCCTATGCACGCTGACCTGTGCGTGAGCGGAACCTGGGACAACAGCACCTAACAACACTGCGATGTCGACAGCATATTCAGTTCAGGTTCCCACATTTGCCGTGTTGAGGCTACCAAAGTACCTGTACTAGCTGCTTGCGCTTTTCCCTTCGAAGAGCGGAAGACTCGGGACGAGGTACGCGCCGCGTCTACATCTCGTTCGGGCCTGACCTGAGAGGCTGAGACCCACGTACCGAGACCAAGGGTGGGCAACCGAGCGCCGGTGTTCAAGGTGACATACTTCGAAGCAGGCATTGTGCGGACGAGCAAGTGCCGGACGTAGATGGCCCTGAGCGGGGAAAGTAGACGGGAGTGGCAATCAGGGCTTTCGTCTAGATGGACGAGATGTATGGGGAGATTCCCCTTCATTCCTCGCGGGGGGTAGCACCTAGCCGTTCGAGTCAATGGCCGCTGACGATGGCAGTGATTCCCGACCAACCGGGGGAGGGAGGGCTTTGTCACTGCACAAAAGTGGCTCATTATTAAGATTGTTCGTCAGCATCCGCAGCGTCTCGCACCTTCTCTCGAGTTATCGTGACGTCGATTGAAGGCCTAAAAACACTCGAAGTCTTGAACCATGTCGTGATCTTGATAGGCTCTATACGAATCTTGGGCACTGCCAACGCCCGTGAGCGGAAGCGCATACCTGTTCACGGCCGCACTGTCTCTCGTCGTAACGAGGTCCCCTGTATGAGCTGCTTGCTCAGTCGAGGAGTCGGGTGTTAGATACGAGCCGCGAAACGCCGTGTTCTCGAATGGAGCAACATGGACAAATGATCCAGCATACAGCTCGAGCTTCCTAGTTTCCCGGGTTGACGGTGTTTGGTAGATGAATGGGAGGTAGCCACCACACGCTGCCCGACGTCATAGCGACTTCCTCTTGCTCGAATACTATAGCATGGATCTTGCGCCAGTCGGCCCTTACTATCCTCGCGAGAATGACCTGTACCTACGAGAATCGCGGCAGCACAAATTGCGTAGCTGTCGACCACAGAACGAGGGCATCCATGAAACAGAGGTCGGTGACTCGGAGCTCGAAGCATAGCGCTAGTGGCGGTGTCGGAGAGAAGGCGTGCGTGCGACGACAAACCCACACCACACGCGTACTCGTCCTAGATGCAGGGAGGTCGGATGGTCGAGATGGACGAGGGCTCGGTGGAGGACGACGGTGGATGTCTATAGCACGTAGTTAGGCCGCCGAGACTCAATGAAACACTTACAAATGTCGAACGCGACTCGACGTGATTCTACTCGACTTGCTTTGCACCCGCGACCGCAGTTGTCGCGTCTAAGTGCCGAGGTCGGGACAGCGAGGCGAGAGAGAGAGCGAGAAGTGGGGATTCGATTCGATAGACGGGCAGCTCAGCCCAGTACTTAATACACGCGAGAGATTCTAGAAGCATGGAAGAGCGAGAGAGATAAAAAGGTAGAAGACTGCGAGGGAGAGACGCGGCGAGCTTGCGATGGTTCGAAAGGAAAGAGACGCGCGAGCGCATGACAGATCGGGAAGGAATAATACCTAATAAGGAAAGTACCGTACAGCAGGCATATGGACACCCTCCTGGGCGACGGACGTCCGTTGAGTCCCCTTCCGGCGTTGTACAACGATCCCTTGTCTCGGTACGAGGTTGGCAGCACGCACGCGGTGCTATTTGCTAATCGCGACCTGGTCCCCCAGCAGGTGCGGCACTCGTCGTCGCGGCGCTCGTCTCGTCCTACTAGCGGGTCCGCGTCGCAGCCTTCCGGTTCGTCGCGAGCGCGCCGGTAGAGTCGAGCGTACTGTAGGGAATTGTAACGAAAAAGAAAAAGAAAAGCGTGGGACGAGTTTCCCTTCCACAGCGGCGGACTCGGGAAGTGCGCAAGAAGCGCACACAGGGTTACGAAAGCGGCTCGCACCCGAGGATGAGTCGAACTCATGACCATGTCAAGTACTGTCCACTCGGTGTCGCAACTGGAATCGGGTTTAGTCCAGCAGGCAACATCACTCACCTTCGATGCCAGTGCATGGTCCGCGGGTAGCATTGAACTCTACCACACTGCAGGTCAAGCCCTGGATCGACGCGTCTCTTCTAGGTCATCGCACAACTGCTGTCTTCTGCTGTGGACTCTGTGGTTGCTACCGCAAGTTCAGGCTGGTCCGATCAAGCTCGAAGTCGCTATACATGGGACACCGCTGGTCAGCTCACACATTATGCTACAGCACATCGCTTGCACTGCTTACACTCCAAATTTTGAAGACGTCCGCGGACAGCCAGCTGTATTAGGGTAGTCTTGCTGTGAGAGTGGAACTGAGCCGCATTAGCATCAACTCTGGAACTGTAAGCCAGCAACCAATAGGCGAGAACAAGTACCCACCACTCGAAGGCAACTCACGGCAGGCGCAACTTTGAGACAGCTCATTAGCAGTACTATGCCTCGGGTCCATCGTGTCGCCGTCAAATGCAAAGTACAATTGTGTCGCTGGGATAGTTGTGGTCCAGTTCATCCGAACTCATGGTGCAATGCCCTTCACAAGAGCCACCACCGACTACACGGGCTGCTTCTTGCTATGTGCCGGGTCCCTGCGCATCGAGGGCACTGCTGGACCCGAGAGGATTGACTGGGCCTCTGGGATACAGCATCCCGCTTTACTCACCGTCGTACACTGGGTCGCGCTGCAAGACCAAGGATTCCGCCACCCTGACATATGGACACCGGCCGTCGAATAGAAGGTCCAGAGACGACCGTGAACAGCGCGAAGACCACGAGTTTCATCTGCAACACATACTCAACTGTCGGGCACGAACATGTCGAACGCAAGCAGTATCGACGACACTGCGCCCAAGGTCATACTGGACAAATTCGAGCGTGTCAGCGATACTGTGGGCTGTATAGCGTCGACTTCGTACCTTTATGTTACAGTACCCATTATTGCGGCAGTGGGGGTTGGAGAACCCGGTCGAGTAGGTTCATGGGCAGCTGAACCGCGATTTGGCGTTTGGCCACGTGTAACCCTATCGCATGGGCATCACGTAGGTATGGCGAATCCTTTCATTTGCAGAATTCAGTAGGTCGGGCTCCCCTGCCATGTTGAAGGACGTCGCAGATGTGTCGCCGACTTGCAGCCACCTCACTGCAGTCCCCGTGATTTTGCGTGGTTCGGTACGCAACATTGCGAGTATAAGGCACTACTTTTCATACAAGAGAAGAATCCAACGCCGTCACCACCCAGCGATGCATCGATGAGTTTGAAGAGCAGTGAGGAGGGGGCCTTGAGCTGGAGGGGGCAAGAGCTCGTGGCGAGAGGGTTATTGCTGGCGTGACCGTGACATAATCGCGTTGTGTAACGCCCAAGTGACGCCTAGTCGCAACGGATCCCTCCTCCCTGAGTCCCTCCTCCTGATGGTGAGACCCGAACGATCTCTCCACTGAGTACTAAATATTACTGAACGCTGCATGCTGATCACCGTATATGCGCCATTTTAATCGCCTACCTCGCACCTACTACTCGAAGGCACCATACCGGGCCTGAAGGCCAGACCTCCAGTCAACGGCTCGGACCCATACTTCCTACCATACACGCTGCAGCTTTGTTTACATACAGAGGACTCGGCACTCGCAGGCAATAACAGGATTAAATTAAAACCCTACAGAAGCACCAAGAAGACCACGCCGCCAGCAGGAGCAGGAGCGCGGCTCACTGCTTGCAGTCCGCGAAGCCGATGTCGCCGTAGCCCGTCCAGAACGGCTTGCACACGCGGCGCAGGCCCTCCTTCTCGATGTCGAACAGTGTCTGGACCTCCTCCGGCGCGAGGTCGACGATCTTCATGTTCGCGACGATCCGCTCGGGCGTCACCGACTTCGGGATCACTGCACACACACAGCGTCACGTCAGAACAAACCGGAGGGTACAGGGAAGGGACACTGCACGCACCGTTCACACCGGGGCGGTTCGCGTGGAAGGAGACGAGGATGTTGTGCGGCGTGACGCCGTGCTTCGCCGCGATCTCGTTCACGACGGGGTGCGCGCCGAGCGGGGCGTTGTCCGAGCCGAGCGGGGAGTACGCCGTGACGACGATGCCCTTCTCCCTGCACAGCGCGACGAGCGGCTCCTGCGTGAGGCTCGGGTGGCTCTCGAGCTGGTTCACCGCGGGCACGACGGACGCGACCTCCAAGAGCTCCCCGAGGAACGGCGCGCTCACGTTGCTCACGCCGATCGCGCGCACCTTGTCCGGGTGCGCTTTGAACACGGCCTCCATGCCCTTCCACGTGTCGAGCCAGTTGAGCGTGCGGTCGGGCTTGCCGCCCTTCATCGGGCACGGCCAGTGCATCAGCCAGAGGTCGAGGTACGGCGTCTCGAGCGCGGCGAGCGACTTCTGGAGCCCCGCGAGCGGGTCGGCGTGCTCGGAGTTGTTGAGTTTCGTCGTGAGGAAGATCTCCTCGCGGGGTACGCCGGAGCGCTTGATGCCCTCGCCGACTTCGCGCTCGTTGGCTGGTCCGGGTGTGCGGTTAGACGGGTCGCGAGCAGACGAGCGGGAGGAGCGCACCGTATGCTTGGGCGGTGTCAATGTGCCTGTAGCCGTTTTTGAGCGCGACCTCAACAGCCTTCTCTACCGCACCCGGAGCAGATTTCCATGTCCCTGTTACGGAGATCGCGCGTTAGTCTTCGCATTGACTTGGGAGGCTCTGTAAGCGAGGCGCGGACGCGTCTCGCACTCCGTCTGCCTGGGTTTTCGTTCACTGGGACTTTTCACCACGCCTACGCGGACAACGCAACCTGGATATATGCGGTGCTCGTCGGACGAAGCGCGACACGCGTCTGTGTCTCGTCCTGCGAGCGGGCCGGGCCTGAGAGACACATACCGAGACCAAAGGTGGGCATCTGAGCACCAGTGTTGAGCGTGACATACTTTGAGGCAGGCATTTTGTGGATTGAACAATTTCAGAGGTAGATAGAGTCGAGCGAGGCGAGTGTGCGGGAGTAACGGCGGGGAGGTCGAGGAGGTCGAGGAGATTTATAGGAGGACGGAGGCCGGGCCTCCGTATCTCGTACCTAGCCGAATGGAGCAAGTATGGGCAGATTATCCAGCACAGTACTCAGCTATCCAAGTCCCGCAGGTCCGAGTCGATGGTGGCAGCGATAAACGGGAGGCCCATCCGACGTCATAGTACTTACTTCGGCTCGGACCCAATTTCATGAAGCCGCGACTTAACCAGTTGCATTCGAGTCACCGAGTAGGCTTGATCAGAGTGCCAGCCAGCAGCGCAGAACGTGTAGCTTTCTCGGGACGGAGGACTCGGACTTGAGAGGAGGCCGAGTCAGGCACTGGGTCGGAGGAAAGGGACGAGGAGGCCGCGGCTTGTGATCTGCAGATAAACGCGGTGAATCTCCGCGACGCCCAGATTACTCCGGAAAACGCCCGAACAGCGATCACCATTGTTACGTAAGTATCACTGTATGTTCGACTTGCATATTAGTACCCAGATACTACCTCACAAGCAGGTACTCATTACCACTCGCCGTTAATTGTCTGACAATCAGTGCGGCTGGCTGCGTACTCGCATTCAGCTACAGACCTGGTTATGTTCACGAAGATCTAGATATCTGAGCCCGCTGGCGACCTCGACGGCCTCCTACGGATTTGGGCTGCACAACACATTCTTGAGCGCGGTGGCGCATCCATAACCTCTCACAGAGGAGAGTTCCACGCGACGGTCTTCGCTGCGATAATCAGCACCTCGCCGTGGCACGCGTTCGAGGTGCGGTATAACGAACCCAGCGCGCCTCGGACACTGGCCATCCTCCGTTGATGCGCGAACTCCACGCCATGGTCCATGGTCGCGACGCCCGAGATACCGCCCTCGCAATCATGCAGGCAACGATCGGGCACGCTGCTCTCGACCGCGAGGTTGACTTCGCGCCTTTCGTGGAGAAGCGCGCGGTGGTGCGCCGCAGCGGCCGCCACAAACGCAAAGTCCAAGCCCGCCTCCTCCTCCACTCGCATGTCGGCGTGCTGGGCATACGAGCGAGCCGTGAGTCTGCCCATGTCCCGCAGCTGGTCGTTGCCCCGTTGACGTCGGAGAGCCAGCTAGCAGAGCAGTACCCCGATAACGCGCACGACGCCATATGCATGCTCGCCCCTGTCGTTCTTACTGTGGGCGATCGAGCGGTATCTGCGGGCCCAGGGCGCACCGACTTTCGTCCTATCTAACTTACATGGCTCTCGGGACCTCGCATCACGCGAAGCAGGGCCCCCACCCGGCGGCCATCCTGCCCCTCGCGTTTCTTGCGTTCTCAGACGTCGACGGTGCGCGCCCACCGTTCCGCAGCGTCATCATACTCTCATTGAAACCTGTTCCAGGCTCGCAGGGAACGCAGCATGTCGCCACAGGAGCGCTGCACACCTTCCGGGCGCAGCTCTGCCACGCGTCCCTCGCGATGCTCCTTGCGCCCCTCGAGGCAGGCATACAGCGTCGGGAATCCGACGTCGCGCGATGTGCCGACGGCCACTTCCGGCGTGCTTTCTACCAGATTGGGCCTGTGATCGTTGACTCGCCGTCCGCGTCAGCACTGCCAGTGGGTGATGTGGGTGATGCTAACAGCGAGGGCGATTTCGAGATGATGCCTGAGTTGGTTGCCAGTGCCATGTAGTTGCCATGTAGTACTGTACCGTTACGGCCGTTCCGTGCGGTGGCGTACAGTGCATGACGTGTCACGGTCAAGTGGATGCGTCTGGGCCTGCCGCACTGCTCCCTTGCCCTGTGACTCTGTTTTGTCCCATTTACTCTGCTGAGTCGCGCGTACTTCAAAGGTTCCCACTTCAGTAACACCGACATCGACAGATCGCACAAGAATCCGCCTGCGGAAACCCCCGGAGCCGCCTAAGTAAAGTAAGGAGTACTGTCCCCGTTCTGAGCGTTGTGGTGGAAGCGTTGGGCTTTGACTGCGTGGCGTTGGGCGTATCACGGTGAGCATGTCTGTATATGCCCTTCAAACGAGACTGCTAACGACGATCTCAGGCAGACTCACGCCAGGTCTGGTCTTCTTCTCAAACATGTCAGGAATATTTTTATGTATCACCAGGGGACCACTCCTCCCTCCGTCTAAGGTGTCTTAGCGTCTGCCTAGCCTGAGAAGCCTCCAATGCTTTCAGGAACCGCGAGAACAACAAAACATGCACAATGAAACCATCCTGGTAGGACTGACTCGTATCCTGGGTAGGCTACGCGGCCATGTAATCATCTTCCATCCTTGACTCATACCTATCCGACACCCAGACTCAGAGGTATGCGCTCTTCCTCATTGTGATAGTAGGATACGGTTTCTGGTTGCAGAAATGATAGCCCCGAAACAGGCGTGGTTGTGGCACCGTGAGGGTGAGGCGACTCCGTAGCCTTGCCGCTTGGAGGTCAGAGATGGAGAGAAGCCAAGGGAGCACATATCGGGTTCAGGTACGGCTCGACATTCTGTGTTGCGGAACATTGCCAACCTTATCCACGGCGCCCGCAACTGCAGCTGATTCAAGACTCATGGTAGCCTCGTGCGGCATTGGACAACATGGCCCGAAAGTTGACATGGAAGCCAGAACATGCGGCGTAGCTTCAAATCATGAACCATGTGAACACACAAGGCCTTGCGCAGGTAACGATACCTCAGGGTTGGCCCGTACAGTCAGGCACTGAGGAAGGTCATGGCAGAAAGCACGCCCGTGTTGGCAGGAGTCTAGGCTGGACATGGGCTAATAGAACTTTTATGTGCAACGGCGTACGTATATGTAGGCTATGTGGCTGCTGACAGGTTTCGAAGCACTTGCAATTCCAAGACTGCCGCTCCGACAGACACGCGTAGTAGGAAGGTTTGATTGCTCCATGACATCGCTCCAGAGAAGTGGTTCTCTTGTCTGATGGGCATTCACATATGAACTGCCTTCGGACACGCGGGGTACTGGCATGGCAGGCGAGGATACTACCTGTATATATACTGGTAATGAGACAGGGCTTGCTCCAAACCTACCGCGGCAATGCCAACTCACAAGTGGAATCGTGCCACCACATCACGCCTCCAACAGTATGTCCTATCTCTTCTGACGGCAACCCTTCTCGCTGCCATTCTCCCAGCTGCCAGTGGTGCGCCGGCCGTCTTACTTGAACGCATCGTTGCTACCAGGTCTTCGGGTGCATGCCCCGAAGATGCCGCTATCATCTACAGCCTGGCCAGCTACCTCGTCAGCAACTATGCTATCCATGTCGGCACCGTCTTCCTTGGTGCAGACACCGGACAGGATACAGAATGGGTGACACGTCGTGACGCATGGGTCTATAGTCTGTGGCTGGCGGCGATTTCACTCTTCCTGCCTTATTTTTCGCTCGCCAGGACGCTCATCCTCATTGTGCAGAAGTCGAGATGTGGCAGCAATGGCCTTCTCGCGGCACTTTACCACGGCGCACTCCTCGTCGTCGTCAGAGACCCGCAGTGGGAGCCTGCTGCAGATGAGCCTAGCGTCGTTTACACTCGGCTACCTCAAGGTTTTACATTGGACGAGTGAGTCCCTCAGTTGAAACGCAGTTTACTTGAGACATGTCAGAATTGGCTAACCGTGACTTGTCGGCGCTAGGGGCGACAGCACAAGGGTGACGACACAGACGGCCACCATCGTGCTTGATGCACACGAAACGCACGCTTACCGGCCAGTGGACCACGATGAGCATTATCTGCACGGTATGGCACGCCCCACGGTTGGTTATAGGCTCGCGGTACCGCAGCGCAAGAGCTACACCCAGATCTTGATCCGCGATCATCTCGAGGACACGACAGAACTACGCGTGCATCATCGCACGGGTACCGTCGGCGCAACGCTGTCGATCATCCAGATCGTTGCTGGATCCTACAGCCTATACATCTCGTGGTTGAGCCAGGTTCCCACCTGGGGATACGCATCATACGGCCTAACCGTACTCCCGTATGTTGTCATGTCCATCATCAACCTCGTTTGCGCAATCTGTGTCGACAGCTATGCATGCGCTCAGCTTCTCCGGACGCCCATTTTGGAGGAGTCTCTCCTGCGACGGGAGTGCACCGAATCTCAGCCTTCGGCTTACGATGGGACCATTGGTACGGTGCGAGAAGAAAGCCGTCCCGCCGTCCTGAAGGGGTCCCTGCGACAGAGGGGCTCCGATGCTCTGGATTCGGAGAACGACACTGGGCTGAACAGTTGTACGTTGCGAGAAGCAAGCGTTCAGGCCGCCGACGTCGAATCCCCCTACGTTGCAGTTGGGATGCACGTAGAAACTCGGGACGATGTTGATGGACAACCACAGAAATACATCGTCGTGACTCCTGCCAGTGGGCAAGATCGGTACGACGAGCCTCCTAGGAGGAAAGAGTACCGTCTCATCCGAGAGAAGAAGATAGAGAGTTTTAACAGGTTCAGCCACGTGCCTGTGCTCAGCGAACTACTGGTCGGACCAATGGAGCCTTCTCTACGCCGGGGCTGGATGTTGTATTATGGTTTGTACTGAACTCGTGATACGTCGGTTCATATACTTTGTACTGAATTCTCGTTCACAGACTTGAACGGAACATATTTTGGTGCCTTGGCTCGATGGCTGCATCGACGCACTGGCTGGGACCTCCTTTCAGCTACAGACGAGCCTGAGGTCATCGAGGCCCCGGGCATGGGCCGCTCGGACGGCTCGCCCCCTGTGCAGTTCATACTATCTGCAATGAGCCACACCGGTGTTCCACTGGAAGATGAATTGAGGGAGGTGGAGCTGCGCACAATGCCTACCTCAGCGATCCGTTGGATATACGCCTTTCAGGCAGCTGCCATAGCCTTGCCTACCGCGGTGATTGGCGCTTTGACCGGCTTTCATCCTCAGCAAAGCACCAAGACCCAAAGGGCATGGATCATAGCGTGGATGGTGGCTGACGTTTTGGCGTCCTTATTCACCTCGATCTACTGGACCGTATGGATTCGCTGGAACCCGGTCGAGGTGTTAAGTCGGGGCAAACCGTTCGCGTGGTCAACTATGCGCTACTCGGCCTATATCAATATGGTGGTGGCGGGGATAGGCGGCTTTGTGATGGTAGTGAAGATGTTTCTACAGGACCATGACTATGGGCATCAGACATGTTCCCTGTAGATATACTCTGGAGTCTGCAAGGGACGCAAGGACTCGATGCCACATGTCTCCTGGGGCCGTGCTGTTAACGCAAGATCTTGGCAAAGTGGTACATACAATCCCATAGCTAAATATCCTCCACGTGTCGAGAGACAAGTCTGTGAATAGACCAATTACTAGAAGACCCAGTGTGGCCGAGTCGTACATTGGTGAATACTGGTGGAGAGGCCGACTATCGGTGGTGCACAGTGAGGCAATCTTGGGGGTCGCTGCACTGGATACTAGCTGCTAAGTACACACTCGAGCTCAGGCATGGATGCTCCTGAAGATGCTGAAACGGATCTGCCGCGTGTACGACTGCCTATGGAGAGTGCTCGATTGTCAATGCGCGACAACGTGATCGGTACCATGCTCTAGCGACTTAGCACCACAGACAGGAACAATACGTAGCTTGCTCTACTCTAGTCAATCAGTACACCGAGCGTCATCAATCTACCATGAGTGCGGCGACCCTCTTTTATTGTACGCCCGCCAGCTTTTTCAACATCGCGAACTCGCTCTTCCCCGTGGCCTTGCAGAGGCTGTGGAATTTTGACGACGGGTTTGCCAGCAGCACCGCGGGCTTATCAAACTCGGCGATTCGGCCCTGCTCGAGGAGCATGACCTGCGGTATCGATATCTCGTGTTAGGACGTTGCGCGAAAAAGGAGGGGAGGGAGGGCACGTACCCTGTCGTAGTCTATCACGGTACGTAACCGATGTGCGATCGTGAGGAGCGTGCTCTCTGCGAACTCCCTGCGGGTACAGGTGGACGGTGAAAAGTGGACTTCTGTTCAGAGGGCGATCACTTACTGTCTTATAGTCTTCCCAATCAGTTCGTCTGTAGCGTAGTCTACGCTCGCGGTAGCCTAAACGAAATATGAACCAGAAAAATCACGCAGATCAGCAGACAGCTTACCTCGTCCATCAGCAGCACCCTTGAGCGCTTGAGGATGGCGCGAGCCATGCAGAGCAGTTGCTTTTCACTGTGGTGCTATGATCAGCCAGAGTCAGATAAGACGATGTAGGAGTTCGTGCATACCCGGTGGAGAAGTTGTCGCCGCCTTCCGAGACGGACGAGTCGAGATCGCGGAAAACATTCGCGTTGACCATCTCGGGATCTTCGGACGGGACATCGCTTGCTGGGATGAGATGCACGCGACGAAGTGCCTCGTACTGCAGAACATACTGCGTCAGCTGAAGGACTTACTCGCACCGGGGTGATACGCACGATCTCAGCGTCCTCGTACTCATTGAACACATCCAGCGTCGACCTCAGCGTCCCGCTCAAGATCGTCGGATCCTCTGCAAATGCGTAATAAGTAACCAAGCGCTCCACGACTCGTCAAGCAGGTGAAGCTCACGCGGGATGATCGTCAGCTTGCTCCTCAGATCCGTCAAGCCCATCTTCGCGATGTCCAAGCCATCCACGAGGATGCGGCCCTCGACGGGCTCCACGAAGCGGAAGAACGAGAGCGCGAGCGTGCTCTTGCCCGAGCCCGTCCGCCCGAGCACGCCGATCTTCTCTCCAGGTGCGATGGTGAAGTTCAGGTTGTGTAGAACATCCGGGAGGTCGGGCTGCGCGCGAATGAGTAACACGGGCGAATTAGAAGAAGGGTAAGACACACTGCATAGCGGATGACGAGGTTCTCGCAGTTAATAGCGCCTTTCTCGGGCCAGGAGGCGGGAGGACGCGGCTCAATGAATTCAGGAGGTTCGCGTGGGAGCTCGGAAAACTCCTTGATACGCTCTACGGCAACCTGCGTCGCGAATGCATTTCAGTGCGAGCTCGGTATTGATTTACACTATGCAAGCTTACCATAGATTGCTCGAGCCCGACGAATCGTCGTACGAGGAAGAGGAGCTACGAAGCGCATTAGTTCATCTCGAATCGGAGGGGAAAGCGAACATCATCACTCACGTCGTTCAGAATGGTCGAGGAGAACGCAAGGGCCATTCCGGCCAGCGATGCCGTGATACCGGGCGTCAGTACGCATACAAAGGCAGTCACTCCGACAACAGCGCTGGAGAGGAGGTTGAAACGGGCAGACAACCATCGGTTCACTGCGAGATCGTGAGAATAGGTCAGTCATGATATAGAGACGGATAACGTACCACCCCACATCCAGTAGTACGGGTTGGTGTTCTGGTGGTCGTGGGTCAATGGGCGAAGACGAGTACGAACTGAAGACGAACAGTGTCAACGCATCGCAGCATGTCTCTCATAAACTTCGTGGAAGCTCCGAACGCTCGGAGGACCGTCACGCCCGCAATAGTCTCGCCGTAAATGGAGTACAAAGGCGAGCGAGTGACAGAGTCTGCGAGTCAAATATGAGTTTGATTGCTAACACCGTACTGTGCATGCGTACCAAGTCGCCGCATGTCCCGAGATGTTTGTCCGTAAACCTTGCCAACTGCGCTTCGCCTTGAGTATGCGGCATGGCTACATTGAAATGAAGTGACCCACCGCTGTAGTACAGACTTCCAAAGATGAAAGCCGCCAACAAGAAGGGCAAGCCTCCGATGTACGTGATCGTAAGGAACGTCGTGGTGGCAGACAAGGTGTAGGCAACGCTGCGTCCGAAGTTGTCGGGAAGATTGCTATCAACGCCCTCAAAGTCCTTTCCAAAGCGGTTGAGCAGTCGGCCACGAGAGACCGTATCGTGGAAACGGATGTTGGCGAAGAGAACGCCCTCGAGAAGTCCTGACAAGGTGTTAGACGAAGACGTGCGCGTGGCATATAAGAGGCGTACGCTGATAGAGGACAGTTGACGCGTGGATACCACCGTGGTCTGTACAAAGTCGTTAGTGAGAATCACGGCGAAGATAGCAGGCTTACAAATAACGATCCAGCGGATAGTCTGGAGGATTACGCCTTGAACAACGTGTTAGAATCATAAACGGATAGGGCAATTAACCTGAGATAAATACCAGCTCCAGTGATCTGAGAAAGACATGTCAGAATTGATTAAGCTGAGCGTAAAGCCTAGACGTACTGCCGCATAGATAGCAATGTAGAAGGATGGAGGTCTTGGTTCGTCTGTTTCAAGCGCCGAGCCCGTCCAGATACTGTTGTGAGAGAGTTCAGGTCGACGAAAGCCCCGCCGCCAACGCGTCACGCACCGTAGCCAACCATTTTCAGCAACGGGACTGAGTGCTGCGAGCAGTAGTGCCACGCCAAACATGATCCAGTACAGATAACCACCGCAAGCGTCGATGTACGTCATCCAGATATCCTTGCCAATGCGACCGACAGCACGCTTCTCCTCTTCGATGAGCTTGCGCGGTGCCTTCCGTTCCTCTGGCTTTACCTCAGTCTCAGAGGTAGCGGCAGTAGAGGTATTCTCCAAGGAGTGCCCTCCGCTCTCGTCGGATGACTCCTTCTCGGAGACTAGTTCCTCTACGTCTGCTACTGTCGTCTCTTCTTTGTCATCATTTGCATCAGCAGCCCCGGATTGGACGAGCGTGTTCAGCACACCAGACGACCGGAACGTGTCCCGATCGCCCTGGAAAGCGACTCGGCCATTGTCGAGAGCAACAATGTAGCTTGCACCCGGTGCACAAAGCTGTACATGGTGTGACACCAGTATCAAAGTACGACCGCGCATCAGGTCACCTTGTAGACATTCGTTGTAGAGGTGATGGGCAGTATGGGCGTCGACTAGGGGATCGGGTCAGTAATAGGTACCGCGATGTCCATTGGGAACTCACCCGCAGAGAGAACGTCATCCAACAGAAGGACCGAAGCACGCGAGTATACCGCACGTGCGAGCGACACTGCATACATGTCTGAGGCGTCATCTTCTGACGTCGAATCGGATGAACCCACCTCGAGCTTTCTGGCCACCAGACAGGTTTACACCACGTTCACCGATCTCCGACATGTCTCCGTCCTCGAGGATCTTGAAGTCGCTGACTAGAGCGCAGACCTATGCCGACCCTGTGAGATACGTCATGATGGAAGACTTGGCACAGTACCTCAAGAGTTCGCTGATAGCGTTCCTCGACATACGGGAGGTCGAATAGGATGTTCTCTGCAGAGGCATGAGCACCCAAGAGGACAAAGAAAGGTAGCCTACCCACCTCTGATTGAAGCGTTACGAAGCCAAGCACTCTGTTACGAAGTGAGCTATAATCCTCCCATCGACCGAATGAGCATACCTGAGGGACATATGCACACACGCCCTTCACGACCCACTCCTCCTCAGGCACAACCTTGCCCGCGAAGGAAGCGATCGCATCAGGCGGCGAGCGCGGACAAGTCAACTGGCCAGCGAGCACATCCGCTTCACCAAGGAGCGCAAGCAAAAGCAAAGACTTGCCACTTCCGAGCTTACCACAAATCAGCGAAAGCTCGCCTACCGGGAAGTCGATGCTCAGATCAAGGAGCACGAATTTCTGCTTGGGGGTCGACGCAGCAGAGGGGGTAGCGCTTGCGCCGCGGACACGGTCCTGAGGCCAAGTGATCGTCGCGTTTTGCAACGTGATAGCCTGCGACTGCTGGCTCAGGGGTTCGACGACTGCTACCTCGGCGCCGTGCAGATACTTCTCAATACGACGCATGGACACCATAGACTGTCGAAAGGAGTTAATAGCTTGATTGCAAGTAATCGCCGCGCATACCCACCTGAAGCATGTTGATGAAAGTCTCCGGAAGCGCATTCAAAGCGAATTTCAGCTCGTTGAACACTGCGCATGGGCGGATGAGTTCATGCGGATATCTTTTCAATGTCTGATGGGGCTTACCGCTGATCTGTAGGGCATATAAATCAGATAATGCCAGAAGTAATCATAGAAAGTACTTACGGAAGTGAACGCGATGGAAGGCGTCAGAACCTGTCCACGAACAACGGCGAAGTGCCAAAAAGACACCAGCGCGACAATAATCGGAGAAGCACCCCTAAACCACACCGTTAGCCCACACACCCCAAACCCTACCCACATAACCATACCATATGGCGTTGAAGATAACCTACCGGAGGA